CAAGAGCAAGTCAAATGGCTTCTCATGATCTATACCGTAAGGATCCTTCAATGAAGTTGCTTAGCCAGCACTGAGAAGGACTCCTAGATCAAGAGTCTACACTCCAATGATAGTTTGCTTGGCCAGCATGCTTAGGAGTCTAGATCACTTCTGTAGCATTGCTTAGCAATGTTATGGGAGTGAAAGTCATCAACAAAGGGGTCATGGCAGCCTAAAGCCATCTGATGAGACCTTTGGCATGGTCGAAACCCACTTCTTTACATCTTTTAAGTAATAAACTATTACAATAGCATTATTCTAATATAAAGTCAATCACTTCTAAACCTCTATAGTTCATGAATGCAGTAATAAAAAGCCCTAAAAAATGAGTAATGCTGTGGCCGTCTTTGCTTGCAGCCGTAAGGACAGGCGGTTCAGACTTTACAGAAAGTCTTTCATTATGGACTTGCATGAGGTACACCGGGTGAAGAGAGTACGTTTTCAGTCACAGTATTTTAATTTACCGCCCAGAGTGACTACATACTTCTTCCTGATAGCTGTCGATAACTAGGAGATATTATGGTCCGTGTTTCCTAGTAGTAGCAAGAGGAAGTCTACTCACAGAAGGGTAGGCCAATTGACTTGCAATTATGTCTCATTGCCACCTTTACAGTTACACCATCTCCTCAAGAGATTAAAATTTTTAATTTGTATCCTACATTCTACACACGATTGTTGATTACTCATATAACGTTCTTACAGTGAATTACCTACCTATAATAGCTCGATGAGGTACTTGCACTTCCTTGGCCAATTGCATCAAATCAGGGTGATCAACAGCATCATTGTAGAGGTGTCTTCCTAATCAAATTGATTCTCCTTACCGTCGCCTTTGCTTAAGTTTTTTTTTACAAATACTTAGTGTCTATAGTTCCTTCGAAGATGACGTGCAAACATCATAATACTTATGAATTATGGCGTTATAGGTGCTCTGACAGTATTTGAACGCTGTAGAATATCCCTACTATTGCCTCTTGAATCTGGTACAAATTCTTTCCAGATACTAGGGAAATGAAATGGCACATGTTAAAAGCTGCTTGAATGTCAACGACAGTACCTGCGGGAGAAATAATTTTACAGTCTTAAAGGTTAGGGTCTCTAGAATCTATCTTGGCATTTCAAATGTCCATTCGAGATGGAATGGAGATGTGGCTGGAAAAAAAAATAGCTAAAACGAAGCATTTCATTCTTGCAACGTACCAATGAAAACATCCCTTCGCTTATTAGTTTGCGGATGATGATCGCTGCGTGTTAGTCGTAATGGGGTAACGGAGCTGTTGTCGCTGTTCCTTCTCCAAAAACAACTGTAGTACGATGACCAAAGCATTTCTGACTCTCTTTGAAAAGTTTATTGCAGCTTGTGTGCACAGCCGTAGCTCTGAACATCCTTTTCGAAGATCAAAAAAATCATTCATGAAAAGCGTTTGGATGCAAGGTGTACCTGTAATGGGCACATGGCGAAACATTATTAAAAATACTCCATTCTTTTTGTAACTTTCGTAAAACTCTTCTAACATTCATATTCTCGTATTTAAAATTGATTGATTGTCGTTCTTGGGTGGAGTCCGCCTTATCAACCCCGGAAATGCACAAGAACAAATCATAGTCTGTCCTAAGTTACTTGAAGCCTTTATTATAGATGAATGTTATTCTTGGTCGTAAAATAGGATGCTGTGACCGAAATTGCCTTTACCACCCAGCATGTCTCATATAGCAGGTATAAGGGTCAAGCATGTTGAAAGAACTTACATATGAATTTTCACCAGCTTCATAAGGCGGCCCTGGAGGCTCAAAGAATGGCCAGAAAGGACCTTTGATTAAGAAAAAAAAAGGCATATAATTGGTTATGAATGATCATGTAATCAACACAAAAATTCAATGATATACGATTGCTTGAGCTGACTCCGACGAGATAGCGTCGGAAAGCAAAGATGGAGAAGGACCTCCCCTTCAACATTATACCTCCATGAGATGAAAGACGACCAGCCTCTTTCATCTGAATGTCCACAATATTATCAAGATCGAAGATGAGCCGGAAATCTGAGGCGTTTAAGGGAAACGATGTTAGCGCTTCTATTCATAAAAGAACCACAATCACGATTATATCAAAAGGCAAAGAAATTGGACTTACTAAACCCCCCATCGGGGTCGTTGACGCAAACGCGCCACGTAAATCTCGCCTTAACGGTCTCAAAGATGGTGGCTTCAGAGTGTTTTGAATGCTTGAAGGAGATGGACGGAGCGATGTGAGAGACGTAGATGCAGTTGAAGATCTGATGGCGAGCAATGTGAATGCTTTAAGGAGATGAACGGAACAATGTGAGAGACAAAGAGGCAGTAGAAGTTCGTCATGCTGGCATTGTGAATACGAAAGAAGAGGCTCACTTTTCGTTTCGACAATATCTAAAATAATTTTCTAGCCTTCACTTGAAATATGCCCTATGCATGAAATTGAGGCGTTCCTATAATTACATGCAATAGCAATATATATACTGTTTTGCGTATTCCCGTCACTATACATTTGAAGAGACATTTGGGTACATTGAGAGAGTCATAGTTACTCCCGCCGCTTGCTTGCACTTGGTTGAATGGCTTTACCTTACATTTGGGCACTGTGTAGAAATCACATTAAGCCGACAACACTTCATGGCCGCTGCAATGCCACATCTTTGATTAGAGAGTCAAATTTCCTTTGTTCGTACCGTTTCAAAGCTTGTCATTAGTGGTAAGCTAAGTCTCTTTTTATATCAAGGCTCGCTGCAACTTTCATTCTTTCAAATCTTTCTATTTTGGCCTGTCTTTTATTTTTTTCTCTGCATTCTTTGACACTCACTTTCAGCCCTTTTTATGCTGCCACCACCTTGCACTTTTTTTTTTTCTCCAAAACCATTGCAATCCTCCTCTCCCGTATCAAATTCATGACTGCATTTGAAAGGAACTGCCTACTTTGCTTTTCTCTTCACTGCTTTCATATTGAAAAAAACCTCTCTCCGAAAAACACTACCCACACAAACTCTCCATGAAAATATCATCGCTCCACAGATCTCTACCTTCCATTTTTCATTTGATGGCCTCTCTATTGTTCTAATAACCTCAAACGTTCAAGGCTTCTGCCCCCTGAGTTTGGTATGTAGCCGCAAGAATTCACTGCATATTTTCTGTGGTCTCAAATAAAAGAAAAACTGTGATTTCGTCACGTCTACCATATTCACTTCAACCGCCACAATATGAATAAAAGCACCAACGTTTAAACAAGATAAATTAGTCTTGGCAAATATAACTTCATTAGTATATGTTGAAGTATAATCACAATTCAATGAGCTAGCTTCGTTGAATATTTGCATAGAAATCGGAAGTAGTTGGCTAGTGATTGACTAGGAAACAGTACCTTTTTATTTTGTCACCAAGTCAAAAAATGTCGTGTTTTTGACGCAAAAACGTTTTATATAGCAAAGGCATTTAAGTTGGACTTTTAAGCAGTATGACTGCAGGCATGGTGATTTTTTGAAGGCGCGAGTGCCGGTAGTAAAACTCTACAACTGAGTCTGAGGACCAGTCTCCGAGGTTGATCACATCGTCCTTGGCGACACCTCTAGACAGAGCAAGATCTGAGGCTAAGAAGCGAATGTTGGACACCGAGACCAAATCAGTGGACATCTTGGTCAAGACACGAAGCCAAAGGAGATTGTCACGACCGAAGGAGGGTTGGCAGGGTGGAGGCTGTTAACCAAGAGATTATCTACCGGTCGTTGGGCTACGCCTGAATGAGTTTTCAGAGCCAGAAGTGCGGCGACCGGGCAGAGAGGTCCTCTTTACTCAGAGGATGAACCATTAAGGTCTTGATTATAGGCCTGCCTTGCCTGATTTCTTTCGGTGCTTCAATACAAAAGCCAAGCCGGCCTGTCTCATCTAACGTGCATTTTAAGAGAACAATGCTGAAAAGATCAGATGGTCGAAGAAAAACTTCTGTTGTGGAGCGGGTTGGTGCGACAACCGGTGAGGTTTCGATTGAGCCTCCCTCATAGCTTTGTGCAAGGCGGATTGTTGTGTCAACGTATCTTGAAAGGCAGACACCGGCATGCTGTAATTACCATCGGATTGCGGTTGTTGAAAGTCTGGGTTAGCGGCTCTTTGGCATGATGTTAGTCCGTTGTTCGCTGGCTACTCCAGCGGCGTTCAAAATCAACAGTCGAGTGTCGTTCATAGCGGAGTATACCCGACCTACATCTTCAGATGGCACTAGTGGGAGTAGCATATGAGCCAGTACATCCAAAGGACGAAGAATGCCTGAGATAGCGAATTGAATACGTTGTAGATTATCATCTTCGCAAATTTGGGACTTGTTGTACTTGCGAGCAGCAAGGGGAAGTCGCTTTGGAGGTGTATAGCGGACTCCGGCCATTGCGGGATATTGTTTTACTATGTTGTTCCTTGTCCGCGCATCTAGTACTTGGAGGAAGATATCTTGTTGTATAGATGGCATTAATGAGGCAAGCTCAGGCGAGGGAATCCATTCATAAGATGGTCTGACAGGAAGATCGTGTAAAAGGGGTGTGTCTGACACCTGCACCTCAATAGTTTTTGAAGTTTCAGGGGCATTAAGTTGTTGCATTAACATTTCGATTTGACTAGCTTGGAGTTCGAGCTGTGATTTCTGTCGGATCAATTGATCCCTCAATTCTTGAATAATGTCGAAAGAATATTGTGACATGTTTGTAACTGATCTTTATCGACTTAGAGGTAATGAACAGCGTAGCGAGCGAAAAGATGAATGAGGTACATAGATTCTTTATTGAGAAATTTTTTACTCTGAATTCCGAAACAAAAAGATGAAACAGCAGTCATACCTGGAGGTTGTAGTCCGTTAGACCTAGACTGATTTTTAGGACCGCAGGGACTGAAAGTCTATGTTTTGATCTATGTCGTTAACCTTGACCTTCTTCTCGGTTTACATGTTAACGGCTTTTCATGATTAGCAACGATCAAGTCGTCGATCAAAATACACAATGAAAGTTTTATTGCATATAAGAAAAACATATGCTCTCCTTTAATGGCTCTTTATCGCTTCTATTTGAGACTACATTGGCAGCAAGCTTTTCTCAGCCACTCCAGCTAAACCGTACCTTACTATCGACGTCCGCCTTGTCCTTGCGCGGCCGGTGGTTCTTGGGTAGCAGTGGTGATAACCATGACCATAATACCCAACAGAATATACCTAAAAACATGGAAGTCATCAACATGGCTTTCTTACCTCTTGTAGTCACCTCAGTAAAGACAGATTGAAAATACATACCAGTACTTTTGGAAAAAGGTTTTTTCTTCCTCTGGCTTATCGGCCTCTCCTTCGTCTGATTTCGCTGTTTGTGACGACTTCTGTCCGATGCCACTCAGCCTACCCAATGCAGGTCTAATGCAAACATTAAAAAAATAAATATAGTGAGTTCGCAACGACTAAATCACAGCTCAGATGGTTCAAACCTGACAGGTTGATCTGGTCGAACAACTTCGACGCTACTGGTGAATTCCGAGCTTTTCGTCTGTGACAACGTCCACTGGACATTAGTAAACAAGGCAGTATCCTTCTATGATGACTGGAAGCGTTCTTACCGGGGCACCTTCGAAGCAGTCGCTAACTGTGCTATAATAGTCTACATGTGTAAAATCACCGCTCTCACTGACGTGTACAATAAATTGGTCATTGAAGCCAGAAGCTGCAAGCTGACACTACAGGAGTGCATAAGATGAACGCATTGCTTAATAAAGGATTAGAGCTACGGCGATGACAGAGGTGAGGCCCTTACCAATTTGATTGATGACAACACAATGTCTTTCGTTACCTCATCTACCACCTTGACCTGGTATAAAGCATGGGGTGATGAGGTGTCCAAGAATATTTCATCGCGGCTGGTATGGGTATATGAAGCGCTGTCTAGTTCCGATCCATATACGATTTCTCCACGTTTTATGAAGTCACCCTTTGGCGTCAACTTGTGATACACGATCAACTTCGATTTGGCATTGGAAGGCTGATAACAGACGTTCAGTCAAGATGGTAATGTGCAAAGTGGAATGATGGTGATGTTTACCTTCTGGTCTTGTGCGTGTACAAAGCAAGCAGTGCACAAAAGAAGGGCAATGAATAAGGCCAGATGCTTCATGTTATATGGTTGCGAACAAAAGGCAGCCGGCTTGGTTGCAGGGACGTCACATTTGGCTTCAGCATCAAAAATGTCGGTCTTCGCGAAAATTGCTGTTGAAATTTTATTTTTGATCGCGCTGAAGCCAGGACGCGCCGAAAGATCCACAACCATGTCGTCCTCCAAGAATGCAAGTCCTGCCAAGAAGCAGACGACGTTAAAGTAAGAGTGAATGCTGCTCACACTAAATTAATTCATGATCTAATTCGACTTTGCTCGCAGTTTCGGTGGAGCCAAGGTTCAGCCAAAGCAAACCAGCATGAGCGCTTTCCTCAGTGGCAACAAGGAACACAAAACCGAGGAGAAGCCAGTCGAGAAAGGAGAAGATATGGAGGTTGACCAAGACATTAGCAATGAGAATGTTGCCAGTAGTGAGTTTCGTACCTAGCAATTGGACCTACGACATGGCACATACTCACAGTCGTCCTCACATTAGGCTCGGCTAAACGTAAACGGCGCAGTAAGATTGCTGAATCTTCAGACGAAGACGATGAGACAACAGGGCTTTCACATGATTTGGAAAATAACACAATTGACAGTCAATCGAGCCAAGTCCAGGCTGCCTCAGCAACCAAGAAGGTCAAAGTGGAGGAGGGTGTAGAAGAGAACACCGAAGATGCATCAGTGAAAAGCGACGATGATGAAGAGATTGAGCAAGCAAAGAAGGAAGAAGAAGAGGCAGACAGAGAGATGAAGGAAGATAAGGCTGTAGCAAAGAAATTGTAAGTCGACAGCGTGGTCTTTCGATTTTCCATCAATTTTTAGCCTCCACTTACATTTTGCCCTGATCGACAGAGCGGCTGTATTCACTACATCTGCAAAAGCAGATCCAGACACAACTTGGAAAAAGGGAGAGCCGTAAGTTTATACGTCAAATACGAAAGCTTCTGCGTAGCTTGTAATAACCGTTTCTTAGTATCCCCTATTCTGCGCTTTGCAAAACATTTGAGCTATGCGAAAATACCACCAAGCGAACAGAAATTACAACATATATGGTTAAACTATTTAAACAAGTCATAGAACTTACTCCGGATGGACTTTTAGAACTCCTTTATCTCTGTATCAACAAGGTATATAGAATTGACACATTGGCAATTTCAGGTCTACAAAATATTAACCGGTAGCCGATTGTAGCTTTGCCCAGATTATGAAGGGTTAGAATTAGGAATAGGAGAAACACTTCTGATGAAAGCGGTGGCCAATTCGACTGGAAGAAGTATGGATAAGATCAAGTTGGATTATCGCGAAACTGGTGATCTTGGCTTGGTGGCAAAGGTTGGTCATTGGAAAGATGCAGGTCACGAATTCATCCTAGAAACGCTAACAATATGCTTCCTTCAGAACAGTCGTGGTGCTCAGCGTACACTTTTTGCGGCCAAGAAGTTGACGGTTCCATTTGTTTTCAAAACTCTTCGATCGATTGCCAAAATTAGTGGTCAATCCGTAAGTAAATGGTAAATTGTCAGGCAAGAGGGAATTCAACATGCTAAACCACATTTTAGTCACAAGCACAAAAGATTGCCAATATCTCAAAATTGCTGGTCGCCTGCCAGGATAGCGAAGCAAAATACTTAATAAGGTACGTAGCTGGTTTGTAAGAGTCATTGGAACAATGGGAAGTGCTAAATGAGCTATTACTTCTATAGACAATTGGAAGGAAAACTACGCATTGGTCTAGCTGAGCAGACGATTTTAAGTGCTCTAGCACAGGCTGTAGTGTTGACGAATAAGAGTGAGTTGAATAACATTATGAGCAGAGTATCTTTGACGTCACCTAATGTCTTTTCAAAAAAAGAATCATCTAAACTTTCAGAAAGTCAAAGAGAGCAAGCATTCACTGGTGCCGTTGAAACAGTTAAAGCTGTGTATAAGTAAGTAATTCGCCTTATAGGGTTTGCACCATGGCTCTTGATTACTTATGTGAGTTCCTCTAGCCAATTACCCTGTTACGATATGATAATACCTGCTCTGTTGAAATACCCAATGGAAGAGCTGCAGGAACATTGCAAAATGACACCTGGTAAGCACCAAAAAATTTCTTTATGCTTGTCCGCACCATAGCCGCTCATACGTCTCCTCATAGGCATTCCACTTAAGCCAATGTTGGCCCATCCCACCAAGAGCTTGACCGACATTCTTGATAGATTTGAAAACCGAAAGTTCACTTGTGAGTTCAAATATGATGGAGAACGAGCACAGGTATGTAGAGAAGCTTGTAGAATTGCCCCATCAATCCTGAATTAAAATATTTGGCAACAGATCCACAAGCTGGATAATGGCAGTACCACTGTCTACAGTCGCAATTCTGAGAACATGTCTGGCCGATACCCAGATGTGATGGAGAAGATAGCAAAGGTAAAAAAGGTTCTTAAACCGTGTTGAACCCTATCAACACTCTGGCTAATATATTATCTCCAGTGGGTTGCGCCCGGAACGAAATCGTTCATTCTTGACTGTGAGGCCGTAGCTTGGGATCGTGAGAAGAAATGTATTTTGCCTTTCCAAGTCCTAAGTACGCGAAAGCGAAAGGATGTCAAGGAAGAAGATATCAAGGTCCAAGTTTGCATTTTCGCATTTGACTGTTTATATTTGAACGGCGAGGTACGTTGCCTATTCATCTATCTGTGAATGGGTTACTCCCATTAGCACTTATCTCAACTGATGTCATCCCCTTTGACTAGCCTCTTCTGCGTAAACCTTTGTCAGAGCGTCGTGAGAAACTGCGAGAAGCGTTCATTGAGACAGAAGGAGAGTTTGCTTACGCTCGACACATGGACTCCAATGTCATTGATGACATTCAAACGTTTTTGGATACATCTATTCAAGGCAATTGTGAAGGATTGATGGTGAAAACCTTTGATGGCGAGGAAGCGTCGTACGAGCCATCTCGTCGATCACGGAACTGGCTCAAAGTCAAGAAAGACTACTTGATGGGCATTGGTGACTCGCTTGATCTCGTTGTCATTGGCGCCTTCCATGGTAGAGGAAAGCGTACTGGTGTCTACGGAGCATTTTTACTAGCGTGCTACGATTCTGACAAGGAGGAGTTTCAGTCTATCTGCAAAATCGGTACAGGATTCTCTGAAGAAGCGCTCCAGAACCACTTCGATTTCCTGAAAGAGCATGTCATAGCTCGACCACGACGCGATTATCTTCTAGGCAACAATGCTGAGAAACCTGACGTGTGGTTTGCTCCTGTACAAGTATGGGAAGTTTTGGCGGCTGATCTGAGTATCAGTCCGTCATACATGGCAGCTGTTGGAGAGGTAAGCATCGTCCCTATGGCTACGGTTGGTTTGTAACCCGGGCTCTCAACCTACTAATTTAACTCTACATAGATTGATAAAGCCAAAGGCATATCCCTACGTTTCCCTCGTTTCATCCGCATTCGCGACGACAAGAAGCCAGAGTCAGCAACTAGCAGTGAACAGGTAGCCGAATTCTATAGACGCCAATCTGGAAGTACTTCAGGATCAGGTCTGGCGGACGTAGGCGGTCAAGGAATTGACGACGATTTTGAGTATTAAAAATTTGAGATAAACTTTAGTTCGTTAGAAAAACCGACAAACATGGTGTATAATTTGTAATATTTCGAAGGAAAGAAGAAAATAACGAACTGGCAGTGAACATATAAAAAATCGAAGAGAAAAACAGCATTATTACAATGGTATGCCTAAGTTGTATTTCTTTTTTTTTTTTGTTTGAGAGGGGTTGCTTGGGCTTTCTTTTCTTCCTTTCGTATGGAGGGAAAAGGACTGTGGAGGGAAAACGAATGATAGGGCAAGAAGGGAAGAACTCAAATAAACTGATTCTCTATAAGCCATCTCTCTTGCCTGTACTGGTTCCAAACACAGCTCCAACACCACCTTGTTGTTTAACAAGTCGATAACCCAGTACGCATGTCAAGACAGCTACTCCAGCCACAATCGAAATCGTCACATATTGCCTTGTCGTCCAGTTTTGTGACTTGGCATCTTTAGCTGATCCAGGAGTGGCAATAGCACTATGTAGAATGATGAGTGACCTACACGCACTTCAAACATCAAAATTTTGCAATGTCTAACTTACGGATTCATGGCAACTCCTGTAAGAATGTGATAAAGATCTGCCATCTGCTGTTCTTTAGCAGACACACTCAAGGGCACAGCAAGATCGAGATTGCGGCAGTAGACATCCGGCTGTATATCGTAACGCTGTGTGACTAGATCCAGCTCGCACTTTGTAGCAACATAGATTGATGGTACATGATCAATTTTGTATTTTTCCTAAGTAAGCAATGCTGTTAGTGGTGTGGAAAAAGATATGACGACCAGGATGAGCAGTCATACGTACTCTAAGCGCTGCGACATATTCAAACGATGAGACATCGCTTGTATCATACACAAAACACAAAAGATCACAGACATCAAGCCGCTTCTTGTTTGATAAAAATTCTGCCTCATTCTTGGCTCCAACTTCTTGCATCTGCAAAATTCCCAATGTATCAGATCCAATCCACACGCTGTGTTGCAATGTCCTTTGCTTACCACCAAGTACTTTTCGACGCCTTTCATCTCCACCGAATTGACGACATTGAATGATTTTGTGGTTGGTGTGTACTTTTCAGAAAAGGGCTTGTTGACGAACGCCTTCAAGAGACTCGTTTTACCCGAGCCTGGGGCTCCAAATACATAGCACAGAAATACATTTCGTTGAACTTTGCCCTTCTTTCGGTCCTGCTTCTTTGGGCGTGTCACTTTGAGGGCACGCCTTGTGTCTCCTTCAAACCCGAGATAGGCGAGATACTTGAGAGTGGTTTGGTGATCCAACAGTGTAGTCATACTATTCAACGGATGTAATCAATCAGCACTTTTTGTCCCCAGATGGAAGTGAAGACGGTCAACATAAAAATTTTACCTCCACTGGGCTAACCATCCTTGCAGCGTGACGGCACCAGATTCGGTAGTGATGGTTGTGTGAGGGAAGGCTGTCGTTTGCGCCCATGGATTGCCAGGCGAAGTACCGAATAGCGAACTCAGCTCACTTTCATTCAAAGCTCCGTCATTGTCCTAGGGTGGCACGTTGGAAAGAAACGTTAAAGTTACACAGTGTTTGGTATTTTAAAAAAACACACACATGGGATCAGAGCATACCTTGTCAAAGGCTTGTAGCAACTCGGCAAAGAATTGATAGCCATCTGGACTCAGTTCAACTGAGCAATCAGCTGGAACATCAAAGCTATGGAATGAAAGTCAGCTTTCTCTCCTATGCAAAATAAGAAATGACCAAGCTTGCCATCGACATAAACACTTACGGTGGGAGTAGAAAATCATGCCGTAACGATAAATCATCTCCATAACCGAATTTTCGCAAAACCGTCCAAGTCGTTTCCAACCGTCCTCGTTGAATGAAGAGTGTGTGCAAAAACAAAAACCCTGATTAAAGAACGATTAGATGCTATCTCTCTGATGTAGATAGTCATGATCTGGTCCATGCACTCACCAACTTCAGTCAGCCCGGTTTCATTTACACCCGACGGTTCATGTTCCCGTACAACATCCTTTACACCTTCAAGTTCTTGAGATTGTAAAGGTGCATTAAAGCATTTTCGCTGCAAAGAAAAAAATGGAAACTCACCATTAGCAAAAAATATGTACATGCTTTTAACAAAGTGAATATCAAAAAGTTACCTGAAACTCGTTGAGCTCTTCGTCATTAAGTGATCCATCTTTATCCGTGTCGCATAGTTGGAATATTCTTTTGAGAGCATCCACACAAGCTGGTTTAAGGGTCTGGGGAGAAGTGGTGTTATGACAAGCTCTTCGGTATCGGAACGAGACATAATGGTTTCCAAACTTACATGTTCTCGGGAATCATAAAGTGGAGCGGTAGGGTGTAAGACTGCCTTCTGGGCAAAATAGAAAACTTCTGATACATTCAACAATTGCTTGGCGGAGCATTCTACACAAGTTTCAACTTCCTACAATGTACGGTCAGAAACATGTTACAAAACGGTAAAAGCAACTGGATCATTACCTTGAATTCGTTCATGATTGGAATGATTTCGTCTTCCAAATTCTGATTAGTGACGTCCTGACCTCGCAAATCGATCTTGTTTCCAACCAACACACAAGGCACCTGAAAAGAAAGGGCCCAGTTGAGAAAATTATGTAAAAAGGGTAGTCAAAATAAAGTAACGCACGTTGACTCCTAATGACCGTATGTATGGAAGCCAGAACAGGGGCAGACGATTGAAAGTATTGGGGTCGTCGATGGCATAAACGATACAGATGACATGTGCCTTTCGAATCTCCGTTTCTAACTGCTCGCGGTTTTCGGGGCGAGCTAGTGGTAAAGAAGCGAGCAAAGGTGAGATGAGCAAAGGGTTAGATCAAGTTATTTTCAGGGTTGGTATGAAGTTCGAATGTTTTGTGAGGAATAGCATACCAGAGGAGTCCATAATATGTGTAGTACAATTTTCTGGAGTAACTTCCGGAGGTATGGTCACTTCTGGGACGACATGTTGAATCTAACATGCGAGAATGTGTTAAGGTCGAAGTCGATGACTTATTCTGTATAAGAAATGTACAGCGCATGTTTCGGTGGACTCACATTAGGTATGAAAGATTCCTTTATGAGCGACGTAATGAGTGTGCTTTTCCCAACACCGTCTAAAGACAATAAGAATTAGAGGCATGGACGATTGGCATTTTCGTTCGTTGCGCAGCTACTGCATACTTACCGTCGCCCACCAGTAGGATTCGAACATCTCTTCGCATAGCGGGTTATGGAAAGGCGGAAAAGAGCGCAGAGCAGAAAATAATAAGTTCGCGCGTGACGTTTTGAAGACGTCCGCCCGCCTGAGCAATCTACACACAGTCAAACATTACAGGCTCATCCCCTCCCCATGAGAGGCATTCGATTTTATTCACAGTCTCAACAAGCTCTTCGAGGATGGCGAAAATATGCTCATCAATTTCGCGACAAGCCTGCATCTTATCTCACCAGCTTCGCCATCTTGCATGAACTTACAGCCATTGTACCTCTACCCCTAGTATACTATTTCCTCGATTATACTCAATTGAATATCCCCGTACCAGAAGACGCTATTACGGAAGGCAACCGGGTGATTTCAAAAATGCGTACAAAATATGGCTATGAACCATTAGACCCCAACAGTCGAGTGATGTTTAATATGGTGGCCTCGTACGCTGTGGTTAAGGTGAATTTTATTTCCCCGCACTGGATAACTACAGCCAAGGTGGAAGGCTCTACAAGCATGAGATTGACCTATCATTATTACCTCCTAGGCCATTCTCCCTCTTCGTATAGCTGCTTCCGTTGCCATGACACCGTTCTTAGCCGAAAAGGCTGTCGGTCCTTTGGTAAGAACCGTGGGCCGATTTGCGCGACCTGCCAAATAATAAAAAAACTTTCTACACTTTCCAACATACCTGTTTCCTTTCCTTCACCCCGCTTCACCAGCCGTCAATGATGGGCTCGGTGAATGTTCAACCACTATCTCTTAATCTATCTAATGTGGTTGAAAAAGACCCCAATGTTCCTTCCCCTCCCCCTACCCCGACTAATGGCTTAATGCGCAATCTGAGCGTTACTTCTTTACGACGGACAAACAGTACGGAGAGAAAGGAACAAACAGGAGATGTCATTAACATTGAGACTCCCAATCCTTCCCATCTTTATTGGTAAGCACCATTCCATCCTTTGTCAAGGTCTACATTTGTGTTGAAAGGTGTTCCTATTGCCTTCAGGGTCCCAGCTGAACAACATCCCGAGATCGCACCAGCTGAATTCAATTACTGGCTTGAGGAACATGCCTTTAATTCCGATCGCCGTCCTCGCATTCGTAGACGTCGTTCAGTCTTGTCTGTGTCGTATACTCCAGACGATATTGAAGCAGAAGAAGAGCCTATGGGCGATGACGACCAATCAAAAGATGATCAAGCTAAAGACAGTGTCGAAACCACCTTAGCCATACTTGAGAGTCGATCAGAAACCCATGAAGATAATTCAGTATTAGACCATGAAGAAGAGGAGGAGGAGGAGGAAGTAGACACGTCTAGAAAGGATCGGATACGGAGAAGTCTCAGCTTGAATCTTCCTATTATTTCAGGTAAGCGTGAAATAAGACATTCTGGTTTCAGTATAGGTGCGCGTGCGTACCTGAAGCCCAAATGAACCTATGATTAAAAAAAAAGCGCTTGTCATTTTTTTTAGAACAATCAGATCACATCAATGTCTTTGATCGTAATTCCTCACCATTTGATGCATCGCGAGTACTGGTACCGAAGGCCGATAGCTCTTTGCTACGTAGAGGCGCTCGTACTAAAATTCGACGAAATTCGACAATGGACTCCATATCAGCCAGTAGTCATGACGAACCCAATGCGGGGAGACCCACGCGTAAACGCAGTAGAAATGCAAGTGCTGGTACAGGATCAGATGTTAGTCGTATTGGCATGGTACCTCCAGGTGGGATATCGCTTCAGGATGCACCAGTGATCTTCATTGAGGACGAACCAATTCAAGAAGAGCCCACCAATATCATCATATCACCACCACAGAACAACAATACAAATCGAGTGGCAGGACCTCGTACAAGTTCACTTCCCAGTGCAAGTATGCGAGACATGTTGGCTGACAAGTTGAAGGCAGACTCTCAGCCCGTCGTGGACGCTACTCCTTCCAATATACCAATTGCAGCAGATACCCCATCTACCAACGAACTTACCCTCCCCAAAGCACCATCCCCTTCGCCCTCCACAAGCACTGGAAGGAAATCGACATGGTCAAGACTCTTTCTTCGAGCAGCGGACGACAGCAATAAGACAAAACGGAATACAGTGACTAAATCAGAAGTAGTAGAAGAACGACCGTTATCTGTGCCTGAAACTTTATCACCATCCTCCACACGATCAACGTCACCTGCCCCGAGCGAATCACTTGCGTCGGCATCAGGAAGAAAGTTTGGAAGCTTGTCATCCCTATTTTCGCGAGCAAGTGTTCGACCAGCAGGATCTAAAACGGACACAAATAGCAACAAGGTAGCATCAGCAACTAAAGTGGCCAGTAAAAAAGTGCCACCATTACCGAAACGGCTTCCCATTCACGTGGAACGAGCTATCTACAGGCTGTCCCACATGAAGCTAGCAAACCCCAGACGACCTCTACAACATCAAGTACTTATATCCAACTTCATGTTTTGGTACCTGTCCATTGTGGATGCATCGAAAGCTAATAATAGCAACGGAGAGATGGTAACGGCAGCAGCAGCAGCAGCCGTTAGCCCTGAGCTAGATGGTTTTGACAAGAAGGGAAAAAAGATCAACAAGTTCGTAGCGGCGGGTAAAAAGCGGCGGCAAGAAATCATCCAAAACAAACAACGAAAAGTGGCACTTGCTCATGAACGAATGGGTGGACGAAGGTCTGAAACGGTTATACCGGCTGTTCAATATGACAAGCAGGTTTTAAGGCATCATCCACTTCCTCATGTTGGCCCAAGAGGCCCTTTAATGACGCCACAACAATATATTGGGACAGCCAGTGCACCCACAGGATTCGTTGTCCCACAGCAATATCTACACCCAGCCACTAAGCCGTCATCGGAGGGTGAATCGGACGGTGAAGACGATGAAGAGGACGACGAAGACGATGATGAAGATGATAACGTTCAATGGCCTTTACCACCCAAAGCGCCTAGTCACACCCCTCCATTGGACCTACATCCCGCTCATTTGGGATCTTTTGGAATGGACATGATTAAATTGGATGACGAAGAAGACGACGTACCCTTGGCTTTGTACAGAAAATCACATTAAGCATTTGGTTTAGCCCAAGTGAGGTACCCGAAGTAAAAATAAAACGAAAAAAGTAAAAGTAGTTCTCTGACCTTAAAAAATAACTCCAATTTGAGAGAAATTCAAGTGACTGTGGTAGAAAAGAAAACATGAATTCCATTAAACTAAGCGGAAGACGTTCGGCTCTCAAGTTTTCTTTCTTCTTTACTGAGAAGGACTGCTTTCAATTCTCGTCGACCGTGAGCCAAATCCTTCCCTCAAAGCGGCACCATAGCCCGGTTTTTTTTTTTTCAACCTCAACTCCCCTTTTCCCTCTTTAATTTGCAAGCCACACCTTACCTACCTTTAACCACCTGTAATCTTCATCACCTTTAAAAAAATATTCACCCATTCACAACACAATGGCCGTCCGAAGGAGGATGCCCTTGATCATCGCATTCATAGCGTGCTGCTTATTGGGATACACCGTTTTGTGGATACGTACATCTAATCCAACGTACGAAGAGCTCGGGCAACACATCTCTTCACCAAAGCCAATGCATCCCGTAGAGGAGCCGGTCTCAGTCGACGAACAGTATTTGGCTTTCTTCACACACAGCGGGTTCCAGAACCAATTAATTCAAGGTAATATAGTCGATGATCTTCCTTTGATGATACATTTATTTGTTTTTGCCTAACCTTCCCGCTGCAGTGGAAAACGCCATATTATTAGCCTGGTATTTGAATCGAACATTGCTGTTGCCAAGAGCCTTATTCGGTCAACCTTTCGGATGGTCTCTGTTCGATAAACTTCATATTGAACATCAATTGAGAGACGTCACCCATTCACCTGCCCAAGCTTGCATCCAACACGATGCTGAGCTTGAACGCTACGGTGTCGAGTGCCCCGAGCCAAGTCGCTACACTATGATGCCATTCGATGAAATTTTTGATCTGGACTGGGCTAAGCAACATGTTCGCATTGTTTCAAGAGATGATATGTCGTATGAATGGATGGAAAAGCACTTGGATATTTCTCGAGCTGGTGCCGATAATCAAGATAATGGGTCCTACGTAGATGGCGACATCCTTTTTTTCAAAGACGAAACCCGGTATAACTGGCGTATATTTGACACACCTCATCAATCCGAGCGACTGGGAAAATATCTAGCCAGTCTGGATATATACCAAATGCGAGAGTTTCCACAAAAACTCATTCATTTTGGTTCTCTCTTTGGTTCGGGTAAAATGCCCATTCGACGACCTGAACACTATGAATTTTTAAGAAAACTGCAGCGCTCCATCGTATATCGTCACCCGGTGGTCACTGAAGTAGCTGACAATTTTTTGCATAGCCTTGGCGGACCAGGAGCATTTATCGGTCTTCATATTAGGTAAAACGGCATTCATGGCTTTTTGGTAGTTTTGCATAAGACGATGGATTAACTCATTACTGCTGATATTTAGATCTGGTGATGGATGGTTTGTTCAAGCTTTGCCGCGAAACGTACAAAATGCTGTAACCCAAATAACGCTGTCCATCGATAAACATCCCGAAGTGCCTTCCCTTCAAGAACAACTAGCCATCATACCCAAAGATCCTCAATTTGAACAATGTCTCACTCTAGCCAAGACTCGAAACGTTACCATCATTTACATGGCCACCGACGCTCCCCATCCAAGCAGCAATCCTGATTTTGCTATACTGTACTCAAGTTTTCCGTGTACTTTTACTATCGACAGCTTCAGCACCAAATTAAACCAACCAGCTTGGAATGCGTTATCCAATGCAACCAATGCGCATGACGGAACGCCCATGAAAAAGTATTTGATACCATTAATAGATGCCACCATCGCCAGTCGAGGTCGTCTATTCATTGGTACCGAAGCCTCAACGTTCTCAGGCTATGTCTATCGCCTACATGATGTCTTCTGGTCCCAACAACAAGCGGACGCACTGACTAGCCAGCGATAAGTTAATATGATCCCACCCCTGCCTTCCTTTCCTTCTCAGAGGCACTGCCCCTATTCTGCCCATGCAACCCAAGAAATAGCCCCAAAAAAAAATACCTTGTAACCAGTTTCTCTCGTACAACAAGTTATACCATGTAGACCTAATTTTTTTTTTTTCTTTATATAACTTCTTCACCAGCCGTTTTTGTTCTCTTCTCTTTTTTGTACATACATTGAAGCAAATAAAAACTTCTGAAATGGCAGGCCACTCACTGTTTCTGACTCAGCACAAGACTGCCAAGTGTGACAATCGGAACCTCAAAGCAGGAACAAATGGCTCAAGCGAAAAGTTTATCTTTTCAATAGCTTTCTTCATATTCCATCGGCAAGAATGGATGCCAAACCTCCTCTGACTCCCGAACCCCCACAGATAGCTCTTCATTTTTCATGCGCCAATCTTGCCACTCGACGCACAGCTCGCCGCTTTGCTCGCACTCCCAATCAAATTATCATCCAGCTACATTTCTATGACCCTCTCACCGGGAAATGGAGAGTTCGAGCTCAAACAGACGTTGGGACAGGCGACAACCCTGTGTTTTCCAAAGCCATCACTATGGACTACTTTTTCAAATATAATTCACTTATGAGGGCGGATGTTTATGATACAGACAATGGAGCTGGCGACCTTTCCAACCAACGGTTAATCGGATGCGTTATCTTCTCGTCTCATGCTCTCGTCACTTCACCTGGAGGAACTTTATCTGCGCCTTTGACCAAGGTAAGTTTTCTTTCAGATACAACCGTCTTTCTTTATGTTGCTGACTTTGGTGGTTGTCTCCAGGACCCGGACGGAGTCGTTTGCAATGAATGCAATAGCACTTGGCTGCATGTACTCCATCACCTTTCCACTCACTCGTTAACCATCCAAAACATGTCAAGGTTAAAGCTATGCCCCATATGCAAGGGCAAGATGCAGCCATCTCGAGGCATGGTCAACATTGCCTGCGAAAAAATTCAAGATGTTGAATGCACTGTGACACTCCAGCTGAGTGGAGGTATTTGTCCTTTTTTTTTTTTTCACAAAACCCACCATGTACCTTAAACTAACGAGCTCCTAATCTTCTTTAGTCCAACTGGAGAGTATGGACGTCTTTGGAAAATCCGACCCTTTCTACGTCATTAGCCGACGGACTACTGAAGGCGGAGGCTATGTTCGAGTTTACACTAGCGAGTATCATAAAAACGTTGCCCATGTCAAGTTTATGAAACACAGGGTTAGTATTGACCTTCACCGTAACCCCTTTTCCCATTTTTTTTATCAATGCCACATATCTGACAATGACACTAGATTAATATGAAAGAGTTGTGTAATGGCAATATGGACTTGCCGTTAACCATCGAAGTGTATGATTGGAACAGCGACAATGAGCCCAGTCTGATTGGGACCCTTGAAACGTCGCTTAGGAAACTACTTTCCACCAAACGATCACAATTGAACGCTCTCGGCCGCCGCTCGACGGATAGTTTACGGCCTACGACGACACCACCGCGTGGACCAACGAAATCCCTCCGAATGGAATCAAACAGACGACATAGGACACCGGGTTACATCAAGGTGCTCACATGCGAGTTACATCGGGAACCTACGTTTCTCGACTACATACAAAGTGGGTCTACTGACATTGAACTGAGTCTGGCCATCGACTTCTCCGCTTCCAACGACTTGGTGGAAAAAGCCAGCTTGCATTACGTTGACGAACGAGACCAACATCACCTGAATGCCTATGAAGACGCTATCCGCTCTGTTGGTGACATTCTCCTCCATGTAAGCATGTTTTTTATTTATTTATTTTCTTTTGCTATACACACGATGTAAATACCTCCATATCTACTTTCAGTATAATTCAAACCGAGAAATACCGGTATATGGATTTGGCGCCAAACTTGGCAGTAACAAGATGGAGGAAGATGACTTCTCTCGGATAGAGGTATCGCACTGCTTCCCTCTCAATTCCGATTGGGCCAATCCGCACTATTCCTCCATTGACGAAGTCATCAAGGCTTATCGTAACTTGGTACATCCTTTACCCGAACAATTCACGTTACCCGAATCCGAGATACAAGATATCCTTGGTGGTGATGGAAAAAAAGATTATGTCAAACGGTTTGCTATACCGGTCCGAGAGCAAATCCAATTTTCGTACCCAACCATGTTTACACCTTTACTGGAAGAGATTGAAGCACGGGTACGAGCCTCTATGACTTGGGTAGACCGCCAGAACGACCAATTGCAATCAGCCGAGTGGGGCGGTGGTGACCTGAATGACGTTTACGACGCGACCACCCGTCGTCCCTCAACCACGACTATACCTCGTCGCCCTTCTTTGCTGGCATCGACGGACCCTTCAACCGGCAAGCGACACATATACCATATTTTGGTCATCCTCACCGATGGACAGGCGGCGGACTTTGAATCGGCGACGCAAAAAGTCAAGGAGATGTCAAAAGAATTGCCACTCTGTGTGGTTATTATTGGGGTTGGAGCGGCTAATTTCCAACTGATGAAAACCATCGAATCTGCCAGTGACACTGTCAAATTTGTGGAATTTCGAAAGTATGCCGCCCTGAACCCCGACAAAAGTAAGCAGCGTGGACGATCAGCGTCCACGTCTGCTGCATTTGGGCATGGCGAGCTTGGCGATGTGATAAGCACAGGATCGGCAGAAAGTGGAGTATTACTGGCTCGAGATGTTTTAGCCGATATCCCTGCTCAATTTTTACGATACGTCCGCCAACAGGGCACGAGCCGAAGAGGAAGCCAAGGGACGTTCAGCTGGACTGGCGACCCTACCGCCGACGAAGGATTTGAGAGAATTTGGGCCACTGACCCTAGACTAGACGAACGACTACCCACCTATGCTGAGGCAATTGAACAGTGATGTTGTCCTGTCATTCTTTCATACATACTGTAAAAGCAATCCCCCCCCCCTTTGTTTCCCCCTTTTCCCTCATTGGTTGGCAAATATACATGATGGGTGAAACATCACGATGTGTGTGGGTGTGCTTTTTATCAAAGGCGTGGAGCGGTGTTCCAATTCCCAGAGGGCCATAAAGGCGCCGGTTGAACGCCAAAAGATGGAATTTCCTTTGAACGTATTTTTCCAAAAACTCCCCACTCTTCTTTTGCTCGTTACTACCATGTCTCTAGCCAAGCAAAATTTCTCTACTTCTTCTGAGGAGGCCATCAACCAGCAGATTAACACTGAACTGCAGGCCAGTCAGGTTTATCTTAGTATGGCTGCTTGGGCCCAGCATACTACTGTTGCTCTTCCAGGTAAGTCAGCGATCGCATGTCCGAAGATCCGATCCGATCGTCTCATGTCGTGCTTTAGGTCTTGAAAAGTATTTCCGCGAGTCCGCTGAGGAGGTAAAGATATGAATACTGTAACACGTACTTTTCTCACCGACAACATTGTCTAAAGAAAAAAAAAAAAATTTTTATGCTTTGTCTTCATGACATGATATAGGAACGCGAACACGCTCAACATTTGATCGGTGAGTACCTTGCTTTGTTGCATATTTGGGTGACGTTGACTAAGCCGATATGGTCCAGACTACCAAAACATGCGCGGTGGACGTGTCATTCTTCGTGCCCTTCAGGCTCCCGAGGTAAGTGGTTCTGTTTCAAGGCTGTTATCTTCAGGTTCCAGACTCTCTAACATCCTCCGTGTAGACTGAATGGAAATCTGCCAAGAACGCTGTCGAATCTGCTCTTCAATTGGAGAAAGGTAAAGTACACTGCAGAACCCAAACGACAACAAAAAAAAAAAAAAAAAATTGTTGTCCTCGCAGATTGGCTCGTCTGCATGGTTCCTACCATGTGGCCCCTTGCCCTCTCTCTGAATCAAGTATTAATCGTCGTGTTTTTCCATTCAGATGTCAACAAGTCTCTTCTCAACCTGCACAAGTTGGCTGATGGCAACGATGATCCTCAACTGACTGATTTCATCGAAGGCAAGTACCTGGAAGAACAAGTACAAGCCATCAAGAAGTTGGCGGATATGGTCACTCAACTCAACCGTGTTGGCGAAGGTAAGGGAATGCAGATTTTGTTTTATAGAAGCCGTACACTGACTCGTCACGTATTGTAGGATTGGGCGTTTACATCTGGGATCAACATATGTACCGTGAAGGTACTGGTGCTGGTAGTCGAGTCATTGGCAACAACTAGGACTTGCACTGTATGACATTGTCATAGGACACTCATCGCTGTTATGTGCTCACGTTACACTCATACCATTTACCTATAAAAAGTTCTTTTTTTTTTCTGGCTTTGCACATAAATACCTTTCAGCTTCTTGCCCTCTCTAATTTAATCATGACCGCCGATAAGCCAGTAGAGGGTTCTGCCCCTGAGACCTTGGGCCAATCAATTGAAAACACCGCTGAAACCATGGTTGACGCTGTCACTAAGAAACTGTCTCAATCAAACCAATCTAGCGACGGCATTCCTCGTACGTCCATCGAGGGAACCAGTGAACACAAGATCGCTGACGACGTTGGCATGGTTGGAATGGGGGCACATAAGATGGTGGGATCGGATGCCATGACCCAAATGTTGGGTCAGGAAGCCCAAGAACCCAGACAGCAGTGCATGCTTTTCCCGACGTATGGAGTACCCACCACTATCGACGACCAGCTGCACTGGAAAATCAGTGTTGCTGGATGGCTCTATGCCGATCCGCCAAAGAGCCGGATGGAAAGCTTTTTAATGGGTAACGTCGTCGCTTGGGTTTGCTCCGCGTTTCATGGCTGAAGCTAAATATGGATACTTTTTTCCCTTCCTAGCCGCTGCTCGTCGAATTGCACATGTGACAAGCGATTCAGAAGAAGACAAAAGGCTTCAAGAGCGTAGCAAGATGTTTTTCACCACCACCAGTAAGCCACCCGTCCATCGGCAAATGGATTGCCTTGCTTTCCACTGAATTTTATCTTTTTTGGTTTATAGTTCGAAACATCGAGCTTGCTATCCGAACGGTGGGATTCGTACCCGCTTTAGGCCAAGCTTTCACACTTGAGGGCCCTGAATTTGGCAACCAACTCACGGCTGAAAACGTGGAAGACGATGGTGTCAAAGTCAGTACGGGAGAAACCGGTCATTTTACTTCGGAATTGACCGTCAGCGCCAATACAATCAAGGAAGAGGCAGGCAAAGTGCTCAAGATACAAACCGTCTATGAACAACTTGCATTTCCTTCATACGGCGTGGTGGATTTAATTTCTGAGCACGGCATTTCCATTGTCAGTGGTAAGTAATGAATGACAACAAATTCTTTGTACGACGCTACCCATGCTCATAGTATTTTTACCTGCTCAGATATTGATGATACTATCAAGATCACAGATATCCCTGACGGCCGTGAAGTTATTCTCGAAAACACCTTTTTGAACCCTACGAGGGAGGTCGATGGTATGTCTGAGCTGTATCGACAATGGGCTGGTTTGGGCGCTCATGTCCATTATGTGTCCAACGGCCCATGGCAGTTGTTCCCAATGCTTTCTGACTTCTTTGCCAAGTTCAACTTCCCACCCGGCTCGGCTCATTTGCGCATCATCGACCGCAATGATGTTATTGGTACCATTAGAGGAACACCCGGTGCCCACAAGCTGGAAGTTATACCCCAAATTATGAACGTAAGTAGAGTTGATGGGAGCATAGCATACAATGTATGCCAAGCATGGTTACGTATGTCCTCGGGCCATCGTCTAACGTTGGATTGTTCTTACAATACTTTCTAGGATTTCCCCAATCGTAAATTCATTCTTGTTGGAGACACTGGTGAATTGGATCCAGAAGTGTAAGTTTAATCCATATCCGCCTTTGCTCTTATGCTTATTTGAACACTTCATATTCATTACATTGACCTTACACTAGCTACCAGAAAGTATATCAGCAATTCCCTGATCGAATTGTCAAAGTATTTATTCACGACGTTACCAGCGAGCGAGCGGCAAAGGCCGATCTCGCAGCAGAGCAAGCGAAGAAGGAAGCTGCTACCAAAGGCACCAAAAAGGTGTATCTGGAGTCTCTCCGTGAGGCCATTGGTTTGCATGCAACCGTGACTGGCGAAGCTCATATTTCCAACAGTGCCGTAGATGCGGTCACGAACACGGAACAACCTCCGGTGCAAGAAGCGTCGAATGACCCCAATGTTCCACAGCTTACCAGAGTGGAATTATTTAACCAGCGTATCGCCAAGGTTAGCGAGGGTATGCGCGAAGGTGTATTCAAGCTGTACAAGGATCCCAAGGAGATCTATGAGGATACCGTAGTGGTCGCCGCTTTTAATGAGCTGGCCAAGTAGAGTATATTTATGGCGTAACTTTTTTTTTTTTTTATTATATGTAATCTATATATCAGCATATTACATTGGCAGTACGTAGATGATATTCACGTAAATAAGTTCGTTCTCTTGAGTCACTGCGGTACGTGAGTGGAGCACGTTTAAACAGTCGCCATTTTCAACACGAAGGCACAATTCGGTGATAGCATGTCATCAAACTCAAATATTCGCTTATCCCGTGAGACCCGCCACTTTTCTACATAAACTGGTGTGAGAAATCAGCATCGCCTGTGCCTCTAGAACCTTTTTTTCTATCATCCATGGTTCATTTAGACGCTGACCCTAGCCTACTTGGTTTTGCAAGCTTATCCATTCATGCCGATGATTTCCTGTCGAAAACCAGCGACATCGCGCCGGCTATCCATGTGTCTACCACCTATTCGCAGCCCGATCCCGACCAACAGCCTGCCGATGGCAACGGTCTTATCTACAGTCGATACTCTACGGCCACTAGAGATCGTGTCGAGCTTGTGCTGGGGACGCTGAACAAGGGCTATGCTGTAACGTACTCTTCAGGTTTATCGTCCGGATTTGCTGCCTTGCTGCATATTCGTCCCAATCGCATTGCCATAGGCGGCGGATATCATGGTACGCACGGATTCATTGAAGTATACAAGCGCCATCGCGACATTGTAAGTAGTTCGCGGTGTATGGTATTTTTCAAATGAATACGGGTGACTGAGTTGAATGCGGTGTTTTTTCCAGGCCATTATTGACCTGGACGCTGAATTGCAAAAGGGCGATCTGGTGTGGCTGGAATCCCCCTTGAATCCTACAGGCGAAGTCTATGATATTTTAGCTTACACTGAACGCGCTCATAAAGTTGGCGCAACCGTGCTTGTTGATTCTACATTTGCCCCGCCCCCTTTGACCTGGGCCATTGAGCTTGGTAAAGTCACCATTTCCTCCATTCCAAGCCAATGTCCATGCTGTTACTAACAACCCAGAGTCTTCTCATGCAGGCGCGGATATTGTGCAGCATTCCGCTACCAAGTATTTTGCGGGTCATTCCGACGCCCTGGGAGGCGTATTGGTGGTTAAATCGGAGAAAGAAGCTGACCTGCTGCGGAGTGACCGCAATGTCCTCGGCTCGGTGCTTGGATCACTGGAAGCCTGGCTGCTATTACGCTCTTTGAGGCAAGTTGGTTATGGGCATTTAGAAGCCAGCGCACAAAGTTCGAGAGTCAAAGGGCTGAAACTAATGTGGAATTCTTTTGTTTACAGAACTCTGAAGCTGCGAGTCACGCACCAATCGCAAACAACAGCAAGTTTGGTGGCATGGTTGAATCAAGCCTCAGACGGCAAGGCGCATGATGGTATTCCTGCTAATGCCATCTACGCCGTCAAGCATGCTAGCATTCAGAAGGTCAAATGGGATATCCAACGACAATATCCTGGCGGGTTTGGAGCGACGTTCAGTGTTTTGGTATGTTTCTAAATGACAATGTCCGCTTTACCGATGTGAAAAAAAAAAAAAAATTTGATACCCCATTTTGCGAAACTAACCTGACACGCTACGTAGTTGACATCCAAGACAGCAGCGCAGAGACTTCCGTTCCGTCTCAAACTCTTCCATGCAGCTACATCTTTGGGAGGTGTAGAGTCGCTTGCCGAATGGCGCTACCAGTACGATCCCGAAATCGACGACCGTCTAGTACGCGTTAGTGTGGGTTTGGAGGAATTGGATGATCTGAAACAAGACTGGAGACAAGCTTTGTCGGACGTGTAGTTATAGCGTGGCATCATTACCATTGGTTTGGCTGGCTGGAGATCCTTGCACAAATAAAATTTATCCCACAGAAGCGTATCTTAAAATAACTTCCATCAACATGGTGTTTGCCAAGCGGTGACTACGAGCAAAAAGGTACCTAACCCCCTTTTTTTGTTTTCATTGTTTAATTTAGAAGCTTCTATATGCATTGCAGAAAAATAGGAGAACTGCCATGGTTTCCAAGTAGTGAAACCTCACGTGTGCCATTTTCAACATCAGCCATTTGCGAACAATGAACTGTTTGCCCAACCAATTTCATCTGTTTCAGATGGTGAAATAGATGGGGAGCGGCCCAGCAAGTGAGCAAAGTGGTATAAGCCAGCTTATGGCATGCCCAGCCCACTTGATTATTTAAAGCACACTCGCTCGGCCTTCTGAAGAAAATGGAAGGACTTAGTCATGTTGGTTTTGGGCTTGTTCCCAAACAAAGCACTTACAAAAGTTGGTAACTGAGTTTTTCCATATAGCAAAAAAGAAGAACCTAGTTGGCTGGTATTTTCTTGACTGCAAACAGGTGAGGGGTGGGTTCAAATAAATAGGCTCACATCATTTTACAAACTTTTGACTCAGAACGCCTCTCTCTCTTCTACTCTCTCAACTTTTGATTACTCACCCACATGGAATCCAATCAACCACCTTGCTCTCGCTTCAAGGAATGCTTCTTCCAGCAGCGTTCCCTTTCCAATCCTACCACCGACTGCCCTAGCTCACCACATTCGCTCTCATCCGATGCAATGACTCCAAGCAGCTCCTGTTCACTATCTGAAATCGTCGAATTGTCCAAAACCAAGGAAGGAATGGCGGCCCATCACAATGAGTCGTCTTCTTCGCCTCCATCTCATTCAAAAATTAAGGATATATGGTCGCTTGCTAAGCGAAGATTTGCAACCCATGCTTCGCCATCCAAGTCACACTCCTTGTGATCTTTCCCATCTCAATTTCATATACCCTTAACCAACCTCCCCCCTTTAATGGTCCCTTAAGAAAGCTGACCATTTGTACCTTTAACCAGCTTTATTATGTACCATAGTAGTACCATGCAATAGACATATACTTGACGGTGTGTTATTTCCCCAGTCGCTTAATATAACTTTTTTTTTCTTATTTGGCTTAGCCTAAGGATCAGATCATTTATCATTACGCACAAGCCTCGAGGAGAGAGGTTTGTTTTTTTTTTTCGGTGTGTATGAATATCAGACGACACTAGTGCACGCCTCCCATACGCAAGCGTGCTTTCAGATGGACTAAATCCGTTTGATGATGATGATGATATTATACTTAATAGGTATGCATCCAATTGTCGTACCTGGCCAATGGGGTGCCGCGGAGTCGTGTCTGACAAGAAGGATGAGAAAAAAAAAATCCCTGATACCAACCCAAGTCAGACATTTTTTCCTCGACATTCTATAATCTACAAGTTTATTATTGTCTCTTTTGGTAAACACAGTCATTTAAGCTGTCTCCTCTTCCTTCTTAGCGACATCCTCCTCCTCCTCTTCATCATCATCATCGTCAATCTCGTTGCCGTAGACATCAGGGTGTTGTCTGAAACAGTCCTGCATAGATCTAAATGCTTCTACGCAGTCGACGCCCTTGGGTTCAGCAGTAGAGTAAACAAAGCATGAAAATGATTCCTTGAATTGCTCGCCGCACGGGCCTTGAGCCATTCCTCCTAGACCTATGCAACAAGGCGGGGATTATAAACACATTAGTCATCTGCCACATATCAAAGTAAGAGGTGCCTTGAATTACAGGAACATGGTACAATTGATGGCTGGTGTCGGTGTATTACGCGAGGTACAACTTGGTGATAGGGTTACGTCGAGAGGCACGACCCGCCAGCCCAGCGGATATGCATGTTAAGAGTTCAATTCTCCCATCCCAACCCCTTCGTGCGTTTTTCACATAGTTGTATTCCATGGCCGTTTCAAGACGTATTCCAGTGTGACACTACGGTAATGGCCAATCATGAGAATACTTACAGGGACAATCCCAGTTGATTTCACCCGTCTCTGGGTCGAAGGCTGCAGCTTGACCTTCTTCAGCTTGTGATTCCGTAGAGGGGCTGGTTTCCTCCTTGTGTTCTTCAGGTTCAACAAAAATAATGGTATCCTTGCCGTCGACTCTAGAGTATGACATGTTGACGGAATGTGTATAATGGAATGAGAAAGTGAAAGAAAAAAAAATTGGCCTGCCTTCAAGAGCAAACACCCTGTGACTGGCTTTTTCCCTCCCAAACCAGAGTCATAATTTCGGATGTCTTCCACTGCAAGCAGAGACGGCTGCCTTGAGCTGACAGGGGTTCCATCCGCTCATTGATAACTGGATTCTATTTTAACATTGTATTTGGAATGCATTGATGCACTGGCCTATTGGTTAGAACGCTTTGTCATGCTTCAAAGACATAGCTATGTTTTTGAATTATTAATAATTTGCTTGGATACAACCCAGCCATATCCCCCGCTCCTCCCAACCCTTACGTTAACCCAGTGCACATTAAGAATGACTTTTTTTTATTATTTGAAAGAATTCTCGTTTATAGTCAAGACAATCTTGCCTACCACAGCACCGGCTTCCAGCTTCTTATGCGCATTCTGCAGGTTCTCAACATTGTAGGGATAGGCTTCAGACACAATGGATTGGATGAGGCCACCGTCAACGAGATCCGCCACCTCATCGAGTATCTTGCCTTGAGACTCCTCATCCATGCCAAATTCAGATTTGGCAAACATGCTTTCCAGGTACAAGGTGAGGCTCTTCCTGTGGCCGGTTAAGAAATTGGCTTTTTGTGGCGCTAAAATGGAACCGATCTTGCCGAAAGGCTGAATAAACGGTATGACCTGAGGAATGTAAGCATCAGGGTCAAAGAACAAAAGCACGTTCTTGATGGGAAAGCCGAGTTTTTCGACTTGTGGGCCGAGCGGTTCACGATGGTTTATAACATGGGTTGCTCCGAGCTTCTTCACCCATTCAATGGTTTCCTTCCGCGACGCCGTGGCCACCACATTCTTGATACCAAGCACGCTGGTGGCAAGTTGAAGGGCCATGGAGCCAACTCCTCCGGCTGCATTGACAATGAGCAAGTTGCCGGGGTCCCCTTTTTGGATGGCCATCTTTTCGATCATCAACTCATACGCCGTTAAGGAGACCAAAGGGAACGCTGCCGCCACCGTCCAATCGAGCGATTTGGGCTTTTTTCCCACAGTGCGGCCATCCACCAGCGTGAACTCTGAATTGGACCCGTTGCGAGTCGACAGCCCAGCGTACCACACATGGTCTCCCTTCTTGAACAGGTCAGTGGCCTTGGGCCCGATCTCTTCCACTATGCCTGCCGCGTCGTATCCCAGCACTCGAACCGACTGCGACCACCCTGGGTTGATGGACCGTACTTTCGTGTCTACAGGGTTGACAGACACAGCGAAGTTTTTCACCAAGATATCCCATCCGGTTGGGCTCTCTCTTGGGATGGAGGCCACCTTGAGTACCGAAGCAGGACCTGCTGCGGCAAATGCGATAGCCTGGTTTGACATGGTAATGTGTTTGGAAAAGGGCGTTCGAGATAGAACCAAGATTTTTTTTTTCTTTTCTAAAAAGAAAAGTGTTGTAGAGCAACGTTAAGAAATGTCTTACTGATTGGCAGACCGTTTTATGTTGTTACCATGGGTTTGTCAGCCAAAAGATGTCTATGTCACTCGTATATGTCACCGTTTAGCGACGGTTGTACAGCCCATTTTTAGGCAGAACAACCGTTTTGTCTCAAACGGAGCAGTATGGCTAATAGTTGAAAAACAAGGTATATTCAAAAGAAGGCGTAATTACTGTGTACATTCGAGTCAACCAAGGACTGAGTAACGATATGAAAGAAAGGGCTATGTAGAAGAAAAATGATGAATTCCAAAGAAATTCAAAGCGGTATACAGTAAGCAGTCAGTCATTCCAGGGTGGAAAGAACAACAACAAACATAGATATGTACATAAGGGTAAGTGTATACAGGGGGCTCACTCTTGGCTAAGCCAAGGATGTTTCGCCACTTGGGAAATTCGAGCACGATGGTCAGGATGCTTGGCAAGCATCCACTCTAACAAATGCATACACTCATGGGAGCTTTGTAGTTTAGGAGTGGTGAAGGGTCTCGATATAGCATGCATAGGATCATTGAACGGCACCTCGCCGTAAAGAATGGTATAGAGGAGAATACCCAAAGACCATACTTCGGCTGGCTCGGCGCGATAAGGATTGCCCATCAGGATCTCTGGAGAGGCAAATGAGACTGTTCCGTAAAACCGATCGAACAAGTGATTTCGCTGACGTGGAAATACGACGGCTGATCCGAAATCTATCAATTTGACCTGAGAAATTTTTTGAGGTGTTAATTCATGCATCATTAAAAGATCATCCACCTCTCATTTTGAGTCATGCTTACCTCAAAATTTTCATCAATGACAATATTCTCATCTTTTAGGTCTCGATGACATATTCCTCTCGAATACAAGTACTTGATGCAATCCACGATCTGCTTGACGATCCTACGAGCTTGATCCTCGGTGAACTTTTGATGTTGCTCAATACATTCAAATAGGTCACATGATGATCGCCGAGACATTAGACTTGACCGTGGCGCAGTTTGTCTGGACGTGGCATCGGCCACTTGTGACAATTTGTTTTTGGACCATCCCGTACCATGCAGTTCCATAACCAAATAGAAAAACCTTCCGTCCTGAAAGCAATCGATGTACTCTATAATGTTGCGATGATGAACGTGTCGTAATATATAGATTTCCATGGGGATTACGCCAAGCTTGGGGTCGTGAGCCCATTTGTTGGCAGGGATCTTTTCACGAAAAATGAACTTGACGGCCACTTCGCGTCCAGTGGTATGCTGCAAGGCTGAAACCACAAACCCGTAACCGCCACTTCCAAGTTCTTGGCCAAGCGTGTACTGTGCAGCAAAGTCTGCATTCAGATGATGGTGTTGAAGCTGTTGTGCTGATACTGGGATGTCGGAGGTCGCGCTCGTCTTCTTAATAGGTTCAAGCTTGGCTACCGGTAAAATTTCATTATCATCCTCCATGGGAGATGGAGTCGTAGGTGGGGTAATAGGCAGTTCACATATTGGTTCAACCTTCATGACTTGCTTCTTCTTGGCAATTGAACACGTTTTCGGTGACTGCAAATGTATAAGCTGAGAGGTAGGGTGGTGTTGCTGCGAAATAGCGATGGCCATGGTTGCAGAGTATTAAATTATGCGTTCTAAGCAAGTGGGAGTTAAAGTGTGTAAGTGGATGATGGAAAAGAAAAATAAATGCCAAGTTTAACGTAACAGTTATATATTATATACATAATTTTTTCCGGAAGTGACAACGCAGTCTTATTTTTTTTATTTTTTTAGGATTTGTTGTTCTGTCCGAATATGCTGCTTCCCTCCTTATGAGTGATCGTCTCTTCATATGGATTCAGGGAGATGTTGGCATTCACTCTCTCATGTTCTTCATGATGATGATCGTCGTCGACCCCTTCCCATGGTATTCAAAAGAAAGATTGAACCATACCTGAACCAGTGCAAATTAAAAAAAATTGGGTTGAAAAAATGGTCAAGTCGTGCGTATAGGTCGACAGTGAGTAGAGAAAATAAAACGGAAGAGCATTCTTTCATCAAATGGGAGTCTATTATATAAAGCAGCTCTTATGAACAGCAGCAGGTTTGTCAACAGGACGATCACGTTTGCTTATCTTTGCAACTCATGCTCAAATGAAAGAAAAAGCAATGAGCTGAATTTGTCCCTGTGACTTTTTCACATCATCGGTGCTTCCCTTTCCGATCCCTCCCATGCTAAAATGAAAATATATAGTGGCCATTGTAAATGTCACCTTCAGAGAGTTCTGCTCCAAATATTGGCTCCGTCAAACAACAATATTTTTTTTTATTTGACATGCTGTTAAAGTAGTCTAATTATTCAGTGCTTTACCATTTGTTTGGTTCGTTCCTTACAGCGGCGGATTTTATAGAGACGATAGAATAAATTCTAGGTGGAACAAGACGTTACAATGGATTGAGATCGCCAAGGTTCTCTCCAAATCGAGGCCCATCCTTGCCTCACCTTGAGGAAAAGCCACGGGGTCAACAGAGATTCTTAAATCCTCATTTTCATGACTCTGACTTTGTCAATACCACACACGCGCACCACCGTATGCTCCCCAAATTTTTATTGTGCCAATTTTAATTTTTTTTTTTTTTTCCACCAAGCTGGCTGGCTGGCTGCGCATGTTATTTCACATGGCGGATAAAAATCCCACCCACCCATGAGAAGTGAGTGGACGGCCAGTAACAACATTGATGACAAGGGTCGAGTTTCCCATGCACATATATCTGCAGGAGGACAGGTCAAACCAGCACACTCTGATCTTTCCGCTTATTCTTTTATAGTCATACCCGATGCGCCAGCATGCTTGCATTGTAAGAGTTTCCCCTCTCTCTCTTGTTTTTTTTTTCCCTTGTAATTTTTGCTACTCTGCCCAAATAATTGTTTATTAACTATAACCTCCCACACCATTCTGTCCACTTTACTATACTCAGTAACCAGGTGGTCGAACGAAACCTCCTCCGAAATTGGATGGCTGTGATGAGGGCAAGGCAAACCCACCAACTGGACGAGATGGGCTATTGGCATTATTGATGGATGGAGGATAGCTAGGAGAGTAATTGGAGTCGGGTCGAGGTGGCATTGGAGGTGGAGGGGCAGGTCTATCCTTAGGTGGTGGCGGGAGAGGGTTATTATTTGCAGACGGGTCTCGGACTGCCGATGGAGATAGTGGTAAAACAGGAGCAGTTTGGGCCAGATGATGGATAAGACCTCCTCTGGGCCCAAACACGAGCTTGGGAACATCCAATAAATATCCCATCGTGCCCTTGACGCCAACTCTGACTTCAGCTTGAATCCAGAAATTCATCTTGCCAGTAGCTGGATCATAGTAGGCTGCACAGTAATTCCGCATACCCATCAACTTTGTATTCTTTTGTCGTTTGTTGCCATTAGGCGATCGTTTAAAGATATTAAACATTTTCTCCTCTGTGTTGCCATTAAAGGAGATGGGCGACGAGTTCTGGTTCAGAATGGCCAATAATGCTTGTGGTGGAGGACTGGGGTGGGGAGATGTGTATGGATTTGTTTAGAACAAAATGGCCTAATTGGATCCTCGTTTAAGACACGCAGCCACTCACATATTTACAATAGCACTAGAAACGATTTGGAACATGAGATGAGGATCTCCTTCTTCCTTGAGTCGCATGTCTTTAGAGTATAGTTTGCCCGCTGCACAGCAGTGAACCTGGATTGATAACAAGGGTGAGTGGTATGCCCCCATTGCCCACATATAATTTGAGAAAAGTCTTACATCGCCAGCAATGAAGGACACTCGAACTGAACAATCTCTGGCATATCTTTGAAGCCGCGAAATAAGCTTTTTCCTTTCCACTTCATGGCAACCAGCGGTCCAGTCTAATTGAATAAAAAAAGGTTTGAGCATGCCAATTAATAACCACCACCATTGGGAGAGGGTGCCACTTACGATCATTCATATCATCCAAAAGCTCAGGATCTCCATTCCATTTGTTCAGTTGACCGCTGATGAGTTCACCCAGAGCACCTGTTTTTCCCACCAGCTGGGCCATGTTGAACCCAGCAGCACCTTCCATAGCCTTTTCGAACAAGGTCAGTCTAGGATAGATCAACGGAACACCAGTCACAAGAACCAGGTGCTTGACGGTAAAAGGTAGATCGTATAGTGCCTTGAAAATCCGATCGTAGGTTAATGGGTTACAGATATCATACTTTGTGCGCTCTCCTCTGCAGTCTAAGCTTAAAACTGCTACATCTGGACCCAATGTAGTGACAATGCTATTGGCACTCGGTTTAGAACCGGGGATCATACCAAATTGAGGTGCCAGTTTAGCTGTTGTATGTTGCTGGAAAAGGTAATAGAACCGACTGGCATTGGCAAATAAAACTGCAGAGGGCGATCCGATTAGTTCGAATTAAAAAAGTGTGAAAAAACGCACACGCCCCATTGGATGAACTTCAAGAATTTTTACCTTGGAACACTTCTGCTTGTTGCATATCAGCTGGATAGCTACCATATCCATCAATGATATCCTTGAGGGTGAAACATCTAGTTAGGCTAGATCTCCTCGGCACGCTCATCATCACTCACACTTACATGATCATCCCACATATTAACAGAAGGGATAGATGCGAAAGCTCTAGCTACAACAGGACTGCCTTCTTGTCCAAAGCATTTGACGTAATTGGAGAAGAAAAAGTTTTCCAATCCATCCTATAAAGCCAGATTAGCTGTGACTCCGATTCTTAGTGGCTATTCATAACAACTTACCCGCATAGGAGGTAAACATTGCATTGCCAATCTTTTCTTAGGATCTTTTTCCTCCAACCATGGGTTCATAAACTCCTCTTTCAACATTCGATCCTGATACAGCTGATCACCTCCACCGATTAATATATGAAATGGCATGGTGTCATGACGCTCCAAGAGGTCCGCCCACATTGGAGCGGTCTTTTCACCGAACTTGTCCTTTAATTCCTGGCTAATATCAGAAAATCCATTGCAAGAATGGAAAGCCCAGCGCATCGACTCTTGAATCGCACTGAGGTGAAAGCTGAAGATATCTAACTTGTCAAAACAGGACGCAGTGTAGGTGACGATCTGGTGGTATTCCTTGAGGGGTATATCAAGTTGAAACCGCCAGAATTGATATTGGTTTCGGAAGCTGTCCAGACAGGTACCGTGGAAATCAAGCGTAGAAGAAGGGGTAGAATCGTCTGCGCTGGCCACAATCGCTCGTATGGTTGGAGGCATAGTGTCATTAGACACAATCAAGCACGATCCACGCCACAATCGTTGATCATAGTCTATCTTTTCGTATCTTAAAAGGGGTCCACACACAACCTGGCTTGGCCGATGTTGCATGTCGATTTGCTGTGGATTAGGTCGTTGGGTGTTGATGGAGAGCTGATTGAATTGCGGCACCGGATTGTCTCCGGGATTGGGTTGCTGCCCATAGTAGCCTGGGGTCGGTTGCTGGTAGTTATCCATACCTTGTACTTGGCAGGATGAGCGGTGTGTTTGAAAGGTCCTGAAACTTGCCTTAAATAATTCGCTCAGGCAGGTCGTCATTTTTTGGGCCCAACGCGGGACTTGAACAAACAGAATGAGAGGAAAATTCTACGCTTAGTCTGATGTTGCGTAGTGCTTTTTGGAAGCTTTAGAGAATAAAATGCCTTGAACTAAGGTAGAACCAGCCTTCTTACCTCTATTTCTTATCTTATGGTCATCCTTTCTTCAACTGGAACCTCGTTTCCATCCTGGCCCTGAGCAGGACGTTTGTCACCCGGCCTGTGCACAGGCTTGCCTGGAGGCCAATCAGGTGATATCATTATCCAATGAGCCAAGCTACTTTGTAGCACATGGAAAAAAAAAAAGAAGCGTACGTAGGTGGTAGGGTCACGTATACGGTAACTCAGGTCAGTGACATGAGAATAACCGATGATCTTATGGTTGGTATGCTATACTAGCAACTCAAGATTTGAAGTAAAGAAACGAAGCCCAGCTTGCGTGATAAACACACCCTGATAGCTATCTTTAATATTTGGTTAGCGTTACCGGCCCTTTTCTCCCTCAATGTTTGGCTGCTCGATTAGCTTATCCCCAACACCTGCATTCGCAAATTTCAGAAAATGTCTGAACTACTTACTGTAGGACGGCTACTACAACAGCTGATGATCAAAAGCTCATTTGTGACACTCCTTCACTTGACGTCAAACGGATATGCAGTACATATCGATGATGGGAGAGAGTTTCATGATGCATAATATGCTGCCTCAGATGTCGCAGGAAAATGAATACGCATCAAGTCACTTTACTGTTAAAGCACTAGAAAAGACATGAATAAGTCCATTTAAAGACAAGATTGCAAAGTTTACTATTTCAGCCCTTAAACATGGGAAATTTACATGAAAGGAGGATCCAATCTGCGATTGGCGCATTGAAAATTGGCTATAAAGGTAAGAAGGAGGGGTGAGAACTCGATCAGGTTTATTTATAGAGTAATGGATGAGCAGAGCAATGATGATCAGTTTTTTGTTGTGGTGATAATTGAAGCAGTACGGAAAGAAAAGATAATGCACTTTTAAGAAACGCAGTGATAAAAAAATTGTACTTGGGTACACTACATAATTTCTTCAATCACTTCTGTTGAGATAACAAAAATTGACGATTTACGATGTTTGGAACATTACTAATGCGAGCCTTTACAAAACATGTAGAGTGCAGCATACCTCAGCTCAACTACGGCTGGCCAGAAGCAAAACGTGCTTGATAGTTCCTGGTTTATTAGTATACATAACATGTGCACATATATACCGTTCGTCACAGCTGTAATATCTTTACTTTTCATGCTCGTATGAGTCAACCATTGACTCGTAGGCACATTCGAGACTCACGCTGATCTATCTCACGATCTTTACGCCGGTTGAATACATCAGACATAAATGGTTTATTTCTGATAGGACTATCGTCATTTTTTGCCTCGGACTGGCTTCTCAATCAAAAAGGTGAAGTAAGATCTAATCAAAGCAAACCACCTCAGCTGTAGTGAACCACGTCAAACATTCCCACGTAGGTGGTGCAACGGGAATTTTGTGTACAATGGCGTCGGTTTGGTGGATGCGCCACATATGTTACATAGACTTCCAGAAGGTCTCATTGTCTTCCCGAGACTCTTCTAATATCGCCAATTTTTTTTTTTTTTTTTTTTTACAGTTGATCTTGGATCACATGAATACATATACAGAAGAAAGGTACTCTTTCATCAAGTGTTATCGCAACCATGCCATTGTCATTCACGAACAGTTCTTTTAGATACGTGAAAACACTCTTGCCTTATCATCACCAGTTATATACCGTAGAGTATGTATAAATTTTTGTTATTATTTGTCCCAATCAAAAATATATAGGAGAGTTAGAAAGTACAAATTATTGAAAGGTGGACGGTATGGGACAATAATACAGGTAGCACTAAAGATTTCAAATCTTTTCAGGATTGCGCTCACCATCTTCAGAGATAGAAGCAGGCTTTTCAGCATACTCAACGTCGTGAGGGGAAGTCTTGTTGAAGATATGATCCAGATCTTCCAAAGTACGACCCTTGGTTTCAACAAAGTATTTGCTAACGACGAACAATTCAAAAGCGTCCCAAACAACGTAGACGATGTAGAATCTCCATCCGATATTGGTCATAGCAACAGGAGTAGCGAATTGATTGACGAACTGAGCAATGTTGGCGAAGAAAGCGTTGGCAGCCATACCATTGGCACGCATAGGGTATGAGAGAACTTCGACGGGGTATAAAGCTTGCATGGGAGTCCATCCAGAGGAGAACAAACCATAGAACAAGAAGACAAAGGCAACCATAGTGATACCTTGTTCTCCGGTTCCACCATAAATGGCGGTAAAGATACACAACATCATCAACCAGAGAGTAGCCATACCAGTGGCGAAGATGACCATAGGACGACGACCGAGATAATCAATCAAGATTGTACCGGTAATGGCACAGAAGAAGTTCCAAATGTTAACGATGATGTTGATCAAAAGTTGGGTATGGGTATTGGTAATACCAGCTTCGGACAATACACGAGGAAGATAGTAGGCGACCAAGTTGTTACCAGACCATTGACCGAATAAACCAATGCAGATATTGAGCATCATACGGTAACGGTTACCAGCTATTTTGAGTGGAGTTAGAAAATGGAAGTGGCAGCCAAATGAAACATAAATGCATGTTTTCTGTACTCACGAGTAGCAATTAACTCATGCCAGCTGGATCTCTGGATCTTTTTCTCTTCCTCAATGGTCTGAGTGATTTCTTCGAATTCAGCCTTAACAACAGGGTCCGATTCATCACCGTCAGCGTGCAATTTGACCAGCAATTTCCAGGCTTCCTCTTCTCTGTTGTTCGCAACGAGCCAGCGTGGCGATTCAGAGATAAACCAGATAAGGGACAAGTTGACAAGAGAAGGCAAAGCTTGGAGAGCAAGAGGAATACGGAAAGAACCAGTGGAGGGCATAGACAGAGTACCGTAGGTGACACCGGCAGCAATCAAAGAACCAGCATACCAGAAGCAGTTGTAGGTACCAGTCAATCTTCCACGCATTCTAGCTGGGGCCATTTCAGTAATAAGAGTAGGACTTGCGACACGGCTAATGGCTGAACCGAAACCAAGAAGGAAACGGCCAATGCAAATCATGGCAACATGAACAGCAGCGGATTGTAAAATAGCAGCAACAATGATGAGAGCGGATCCAATTCCCATGGCCATGCGGCGGCCGTATTTATCGCAAAGATAGCCGGAAACTGGCGTAGCCAAGATGGTACCAACACTGTTGATAGACATGATGAGACCAGTAATAGAATCTAATAAGGATAGAGATGAATATCAAGTTGATTCGTAAATGTAAGCTGCATGATAGGATGGCTCATACCACTAGGACCGCAGGGGCTGCTTGCACCATCTACAACAACAGCACAGTTGTCATAACGATTGAAGTATCCGTTGTCTGTGATAGAGGTCAATTAATCGGGGTTAACGGATAAGGTTGGAGCGAGTGGGCGCCAAGTGGAAAATTTATACGTATTACTAACATTGAGCCATGGCGTTGATAGATCCCATCAAACTTCCATCATAACCGTTACAGCCCGAGCTAAGAGGTGAAAAGAAAAGCCGGTAAGACATTTTTACTTCATGAGTCAATGCTGAAAGAGCTAACGTGAACTTACTTGACCATAGCAACGGCAGTATAGAAGTACATGGTCAACATGCCCTTTGAAAAGGCACTTTTCGATTTGCCGGCGGCAAGATTTTGAGTTGCCATTGTTTTCAAGTCGTCTTACTGAAAATGCGGATGTGGTAAAAGCAGAATATGCCAAACTTGGAGGCGGCCGTGAGGTTTTCTTTCTTTCAGTGACGCAAAGGAGGAGCAAAGGCGAGATCAAAAAGAAACCAGGATTTTAAATTCTACGTATTTTTGGCATGTATTTCGCTGGCGGAATGGCAAAAACTTTAACTACACAGATATTAGACCAGCAAATTGTGTTCTTCGGCTTCAGTAGAGACTTCTTTTCAGCAAGAAACTAGCGGCCTGAGGCCGTAAACTAAGGAGAAGGTGGGAACTACGAGAAGGCTGACTACTGAAAATGGAATAAATCTGTCGCACGCACGCAAGATTTTTTCAGCCCGCTAATGTGTCCAATTCTGTAAATGCTGCGGGGAAGCTTACTGTGGGGGTGAAATTGAGAGCGAGAGCTCGGAAGGCAAATGAAACTCAAAGGTACTGTAGACGTAGAAGCAGCACTCGTGCTGCTGTGAAGGCATTGTGACACACAGAATCTTTGGTAGCGCTTACGATGCTAAATCTACTATGTCGGTCCACTCATAACATAAACATGTGGAGTATTACAAAAGATGCATTTTATTGGGGGTGATGAAAAGTGTGTAGAGAGGAGGAAATCATACATGGGGCATTGTGACAGCCTAGTAAGGAAAAACTTATTCAAGGTTCTTCTTTTCCCAGGCAAGCTTCTTCTGGAGAACCTTGTTATCACGCTGCTTCTTGTTAAGGCGCTGCTTCTTGTAGGCCTTGACCTTTTCGCCGGCAGCGGGCTTCTTCTTCTCGGTGGGCTTAGCGCTAGGGTCTTCACGGATGGCGGCGTGAGCCTCAGTGTACATATCCTCGACTTCATCAGAGGTGATACCCTCAGCAATGAAAGTGGCGAATTGCTTTCTATAACGCTCCTCATCTTCGTCTTGGAGGTACTCCATGTACTCAGCAACGTGGATACCATAGATGTAGTTGCGAAGAAGTTCAGCATCAAGAGACTTGCTCTCAATGTCGAAACCAGGGAAACGGTTCTCACCGTGGGGAATGTAGATACCACCATCGGAGGCACCCTTGACGGCACCGAAAAGACGGGAACCGGTGGAGGTACGCTTGAGACCGACATCAAGGAAAGCCTTGAAGGGGCGAGGTCCATCCTCGATAGCCTCGGTCATGGAGACAGTACCATCGGGTTCGGTGACACCCTCGTACTTTTCATCAAGACCGAGCTTGGCGAGAGTACGGCGAGCAACAAGGAGACCGGTAGCATAAGCTAAAGATGGATCAAAGTTATCATCATGCAATCAAAAGGTCTCCACACCACAAAAGATACTACATACCAGCAGCCCAGTTGGTCAAACCACCCTTAATGCCATAACGGGGAAGCTCGTGAGCGTAAGCAGCGGTGAGAACATGGTCACCTTGGAGCTTAGCATAGACGACTTGGCAGATAATGTCTCTGTTGGTGAAACGGACGACAAGTCTGTACTTGGGGGAGTTGTACTTGTTCTTAGCCTGAACAACCAAGCGCTTGCGAGCATAGTAGTCAGTCTTTCCCTCTGTAGATGATTAGAAGAAAAATTGGGTGTCAGTTATGGGCGGGATATGGAGAGCGAGTAGGGAGGTTGCTAAGCGAGGCGTATAGGTGCAGTCAGCTGTGTTATATAAGCATACAGGTTTGTTGGATGGCAATTGATTTGTCGCCCACTCTTATATCGGTTTGTGTGTGTGTTTCTTTGCTGAACCTGCCAAACGAATTCCCGCTGTATTGAACCATTCCCCGCTAATTACCTCTTCTTCTTCTGTACTTGACTTGGAAACGCTTGAAGTAGGCTGAAATAAAGAATTGTCAGCAAAAACTATCATTGTATCTTTAAGGTGTTCAACGAGACCTACCCTTGTTCTTTTGCTCCTTGACGAATGGCTGTTACATGATCGGAATGGTGGGTGGCGATTGAAAAAAGGTTGTTCAATTTCAAAATTGGAAATGCACAAAATTAGTATTGTGTTCTTTAAGTTCGCATGGTATCAAATATCCATCCATCCAATATCGAGGGTGAGGATTCAGAGTGCATGGATGGACAATACATACCATGACTGTTAACGCTCAAAAAAGGGGGATCCATCATCTCGCCTATCCTATCGCATATACCATTTGGGTGTCAGAACCATAGTGGCTTAGCTCCGCCTTCTTCCAGCCACAATGGCCATTTGGCCGATCCCTGTGAGCAACTCCAGGTGGTGGAAGCAGGCACCACCCAGTAAATAAAATGAATCACTGCAAAATGCTTCTCTTCAAAAAGAATAAAAAACACGTTGCATTAAGATCCACTGGCATCCAGTCGATACTGTGGACTCCCTATTGTCAAATGTAGATGTGGCTCACTTACATAAGCTCTTCCATTTGACACCTGCTGCTCTTGCACCAAACCGGGATGGATCAGCAGCCTTGTAACCAAGTCACCCGCCATACAACACTTCCCTTCTGTTCGTATTGCGGAGGTCGACAGCGACTTGGAAAGGATAAATTCAATTGACACAAATGACATCATTTCACCCCAACACTGCACGCTGGCTCCAGTGACACCATACGGTCGAGCCAGTTACCCAATGAGAGCCACTTTTTAAAAATCGAAATTTTATTGGAATGGATTCAGATGGATATCCCCTACTGTTTGCTCAAAGCCACAACGATCACTGTCATGAACACTTGTCACCAGCTACCAGCCTTAAATGATTAACAACTGTGGGTCACAGTCGCCTGACCCCATGACCGGTTCAACCATAACCCACATGAAAGTTCTCAATAACGCAAGCTACCCTTTTGTTCTATCATGTCCAAAACGGTTTCGGATGAATTACATCCTGTATTCCTTATAATCCGCCGCCAGTGCCCCATTTCATCCCGCCAGTCGCTTTTTCTCCTATTTCATTTGTTTGTTTCTTAAAACTTGATGCTCGATTGATTATTACTGCTTGTTTCTGTCATTCGTTCTACCTGAGGTCTCATTCAACATGCAAGTCTTAAGAATCCTTCAAAGGCATTTTCGAAGACAGACCAAAACTGTCAGTACCGCTTGGTCTATTTGCTCGACCCTCACACCTTGGCCGTCCTCTCGGTCGAACTTCTTATATGGCAAGGACTGGGACTTTTATGTAGCTCTCATTTGCATTGTCATTCCAATCTACAGCGTCACTTTCGCAAGCTGGGCTCATGTCATTTACTCCATTGCCCTGGATGAATCCCACACTTTTTCAGCTCCGAGACGACTGCTTTTAGGCTGGTCCATACTCGAGTGTCTGTTCAGTCTTTATCATTTGTCGGTGCAGCGCACTTATCAAAGCCTCATCAGCTATCCAAAAGTTCCCTTGGAACGCATGCGCTCACTGTACAGTGATTGTTTGGAACAATTGACTGATTTTGAAGAGCAGCTTCCGCTTTGGTTCTTTGATGCTCCTTTTTCTACTATTCTTCGGGGCAACATGAAGGAGTGGCTTTGTTGGGCCATGTTTTACAGGCATGTTGATGCTATTACAGATGGATCAGAGGAAGATATATTTCTGGAGGAAATGCTGGCCATGCTGCAAAATCGTGCCAACTATACGTTCGAGCCCGGTCATAATCCCGCTGTGAAATGTTGTCGCTTGAATTTGGATCCCGTTCAGAGCGTACACCGCCCGTTGATATTCTATGCTGTAAGTTTACAATAGCACTAGGGACCAAACAAAAACATTGAATGATGACGGCCTAAACCTTTTTTTTTTTTACACCAGACTGTACATCTGCTTGATACCTCGATGAGCCTCTTGCTTAAACACTACGGCTTCCAGCGATATCCTTGTGGGGCACTATCCTATTGGCTACTACCATGTAATGCTGACACCACTGACAATCGTCCTATTTTGTTTATCCATGGAATTGGAATGGGTGAGTATTCAAGGGTGTGATGCCATATATTTGAACTAGTCATGTCATTGCTCACCTGCGATGTTTCGTGTAGGTTTATGTAGCTACGTTTCATTTCTCAACTCTCTGTATCAAAAATCGAGAAAGACGAATCGGCCCATCATACTCATCGAATTGCCCCATATTTCAATGTCATTGTTCTGCCAACGTCCTTTTCATACAACTCCTTTCACCATGTCATCAACCTTGGCCGTGGTGGACGAAATTTTCGATCGACATCAGTTGAAGAAATCTGCCACCGTGGTTGGTCATTCGCTAGGGACAATCGTCGCAGGCTGGATCATAAAGGAGAGACCTAATATTGTTGACCGAACCGTCTTGATTGATCCTGTGTGTTTCCAATTGTACGAGGCCTACTTATGCCAAAATTTTGTCTACAAGATGCCAACCACCGGCTTTGAATTAGTCCTATGGTACTTCGTAGCCAAGGAGGCATGCATTGCATGGTATCTAGGAAGATGGTTTTGGTGGTGAGTTAATCTTGTTGTGAATGGATGGAACACTCCAGAGTTATAAGGCTAACCAAGTAGATGCAAAGGCATCAAAACATCATGTTTCCCAAAGATTTTCCCTCTTTAGACCAAACCCAAGTGTTTTTAGCCGAAAAAGACCGAATCATTCACGCTCCCAGAGTTTACCAGTACTTGAAGAGAAACGATGTCCCAGCCGTTTTATTCGAAGGATATGGGCATGCTGATGCATTGCTCATTCATACAAAGGAACAAGATAGGATGGTACAGGCTATACTAAAGAACGATTAATACTTCTAATAAGCAACATTATCCCCCCTATCGTAAATATTGTGTATACCATTTTATCAATCAAACCGTTTGAGGCAGTTTTCTATTTGTATGCTATACAGAACACTGCTGATTCATGAGATGCCTCCATATGTTTCTATTCGCCATGATTTGCAATAAAAATAATAATAATGACAATGTATTCCGTGCTGTACGCGACTTGACTTGTACTAGTGCGCGTTACAAACTTTGCTTAGAACTACGACAAGGTACTCCTAATCGGTGCCAGTCAATTATTCAATTTCTTAGTCGATGCGTGACCCTTTAATGTAGACTTGTATAAGAATCCGCTTCAAATCCTCGTCTACCTTTTACTACTCTTTTACCGCTATGCTGCCCTATATACACTTAACGTTGGCAGCATTCCTTCTTCACGTTAATACTAACAAACGGGTGGATGCAGCGTCTGGAACGTTTCTTCATATTACCGGTATGACGATGTCATTTATGCTAATCGAGTTCCTTGCAAGTGACATTATTGTAGCTAATTCCCCGTCTGGTAGACATCCATATTGATCCGTTGTACATTCAGAATTCCGATCCTGCGCAATTTTGTCATCGTAAAAGCGCCAGTGAAGCCAACAATACCGCTGGCAAGTATGGTGCTCTAGGCACCGCATGCGATTCTCCTGTTCCATTGGTACAGCAAAGAATGTTCATTCGTGTAGGCTTGCGTGTGTAGTCTAGTCAGCTAACGCGCATATATATTGCAGGTACAATCTGTTTTTGAATACCTCAAAAATGCCGAGTTTCAAAATGTCGATTTCATTGTTTACACTGGAGACACCGCTCGCCATGTACGATTTCTTGACTTGCGAATAGAGCCATACTTCACTTGATATGCTCACTGACATATTTATGACTAGGTACGCGACATGGGGCAGAATCGAACCTATAGTGAACTGTTGGATGAACATAGATATGTTATGAGTATCTTTAGTGCCACGTTCAACTTGCAAACTATTAAACTCTTCCCTACTATTGGCAACCTCGACACTCCTATTCACGATGACATTGATTTGGCATCGAATGACGTTAATTCAGGCAATATATTCAGGGAATTGAAGAGTCTGTGGAATCCTCTCGGTTTAAATTTGACGGAATCCTTTTCGAACGGTGGTATGTTTGTCCATTCTATTCCTAATGGCCCCACCATAGTGAGTGTCAACTCCATGTATTTTTTCACGAAAAATACATGGATTCCCGACTGCAATCAAACTGGATCGGCAGGAGCAGTGGAGATGATCTGGTTAGACACCCAGCTCGCGTCTGCGGCTGCTAACAACAAGTCCGTTTACATCATATCCCACGTACCGCCTATCAAGAACACCAAGCAGCTTTACAAACCACAGTGTTACGAGGCTTACGTCAACCTGTTGGGAAAATATAGCAACACCATTGCCGCTCATCTCACAGGACATACGAATGGTAAGCAGATTGAAGAAGCTTTTCATGTGGGGGTTGTCTTTAGCTGGCTAAAATATGTTCTTTCACTAGAGGATCACTTGGCGGTGCTTCACAATACAAATGGAACATTTGCTTTGCAAGGCATATCGAAGCGATCCCACATGGCCTTCAACATCAACGAGATCAGCAACGTGTTGACCAACTCGCCATCTATTATTCCGGTCAACAACCCTGGTTTCCGTATTTACAAATATGACACCACAGACGGAACGCTCCTCGGCTGGGACCAGTATTGGACCGATCTGGATCAAGATAATGTCCAAGGCAATGTGACATGGTCAAAAGAGTACTCTACTTCCGCTCTGTACGGCGTAGACAGACTGGATAGGGCGGGGTGGCATCAACTGATGCAGCGTCTTCTCACCAATAAGAAAACGTTCAGTATGTACAAAACATATATAAACGTTCAACACCAACCGTCAAGTGATGGTGAGGCAGATGAGTAAATGGGATAGCACGGCTTGCAATAACATGTGTCAAGCAAGATCAAATCAAAAAAACATAATAACAGTAATAAAATGTTAATAAAATGTTCACAGGCATTGGTTGATTTTCACGGGGACGGCGAGAATACAACAAACAGATGATACCTGCCTAATACGTCTGAAAATCTGCCAGGTACACACTTTTGAAACCATGGTGCTTATTGGAATTAATGTGAGGTTTGTATTTAAAATGATGTGGAAGATTAAAAGAAAAAAAATGTACAATGGCACTATAGTACAAGCTTGAGATTAGGATATGGTTGGGGTGAGGAAGGGTATCAATGCAAACAAAAGAATTTCTCGTTGTTTGCTTAGTCTGAATCAGTAGGCGATTCATAGGAAGACTGCTCTTCAAATATGGAATGACGGTGAAGTTCTGAAGCGGTTGCTCGCGTGTCGGGATCGACGTCGAGACATCGCTCTATAAAGTTTCTCAATGCGGGTGATGAGTAGGATGGGATACTGGGGATAGGGTTGGTTGCTAAATGTTGCATGTACTCCCAGGAATCCATAGCCCCGGAGCTGAGTTGGCCTTGCTGTAGCATCTCCAGGGTCATGATTCCTAGAGCCCATATGTCCCGGGAGGGCATGTGCATTGTATCAAGATGAGCAGCTACCTCTGGAGCCCAATACTGATATTGTCCATGTGGTGAGGCGTCTTTTTCCGAGTTGGCCATGGAAACAAAGCCAAAATCAACTGAAAAAAAAAAAAAAAAATAGATATTATTAGATCAACATTCCGTCAAATTGGTGGAGTCTCAAGCCTCGGTACTTACTTAGACGAGCAGTTCCATCGTCTCCTAATATAATGTTATCGGATTTGATATCACAGTGGGCCATATCGTGATCATGGACTTCCATCAGAGCATCTACAACGTCCTATTAGAACAACAAATCAAGACAACGTGTTAGCAGGAATTTTATAGGAGGCCACTTTCGTTTTGGCCAAAAAGACGCAAGGGGAAGGCTCACCTTGAGGATCTTCACAATCTCTGGCTCTTCAAATGGTCTTCTATGTCGGATCAAGGCTTCGTATAAGGTGCGGCCGGATACATATTCCATAATAATGAACACTGAATCGTAGGCTTCGTAAATATTTGAATCAGCTAGCCGTACCACTGATGCACATTTGCAACTGGCCAGTGCGGCTGCTTCATTGATGGCCATCTGCCTTGTCTTTTGCTTTTCGCTCAGTGATCGGGGTAGGCAGATACGCTTGACAGCCATTCTTCTGCCAGTTGAAGGGTGTCGGCAGGTATGGATAGTTGCTTGACCACCCATGCAGATCGGAGTGGGGCTCATGTTGCTGTAGATCTGAGCTGGATCAGCGTTGACCAGCTTGACATTAGGTTGTCGGTTATAAGATTTGTACATGGTATAAAGCAGAAAAAGAAGGGAATATTGACTGTTTAATGGCAAGCTGCAATCCTTTAAATATACGATGCGGGCTTGAGACAAGTTTGGGTTGGCTAGGTATGTCTGGGCTTGAATTTCATCGGAACGGGACAATAATTCTCTCTCACCGGAAACGGCAAGTCGTGGGGTTTTTCCTACGGGTTTGGCTTGAGGTCCTCGGGTAAGGCTATTTGCTTCCCATTGCTTTCTGACCTCATGACCTCTTCTCATTCTCTAGAGAAGTCTGCCATCATCGTGCTAATCGGATATCCCATGGCTGCTCTCATTTTTTGCATCTCCGCTGGTTTATCGATAGTGCACATGTGGCCAAGGTTCATGCCTCTACCCGTCTTGAGCAGGCACTAATCGATGTTAACTTTGCTATGGCTACAAGAACATCATTCGTGCATTGAGCCTGTACTATAACGTAGTGTGGCAGTGTTACGGCTATATCAGCTGCATTGCGCTATTCTAAAGGCATTGCGGGTAGCATGTGCTTTTTCCAAGCCTTGTTCCATTTCAAAGGGCCTCCGTCACTGCATGAATATGATGTAACACGTTCAATCAAATAGAGGTTTGATTTACGGTCTATCCTTGTTTACACAAAACGATGGATATAGTAGTCGATACTAAGACAAATTGCTATGAGAGAATGTTGATTGGGCCAGAGCATGGTTTTAGAATAAGAATTTTTTTTTTTTTTACAATTGCAACTGATACTAAATAATAATTTCCACGGTAATATCGGGTTCAATACTCCTATAATTAACTGTTATTATCATACATGCGCTGTATCCTAAATCAAACACTACTACTCACCCCAAATCGATCAGGCATCACAACAGGTGCGACAAGCGTCCATCCATAGATCAAATGACAGAGCCAGCTTGAAACGACCTTGACCCAGACAGCGGTGTAACTCTGGCCAATGCGTACCAAATCGCCGTTGTCGGTTTGAGCGTCGTCTGGAACATCGACAATGGTGTTCCAGTTGGTCAATAGCATAGCAACGTACATAACGGCAATGGCAAAGATGAAATGGAAGAAGCTGTAGTTATAAACTGCTCCATGACGCTCATCATCCTTGGTGTCATAGCTATCATCGTCTTCATCGTCACTTTCATTGAGGGCTGAAGCGGGTAAAGCACCACTTTCCACCGCGGCAATCAACGCTTGACGGCTGGAACTAACATTGGTATCCATGGTTCTAGCGCCAGCTTCCACTTGGTTGGTGCGGAGAGGAACTGCGCTGCTATTGTTGAGTGCTTCATAGTCATTCTTCGTGGTAAGTGCTTTCAATTGAGTGGCAGCTCGGCTGGTTGAATAAGCAATGGCCAAGAACGTAAAAATAGCACCCAAAACAACTGATGTGGTTTGTGGGCCAACGGATTTACGTAATGGGTTGCATTGTTTGTCGTTCGGTTCATTTGCAACAGCAGATAGAATCAAGTAAGTGCAATAAATGACAACGATGGAAGATTGTGAAAGACCAGATCGTGGGTTAGCTTCCTGTACGGCAGGAGTGACACAGAGGAAGGTGATGATGAAGCAGAGAATCATGTTGAAGGTCACAAAGAATTGGTTCAAAGAACATCCATTTTGCGCAAAGTAGCCGTACATGACGCCTGTCAAAGTGATAGCACCGGCGAACATAAGCAATGTACCGCCTAGATGTAATCGTCAGTCCTCATATCCATGAACCCATAGTTTCCACATCTTACATCAACTTACCTATCAACACCCATTTCCATTTGTTGTTATCGGACATCTCCCATTTTTCCAAGCAGCTTTCGGACCAATTATGTGCGAAATCGACTAGGAGAACAAGTCCCAATAGAATGAAGATGGCTGCACCGATGAGGGCAATATGGTTACCCCAAAAGATGAAGAAGCCGTTTGGAATAAAAAAGGAGGCAACAACAAGACCCATCCATAGCAGTATCTTTGGACCCCACCATCTATTAATGTACACGTTATGTTAGAAAGTCAGTAATAACAAGGGGTAAACCTATCTATCCCTTTTATGCCAAACTTACCCATTCTGTAGGGCAGCACGTTTCTGACGACTGTCATGAACACCAAGTACGAGGAGACCAATAATAGCATGGAAAAGAACAAGCGCGAAGCAAACTCGATGAACCTGTTACAAACAACAAAGATCAGCATATGACAATGACAAGTTGCAACGAGCCAACATGATCTTTACGTACGGCCAAAATACCATAACATTTTCCACCAGCGCAATCGAGTTTCAGGTAATCCAAAGTAAGATGCTCGAGTTGCTTAATAGCCCAATTTGATAACATGAGCCAAGCCAGCTGTATATGGGAAGATATTCAAGAAAAATCAGTAAATGGTGGAACTATAAACAACTGACAGGTTGGGCATTGGACCTACAATTGAATTCAAGAGTAATATAAGCTAATTCAAACGTTAGCATCCCGAAGTACAAACCATACTAGACACAATGTGGCATCCACTTACTGCGTATCCTATTCTTGTAGCAATCGAATTGTTGCAGTTGCAGCTGAATGCCAAGTGCACAAGTCAGTACTTGGCACGCCATCCCATGTGAGTGATCTCATAGCGCTTACCTTTTACAAGCTAATGAACATGCTGCGGCAGAGAAGCAGCTGGCTACCCATGCTCCAACTGTACCCAGTGCAGGTAATGCGACACAACTTAGAGCAGCACCCATGGTTGATCAAGTTGAAAACGCTGTAGCCAAGTCGGAGACAATGCACTTTTGCCTGTGCGCTCGCTCCCGTGATTAGCGTCATTTACTACGCACGTGATGTACATTTAAGTGACAAAAACTCAAATAGTTAAATTTTGATAATGGAGTAAGCACTCCTGTCAACGATCTACTAGCAAACCATGGGTGTTCGAGGGCTGGCATCCTACATTCGCAGCCAACCAGCTCTTGGCAATAGAGTAGATGTGAAATCTGGAGCCGATCTGAAAACAAAGTTCTTTATAGACGGCAACGCTTATGTGCACCACTTGTATATGACCAGTGATCTTGATTGGATCCATGGAGGTACTAGCTTTTTTAAACTTTGTTTTCAGATATATCAATGGCTCAGAGTACTGACAATTAGCATAATGAATGATATAGGCCAGTATACTGAATTTGCAGACCTATTTGTATCGCATCTAAAACAAATGCAAGCGGCTGGTATTGACCTGAAAATTTACTTCGATGGTCCCCTTCACGACAGAAAAGAGCAGACAAGATTTCTTCGACACCGCGGAAACATTGATCGAATTCACAACGTGCTGAAAAACATGACATGGTTGGCACAAAACGCTAAAAGTCCGAGAGCTAATAGATCTACATCGGTATCACAGCAACTGTTCGTCATGCCCTTACTGGCACTGGATGCCTGTGTACATGCAATTCGGCATAACTCTATCGACTTCGAATTCTGTGATGATGAAGCTGACGGTGAAATCGCTCGACAAGCAAGAGAAAATGGGGGTTTTGTCATCTCCAGAGACTCTGATTTCTTCGTATATAATCTAGGTACTGCTGGATATGTACCACTGGACACGCTTACCATCAACTCGGATGGTTTGACTGCCCTGGCTTACCGATCCAATAAAATTGCAAGCCACTTTGGATTGGAGCCGAAGTATATGCCAGTCTTCGCATCTATCTTAGGTAATGACTACCTACCAGCAGACTTGTTTACCTCGTCCATCAAGGCGGAATATAATCTTGGTGGAAAGATACCCAAAAACTGGTTCAAAAGAACTGCAGCCTACATTAATCATCATGCCGAAGATGCCTCCTCTATTGATCAACTTCTCAGTCAGATCATAGAGTCTATATCGAATCTTCCTGAAGACTTAACGGCACATCAGGTCTTGGAAGCTCTACATGAATCTATTCGACAATATGATCCCGACAGCGAAATTAGCTTCACACCGTCGAGTCCGTGTGAACATGTTCAAATACAGGAAGCTATCTGGAACACTATTCACGAACAATACAGGAATGGAAAGTACTGTTACAAGATTATGGATGTTGTTATGCGCGATCGGAATTTCTGGTGCACACCTTTTATAGAGGACTTGGATAGAGAGTCCAGCTGGGTCATCAGTCGCCAATTACGCCAATGGATGTATAGCATTGTTTTGGGATCATCATCTTCTTCTGAACCGTTTGTGCCACTGGAAATTACGGAGTATATTAGGCATGCGAATCACCTTGGAAACGACATTGTTAAGACGGTATCTTTGTCAGAACTTGGTTCGATTGCCCAAATACCTTCACTCTCGCAATCGACACTATCGTCCCCTGATATTGCATTGAAATTGTATCTCCAGCTTCACCACTGTGAAATTAATCACCTAGACCGCTCGCTTCATCCAACCATCCTATCCATCATCGCCATCCTGCGATATCTTATCCATCACGCTGCCATGTCCATTGGAGCAAACAAAGTTGTACATAAATTTTCCAATCACGAAATAGTCGCCATCATCATATCTACAGTCGTTTCACTTTCACCGACCCTCTGGCCAAGTCAGCCTCCTCCATCCAGCACACCATCTTCTTCTCTCCCAACCAGAAGAGGATTACAGATTGCTGCCCAGCTACAAACTACTTTGCTTAGCAGTTACCTTCTTGCGCAAGCATTGAATTTAGGCGAGCATTTGTTTCCTCCTCCAACCCTTGCACAATATTTCAATGGCCAAAGTTTACACCACTATTTACGGAATGCTAAAGGTGGAGCTACAATCGAACGAATGGTCGGAAAGCAGTCGTTGGAAATCAGCAGTATGTGTTACAAGGTACTTGAACTGGTGATGGCAGGGTGGAACGAGGACGAGGTCAATATAGTATTCCAATACGCTGATGACGGCAATGGCCGTAAGAAGAGCCAGGATCGTGGCAAAAAAGGATCCTCCAACAAGAAGAAGCAAAAAGTAACTGAGTCATCTACCGATAATATGTTCAACGTGTTAAGTTCTGGTTGTCGCTGGTGAAATACACTAATTACATGTATAATAAAAAGTTCTTACAATCACTGTGTTTGCGCGGAAGTTTATAGCCCATGCAGAAATATGAGCTGGCTTTATTAATTATGATGGTGTGTGTATGTATGTACAGTGAGTGTCTCCTCACAAGGAAGCAAGCGCATCATTAAGCGTTCAATTGGTCAATGAATTGACTTGCTAGCATTCTTGTGGGTCATGGATGTGCGACAGTGCGTGCGTCAGTTGGTAGCCCAGCTAATAGGTCAGTAATGAGGCATACGGCACTCTCGTTAGGCTTCTATTTAGCCCCAATGGCCAACTTGAGTCCAGTCATAACCCTTTCTCGGCGGTGGTTTCAATGAAGGCGTCAGCTCTCTTGCCTTCCAGCCTTTTGGAAGCTCGTATCGTACTGAAGGTTGAGGTTTTGACGCAGGTATCGTCTGAGTTGGAAGGATAGGTTGACCTAAAAAGAAGACCACAATGATGGATCAATATGGGTCGGTGTATGGCTTTCATCATGCGGCACAGTTCATACCAGTAAATCTGTCAAACATAATGTGCGAGTATCTGCAGTTTGGTCCATATTCGCAAAATTGGTTCTGCATGAACTGCTTACACGGTGGTTTCGTTCGCGATTCTTCAATGATATCAGCTAGACCTAAGTTGCGTGTTAGTGAGGGAAAGAGTCATTTGCAGATAATTAGAAAAAGTAAGCTTACTTCGATTTTCTGCATAATACATTCTCTTGTTCTGTTGATGCACACTTCCATCCATGTGATTTTTCCTGTTGGCTGCATTGTCAGGAAACGTGCAATCACAGTAATCACAATAATATCTGCCGCCCATTCCAAATGGCGTCAACGTCTTTGGCTGTTGCAGAAGGGGATGTATTTCACAACAAAACTCGGGTTGAAAGTTGTGCGTATTGACGGTAGGCAAGTCCCTTAGAAGTCGGAATGGAATTTTTGTATTTTATTATGCAAGTGCAAGCTTGAATGAAACAACGTATTTACAAGTACAGATTATTCATATTATCTTCTTCAACTCATTCAACTGGCACTGAAGAGCCTCTTTTTCGTTCTCGCATTCAGCATACCTCATCTTCAGATCTATAACAACGCCTTCTTGCGTCTAACCAGTAGTCATACATCAATAGGCTGAAGCAATCTCAGGAACCAATATCAGAAAAACCACCTACCATGAGGGAATCTTCCAAAGCAGAGTTTTTCTGCACGAGGTCAGAATTTTGCTGGCAAAGCTCGTCAAACTCTGTCCTCCACTGACTTTCGATCTCGGCTGGTAGAGTATCAATCTGCCGTCGTAGCTCTGCATTCGTTTTACGGAGCTCGCTGTTACTAGCATCCAGCTGAGCTAGTTCGACTTTTGACGTTATGACCTGCGCTGCGACATGCTGGTGCTCTTCTTGTAGCTTCTGAAGTGAAATCTCCAATCGCTTGATAGTCTCCATCATTTCTCTATTCGACTGTCGTAGCGATTCTTCCCTTTCATTCATTTGTTGTTCTTTCACAATCAAGGTATCGTGCTGCCGACCGTATTGCTTCAATTTCCGAGGGTTGATAGAGATAGCGCATGCATCTTGCACGAGTCTCCGATCGTCATTCTACAATCATTTACTGTCATTATACAGCTTTCCATACAGTGGGGAGTCAGGCATGCATCCATACCTGATATTCGGCAAACAAGCCGTTCTTCAGAAAATCTAGTAGTGCCTCAAACTCCAGACTAAGTATAACCTTCTCGTTGCTCTGCAAAACCGCTAAGGCAAATTGGAAGATGGAATCTATGCCTTCGGCTAAGATGATATCAAATATCCGGAAGACAAGTTCGAGTGGAAACTTGTAGGCGAATAGCGTCATAAACCACTGTGACGCATACATCGTAGAGCGAATGCCTTGCTCATCTAGATATCGGTGTATTCGTGGCAGTTTCTCCAGTAGTAACTGCTCAAACTGGTATAATCTTCGATGTAACTGTTCCATTTGTGGAGTGAAATGTCCCCGTAGCCCATACTTGCCCATCAACTGTACCAGAACACAAAAAGCTTCTTCATCAGGCATCTAAAATAACAGTGGGTGGAGCAGTTAGATGCAAAGTCGCAACATAAACTGGCATTTAAGATACTCACGTTCAGTAACAAGGGGCCAACAACAAACGCGAGACCCTGGCAGTAGCCGACCTCTGGATCGTACAAGCTATAAGCCTTGACGACGTTAAACAGTCCTTCTTGGCCATCCCCCCCTCGCTCTTTAAAATAGTCGTGACCAGGGAACGTTCTTGCCAGATCTCTTTGAATAAGTTTCTCGTGGGTACTGGTTTCATTCAACAATTCTCGATACTGCTCCTCTAACGCATCGTCTTTTGATCCGGAAAACAATTGCCACATCATGCCGCGTAATGAAAACGGTATTCCTAGTCTGATGTGTTGTGAAAGTTGCTTTGCATTCGATTTCGATATTTTTTCATAATCAACCAAAACAGATGCCCAAAAGTCTGTAAAAACGCAGTAATCAGCATGTGTCCCATCGAACGTCCCATTCCTGTTATGCTTACCCCAGTTAGGCTCGTCATCCTTCTCTACCTCTATTTCATGTTTTAGCTTATCCAGTTCTTGGATAACGATAGTATGCTGTTCTTCTGAAGATTTTCCAGTTTGCGCTAGCATATCCCTGAGACTCACAATAGAAGTGATCGACTCCCTTGCTTTTTTTTTGTCCTTAGACAATTGACTAAAGCGATGTTGAAGTACCTCAGAAGGTCGCTGGGGTGAGACGGTTTCAGGAGTGGCAGGGGACGCCGATCTTGCAAAGGGATTGATCGGGAAGCTAAAGCGCTTGGCAAATCCTCTGGATTTTTTGTCCTCTTCCTGCAAACGCTGCTTCCTACAATCTGACGGAAGAGATATACCTTCCAAACTCACTCGCGATAACTCCATTCGAAACACGGGTACACTGGCCGTTTTACGCGAACGATCGTTTATACTCAAATCATCCTCAACCATATCATCGTCATTGCCGTACTCCATGTTACTTCCCGTTTTGTAAGGCTCCGTGGGTGAGGAGATTGATGAACTGATAGTGGTGTTGGTCTCGGCCGAAAGACCGTCGTCTGACTCGTTGAGTGGCTCGCATATGGAGGACAAGGACGATCTCACATCGCCTACCATGTCGGTTGAGGATCTTATGGAAGTACTGGTTACTGTTTTCTCTTTGCCTATAGAGTTGGTATTGTTATTATCTTTGCATGGCAAAATTTTGATCCTGTTATCGTCACTTTTTTCGTTACCATCTTCTACAGCAGATTCAAAATCACCGTCACTATCGGAAGCCACACTATTTGGCGAGTCTTCTTGAAAGGATACATTATCATATTCATCGCTGCTGTCTCTGCTTTGATCATCCATGGTCGCTGGTGTGTGTGCATCGGTGTCTGAATTGGCTGCTTCAGGCTGATGTTTGTTGACTTCCGCATCAGTTGATAGTTCCACAGAGCCAGCAGATGGGCTAGCTGACGGAGAGCCTGAAGTCGAAGAAGTAGGGGTTTCGTAAGCTATGGTTTCTGCCTTCATATGGCTGGCTGGTAGTATTAATGGTAGGTATGGGGGGTAACAAAGCCAAAGGACAAACGTATCCTAGCTGGAAAGGACGTCAACAGGGCTAAGCGGAAGTGGATGGTATGAAAACGAAAAGCTGAATCGATGCCCCCCTTTGGCACAAAAAATGTAAAAAAGCAAAAATCTTTTGCGTCACCCTTGTTTCTGATTGACAACTGTTGCAATTTATTAATTAAAGTTGTTCATTAAATTTGACCTATTCAGTGGTCCCTATGCGCATGATTTGTATCATCACGGAGAAAGTTTCCGTTGTGCGTGTAAAATTGACATTGGCTTGAAAAACCGTCATCAACGACAGACCCATTTTTTTTCAAGTTGAGCCAAAAACCCGAGATTAAAAGTACATCAAATTATTAAAAGACAGTGTGAAGGGGTTCAAAAAGCGATAGAAAGTGTAAGGAAGTTTGGCAAGGGCGCTATTTGATTTCGAAGCAACTTTGTACCTACATGCGCTCGTTGTGCCTAGCGTATTTTCACCTGTTCCAGCCGTTGACTGGCAGCGGTTTTCTACAGCAAGTCGCAACGACCGCCAAAGCTTACATGTGAAGACTTGCTTTGGTCCATACATCTTGCTTATATTTATAGCTCAATGTCTCGAATCATGATCTTGGTCTCAGAGCTCTATTGTTATGATTGTGTTACCGTTTTGGTCGCCTTCATTTTTTCTTCCTCACGCACTTCTCCCTCGGGGGCTTATTTTACTGTTTGAATTTGTCCCATCTTCTTGCTGCAGGCTACCATGTCCCATCAAGATTACTTTGCTCCAGCTGGGTCGAATTACCAACAAGATCCTCAACCAAGGCGGTTTCCGGACGATGCCAGTTCAAACCGACAGTCTTCCTACCAAACTGCTTTCACACCGTCCAACACCCACACTCCTTCCGCAAATAGCAACTATTCTCATGCCATGACGCAGTCGTACCGTAGCGAAAATCCCAATGAATACAACGACCAGGAATTTTTTACACCTTATGATCCGCCTCATACATTGCCTTCCACGGCCTCGTTCGATACCGCTGGTCAATTAGAAGCTGATCCCTATGCAGGACAATATCCCCCTCCGCGCCCCCGAAGAACGTCAACTCAGCCAATGACAACTCCAACTTATCCTCCGTACAGTAATAATGACTTGGCACCTGCTGTCGGGGCATTCCCTGTTCCACAACCGTATGCAAACCCACCCCATCAAGCTGACGATCAAGTTACCGTCCGCACCAATAATTCCGCGTACACCAGGAGCAGTGGTCATTCCAATGCTAACTCACAATCGTATTCTCGACGAGAAAGTTCGTATGATGGTTTAATGGGAGGAAACACGGCAGCAGCTGTGGGTGCAGCGTCAGGGGCAGCTCTGATGGCGGTTGGCAACGAAGCAAAAGAAAAAGGGTACTATGATCCACATGCTATTCCGTTGGATGAATGGAAGCAGTCTGAGAGGGAAGCCAGTATTGCCAATCAGGGCCAACCTACAGCGGAAGGAAATATGATAGAAATGGCAGATGCGTCGAACAGAAGACCAACGTATCAATCTAATGTCGTTCCCCAGCAACCTCAACCTGAGCCTCAATATTTAGAAGCAGGATACCCTTCGGTTGCCCCGCCTTCCTATCTGCGGCCTGACCGTGATGGATATTTACCCGGTTCACGCGGCCGTCCACAGCCAAAACCCCAACCACGCCCCGTTGCTAAATCGACCCCCACACCTAACCAATATTATAGTGCTCCTCCTCCACCACGCCCTCCAGTGCCTCAACCCTATGTCATGCCACCCCCACCCCCTCCGCAGGCCTATAAACCACCGAGACAATCATCATCTGGTTGCTGCTGTTATTGTCCAGCCATGACCTGCTGTTCATGTTTCTGCATGCTGATATCCCTGGGATTCGTAGCTGCAGGCATAGCTATGATTGTATATGCAAAAGTTGCTGTTCAGTCCTGTCCTGCATGTGATTCGACCCATTTCACAGGCATCTGTAGTGCTTGCAATACAGTGTTGTACGATGGTTTGTTTTATGGTGGTATCGCTGTAGCCTCCCTTGCAGGCATAGGTGCCCTGTGGCGATTGTTTATGTGGATTTGTTCGGCTCGACGCTAATGGATAGGTCATGCTTGCATGGTATCCACCGTGAATTTATATTACCATTGTACTTTCCGAGCTTCATTTTTTTTCCTTACTTCTCATTGTATAGTATTACCACATATGTTTCATTATACATCTTCATATTCTCCCATCCAATAATGTGTATCAGGTGTGAAACAATATGCCGGCCTAAACAAAAAAAAGGGCAAAAAGATATAGTTAAAACTCAAATGAAATTGAACCCCACTCTGAAGCAAAGTGGATACCTTGATAAAAACAAAGCCTGTCATGAAAGTCAAGATAAGAGGCAGCTGTTGTTATGGCTCTTCCCTATTGTGCAATCCGTTGGTATCCAAATTCGGGGGGGGGGGGTGGGTTAATCAATTCCGTCACGGGATAATAACCGTGACTTAAGACATCCCATCCATTCTGAATATCCTTTTGCTTTCTTTGCTTATCATTTTTGGTTTACAGGGTCGCTTTATCATGGAGAGGAGCAACAGTGGTTTCTATACAATCGATGCTTATTCGCTGTCCAAATCCTCAGGCAAACCCTTTCATTTAGCCCAGCGCTTTCCCAATTATCCACGCCTGGTAGATGCAGCGGCCGAGGCTCAGCTGAAAAGAGATGCTTTCCTTCATGCTCGAAGAGAAAAGTTATCGCAGCGGTTTCTTCAAGCTCAGATGGTCGCTCATAATGCTAAAGAGAAAAATGAACTGCGCCGAGTCACCATCGAGCAAAACCTCTTAGCGGCTGAGAGAAAACGAACGGCTCGGTTGGAGAAGCTGCGGTTGTCAAGTCGAGAGATGGTTGAACGGGCAAAGTTGAGAGCAAAACAACATCGGTTGAATGACATGGCTATCCAAGGTAATATCTATGCTTCGATTTCTTTATCTCACAGACGTTCGCTCACTCTGCTTCATTGTTACACCTGAATTTTTTACCAGAGAGCAGGCGGAGAGCCATTGACCAAAAACTCCTTAAAAGTGAGAAGAGAAGGATGGCACTCCAACGAAGAAGCAAGAGTCAGCTTATGAAGCAAAAATTAATATTGCCTCATGACCAATTGGCTCCTATGACAAGTCTACCATTGCAGGCTTACAAGCGATTGCAAATAGCTATCCAAGTATTTCGAAAATTTCGACTCAAGCGGGTCGAGAAACAGGATTTTCAAGAACTGGTCGGTAAATTGAAAGACCCTGAATTAATTACAGCCGCTGGGACGGTGTTGGCTCAAGGCCAGACAAAAGTGGATAAGAGGAAGGCTCGTACCTTTTTGACTGCCTTCATGACAGTATCGAGCCCCAGCGCTATTTTACTTGATATTGAAAGCAAACAGGAGCAGGTATGTTGTGTGTTGATGCAGCCCAGGTGACTGTCCCAGGAACCTTCTAGGCTGTTTGAGGGTTTATTTTTTTGGGGGATTCCTAATATAATCACTAAACTTCATCATGTCTCGCCTTCTTTCTTATTCATGTCTTCCATTCAACCCTTCGATTCTGACATTCAGTCATTGCTGCAAGCTGCAAAAACGCTATTGCACGCATTTCAAGAATGGCTAGAGGCTGCCCATACCAATAAGTTTGACTCAAAGTGGTACGCTTTTGAAGACTGTTGGAACTCGTATTACGCACTGTTCGAAGCTTGGAAGTCAAAAGATGTTGAAAAACTGGTGGATAATTTAATTACACATTACATTGAATTGGAGCGACTCTGGGACACGCTTGGTAAAGAAGCCGACAATGCCAGTGAGATACGGTCTCAGCTCGACGAACAACAACTGCAAATATCGCAAAAGCTACTCAAAGTCGGTGGACCGCAGGCACAGCAAAAGCTTGACACCGCCAAAAAGACCATCGAATTGGCTAGAGAAGAAGCTCAGAAGCGTTCTCAACGTGAACGCGCCGATTCTGTTCTAAGCATTCCATCGTCACCTACGCCAAGAGCCGAGAAGGCTCATCAAGCAGCCACCACCTCCGAGTCTTCCGCCAGCCACACATCATCCCATAGTGATGATCTTGCTAGAATACTTGGTAGCTTTTCGCCAGCCGTTGGGATTACTAATGAACAGCTGGCCCACGAAGTCGTTATGAACCCCGACTTCAAACTCGAGAAGAATGGCAAGTCCGAACTTGTGGATCAAGTGAGAGACATTGCCACCAAAGCGTTCTTTGATTCTATGCGAGAAGATTTTGCCAACAAAAATTATCAGAGATGGATCCCTGGCCTTGTTGGAGATATGAAACAGGTAAGGATTGGTGACTATTTGACCAACCAACACGCCACTCTGAAACTAAGGGCCCTTCTTCTTAGCGATTATTGTCACTAGCTCCAGCCACCTCAAAGATTCATCAGGATGTGAACGACACTCTGGATTTGGCTCTCATTGCTCAACAGATCAACGCCGAAACGTACAACGTAGATAATACCGTCCACTTTGTTATACGCACCATGGAGAAACTGTGTGCCCCAGTACGAGACGACGCTGTTCATGCCATCTCCAGTGCTGGCGATCTTGCTGATACATTCCGAGCTATTTTGGAGCTGCTGGATCAAATGAATTTGGATCTGGCCAACTATCGAATTCAAGCCCTTCGACCCTATTTGAAAGATATCAGTATTGAATATGAAAGGGAAAAGTTTTCAACAGCACTCATGAATGGCAAAATTGGGCTTGTTAAAACGCGAGATTGGTTGAGAACAGCTAGTTCATCCCTCCAAGGGATCGCAGGTCAACGTAATCCGGAAGGCGTAGAGGATGCTGAAAGCAACATCAAATTTACAGACATCTACAACGAAGCCCTGGCGTCTCTCCTTTCATCTAGCGAAGCTCTATTGCCAGACACTTGTCCTGAGACCTTGCTTTTGGATGTCGAGCGCATAACTGGCTACCAAAATGAGGCACAAGCCATCACTATAGTCGCAGCATTGCTAATGCTGACAAAGAACTTTTCGTCTACGGATGAATCGAATCGACACCGAACGTCAAGCTCAGCCATGAAAGTTCTTCGAGACAAATTATTTGTTCTCTTGGAAGCAAAGGACACCACTGTCGAGAATTTATCGCTGCAAGTTATTCAGAGCATTCAGGAGCTATCGGATGTGAATTTTGAAGAATTGCCTGAAGACAAACAGAAACTTATTCGTACCATGGTCGCGAAGACACTGTCTTATAAGGACACCGTGTATTCACTACTTTCCCGACGGCTTCTCTCCATCATTCGGTCCCATTTACAGCATAGTCAATTCAGCAGCAATGAAACCCTCAACAGTTATGGTTTTGGTCTGGTTCGCAGCAAACTGGAGAAGTTGAGCTTCAAGATGTTTATTCTTGCTCGTCATAACCGAGATGTATATGCACGTTGGTACGACGAGATCATTGGTGATATAACACGTACTGTGTAATTTGTAATTGTAGCTATTGAATCTTAATATTGAATAATTAGTAAACCGCAGTCAAGCATTCATGTATAATAAAGCACTGCAGAAATTAAGTCAAAGAATGATATGATTGAACCACTAGAGAGTGGCCAACGTCAATGAATTTAAACCAGTGAGTCAGTGCTTCTTTTGACCGAAAGATAAGGCCTAAAAGCACATCTTATGACATGGTACACTAATTGCTTGAACCGCAGCTTATATTAAATATATTTTTAGCTTGATGGACGTGTTTCATAGATGAAAACGATGAACGACTTTTGACAGCTATGGCACACTTGATTGGCTAGTGTAAATATTATTTGGATCAGCGAAACTTGATGACATGCACTTGCGGGGAGGTAGGACTTCATGCCAACCCAGCGTATTGTCTGTCGTGTTTTAGCAGTGGAAAATGAGATTATCATTGGTAGCCATTGCAGCGTCCACGCTGTCAATATGTTCTATGGCTCTTGGTATATATCGTACTGATTCCATGACTATTCAACCACTGTTTAAACTAACTCGTGTTTTTTCACGCCCAACAATAGCTCATTCAACCGTCTATATTGTGTCTGAAAAGAATGCCGCCAATCAAATACAGCCTAACGTAGCCGTTCCAGAGACCAGCTTCGCATCTTTCGCTACCCTACTTTCACACATCCTGGGCACGTCAGATAGACATACCGTCAATGTTCAAGACGCCAAAAATACATTCAGCTTGGTCAACGACGTCCTTGCCTCATCGCCCGCACTTGACCGTTCCAACTTGTTCTCCAAGTTGAAGGGAAGCATGTTTATCTCTGTTGGAGGTGTACGTGACAGCCAAGGTTTGTAGCCGATACGGTTATCCATTTCATTTGTCCCACGTGGGGGGGGGTTTTTACCGAAAAATGCTGACACCTCGTTCCAGCTATTTTGCCCACCTACAACCCTACATTGACTGTCAGAGACGATCGCTCTGAAGATTTTGTCGCTTTGATGTCTGATCACAACAACTATCAGATCCAACGATCTTCATTTAGAGAAGATGGCGTTACTCGTTTCTTCGATGGCGAGGAGGTAGGTTTCAATTCTCATCCTGCGGACAGATGCTTTCATGGCGCTAAATCAGCCGATCTCAGATCTATGTCGCTGATGATGACGAAGCATTCGAACGCTTCAAGATTGCTTATCCCGAGATCAATGTTGGTGTGTTCGACATGAGCAATGATGTAAGTTGTACGCCAAAATTCAAAGAAAATGACTGAGCAAAGGGCACTAATATGGCGGCGTTATTCGTATCGGGTTTAATCAGGCGGACAAAACCTTTGTTGCAGAAATCGAGCATGTGCAAAATACCGTCAAGGACTTCGTTTTGGCTAGGGCAGACTCCGTTAAGCACAAAACCGATTACCTGACCATCCACATGACCAGCTTAGAGGTAGGTTACATGGTGCTGAGCACATCATTTCATTGAGCTGTTTCGGATTAATTGCGGTACATTTACCCTTACAGGGTCTGTTGGCTACGCACGGTGTTTCTTCCGAACAATACGCAACCGCACAGGCGGTGTTGAAGGACCTATTCGCAAAGGTATGCTGGCTGAAGCCAAAAGTACTTTTTTTTTTTCCATTGAAGAAGACTGGCTAACTGGGCTGCCCCATCAGACGCTGATCCCAGATTTTGAACAAGCATACGAGAACGATGAATATGCCTTCTCCACGTTTGTTCTCTCCCCCACTGTCAAGAGCCGTTTCCAAAAGCGTGCACCACCTGCTGCTTCTGCGGCCGCTCCCGACACGTGCTTCAAGGACATCGCAACCTGCGAAAACGAAACTGACCATTGTAGCGGACGAGGTTCTTGTGGCGCTGTAGTCGATACTCAATGTTATGCCTGTACATGCAATTCAACCAAGTTCCTCGGCGATTCATGCCAAGTAGAAGATATCTCCAGTGATTTCCAACTTTTGTTTTGGACATCCGTTGCCCTTATTCTCATGGTGGCCGGTGCCATCGCTGCTCTCATCAACTTGGGAGAAAACATGGAAGCTCCTCCGATTGTACAAGTGCCTACTAAGCAAGAGTAGATTCCCAAATGTACTGAGCATTTTACTTTATCCATATGGTTGCACGACAAGGTATTGCAAGCGGAAATGGTTCATGTCGTCCCACAAAGAAGTCACCACATGCATCATTTTTTTTTCTTTGAATTAAATTTCGTTTTTTATTCTATTGGGTTTGGTTGCATCATTTTCTCTGAAGAACAAAAAATAAAATCAGATGACTGAGGACAAACACAACAAAATGGGATGATAAGCCTCTTCCGGGATTATTGTCGAAGGGAATAATGGATGAGCTTTTTGAAGAAGAGGTTGTTAATCCGATCCAAAGACGGTGGTTCCAGTAGGTGGCTTGAACGACATGCGGGGAACAAATATAGAAGGGTGAACGACAAAGAAAACAAGGAGGCAGCATACACTCAGAACAGTGGTTAACATGGCGGCCCGACTACACCTCCTTCTCCATTTGTCGTCAGCTGAACTGGCGGTTTTTTCCAGATACCAAGCTCCAATTACCCAAATAATGGGACAAACGAACCCTCCCCAGAAGAAATAGTGACCCTTGGCTTGACTCCGGCGTTGTCGAGCGTACACCAACGGCAGCTGACCACTGCTGCTCTTTCCTTCCCTGAATTCGTGCCACATTTGCTTTACACGAGGCATCCCGCTTCTACTGTTACGGATAGACATACGACCATCCATTGTCAACCAACTATCCCTTGACTTGCGATTATCGTATTTGATTTTGTACAAGATCTTATACCGATCTATATCCTTGGTTCGAGGCACCACCACAGAGTCACGGATGAGAGATGGCCGTGGGTTACAGACGTGTGGAAGTGTTGCAGTACGAATCTTGTCCGATGTGATAGTTTGTACTTCGTCAGGGCTACAAGTTGCCAAGGCAGTAGGTGGGCAAGGTTGAATCACGGAATCCCATTGGGATGCATTGATTTTCTCTTCCTCCGTGTGGTCTTCACCATGAGGAAGGGTTTCAATGTCCACAAGGTCATCACTCGACGCGGGGGATTCTTCCTCCTCTGCAGGCGACAAGGGTAGTGCCGGTAAATCTTTTTCTTCAGCATGGATTTGAGAATGCTCTTCTTCTATATCGAGGAATACAGAGTCCTGGCTATCGTCTTCCTCTACAAGCTGTACGCTGATTTTCTCAGTCTTTATATTGGAAGTGTTATCTGTTGTATATTCTTCTTTTATAACAGGTAACCTCAGAATTTTGTCGTTGAGCGCTTTGGTCACGATGGATTTGGGTAGTTCCTTTTGTCCTGGAGTGGAGATTACCAGACCGGTCAAGGTCCATAAAGTTTCTAACATATTATCTGATAAAGCGAGTGAGGCTCAATGTTGCTGCGGACAACATATATTTACTGTATAGTTTACCTGGAGGAGGGAATCAGCTTGGACGGAAAGAAGAAATAGCCATGAATAAAAAGATACAGTGGCCTCGGAAGTGATTCATACTAAATATATTTAATCTCGTTTGTAGAGTACTCATTTATGATCTATCTTATAATCAAGGAATTGGGCAACAATGCAATAAATGTCCACTCTTTGATTTTTATCAGAGAGCTACTAGTTTATTTTGTAATTTGTATGCCGTGGTTTTTTAATTTGTGTCCGCGTGACCAGAACAGTAGAATGGTAAAAGGAAAAATGTAACAAGCGTCATCCCTAAGCGCTGCGAACAACATAAAGTAAAAAAAGACGTCTTGCCTGTAAATATTTTGCAGCCGTATTTCGTCAGAAGGATTTTGTTTAGTGGCATTTGCCAATGTTACTTACTATTTGTACGGTATGGATGGTAACCGCATTAGCTTTGTGCGCGATTAAAACATCAATCATGCAGATTTGACAAGAATAAACCCTAGTATTTCTCTGAAGTTGACACCACTGACTGATCAGAAGGTTATATCGAAGTGTGGAACCATCCACAGAGAGGTTCAGCGCAGACTTGATCATTTACCAGATAAGCTAGGATACTTGGTGGTCAGCCGGTTTCATCACATTTCCAAACAATTATAAGCTTTTATTTTTTTTTCCCTGCCCGAGCACTGACTTCTCCCGAACTAAACGTTTCTTCCATCCCTCTTCTTTTACTTCATTGCACTTTGCGCATTCAGTAAAACTGATATTGATTACTGGAATTAGTGCATTTCCCGTTTTTTCTTTCCAAACCACATTAAAGAAAAATCTACAGTTGTTCGAATTTTGGAGCTGATCAACTTTTTTGTTTCTGTTACTACTGAAGTAACGAAGTTATCCTTTTATCCCAAATATCGTAACACTTCAGCTGTTACAACATGGTCTATTCAAAAAACCTGCAGGAAACAAATCCATCCATCCCTACGAAACCGCTTCCCGAAGGCAAGGTGTATAATATGGCAGATTTGATGCCTTCCACTCCGTTGTCAGCTTTACCGCAAGACCCCATGACAGCGCGACATAAAGGCAAAGAAAAAGAAATCCCGTTTGAATCAATCAGGTACCAGCCATTGATGGCCAATCATCGCCAACACAACCACCATGAAACCCCCAACTATACAGAAATGAATCCTGATAACCGGTTCGAAGCGCTTCATCCTACATCGACTGTACCGGGTATGTTCCATCCAAAGCGAATTCTTTTTCCTGATAATTTTTTTTCGGATAGATTCCGGATACTAAATTCAGTTCACTCCTTTGCATACGCTCTGTATTTCTACAGAAGGTAAGAACAGTGTTAAATGGGCATCGCTGTCTATCAGTTTTTTGACCTTACTAAGGCTTATCTTGCAAATCAGCATTTAACAGGGTCGTGCCAAATAATGGGCTACCATCACCAGGTGGCGAAATTTTTGCAATGAGTGCACAATTTCCCACTATGGAGCCACACGTTCCCATGCAGACAATGGTAGCCAACCCACCAATAGCTTCCACCTCGGCGGCACCACTAGACAGTCACTTCGATCCATCCACTGCCCTCCCATACGAATTTTTAGCAAATTATATTGAAAGCATCTTCTTTAACTACCACGGATTTTACGAGTACTATGTTAATCGACCGAATTCACTTCTACTCCCGGCGGTTCCTATTCCCATGCCTAACATGTCTAACAAAGCAAACCGCGCCATGGAAAGCTCCACGGTGCAAATTAATCAACCATTGGCTCCAGAACACCAAATCATTGAAGAACCATCCATAGTCCACACAACAAATACAAGCCCGCAGTTATCCGTGACAAGATCGACTGCTGCAAGTCAGTCTCATGACAATTTAAGGGCGGTTACACAGGCCCATTCAACGACCAAAGCTATCACCACCCTTCATGGCCATTATGACATAAAAGAAGAAGCTGAACTTCAGCAATCACCCAGTTTTCCAATGAGAGCACCTGAACTTTCTCGCAGCCAGTCCATTGGAATGGACGATCTGTCGCCGCACTATGATCAAGAAATGAGTGGCGACGACGACTCCAACGATTATGCTGACACCGAAGACCTTCTGGTACCGGACGCTTCTATTACTGAGCTGAACGTCGGCTTGGACCTCACTCCAATTGAACAGGGAGTCCGTTTCCCTGGTGATCAATATACACCCGTATGGGTGAGGTTTCAAGGCAGACGCAGACAAGGACGATGCGAACAATGTGTCCACCTCAACCGAAAGATCCTCTGGTTCAAGCTTAGAACTAGCCAGTACTTGTGAGCACTAACTCATACTGCATATTAAACACGAAAGCCGCCCGCTCACTAAGCTCTCTTTTACAGATACCATAAACTAAACGCCCACGGTATCATTCATGCTACAGGCAGACCGTTCAACAAACCCATCGACGTTCGTATGAATGTCGACGGTACCCGCGAAGGATGGTGCCATGTCTGTAATACATACCAGATGGCTTACACTCCTCGTGGCCGGCCGCCCATGTCACGCTGGGCCCCTTGGTACAGACATGTGTACACGGTAATGTAGCCTGAACGATTGCCCGTTACGAATTCTTCCTAAATTACTTACTTGCCTTTTTATATATATATACAGTGTCACCCCGTCTGCAGTTACCGAAAGCGCTCTCGTATAGGATAAAGGCACCATCAATGAGATGCTTATCTCTTTGCCTTCGCGTTTCTCTCGGAAGAAACGATTCATTTTACTCACATCTTCCCCTCGCATAAGAGGTCCACTTTTTGTTTCTTACGGTTTTTTCTCATTCGAGTACAGTTCCTGTATTCCATGTTAATACCGCTTCTCCTATCTCAAGGTAATAAGTTACTCTAAACGACATTCTTACAATGTCTCTTCTACCTGTGGATAAATAGTTGATGTCCTTTGTTGCAAGTCGCTCCTCATTAGCATAATCTCACGAGATGTATGGCGCCTTCACTGAGCGTGTGTCCATATCAAAAATAGCATCCATTCTGTAATTATTTACCTCCATTTTGTTGCATAGATCTTTCTGTTTGGGGGTGGTGATCATAGTAAGCAGATCTCAGCTTTGATGTCATGGAAGCTGCTGATATGGCTAGGATGGGGTCACTTGAGCGAATGTCCCTATACCAGCCGAAAGATAAGTGTGGTAGCTGTCAAAGGTCCAGACTTGTACTCCGGGTAAAGACTTCACTATGTTAAAAAAGTGAACCTTTTTTTTTTTTTTTTTTTACATATCACTTTAGGAACATAACGGAAAATGAAAGACTAAGCAGCCTTTCCACTTCGACCTAGGCAATAGCTTCGTGCACCATTGCCTGGACTAGCGGGCCGCTCAGCCTTGAACCAATGATCAAACCTCGGACCAGGTGAGGTATCCACCATTCATTATAAGCAACGTGCTTCAATGTTTATGCTGCCTTATTGTCCATATCCTGCCAATGATGATGTATACCAATACGGTGGGATGACCACAGCCTTGGTCATAGCACACTCTTTCCGTTCCATACCACTGGACCTCTTTGGCGACGAAAATGTCGGAATTGGTCTGAAACGACAAATGATGTATATAAACAATTCAAGATTGTAATAAAATGAAAATAAAGACCCAGGTAACAGTCAGTCAATTTCAACATTTTTATTCTCGATCCTCCGATGCTTTCCATGGTCTTTGCTATTTTGATGATGTAACGCATTTTTCTCTACAAGATGGACTCACTTCATGTCCCAAATGTTTGGGCTGAGTCCATATGGCTCGGGAGTTAATCTATACTTAACTTGGTGTACAGCACAAATCTGAGTAACTGTCAACTTGGAGCTATGGGGTCTGTGTGGTCGGAAAAACGACCATTGTGAATAAATGACGGCCAAACTTCTACAAGCAACGATTTATCATGACAACTGTTTTACAAGGAAATATTATAAAGATCAGAATTGCTTTGGATTTTCATGGAGGTTTCCGCACGTACCTGCAGTTCCAATACTCTCCGTAGCGGTGTCTACCGTCTCTTATGTCATTGATTACAGCATGGTGAAATATATCACGACGACTCCTTATGCTTGTTCGATACAGAACAACTTGGTTACGCTGGTCGGTGACTTTGCAGCCTGAATAGTTTTATAAGAGACAGACGAGGCCAGAATTAAAAATTTGCCGCAGTGTAGACCTGAGGCACCTTCGGACTGCGTTTGATTTGTCAAAGCTGGCCCACTGTGACCACTGAATTATAAAGGTCAGTGCTCCAGTCCGTCCCCGCCTACCGCAGCTATACCATGAAGCAGCGATTCAGCGCCCTCGACGTTCGAGCAACTGTAGCCAACCTAAAAGAAAGGTAGACCGTGTGATCATTTCGCAAGGCATTACATAACTCATGCTGACCTTGTTCCAAAAGGTTGATTGGGCTTCGAGTCCAAAACATATATGATGTCACTTCACGAACATTGCTGTTCAAGTTCGCCAAGGTCAGTTCGTAACCTTCCTTACTCATAAATCACCCATCGTACTCATACCTATGACCATTAGCCCGACTCCAAAGAACTCGTTCTAATAGAATCAGGAATCCGACTTCACTCGACCCAGTTCGCACGAGACAAGTCAGCTATGCCGTCTCATTTTTGTGGCAAGGTGCAGTGTTGTTGATATCACAGTCTCCAAAACCAATGTGTCAATCTAACCATAGAGTCAATGATATCATAGCTACGTAAACATCTGAGAACCCGTCGACTGCTCAATGTTCGTCAGCTGGGATCAGATCGTATTGTGGATTTCGAGTTTGCTGGCGGCGAGCTGACGGCTGGATATCACATCATTGTCGAATTTTATGCATCTGTAAGTGGAAGAGGCTGGGAAGCGAGAAAAGAACTATCATCTTACCAGGATTTGTTTGTTGGCTAGGGTAACATCATTCTCACAGATCACGAATATCGTATCTTGACACTGTTGCGTGTGGTTCAACCCAGCGAAAACGTTAAAATGGCAATCGGTGAGATTTATGATGCCAAAAGCATTGCGCGAGACTTTCAGTCGGTGCAGTTAGAAAAGCTGCAAACCGTCTTGCGAGCTGCCGGTCCTAAAGATGTGCTTAAGAAGGTCATCAATACAAACTTTGGTAAGTTAGCGAAGTTCATTCCGAGTCTCTACGCCATCACATTTTCTAATCATTGCAATTCAAATTGCAAGATTATGGTCCGTCCCTATCAGAACATGCTATCTTGGTAGCCAAATTGGATCCGAATTTGAAGGCTGCCACCGATATGGATACCAGTGAAGGTTTGCCCCTCCCTCATCTGTTCAGATACAAAGGTGATTCAAATGTCTAATTTTTTTTTCATTTCATGTTGGTGAAAAAAGGTTCACCTCAAATGAAGGCCCTATTGGAAGCTTTGGAGGAAGCCGATAAATTGATTGAAGCGGTTGGAACCACGGTTCCGAAGGGATACATCATTTTGAAGGAGACAGAAAAGAAGAATGAAGATGGAACTAATCTCGAGCTGTATGTATTGGCATGGCGTGTTGATGTGTGGTCCAGGTGGGCATAAACTGACACTCTATGTCTCCAGCTACGATGAATTCCATCCACATTTGTACGAACAGCACAAGTCTCGACCTTTCAAGGAGTACGATACTTTTGATGCTGCGGTTGATCAGTTCTTTTCCGAAATCGAGTCTCAAAAGATTGATATGAAGGCTAGATCACAGGTAATGTGCTGGTCGTGCTGCTTGGCATAAGGTTTAGTTGACTGGTACTGACATATAAGCCCTATAGGAAGAGAATGCAGCCAAGAAACTGGAGGCTGCCAGACGAGAGCAAATGAACCGTATCCACGGACTGGAAAGCTTGCAACTTACAAACGTCCGCAAGGCTCAGCTTATTGAAAACAATCTGCAGATGGCAGATGCTGCTATCTTGATTATTCGTAATGCCATCGCTACTGGTATGGATTGGAGAGAACTGGAGGATTTAGTAAAGGACGAGCAAAAGCGCGGTAATCCCATCGCTTTGATGATCGATTCCTTGAAACTAGAGACCAATCAAGTTTCTTTACGGTTGAGGTACGTCAGACAAGGTCTAGTTGACACACTGTCACCCACATTTTAATCAAACGATCCTATAACCAGCGACCCTGACTATGAGTCCAGCGAAGAAGATTCCTCAGATGAAGACGATGAGAAGGTTGAAAAGGAACGCAAAGAGCCTTCCAAGGTCGATGTGGATATTTATCTGACAGCTTTTGCAAATGCTCGAAAGTACTATGACCAAAAACGTGCCACTGCTGCCAAACATGAAAAAACCATTGCCGCTTCAGAAAGGGTACGACTTGGTAAATTGGATTTATTCTCCTTGATAATATCTCTGGTGTTAACATTGTTTTCTCTTGGTAGGCTATGAAGTCAGCAGAAAGAAAGATCAAACAGGAGCTGAAGGAATCTAAAATCACAGCCACCGTTAGCAAGATTCGCAAGCCTTTCTGGTTTGAAAAGTTTCTTTGGTTTATTTCCACTGAAAACTATCTCGTTATTGCTGGTAGAGATATGCAGCAAAACGAACTTCTCGTCAAGCGGTACCTTAGCAAAGGTAAGCTCGTGTCTATGAAGTCAAGTTGTTGCGGGTGTTTTTTGCCATTTTTACCAACCCGTCTGTCGCTGCCCCGTAGATGATGTCTATGTCCATGCGGATCTACATGGTGCTGCTTCGGTCATTATCAAAAACTCCAACCCTGGCCACGAAATCCCTCCAAACACGTTGCATCAAGCTGGTATCATGTCGGTTTGTCAGAGCAAAGCATGGGAGGCAAAGATTGTCACTAGTGCCTACTGGGTGCTTCCTGATCAGGTGTCCAAGTCTGCCCCAACTGGAGAGTACTTGACCACAGGATCATTTATGATCCGAGGCAAGAAAAACTTTTTGCCGCCGGTGCAGTTGGTGTATGGGTTTGGGTATTTGTTCAAGCTGGACGATGCTTCCCTTGGAAACCACGTCAAAGAACGACGCTATCTGGCTACTGATGAAACTGATGAATCAAAGGTAGATGCAGAAAAGGAGAAGGAGTCAAAAACAGGGGAGAAGGCGACACCAGAAAAGCAGGAACCACCGGAACCAGTAGATGTTGAGCACAACGTTCCTAGTGCCAACTCTGAGGCATCATTCGATGGCCTGCAAAGCACTGAGAATTCAGCAGCGGCTAGTGTCACTAGCGAAATTTCTGATCAACAGCTGTCTACTGACTTTGAGCAAGACGGTGAAAGCGGAGGTAGGTCTAACATAATGGGTTAATGGTCGAAAATACGAATTTCTGATCTTGGAACATTTAGGTGAAGAGCAGTCCTCTGGACAAACGACTTCTCAAGATCAGTCTGTCGCTAGCGATAGCAGCGATGATGATGACGAAGATATGGCGTTCCCTGACACCCAAGTGAATCAACCAGCAGCAGGCGGCTCTCAATGGGATAAATACAACCTACAAACCCTTGGCGACGATGAAGATGCTTTCGATCAAGACGGAGCGTCCCAGCATGACACAGACACCGTAAGCGAGCAGTTTGTAATTGTACATACCGTCTATTCTCATGATGTCTCACACCGTTCGTTTGATGGGCATTTAGAGAAAGTCATACATCACTGCCAAGCAGCGACGAATGATGAAAAAGGGCAAAACTTTGGATGAATTAACACAGTCACCTGAGCCAGAGGCGAATGAAGCAAAGCAGACTCCTAACAAAGAGGTAAAGATGGGGTTTATATTACTTGCCACGCTTGAAATTGCGTATTAAAGCATCCTTGATTCAGGTTAACAAGGACAGCAAGAAATCTCAGCCAATAGCACCGTCCCGTGGTAAGAAGGGCAAGAGCAAGAAAATCAAAGAAAAATATGCTGATCAGGATGAGGAAGAGCGAGAGTTACGCATGGAACTGTTGGGTGTAAGTGTTTTCCCCTTTGTTTTTTTTTTTACCCGTGTGTACCGATCAAGCCAAGTAACATCGTTCTAGTCCAATAAAGGGCCTCAACCAAAGGGTAAAAAGGCTAAGAAGGAAGCGCAAGCCAAGACAGAGAGTCTTGCCCGCCAGCTTGCCAAAGAAAAGGCTAAACAAGAATACGAGCGAAAACGTGCGGAAGCTGCGGCTGCAGGTGAAGCAGCAGCTGCTGAAGCTCCTGTCAAGACCAGAGTAAGTTCATGGATCTACTATTTACCAACCAGTACTGTTATTTACACCGGTTTTTATCGAACTAGGAAACTCGCGCGGAGAAGAAACAACAAACCGAAGAGATCAAGCAAATGCTGAAAGAGGAGAACATCACTGTTTTGGAAGCGGATGAAATTGTGAGTATCGCCTCCCTCAGCAGTGTTTGTATTGCACTATCTTACTGACGCATTTCGTTTGATGTGTTTAGGCCAACTTGTCCGTTCTGGACTCCCTCACTGCCCAACCTGTTCCCGAGGACATTTTGCATTTTGCCATACCCATTTGCGCTCCCTATACAGCTCTGCAAAAGTACAAGTACAAGGTCAAGCTCGTGCCTGGCAGTGGAAAGAAAGGAAAAGGTAAGAAGAATACACGGTGGCGTGGAAAAGTCACAACCCATTCACCCTTGTCTCCTCCATCAGCTGTCAAGCAGGTAGAAGCACTCTTCTTAGGCCACCATGAAGCAACCGAGCGTGAAAAGGAGCTCATCAAGAGCGTGCCAGACATGGAGTCGATCGGAACCATGATGAGTAAGGTCAAGGTCCTGTCGCCCAATATGGAGGCTGATAAGAAGGGAGGCAAGAAGTTCAGCAAGAAGAAATGATACGTTATTGTTTGAATCGGTCAATGATAGAATGCATCTATTTTTGCAAAGTATTGACAGAACGCACACAACTAATAAAAAATATACACGATTATACAAAAAAGAAATACTAAAGATGAGAGGGGGAAAAAAGAAAAAACGACTAGTTTTTTGTACGAATGAGCAGCAGCACTCTTTGAATGACTGGTTTGTTAAAGACAGTATAGAGGAAACGTTTTTGTTTTCTGGTTGTTGGTGTGAATATTTACCAATACATCATGTTGGATGTGTTGGTGTTGTTATTATCTTGTCTTTGGTAACCAGGACCTTTGGGTAGGTCGTTGTTATAGTAATTGAACAAGGAACTGTTGGCAGGCACGGGCGGCAATTTCGGGGGTGGTGGCACGGTCATATTATCTACACCAGGTAAAGATTTCGGGGGCATATGCGGTAAAGCAGGCTGATGTGATCCAGGTCCCATTGGTGAGTGATTATTAGGCTGACGGTACATTTGCATTTGGGGATCCGGGTTCCCTTGCTGCTGTTGTTGCATTCCTTGCGATCCAAGGTAGCTATTCCATTCTTCTATATCCAACGACGACGGTACTCCCCAAAACGCAGTAGCAAGTGGATCATAGTTCGTTTGACTAGGTCCTAAAACAGTACCTGGTGCAGCGAACGGATCCATCGTCGAGGTTCCAGCTTCCATGGGTTGACCAAGTCCCATTTGTGATTGAGCCGGTGAGTACGAGTAACCTGAAGCATTGGCCTCGACAGGATGATCGTATACATGCCCTGGCGGTGGTGGACGCTGGGATGCATCGGATGGATGCTTTGCGCCGTAGGGTTCCGTCGTTCCTTGCATTTGCTCTACGGCTTTGAGATCATTTCCTCCGCCATTGGCGCTTTGTTTCCTTTGTAACCATTGCTGAGGTGATCCTCTGTGTCGCTCGAAGCTAGTACTGGGTCCTGATTTCAAAGCGAATGATTCATCTTGGCTGGTCAGGTCTTCGGCTTTATACTGAGGTGGACGTTGTTCCAGATCAATATCGCGGACACCCAATAAACCTCCCAAAATACTACTACTGCGAGCGGCCGTGTTCCAAGTTCGTTCAATCACGCTCAAAAACTTCATGATCATATGAATGCGATTTTTGGAGTCTTGGACGATCTCACGGTCCATAACAGAGGATGCGTTATGTACAAAAATGATGGCTCCCGTGAAGATGGCATAGATGAGATAATTGTGAACATATCTTAGCTTTCCAGTTTCGAACATGCCCTGCGCGATATCCACAATAGCGTCGGCTGCCGCGCTACATCGAACCCAGGAGGGTGATTGATGTGAATCATTGGATTGCTTTGCAGCGGGTATCATTGGTCGATATAAAAGAACGACAGCAGCATGATAAAACATATGGAGTTGGCATTTCGCTACGCTGGCAGACGTGCCCGTGGCATGATTGGATTGACTTTGCAACTCCGGTGGAAGGGATTCCAACCATGTCGATAACTTTTTTTCTAAAGTGTTGATGACACCATTCATATTTTGGCTGAATGCTGATTCTCGCGCCTTAACATAGTAGGTGTTTTGGATAATGTAGCCCAAAATTTTGATGATCTGTATCAGGTGCTGGAATTGATCGATGACAGCGGAGCCATTAACGAGCCCCGCAGACCCGTCGGGCACATCTGGCAATGAAATGTCGCAGTCGGCTTCGTCAATCGTAAAAGTGCGGCCATAGGTAGCACTGGTGATACGATCAATCACAAAACAGCACCAAAATACTCTTTTTCGCTCTTCTTTAACGTCGTCTGGAATGTTCCATTCATCACAGTTTCGATTTAAGCCGATATCTGAAGCAAACCGGAAAGCCTACATTAAACAATTAGTAAGAAGGTTAGCTTTTGCAAATGATCCAATCAAAATGAAAAGGTATTTTTTTTTTACCATTCCATTATAAAGCCAGGCTCGCGTGGACCGCATGGCGCCATGCTGATGACTTGACATTAATAACAGTGCTTGAATAGTGGATATTTTGGAAACATCATGTTCAGCTTCGAGTAGAATACGAGCTCTTTCAAAGAAAATATCACCAGCTGTTCCAGCCAGGCTGGGATCACTTCGAACGCGTGGATCATTGGAGACTCTGGAGGCAACGGCGTATATAGCATTCAGTAAGATTGGTGGAACAGGCGGAGTCCCTTTTGTCCCATTTATAGTTGCCAAGAACTTGTCTTTGTGTAGCAAAGGTAAAAATGGATAGAAATGCTCGAAATACAGGCCAATTAGATGATCTGATAGATCAGGTGGAGGTAATTCAAATGGATCAAGCATTCTTTGTCGGTCCACTGACATTTCAGATTCGTTGCGTTGTTGATAACTTCTACGAGGGATAAAATATGCCCCGTTTTGCAGAGGTTTGAGTTTGGGGATCATATATAAACCAGAAGATTTTCCAATATATCGCATTTGCCCACTTTCATCCATTGACAGTTGTCCTACAGGATCACGCGATGCTCTCTCTTTTGAAGAACTCGAGGCGTTGCTCGCTGCTGTTGGGTCGTCATAGAGTAAAAGTGATGTCGGAGGTGGCAATTCATTTTCCCGTTGGCCGGGAGACGAAGAGGATCGCTGACGGTAGTGCCCTTCCCTATCATTCGTTGCTGTAGACGACCATGATGACGAATGATGATGCCCGTTCATATCTGCCTTTGACGAAGACCGTCGCACTGGTCGAGAATTAATTGTCTCTCCCTGCGGCGTTTCAAGTGGCGTATTCAATTCGGCTGCTGCTGCTCTGGCAAACATAGTATCACTTGCTGCCACGTCCCCTAACAGTGCTTCCATTCGATTGAGACGAGTTTCGATGGCTTCAATGTATCCCTTGGGTGGACCTCGCTGTAAAAAAACCAATGATACATTTTTTTTAAATAGGGAAGGACCCCGTCAGTACTCCATCTTTGGTACCCGTGCGCAGTTGCCCCATATTGTTGCCCAAATCGCTCACCTTCTTGGTCGTATCTTTGTATGTACACAGGTAACTGAATTGCTGGCAGTTACTACAGACTGGAATCAGCCCGTCGCATTTGACTTTTTTCCGGCGACACAAGTCACTATTGTTCAGAGGCATGATTAACGACTCATCAACGTACCATCCCATTCGCCACCTTCATCAGCCGCTCGTAAAGCAAACTTACCATGCCCGACTGACTCTTTGTCTCTTGCTGTCGTCCCCATTAATAGACATTGCGGCCCAATTGCCTAAAGTTCACAGAAATGCCAAAGGGCACGAGAAAAAAAGAGGTTGCTTGGGAGATGGTTGCCTGTTGCTTGTCAAGTTTCTTTTGTAGACTCTTGACAGAAAGGTGTGTGCGAGGCAAAAGTAAAGGTGAAGAGGAGGTCCGAACACTGCGAAGCTTCCGAGCGTACGGGATTTGAGACGCTCGCTGGCTGGCTCACCCAAAAAAAAAGAGACGTCACAGGCCCAAAAATTTCTTTTCGATACTTTAGTTGATTGAAAGCTTCCATTGCATTAGAAATCAATCATGAGTCAAAACACTGATTCCATCGAAAAGGGAACTTCTAAGCTCTCGTTGAATCCCAACGCCAACGAATGGAAGCCTAGCTTCAGTGCTACCGAATTCGTCCCCAGCTGGATGCAAAAGCCTGCAGCTCCTGCTGCTGCACCCGCCGCCACTGCTGCTGGTATGAATCTTCATCACCACTGCCATTGATCATCAACACATCCATCGCTGACTCATTTTACTTCTCTGTAGCTCCTGCCAAGGTTCTTAGTATTGGAACTCCTAGCAACGATGCCTCTGTTAAGACCGAAGCACCCAAGGTCATCAGCATTGGTTCGTCCGCACCAAAAGCCGAAGAGGCAAACCCCGCCAAGGTCGAGTCTCCCAAGCCTGAAGCTCCCAAGCCTGCTGAAAAGAAGCCTGATTCTAAGCCTGCTTCTCGATCCGCAACCCCCAAGCCTACAAAGAAAGCAGAAGAAGCTGCTAAGCCCGAGGAAGTTGCCAACGTCGAGGAAGACCTGGAAGCTGTTGACGATGAGGTACTCGAAGATTTGTATGGCAAAGAGCATTTGAACGTTGTCTTCATGGGTCACGTCGGTTAGTATCTTTCTTGAATTCTCAAAGGACACGGGTTGACCAGTAGTAGACCCGTCTTGATCTATATACTGACCTTAACCCTGCTTTGTACCTTAGATGCCGGAAAGTCCACCATGGGTGGTAATATTCTTTTCTTGACTGGAATGGTTGATAAGCGTACCATGGAAAAGTATGAAAAGGAAGCCAAGGAAGCTGGTCGTGAGTCCTGGTACTTGTCATGGGCTCTTGACACCAACACCGAAGAGAGAGCAAAGGTGTGTACAATACCATATTGAAATGGGTTGAATTGATGGTTGGACTTACACCACCGTTCATTTTTTCATCTTCATTAGGGTAAGACCGTCGAGTGTGGTCGCGCCTACTTTGAAACTGACAAGCGTAGATACACTATTCTTGATGCCCCAGGACACAAGAACTATGTTCCTAGCATGATCAGTGGAGCTTCACAGGCTGATGTTGGTGTCCTTGTCATCTCTGCTCGTAAGGGTGAATTCGAAACCGGTTACGAACGTGGTGGTCAAACTCGTGAGCACACTATGCTTGCTAAGACCTCTGGTATCAACAAGCTCATTGTCGTTGTTAACAAGATGGATGACCCTACCGTCAACTGGGATAAGGAAAGGTACGTCGACAATCTATTTTCTCTGATACAAATGTGCTGCGCGAGGAAACTCATATAACGTGTCTCTTTCACAGATACGACGAAATTGTCAGCAAGTTCGGACCCTTCTTGAAGGGTACTGGTTACAACCCCAAGACTGATGTTACATGGATGCCAGTCTCTGGTTACACTGGTGCCAACATCAAGGAGAGATCCAAAGCCTGCACCTGGTACAACGGCCCATCTCTTCTTGAGTTCCTTGACAACATGCAAACTGTCGATAGAAAGATTAATGCCCCACTTATGATGCCTATTAATGAGAAGTACAAGGTAAGCAAACGTGAAACTCATGTCGTTGTTGGAACGTTGGTATTGACTATATAATTAGGATATGGGTACCATTGTTGTCGGTAAGGTTGAATCTGGCAAGGTCAAGAAGGGACAATCTATTATGCTCATGCCCAACAAGGTATATGTCTATTCTCTTGTCTCCTTTGTGTGTGAGAGCATGAAACTAAAGCTTGTATTACGTAATTTTTTAGCGTGTTTGCGAAGTTAGTGCCATCTTCAACGAGACCGAGGATGAAGTTGAGCATGCCATCTGCGGTGACAACATTAGACTGCGTCTCAAGAACGTTGAAGAAGATGTAAGTGTATTTGGAAGACATTTTTGCTTCAGCCGGTTTGATACTAATCGAACGCTTGCATGTAGGAAATTTCAAACGGTTTCGTCGTCTGTGATATGAAGAAGCCTGTCAAGACTACCAACGTCTTCGAAGCTCAACTCGCCATTCTCGACCACAAGAACATTATCTGCGCTGGTTACACTGCTGTCCTTCATATCCACACTGGTATTGAAGAGATCACTCTTTCCGTAAGTGTCCTTCGATGACTGCTCTTGTGTGAAGGACTAGACTTGGAACTAACTTTCATTCTGCTGCTATCCTCCATAGGCTCTTCTTCACTTGATTGATAAAAAGACTGGTAGAAGAACCAAGCGTCCACCTCAGTTCGTCAAGCAAGGCCAGAAGGTCATTGCCAGAATTGAGACTGCTCAGCCTGTGTGCGTTGAGACCTTTGAAGATTATCCTCAACTTGGCCGTTTCACTGTCCGTGATGAAGGTTCGTTATCAATTCAGCCCCATAATTGACCTGTAGTGTGAGCGTTGACTTACAAAATGTCTGTTTAGGTAAAACCATTGCCATTGGTAAGGTTACCAAGGTTCTTGACCCCACCGCCTAAGCAAAGCGAAATGTCTTGTTCTCCAATATACTTCCACCGCATTCCATCATTTTGAAAGAGATACAAACGTAAAGATGTTAAACTGTAAATAACCCAGCACGACCAGTTGCAAGCATATTATAGGATGTACCCTCTTTGAAAATATGGATGTACGTTCTGATAGATTCATCCTTATTTGTAGATTTTTATTGAATTCTACACTCATTATCTTCTCTTTGTATCTTCTTTTACCCGAGCGATAAAAATTTAAAATGAGAAACCATTGAGCGTGTTAGTGTTTGAATTGCTTTTTATCGTGTAATCCAGTTTGTTTCAAATAGTTGCGCACTGAATGGTATGGCCCGTTCGGCGCAATGCACGTGATATTGGATCATTATGATATCCGTTTTAAAATTTATAACCTCTAGCGGGCGACTACTGTCGTTCTTTACTCACAATAACAACTGATATGAATACTGCCAAACAGCTGCCTTTCCAAGTTTTTAAATTCCAACCAAAATCGCATGCCAGGATAAACCAGTCGGCTATCATCGTATGTAACTCCCATGCTGTTGCTGTCTTTGACTTTCATGTCTAACCTATGCAACTTTCCTTAGGTGCTTCAAGAGTGGTGGTATGGTGCAACCCGTTTCATTCTTTACGTAGAACCTTTCCATTGACTGTACTATTGTCGTTCGCAGGGGAATCAATGACCAAATCAAGATGCACGCTCAAAACTTGGCCGACAGAACAGGGGCAGTTACCGTGGTGCCAGACCTCTATAAAGGCAAGGTCGGCGTCACAGCAGAGGCAAGTGCGAGTAACACATTCATGGAGCAGGTTAACTTTAGCTAATGGACTCAAATATACAGGAAGCTAGCCATTTGATGGACGGCCTTGATTGGAGACAAGCTATGCGTGAGCTGGATGACTTGATCAAGCAACTTCGGGAAGCTAAATACACGTAAGGCGTTTCCTATCATGGATTGAGAAAAGTGTTCAGGTGTTGATTCAATGGTTTTGCTTTTAGAAAACTTGGATCCATCGGTTTCTGCATGGGCGGTGGCCTTTCTTTGGCGTTGGCTACTCACCTTGCAAACACGTCTCACCCGTTGGCCGCTGCTGTGACTTGTTATGGCACTCCACCCAAAGACATTTTCGACGTCCGCGAAATCACCAAGGTGACCCCAGTGCAAGGCCACTTTGGCGCCAAGGTAAGTTTGTCAGGCTATTATGCACATGAAGCGAAAACGGAATGTTCACATAAAATGAAATTGAAAAGGATAACATGAAAGGATTGAGCGACCCTGAGACGGTCGACGCCTTGGAGTTCAATCTCAAGAGCGCTACAGGTCGCAAGGCAGACGTGGAGATATTCAGATATCCTAATCTCGGTCACGCGTTCTTGAACGATGAAACTTGGAGTGTGAAGATGCGCAAGGAACTTGGAATGGTTGACAAGTCAAAGGATGTCATCCACGAAGAACAAGATGAACGTTCAGCAGCATGGAACCGTATTGCCAATTTCTTTGTCACTCACTTTAACCCCAGCCTAACCGAGCAAATAGGCGGATCCAGCTTGTAATTGTCCTACCAACCACCATAAATAAAACCTATGCTTTTTACAAATCTATCTTTATGATGCTTTATTTTCATATAGAGATGATCAAAGCCATTAATCTATGTCCATGCTCTTTGCGCCTAATTGACTGCCCATCAAACTTCGCAGCCGCTTGTTACTCGAGTCTGACTTGTCGAAGTAAGAATTCGTCCTGGCAAATGACTTTTTGGCACTTGCAACGACGTAAGGCTCTGCAGATGCCTTCATTCTATTCCACATCCAGCGAGCCAACAAAGGGATACTACACGTTTGTTGGATGACGGTGTTCATCTTTTGCTGGTCAAATATCTCAGTATTCCACGCCATTTGCTGCTCTCCATTCACATCGAGAGAAGTTGGTTTTTGCATAGTCACAGTGGGTGTCGTTGGAGCTGCATCCGAGATATTGATGATGAAAGTGACAAGTAAAAAGATATCGTTGTCTGACTTGGGTGCCATCATCGTCACTTGTATTGATGATGGTGCTTGCAAAACAGCCACCTCCAGGTTCATGGAATTGGTATCATCGTCCTCGTCTGGCACGAGAGATAAAAAAGTTGATTATTATGTACAAGGCTCACAAGACGACTTCAACAGGATCTCACCTTGGAGCAAATCTGCCAGAGATATCTCAGATTTAACAGGCTGTTCTCCTGCTTCCTTCGGCATACTTTCGCGATTAAATACACTACGGAATAAGTGATTAAAGACGATTTGTTTCCGTAAAATCTATGAAGGTCGCAGTTGTGAGTGAGTATGAATTATGAGAATTAATGTGTAATGCGTCAGCATACACACCTGCAAAATATTAAGCAGCTGTACTGGGTGTTCGAATGGGATGCGATGGAGTAGCTTTCCTCTGATAGAGGTGGATTTGGTATATACATATTGCTGATGCATATTGTCTATGTTCTGTCATTGATTGAGATTTTCCATCAGTATTGTGTGCTTTCTAAACTTCATTTGAATTTCCGATTGATATAACGAACATACCACATTCCATTGCATATTATCTCCAAGTAAGTTGGACACATCTCCTTTTTGCTTTGATTCACTTTGTTCACCAGTAGCGCAGTCTTCAATCTGGATTGAAACATGATTAGCTGTATGGTCTTACACACAGTTATGTATTCATAATACATACCAACAATGCTTCCAGGCACGTATCTCCTTCGGTGCTCATAGCAATATTTCCATAAGTCTGCTGCGAATTGGTTCCTAATCATTTAGAAAAACACATGAGTCACAGAATCGAGAGAATAACTGTGAAAATTGATCTCAAAGCTTTATACCTGACAGTCCAATCAATTTTGCGAGGCGTGAGCATGTGTATTCTGATGCAGGTATGGGTTGTTCAAAATTGGCTACAAAGCATATTGGTACAGAGACAGCTTCTGGATGAGTTGGGAGAGTTTTGATATAACGAATGGATGCAGCCGCATCATTGAACTGAGGTTCGTCTAAAATTATGAAATGCTCCCTTTGTGTGGTTGGCATTAGTCTGTGTCCATACGCCACGTTAAACAGTGACAATTGTTCTTACCCATTTGGTTCAGCTTGAATGTTCTCTTGAGTATCATCAAATGACAATAGATAGTGTGGCTTCGGTGCTGGAGGGTATGTTATAATGTTGCTGGATTCCGCAAACGTGATCCACAGTTTTGCTGCATTTTTTAAAGTACTTGGAACTTCGGCTGTCCCATCGCATAGTGCACCTTTAGTATCGCTGGATGCCACTTTTTTTTTATCACCTTGAATGACTTACCATTCTCGATGGTTGCTTGAAGCTGTCCCCACTGAGTATCAAGTAATTCCGCGGGACCAGCCCAATAATATATCGTTAGACCAGGATGTGCAACATGCATTTGTGGTATACCATGGCCGTTATTTAAAACGAATCCAACGTCATTTGTGGCCATCAATCTGTAAAGAAAGGGTTTTCATTAGCACGATAGTATCCTCCCAGAAACATCTTTCAAGATATGAAGTCGCGTACATTTCCTGGTTATAGATAGTTCTTAAATCCTCAGTCAAATCTTTCATGATGATGAAAAAATCTATAGGCTTATGCTTTGTGTTCATCTTGTCACAAAAAGCTAGAACGCTCAAGTTTGTACGAAATTCTGAAGGGTCGTCCAATTGCAAGTTCTCTAACAGGATTTTATCCACCTTAGGCATCCGAGGCGTCATTTAGTACTTTGGTCATAACTGGAGCCGCATTACAATTACGACTGCTCACCTTGTCGTTTTGATGTATGTCGCTTGCATAAGTTAGTTTAGCTTTCAATACGACGCCTTTCTCATCTATATCGATCTAGTTTGCCATTACTTCTGGTTAGCCAACAATATTCGCAGGTTGATGAAATTCCGCGGTTTACGTACATCAACGACAATAATGTTTCCAGCTGCAGTAATAGTTGTGACTGAAGATTCGAAACCTGGCTTTTCGGACGTATCTAGGTAACATTCAAGACTGTTGATCTGTCAGAAGGTGAAAAAGTAAGAGTATCAAAATTGTTAGAGATAATTACCCAAGCTCCTCGGCAAGTTCTCGTAGTGCATTGATCTTCATGGTGGAATACGGGGCCGAGTCCGTGTTGGTAACTGCTCCACTCAGCTTTCGAATTGTTTGTTGAAGGTTGCCTTTAACTCTGACGACCGTGCTTTCAAAATTGGCTTGTTCCTAAAGATGGATTACAGTCGAGGTTGAGCGCTTAAAACCAAACAATTCACATTGACTGATTGCGCTGAATCAAAAGTCCTTCCTTACCTTCAAGTGCATCAAATGTTTTCGAAAAGCGGATTCAGCGCCATTGCCAATCTTGGTGACATCGCTAATGACCTCGCTTTCAAATTGTGAGCAATTAGTTCGTACAGCCGTGGTTAAGTTTAAGAAATCCTGGCGACATTTGTCAATGTTAACTGTGCCAAATGGGTGTAAATCTGGAGAAGAAGGTGGTGCAGTTAGAGCAATGTAGGTTGAGAAGGGGAATCGATCAGAGTTTGACGTACTGGCGGTGTCGACACCGGCTTGGCCTTCAGCCAGGACAGCATTATCTTCTGCCAAGCGCCATTTCGTAGAAAGATCCTCAAACAGAGTTTTCAGAGCAGTAATGGCAGCCAAATTGGAATTTGCCTTTTGCTCGACAGGTTTGGACATGGCTGTTTGAAAACGCGACTGAGAATGCTTGTTGGAACACCCTCGAGACTGTCGAACCACGGACCTTGAAATTCTCCATCGAGGTTTTTGTCAATTTTTTTTTTTTTTTTGGGCCGCTCATTTATTGAGATCCTTTCATTCAAGCTTAACATGGCCGATTCTATGACAACCAATGCTCCAGTAGGAGTGGTTCAGGCTCTCAATGAGCGCTTGGACACCGTAACAAAACTATTGGAACCACTTCTCAGTGCGCCGCTTAGCGAAACCGTTGGAAAACTGTCAGTTTTAGAGCGATGCCAACTGCACATTCTGCTCTCATACACATTAAACACCACAATCTTTAGTAAGTTATTACAGTGATCGAAAATTAGCAAAGTAGAAGATTTGATTAACGAAAGTGTATGATAGTCTATCTTCGAACACAAGGAGAAAACCCGAAAGAACATGCGGTTATTAGAGAATTGGTAGGGCATTTGAGTCGGATAGGAGTACCTTGTTTCATTGGAGTACATTTCAGTAACTGACCAACATTTATTTATGATAATAGGAAAGAGTAACTAAATATGTTGGAAAGATCAAAAACGTCCAAGCGCGCAACAAAAGTATGGCTCAGCTAATTCATTCCATGTCTTTTTCATGCTAATGACTCCACTAACATGGTTCATTCCTTTACTAGCAACCTTGACGGTCGACAAGGCTGCGGCACATCGATTTGTAAAGGCCTCTTTGGCAAGCAACCCAGATCAAAAGAGAAAAGCTGACGCATCCGATGAAAGTGAAGATGAAGAGTCAGAAGAAGAAACCAATGATAAGTCACATACCGATAAAAGTAAAGCTCAAGGTGCAAACAAGAGACGAAGAGGAGTCGATCCATTCACTGGTATGTTCACTAAGATCTTTCCATTCCCTTGTAATTGAATATTAACACACACATATCTTCAGGCAAAAAATAATTTAGTGTGCACACCGTGGGGTAAAAGCTCTCTAAATTGCATATTCACACAATGTATTTATCGCTTCGATTGTAATTATAGTTTTAAGCATGTTTTCAAACATGATTATAAAGGTTTTCAATATCAAAGGATCTTCATCATTTTTAATGGTTGGTTTCTATTATGACTTTTACATTTTGGATGTCTATACAATAATCTCGCCTTCAACAGCTCTGGGTTGCAAACCTAACTGTTCTAAACATGAGTTATATCTTGTCAAGCTCTTGTTCTTCAAATACTTGAGGATTTTTGCACGCTGGTGGACCATAGAGCGAAGCTGTCGATAGTTGTGTCTATCCTTCTTGTGCTGTTGAAGATGTGAATGTAAATGTTGGATTCGCACAGAGAGAATGGCAGCTAAAAGCGAAAAGAATGATTAGACGAAAGCTTCAAACAAACGAATAGTTCTATACGGGTGGCACCCTACCTTGAACTTCAGGGCTTCCAGTGTCACCCTCTTTTCGGCCAAACCACTCAATGCATCGTTGAACGTTCCAAAGCTGGATAGCCTTTGCGTTTGCATTCTGCAAGCTCACGATTTGCTTGACAATATCTGCCTTTTGTTGTTCAACCTTCAAAGCTTCCTCCTTGCTACGGACGACAGAGCTCTTTGTAATGTCTGTAATTGCTTGAGGAGCTTTTTCAAACAACAGCACAGCGTCTTCGGCGGTCAAACCATGTTGGTATGTGTCTGTAGCTCGGCTGACGGTTTCGGAAGTGTGAAGAGAAGCATAGAAGGGGGTTGGTGCTGCTACAACGGGTGATGGCTTGGACTTTTCGTATTCAGTAACAATGGCAGCTCGCTTTGCCAAATTTTCTTTTCTGATTTGCTTTGGGTGCTTTTTGGCGCAAACAATAGCCGATGATTGAAATGAACGATATGATAATGCGGAATGAGCTAGGGTATTTCCTGGGAGAGAGGTAAGTATAATGTGTTGTTTTTTCACTGATGCTTACAAAAGGTGTAGTAGAATTACCCTTCTGCAAAGCACTGAATGCTCGACCAATCGACGACATTTGTTGTATTGTAATGAAGTTGTGTGCCTGCAGAGATTTTTTTTTTCCAAACCATGAATTGGTCACGTGAGAATTTCCCATCCACCCCCTTTTCGACTGCCGATTTGGCATGCGGCGTATGAAAACGTAGGTAGACACGTACGTTTGCTAAGTCATCCACGAACTAAAACAATGGCAACCGACATCGATACCTTAGTCGCTATGGGATTTCCTAGAAACAGGGCGTAAGTTAAAGGACTTTTAACGTGATATTCAATGCGTAACTAATTAGCCCTGAACTTAGTGAAAAAGCCTGGAAAAAGACGAATGGGGCGGGCCTGCAACCTGCCATGGACTGGTATGTCTGGAATGAGTGGCTCAAGTAGCACTTTTGGCGTATATTGATGGTTTTTCGGTACAGGATATTAGAGCATTCGGAAGACGCTGATATAGACGAGCCGGTGACTGAAGGACAGTCCTTGGCTGCTGCTGCAACACCCAGTGCCTCAAGCACAGGAAACGCTGATGATGGCAAGTATCAATGCCACCTTTATCAATAATAATTGCAGCGAATTTTTAATCTCATTTTCTCGATTAGAAGGAGAAATCAAAGATGGTGAACAGACTGCTCAAAGCTTGATCTGCAATGATTGTCAAAAGTTGTTCAGAGATGGTAAGGCATTGGCAAACAATGACGCATCCAAATTTTGAGTTTTCTAATACAACTTTTTATTTCAGCTTCTGCTGCCGAACGTCATGCTATTCGTACTAGCCATCAAAACTTCTCTGAGAGTACCGAGGCCATCAAACCTTTATCTGAAGAAGAAAAGAAAGAAAAGTTGGCGGAACTGAAAGCAAGGTTGGCGGAAAAGCGTGCCTTACGAGAGGTACAGGACAAGGAAGAGAAAAAGTCCAATGAGAAAATTCGCAGAAAAACTGGACAGGAAATCACTCTTGCTAAGGAGAAATTAGAGGAGGAACAAATGAAAAAGGCGTTTGCAGCTAAGAAGAAGGAAAAGGAAGAGGAGAAAGCAGCAAAAGCGAAGATCAAGGCCCAAATTGAGGCTGATAAAAGAGAAAGAGCTGCCAAGGTATGCTATTGCAATATGTATGTGAGCAGAATTCGTCATGGCTGACCTTACCTTTAGCGAGACGCGTCCAAGCAAGTTGCACAGGCCCAAGCTCAGGCCGATGCGGCCGAAGCTGCCAAACCTTCTGTCAAAAAGGAGTATACTGAAGCCAGACTACAGGTAAATCATCAGTGTTATAGCCATGAAGAAAGTGACTAGCAAATTGATCATCTTGTGTTCAAGATTCGTTTACCGGGTACCACTCCTGTTACCCAAACTTTTCCAGCAGGAAGTCAACTTGAGGATGTTGCAGCGTTTCTAAGAGATAACGGGCATGCATCGACCTTCACACTCTCTACAACATTTCCAAGGTATTTATGTATGACGTGAGGTGTGCCTTTTGTTCTCGGATACTTAAAATGGATTGCTTCAATAGGAAAACTTTCCAGCCTGACGAATACTCCAAGACTTTGAAAGAATTAGGTAAAGCTTTTCGAAATTTGTTTTATTTTTGGCCCACGCCTTGGATATGTCATTCATCGCATTTCCCTTTAGACCTAGTGCCTTCAGCAGTACTTCTTCTGAATACTGTATAAATTTGTAAGAGTTTTGTGGTTGGAAGGATGTGCACTACAAGCAGGATATAATAAAATTGTAAAATGCCTATTGAAGTTCTCGTTATTATGTGTTTTTAAAGGGCACACGCACAGGCTGCTTTGCCCTTTTCCAAAGTGATTTACAAGAGCAAGGCATTTTGGCTGGCTGAGTGAAAGCTTAGACACCAACAAGCCACCCAAATTTCTAACTTTTACAACAATGCAGGGAAGCGAGCTGAGAAATGCATATTCAATACCAGAGAGCTCGAGGACCCATTTACCCAAGGCAATGGCTGTACCATCAAACCAAGGCCTCTTGGCAGCTGCCTTCTCTGAGCACATCAATGCCTCCTTAAATTTAATTCGTGTCGCTTTAGAACTGGAATGGACCATCTTGACACGATTTATCGTTGGCGTGGCGGTTGCGACTTTTCTTTCCGTGGTGTATCTGTCATTGTCGCTTCGAAATTCGAAGCAACCTCTGGTTGTTTGGGAGAAGCTGAACCGTCCCATGGTCAAACTGTTTAGAGCATGGATTTTTGCTACTTTGCTTCGAAACGTGAACCCGTTCTCTGGATCCATAGGTAGGTAAACGGCCGAGTGCATCTTATCAGCACCCACTGAACGTGATCAATTGCTTCTATTTTAAAAAAAAGATGTTCGAGTTTCAACTTTATCCAAAGGATTTTGTACTGGTATCATGAGGGTATGTGTCGATTTAACTTCATCCAACGCTGTCGGAAAAGGAGGGTGCTGATAGCCGTGTTTCATACAGGATCGAAAAACCACGCATAACCAATACAAAAGGTAAGGATAGAGGCTGGAGTGTGGTGTGAATACCATTCATGTAACCTGATATCGATGTAGGATTTCACCAATGGCATTGGCAACGTTTGCTGAAACGGTTGGCGGATTAGCCACATACAGTACGCTCAAGAAAGAAGACTCGGCGAACCTTGCTAATTTCAGCATTGAGGTAAGCGAGGTCACAACTGGCTTGATTTAGTTGCGGAAATCTAAAATGGGACTTGGGTATGTAGTATATGAAAACGGCAAGAGGTCTGTTAACGGCGTCATCCGAATTCAAGATACCCGCTGAAGGAAGCACGAACGAGCCCGTGGAGCAAGAAGTGGTTATCAAAGACCGTATGCTGGACACGGTTGCGGTTGCTAAGCTGGTATGGCTGTTGGAACAAAAGTCTAAAGAGCAATGAACACATGGGCAGCCCATGTGTAACCTGAGAGCGATTCAACAAAGAGAGCACACGCATTGACCTGCAGTGCATCGTAGCATGAGCACCCTGTATATTTCACAGAAACGTTTACATTTATGGCTATCCAACCATGATTAATAAATAGGTTGCGGCCTTGCAAGCTGTTAAACAAGAGGAGAAAGAAAAAAAATTATCAACACCACACCCCCCAAGTGAAACGGGGCCAATCGTCAAGTGTAGCATTTTGCCTCACCGGCAGGCACACTCACGCGCTCATCCACTGGTTGAGGCGCTGGGTCCGTCTTCTTTCCTTTTCTCTTTCTTTGCCCAGACTGCCTTCATTGCTCTTCTGCATGTCTGAAAACAACCTCTTTCACTTTGCACAAGTCGTTTCAGAGATGCCAGCCCAGCCCCATGCCAATCCAGATCTTCCCCACGCCGAAACCACACGCCCTGCAGCCAGGATAAGACAGGTACGCAGCTTTTGCCCGTGCCGTTTGCGACCCATGTTTTCGACCCTCCATACTTGCGAACCCCTCCCAACCATCTTGATTTTCATCTTCCGAGTACTGACATTGTTTGTTTTCGTTCATCCCCTTTTTTTGTAGAACGCCTGCATCATATGCAATTTATGCTTCACTTGTGGACAGGTTGGTAGCATCCGTTCTCTTTTTCATGTCATTTTCATTTTTTTATATGGACTCATCCATTTTCCTTCATTTAACAGAGGTATGGTGAAATGTGTCAGTGTGAAGAATCAAAGCCCAGGCGAGGGAAAAATCTTCCCAAAGGCTACCTGGACTCCAGAGCCAAAAAACTCGATCGCAGCGATAAAGAGGATTATGAGTTTACTATAATGTGGTTAAGGGATAATGCTCATGCTTGTTACCATGATGGTTCTGGTGATGTTCCAGAGGCCCACTTGTTGGCTGAGGTTGCACTTTGTAAAGCTCACAGTAGCACACTGTATCGAGCTAAGAAGAAACACCTTGTCGACATCAAAGATGAAGCGCCACCCTCGCCAACTGACTCAACCAGTGTAGAAACGCCTCCACCTGGATCGCTGACCTACGAACAAGTTGAGCAACCACACCAGTTCACTCAGGGTGTCATCCATGCCAGTATGCCACCCAACGATCCATATTATTCCCGCAAGTCACTGCAAAATCCTGTGTTCAGGGAGGGCGGTCTGGCCGACAGAGTGAGACGAATGGCTCCACAAAATTATACTGCAGAACCCCTACCCGCCCCTTCCATCAAACCTACCGCCTCGGTTTCACTAAAGAGAAAAAGAGCAAAGCAATCTGTTGCCGACGATGAGCCTTATCCTCGAAAAACGACTTCCACGCCGCTCAAACATGGTGCTCAAAAAGCTGCCCCACGAAATAATACTGTCCGTTTTGTTGATCCTCCCACCTCAATGGCATCCGATAGTATTCGACAGCCTCATCTGTCCCACTCAAACACTCAATTACCACCTTTAAAACCAAGAAGAGGAGCACATAACCATACGTCATCGCTATCGTCACTATCGGCCATCATGCAACAACAGCTGCACTTGCAGCCAACATCTATATCACATGCAGGTAATACGCCATACGGTGGTAGTAGCTACTCTTATCAACAACACCCTGGAGCATGTATAGTCGAAACAGTGACCCTCAAAAGTCTACCCCAATTTTCACATGATCCAAGGAGGAACAATCCAACTTACCTTGTGCGCAACCTGGCCATCAGCGACACCTTCACGTTCAGAGATATCTTGGAAGAAATCGAGATGAATGCTCCTCCTCCACCTGGCAAACGAATCATTATTTCCGACTCAAGTAATGAAATTGTCTTTCCTATGGATTTGCCCATTCGAAGCGTCATACGGGACCCTGTAGAACCACATGTTGAATTGTGTCTAGGGTTAGCCGACGTTCCATCTGTAGATTGGAACAACTAAACGACTTCACCTCACTTCCCCTTTTTTTTACACTATCCTCATGGGTGTTCTGATCAATATGCTGGATATACCATCAGAGCCTACAGAGTCAACTTTTTCCTCGCACTCAAACCGATCCCTGTGGTTTTTTTCTTCCCTTTGTTGTAATTATTTGCTCAATCTCCTTTTATAACACGCAACTGCTCTCACAGTATTGAGCATCGTATATAATAAGCACCTTTCTATCTTGTACGTCTTCCCTTTTTTTTTGCAATCACCACTATACATATCGGATCGTTTCCACACCTCCATCCAATTTTTTTAATGTTTTTGGTAAAGAAAAATGTTCTTTTATGGGCAGTTGTTGTTGTTGATCTTGGCTCGCTTGGTTATTCGTACATCCCAAAAGGTACAATGCCTCAGAGGAGATACTTCATCAGGAGATTAGATGGCATATAAAAAACATGATACAGTAGAGTAGTTTAATATTGGCGGCCTGTATGGCAGCCCCCGGCTTGCGAATTGGGGCTGGATACAGCGGTTGCTTCTTCGTCGTCGAAAATATCAATAGCTTCGACACGACATGTTCCTTCATGTGGGCAGTCGCTTCCGCAAGCCGTGACTGACTCGTCGCATCGACATTCTTCTATGGATGTGATGCTGAGGCTGTCGTTCGCCTCTGGCCGCCATCTGACGGCCCAGCACATGGTGATAGCAACAGCTGCACAGGCAATAATGGCCATGTTCCTGAAGAAATGCATAGTTTTCCAACGTTAGCCCAAATCAGCCGATGATCAAATGATACAGGCTCACGTTCTTACCAATAAAAGCCCAGAATATCCGCAGCACATCCGACCGGAGGGATTCCCGGCTGGGCAGACCTGTGAATAGCGCATAAAAAAGATCCTCAGTACATGAATAATTTTTTTTTTCATCTTGTGTGCTGAGCATATTATATGCATATAAAATGCTTACCTAAGCGCAGGCAGAGCAAACAACATAGTAATGCCCAGCATAGTTGAATGCGCATCCACACGGCGTCCACGAATCACAACTTGGTACGATATCAAGGCAATGACCAGGGACAATGCCCACATAAGAATGCAAATAAATATGCTGAAGCCAAGCGTGGTAGTGGATCTGCCAGCTACAATTTTCAGGCCAATCTTGTCAGTAGTGTAACCGAATTGTCGCAGGGTGGGGTTAAAATTGTAAGTCGTAACACTTGCTTCCAGTTTGAAGCTAATGGGTATGGTGGCACTGATATTGCCAGAGGCAAAGGCCATGATTTCAAAGTACCCCGAGTACTGATCGAAAGGATAATCCACATCATTTCCGAAATCGTAGTTGAAGATCATCTCCACAGGTTCCATTGTCTCACCTGCTGGAAACTGAAACGAACGCATCGAGTACAATGAGAGTGTCACATTTTGGCTAACGGTTGGGTTGGAATGGATTGGTTTAGCATATTCTTGCATAGATATGCATAGACCGCAGAGTGTACGTACCTCAAAACTCCATTGTCACCTGCCAAAGTACCGTTTGGTTCCAGAAGAAAGTGTATCTTGTATGATTTTGCCGTAAAATCCACATCCATAACGGATGCTTGAATGAAAAGTGATTCGCCGCGATCATTGGGATCTTGGTAGTTGACTATCGTGCCCTGACTGTAAATGATCGTCAATATCTGTATCATTTGGCGATCCCTTTGTAGCTTTGACTTACCGGCTCTCTTCAGTGTAAACTTGCCATGTTGGGACTATCGTATTTCATATCGGTTCAGCATACATGGTCGTTAAAAGCTATACAGTTCTCGAAATTATTAGGCTTACCGATGATCGTGACCAAAATAGCGATGATAAGGAAGGCGGGACACAATCGACGTATCCACAAATTATTTCGTAGCTTAATCCACATGAGTTTCTCATTTATTTTCATTGTCGCCATGTTGGTGATGAGAATCGGTTGCTGAAGATATTGCGGAAAAGTTGATAGATAAGGATAGATGACGGGGGGTATGTATGGATTGAATTGAATGAAGGGAACAATCGCAGGAAGTGTATAGAAAAAAGAAAGGAGTTCAAGGCGTAGTCGATATGCCTAGTTGATTGGAATATTCAAAATTTAGAAGGAAAGAATGTATTGACACATTTTTTCAGTCAGTAAGAATAAAAAGCCAACGCCAGCCAATGTTTTGATAGAAGAGAGTTTGTTCAATTAGGAAAAGAAAAGAAAACTCATGATTTAGAGGACATCTGCATTTCAACTTGACCCGGGGGGTGACTACCCTTGATAGGGGCTCGTAGGTTGAACCGTTAATAGCAGCAAACTTCTGGTGAAAAGTATTATCCTTATGCAGGCCCGCCAAGCAAGTTACTAAATTTTCACAATTCCTCCTACTTTCTCTTGACAAACGGTTTCAAACCATGAAAGAAGAAACACGTTCTGCGGTAAAGAAATTAGAATGTGGCATCTTTCCGTGACGACATCTTTCAAAATGTGATCGAAAGGTTCAAGATACGGCTGGTCGTCGTTGATAGCCTATGCGAACAACCTATTCTCAGATAGTTTACTATGGTCACCTTTTCTTCCAGTTGAAAGTTTTATTCACCATAAAATTTGTATTGCCTGGCAAAAATACGCATGTATGCATGGCTAAAAAATTTCATAGTGACATTCCTTGGGGAATACAATATGTCAAAAAAATCATATTCACAGAGAGCCTGGCAGCCATCGGTAACGTGGAGAGAAAGGAACGAGCGTGCTCAGGTGAGGCTAGATCATTTGCAGTAGATATCGCAGTAGTGTGCTAGTCAGCTCCTTACTGTCCCTATGAATTGAACAATGACGCATACCAGCTCTGGCAGCAACTCATGGCAGAATTCTCCCATTTTCATAATTTGACTTTGGCAGCTTTAATTGCCATAAAATGTATTATTTTTCTTTTTATTTATTGAGCGATTGAGACCAATGTTCTGAATTTGTGTAGCATATCGAACTGCCCTTCTTGCACTGCCCTGTGTCCATTAAATTCTTTCTGTGCAGTTTGTGATCGAAGGAGTTTGATTACAGCTATTCTACTCTCGTGGTAGTAAAGACATATGTGCACATCGTAGCGACGTATGGTCAATATGGCTACGTCATGCGGCTTTTTTTTTTCTTTGATGATCAAACAACAAAATTGGTCTGCCACCAGGTTGTCTTTCGTAGATTCCCATCAGGTGCACCTTCAAGAGTAAAAGATGAGGTTCGGCGGCTCGCTTCGCTCTATACAATCTGTGTCCGTCGTGGTGGTCACATCCACAAGCCATTGGTGGCTGAGCTTCGATATCTTAGCCTTTTTTGCCTATGAGATAACCCACTTTTACAAATAACAAGCATAAGGTGGTTATGCTAATATATAGCTAAAGCCTAGTCAGCACACTTTAATACCCCACATTTTATTTATCAGGTGGTGGTGTCCAATATGGGGGTGTGCTGTTTGTCATAATGAAGTGTTTTGTTCATCCATGACTTTGTACGACAAAGTTAGAGCTTCTATTTTTTACCAATTCAGCATGTGCTTTGTAAAATAAAGCTAAGCACCGTAAGCTTGGGCTTAGGCTGTTCCCTTCTTTCCTTTCCTTTCCTATTTTCATCTCGCGCTAGATTCTCGTATTGATGTTGGGCCGTAAGATCTCTGACAGGAACGTACTCAATCACACTGACGAGTATGATGAGCAGTACAGTTCATCAGCTCATATCAATGAAATCCGTGGTCTAGCGCTACATGGTCGAAGAAACAGACAGATGACGAATGCAAATAAGAGCCGCATCATGGCACCACTGAGATCGCTTCAGCGGTATACAAGATACTTTCGACGAAATTTACCAAAAAATTGGCTGCCTGAACCAACCCGAGCCTCAGGCTGGCCACTTATCAACTTTGCTGTCCGCACCTATACCAATCTTTTTTTGACATTCTTGTTTGACTATTCCATGCTGTTTGTCTCACCAGTCAATGCTATCATGGTCCTTACCGTTTATCCTTTCATGATCTTACTGCTGATTACGGTGGAAGTGTCACTGAAGATATTCCTGGACTTTCTCGGTGGCCAAGAGCTTGTCACGTATTTGAGCTTACGATACGGTGGAGGTATGTGTAGATAAAGGAACGTGAGTCTAGAACTATCCATTGACTCGGTTTGAACGATGCTTGATTTTATTCTAGGACTCTCACCGGTTAATTGGGGTAAGGATGTGCCGCAGTGGAACAGCCAAATGACCATTCTTGCTAAAACTTTAATTTATAGCTACGCCGCACTTATTCCATACGCAGGGAAATGTAGACCTTATGTTGGCCACCATCCCTACTCTCGGCGAAGCGCCATCCGACACCCGATCGCCCTCGGCTACCCATGTTCGGTACTTCGATATTTCAAAGGCCGAAGTAATGATGTTATTATCTGCTTTGATCTATGAACGAGATGCGAGCAAGGTCAAGGAGGCTTATCAAATGTATGCTGATGATAATGATTCTGAATTAAAAGACGAAGAAAAAGAAGCAAGAGAAAACAAGATGCACGTTCTTCTCTGGGAGTCAGAGAAGCGAGTTCGTCAAATTGCACGTCGTTGGGGATTGCATTTTGCTGGCGTATCTGAGCTTAAGTCTCTCGGAGGACCATTTTGCGGTAAAGTCAAAAAACTTGACTTCCAGCATTATATGCTTACGTGCATACTAATGCCCAATTTATAGGTATGTTCTGGTCCACGGAACACAACTGCATTATTGTGACCTTGAAAGGCACTACCATTGACAACTACGAAGAAATCATGTTGGATGCTGCCATTCAGGTACGGTATCATTTTTTATTCGTTCTCGCATAGAAAGTATTCTGTAGCTTTTTGAATAACTCTTTACTTCGTCCAATAGCGCACTGATGCCCGGCCCTTCCTTTTCGGGTCATGTCATCAGGGATTCTACGAGTCTGTGTTCCCAAGCTCAGGTGGATTTGCAAATGATACCAGAGACCCTTACGGTACCATATTGGAAGCATTGCACGAACGAGCCAGGAAAATCCAAAATCATAGAAATTCCACTGACCCGGTTAACATTTGGGTCACTGGGCATTCGTTAGGTTCAGCCATGTCCTGCCTGATATTTGCTAGATGGCTTCGTTGCTCAGAGGATATGGACGCTAAGCTGTGCGTCTTGAGAGATGCATATACCATTGGTACCCCAGCAGTGGGAGACAACGATTTTGCTGCAGGCTTTGCGTCTTATACCAACACACCCTATTCAAGAACCTCGACATTGTGGCGTATCATCAACAAGAAGGATATCTTCACTAGATTGCCTATTGGCACCGACAATCCGATCATTGGAAGACATTTTACCCGCAACGACTTTTTCAACTACTCGCATGTTGGCCAAGCCATCGAGCTTTTGTCCATGTGGCACGAAGAACCAGCTAAAATCTATCCATCCACTTATCAACCCAGCTTGAAAGTTCAGGTGGTGCTAGGTGGCTACAATACGTCCAAGTCAGCCAACATCATCCATGGACAAGAGCGCTTCACAGAAGATGAAGAGGCTTATAATGTATCATCACCCACTGCGACGGATTCATCCATGTCTTCACGATCTGGCTCGCAAATTTTGCAACTGACCAAGATTAAGCGACGAAGTGCCAGTGACTACCAGCCAGCGGAAACATACAAGCCCATTCCCGTCCTGATACGCCAGTTAGACGAAAGGGGAATGTTTGACAAATTGGACACTTGGCTGAACGGAAAAAATCCAATTCAGCTGATTGAGGCTCTCTATCCCTTTTTCTTCATGGATCATATTCCACATGAGTACTATACAGCATTGCAAAGACTGAGGCACTATCATGAACAGGACAATGAAAAGATGGCTGTCACCAAACCAAAAACAACTTGAGTGATCCTCCAGTACTATTCCCTTTCTATTTTGCATTTATCACCTTCGACCCATCCTCCGCATAATTATGATATTTAAGATGTTTCTATTACAACGAGTTCGCTGAACAGCCATGGGTTGTTACAGCATGAAACGAATAAATTAAAGCTAATGCTCGTAAAGAAAAGAAGACAAAGAAAAACAAGAGAACCAATACAGTGTTAGGATGGATTATATGCAGATAGCCAAACCAAAACTGTTCAAAGTCATGATGGGACGTCCATTTGTATTCGTAACAACATGATACTATATATTGGGGGTGGGAAGAACGTAAAAAGAAGGATGCTTTTAAAGCCGGTTTCCGTTACATGGATGCAAAAACCGCCTCCACTTTGCCTGCTAATAGTTCCTGATCGTACATCAAATGAGCCAGCTCTCGTAAATCAATGGTATCAAGCAGTCTAATGGTAACTTTTGGGGCTTGCTTTGTCCCTGTCGCCTAGTGATATCAAATGGGATGGGTTAGAAGAGCTAACATACATTCTCTCTACATGCTCAGTACGCACCTTGACCAAAGGAAAGAGTCGGTCACCGAGTTGCTGTTTTTGCTCATGGATCGGTTTCTCCTTTATAGAATCGAGGAATTTGTCAATGTCATGACCCTTTTCCTTTGCTGCGGGAGCCGGTTGCTTCTTGGCGACTTCTGATTTGGGTCGAGTTTGCTCCGGAGGTGGAGCAACAATGGGTATAGCTTTGGATTCCCTTTTGGGTAAGGCAATTTCGGCGAGAGCTGGGTTATTGGGGGGCATAATGTAGGCAAAATTGGGGGGAAGCGACATGCGATGGTTTGCACGGCTACGACCAAGATCAGGTGGAGAGGTGTGTGTTCGTTGAACGCGACTAGGAGGTAAATAGCCCACAGGTTCATCCTCCTCCTCGTCTTCCTCCTCTTCATCAAAAGTTTCCAAAGCTTCCAAGGCGAGTTCAATTTTTTCGCGTAAAAAGTCTTCATTAAATAGACACAGAGAGCGATCCTTGCGCTTGAGTGTCAACAACATGTCAACAATATCATTCACCTTATTGCCATAATCTCCGCATTGCATGACGGCCTCTGCCATCTTCTGGTGCTTCATGGCCGAGCTTGTCTCGGTCACTACCGAACTGACTGATTCCAAAGAGTTGCGGCGTCGGAGAGTCGGGCGTCCTTCCATAGTGACCTTATATTCATTGGATCCCGACAGTTGGGGTGGCGAAACTGCGATGGCGGTACCAGAGGCTAGTGAAGCCAGCGAAGCCAGTGATCGTGGCTTGTCGCTAGGTTTTGGTTGACTTAGCTTTCCGATGGCTTCAGTAGGAGCCTTCTGACCAATATCCAAATCTCTCATTCGTTCGGACACTTGGTTCACATTTTCCGGCTCTTCCTCAATGTTCGGAATGATGTTTAAACCAGTGCCAGCAGGTGGTGAATCCATTTGCGGCTTGGAGTCCTGAAACGATTGAGGGGGGAAGCTTCCACTGTCAGACGTCTCGGGTGGAGAGTAAGCCCCTTGACCGTATGCTGTGGAAGACCATGATTCGGGAGGAGACGCTTGCATTCGTTTCTCAGGCTTGGGCTTTTTGGGCTCATGGAAGGCCACAATCAAAGGTTTGGATCCAATCATACGACCGTTCATTTCCTGAAGGGCGTTTGATGCCGACACTGGACTGGTATAACTGACAAACCCGTAACCTTTGGAGTAGCCGGTAGCAGGATTGCTCATCACCCTCGCTGACACAACGTGCCCGAAGCCCTTGAACAAATTGAACAAATCAGGGCTCTTAATACCAATATCCAAGTTCTTGATGTAAAGGTTCTTGAAATCCACGGGGCTTTCGATAGGGTTTTCTCGGCCTGGTGAATTCTATTGTGACGATGGGGGATTAATTTACTTGTGGTCTCAAAAAAGAAGGGAGCCCATGCACTACACATGCAACACTCACTGGGAAATTGCCAAATGCAGATATTTTGGACGTGGGCGGCAGCATCATGGATTGGGGTCGCTTCCTTGTCGTAGGGGGGTTGAAAGGAACAACAGATCTGAGAGCAGAGGGAGGGAGAGTTTTAGACGCTGCAGGGTTATGCTTCGCTAAGGTCATTTGTACTTACATTAGATTACCGTCGATTTCACTTCCGTTCTAATAGCAATGAAACGAAAAGATTGTTATTTTTTTTTTTAAAATTTTCACGCCAAGACCAAACCCAACGTGACTTTTTCTCTACTGACCATAGCTCCCAAAGCCGAGTCTGCATCCAGTTGCTTGAAGTAATGAATGAGCGCTGTCCCTTCGAATGCCGAACCATTTTCCGCCACGGTCTTACAAAGAAAGATTGGTCCATAGGGACGGAACAGGTCGTACAAGGAACTATTGTTCGTGTGAAGTGGTAAATGTTTAGCTTGCAAGATGATGGCTTCTGGCTTAGGATTGGCGCCTTCGCTCGGGTGGTGCATATGGAGCTGAAGCTTATCACCGTCAGGAAGACTGATCCAGTTGAACAGAGTATACGCTCTGTCAGCTCCATCTTTGGTGGCGAACTTGATATGACCATCCACCACTGTGTCTGGCTCCAAGTGAATTCTAGTCAAGAAGCATCAAAAATTGAGCATAGGTTCTCCCAGAATCATGTATGATGGATCACACACTTACTCAAGGGGCTGGCAATCATGCATCAAGTCCATCAAGTCATCTTCTGTTATTTGGTCAGTCCGAGACAGTCCTTCAAAGTAGAGAGTGTCTGAGACTAGGTGGTCGGACTTATCACGACGCGTTGGAAAGTTGGAAGATGAGCTTTTGGATCGTGGCAACTTGATGACCGGAGCGTAACCGACAGTGTCCGTCATCAGATGAGAAGAAAAAAAAAAAAAGAAGAAAGAGCACAGACTTGGAAACTGGTCAGCCTGAGCCAAAAAAAAAAAGGGGAGGAGTTGAAGGGTGAAGGTGGAAAAGGCAACTGTCATCGTGCTTCATCTCCTTTTATTTTATTTTTCTACTTAAAACCTCTGATTCCCGAGGCGACTCTGAATATTGGATCTATTGGACGAAGCTCCACCGCGACTCGGCTGTTGTTGTTGTGGTGCTGGCTGTTGTCGTCCAAGATGGTTCAAGAGTTTTTCTTTGATCCATTCTTTATCGTGAGGCGCATAGTTCTATGAGGGATCAACGTGAGTAAATATTGATATTTTCAAATGATGTGCCCCCTGGTGAGATTGCAATACTCACCTGTTGAGCAGGAGAAAACACCAATGCCACAAATTCTCTATGATTATCGATGAATTGTAATAAATCTTGTGCTCTAAATCCAGTCCAAAATTACGTTAGTTCGCGCACGCTTGCTAAATTTACAAAAGGTCAGATAGACAAACACCTATACTGAAGTTGTGCCAACCGTGGGTTCTCCTTTTGAAGTCGTTGTTCATACAAGGTTGCTATCTCTGCAAATCCATCAATATCGATTTAGCAACGACGTCTTTAGCATATCGTAAACAGAGTCCAGCAGTGATGCTTACGATCCATAGCCTCAGCTACCGTGTTGAAGTCACTGATGACATGCGTCAATCATAAATGTTCAGCATGCACACAATTTCTTGGCCAAATCAACTTACTAGTATGTTCTCGAGCTGCAAGGGGTGTAAGCTTCAATAAGTATACGTCGTGATGCGTGAATGCGCGGAGGTCTCTTTACCTTGGAGTTTGTGTATTCTGAACAAGCAAGATGGTGTGTACAGTCTGTAAACAATTATATGAGCCTTTGCAAGTTGAATAGCGTTATCAATAAACTTGATTCTTACCATGACTGCTACTTGGATCTATCAAAATGGATACGAGACGTCCTTTGCGATCTCGCTGGTCGTTCAACGAGCTTCGACCAGGAAATTGAAAGCAGTCACAGCCTCCATTTTTTGCCATTCTTTTTTTTTTTTTTCCCTTGTTCGCACAGAATAGTATCCCGCTTGGTTCAAAGTTCTATACAATGGTTCAAAAGAGGGGTTCCAACAAGAAGCCTCAAAGGCAACATGATAACGCTCCAGCCACCACCGATCCCAGATTTGCTCATGTTCACCGGGATCCTCGGTTCATGAGACCGAAGCGAAAGGACAACAAGGTGGCCATTGACAAGCGTTTTGCATCCATGTTGGATCAAGACGAATTCACATCAGCTCGTAAGTCTGGCCTCAGTATTGGGACAACATTGATAGAGATACTTATAATGCTTTATTAGCCAAGGTTGACAAGTACGGTAGAAAACTCCAGGCTAAAAGCAAAGAAAATGAAATGAAGCGATTTTATCGACTAGATGATGATGAAGAAGGTGGATCGAGCGATGACGAAGAACAGGGAGGCAGCTCTGATGAGGAAGAATACAAGACTGTGGAGCAACTTGAAAAAGAGCTGGAAGAAGACGAAGGCAACCTCGACGACGAAGAAGACTCAGATGACGAAGATGACCACGAAGAGTTCAAATTCGTGGATCGTATGCGTGGTGAAGGCGTCTCGTCATCCGAATCGGAAGATGAAGAAGACGAGGAAGAGGAAGAAGAGGAAGAGGAAGAGGTATGTTGTTGGTATATTTCATCTTATTCATGCAAAAAGCCTTTTTGCTCATTACAATTGATCTTTGCTAGATTCCAACCGGTGATGAAACCTGCCGCCTTGCATTGGTCAATTTGGACTGGGATAAAGTGAAGGCCCTTGATATTCTCAAGGTTTTGAATGGGTTCAAGCCAAGCGGCTCCGTCATCAAGTCTGTCACAGTGTATCCATCTGAGTTTGGTAAGGAGCGTATGGCTAAGGAGGAAGTAGAAGGTCCACCCGCCGAGATTTTCCGAGATGCCAAAGCAAAGAAGGATGCGGAAAGTGATGATGATGACAACGAAATCACAGAAAAGTCTATCCTGGCAGAGCAAACAAAGAATGGTGAAGAGTTTGATGCAGAAGCCCTTCGTAAATATCAGTTGGATCGACTAAAGTAAGTAACTTATTCGTACTCATGTTATCTTGGTTATATTCCAGCATCTTAAGACATACTCGTCATATAGGTATTACTATGCCGTTATTGAATGCGACAAGCTCTCCACTGCTCGCTCCATCTACGAATCATGTGATGGCGCTGAATTCGAGCGCAGCGCAAACTTCTTTGATCTTCGATATATACCCGATGAGATGACCTTTGATGACACTCCTCGAGACACGGCCAACCATGCTCCCGAGAATTATAGACCGTTAGAATATGTTACAGAGGTGAGTAGACAAAGTGCATGATGCAAAGTTTACAGATGCTGACTGGTATTACTTAGGCTTTGCAACACTCTAACGTCAAACTTACGTGGGATGAAGACGATCATGATCGCATGAATATGACTCGCCGCAAGTTCACAAAGGAAGACGTTGAAAACATGGATTTCAGTGCATACCTTGCTTCATCTTCGGAAGAAGAATCGGATGATGAAGATTTGGAGAAATCAACCGCCAAGTACAAGAAATTGCTTGCTGACCTCTCCAATGATAATGACGGCAATGCCAACTATGAAGATGATGACGGTGCAGCAGGTGAAGGCAACATGGAAATTACATTTACTCCTGGTTTGAGTGAAGCTGTCACAGCCGCTAAGGAGAAGCAGCAGCCAGAGAGCGAAGAGGAAGAGGTTGAAGAAACCACCATTGAGGCGTACAAGCGTAAGGCAAAGGAGAAGAGAATGAAGAAGAAATTGGCCAAGCAGAATGCTATCACTGCTAAGGGTAAGTTATACACATGAATCAATTCCCACGGTATAGAAACAATTCCATATTAACGACCCATCTATGAAGCTGTGGATGAGGACTCATCAGAAGGTGAAATCGACACTTCAGATCCATGGTTCAAGGAAGCAATGGGTGATGTTGTTCTCAACAGCGCAGAGCCTGCTAAGCCAAAATCCAAATCCAAATCAAAGAAGCAAACCAAGGAAGAGCGCATTGAGCAGCAAAAGAAGAAGGCTGAGCTTGAGCTCCTACTTGGTGACTCTGCTAACAAGGGCGAAGGTTTTGATATGAAGGAAGTTTTGAAGCGTGAAAAGCTTGCATCAAAGAAGGGCAAGATTGGCAAGAAGGCCAAGAAGTTGTTGGAGGAAACTGATGACTTTGAAATCAATACACAAGATCCTCGTTTCGCTGCTCTGCAAGAGTCGCATCACTTCGCTATCGATCCTACCAACCCTCACTTCAAGAAGACCAAGGCTATGACCACGCTTATGCAGTCCAGACAAAAGAAGCTGAAGAACGGCGGCAATACTGAAGAAAAGTGGGCCAAGAACAGTATGATCACTAAAATTAAGAAAGTAAGTAGCTCGAACCGAGATCAATTTAAGCTGAGTAGAGCAGTTGAAATGAACAAGCAATACTAATTTGTTGCCTTTTTAGCCACAATCCACTGCTGAAAACTCAAACATCAAAGACGCTTCCTTAGCTGCGCTTGTCAGCTCTGTCAAGCGAAAAGGTGCTTTGAATGCGGGTAGTGCTGAAAAACCCAAGGGCAAACGGTCCAAGTCAAATTAAAAAACTGACTGTTCGCAACCACTCACTCATAGAACCCCATTTTCAGTAAATAATAATAATAAAAGAATCCCCATTTCGCATCACAATTGCTTCGTGACCTCCTCCTTCTCCACATGCCTGCTGTTCAAGATTATTGATGATAGCTTATGAAGGTTTTATTCAATCACAAAGCATTTCGGTTTAAATTTTTTGTACCCATTTACGAAAAATGTGCAACTTATTTCTTCTCGCTCTGGGACTTGAGGACCTTCTTGACGATCTTTTGCTCCTCAATCAAGAAAGCGCGAACGATTCTGTTGCGGACGCAGTGAGAGCAGCGAGATCCACCATAGGCACGGCTGACAGTCTTCTTGGTCTTGGAAACCTGAGCATACTCACGGGGACGGAGAGCAATGACCTAATATGATCCAAATATGAGTGGGTCTGTTATATGCAATACGCCTACATCGACGAAAAGAAAAAAAAAAAACACTTACACCAGCGAGCTTGTCACCACAGTCACCGCAACGGGGGGCGGTGGCAGGCTTCTTCTCGTACTGGAGGTTGAGGTTACCACCTGGAGCAAGAAAGACACACGGTTAGTTTTGTCAAATGAGAGTGGTAGTGTTCAAGTGTCGTTCATGAGCATTTGTCAAGAAGCAAAAACTGAGCACAGAGAAATGGGCATAATGCTTGCTCTGTTCGCTCGTTTACATCGACCGCTGAATCACTTTTCCATTCATGAATAGAAATGCTGCATACCAGGGGTCTTAACGACACGGGTTCTGTTGGAACGGGTGTTGTAAGAAAGACGACGTCTGTAAGTAACTCGAGGGGCCATTTGGAATGTCTAATGGTGAAAATGTTGCACCAAAAAAAGTTGGATGGTAGGAAATGTACAGAATGTTGAGCAATATCGTGAATATCGTAACACGGAGGTCGATAATGGATAGATGGACATAAATCATCATGGATACAATGGATTATGCCGAATAATAGTGTCATGGATGATAAGATGCATGCAGATATATGATGGATGGATAGGTGGATGGATGGTCAATTTTAAAGTGAAAAGTGATAACATATAATGGAAAAATGGTTTCATCCGTTAGTAATATGAACTTTGGCGCATGTTTGCAAAAGGTGAGGTGTGCATTACCCTTGAGATTGGCAGAAGATAGAGGAAGATCTTTACCTTGCAGCCTACAGCTCTGTTCATAACCCCAGCACGCCCCTGGAGGCAAAATTTCGGAGTCACGTGAAAATTGCCAAATGAGGCGGGCGGACCCATATCTCCTTTCTTTCTTTCTCATATGACGATGAACTCGTTAAATAAAAGCTTCAGTGCACCTTCAGAGTGATTTATGATGGCATTTTATATGTTGATAGTAATATGTTACCTACTGAACCCCTGATTACGTGCCAGTCAATTATTGTACCTCAAGCAGTCAAACGTTCTATGTTTATCAGTCATTTTACATCTCCAATACAGCATTCATAAACCCATAGGAGAGAGAGAGAGACCTTCCACTCTTCCAATCGCGAGAATACATAAAATTATTTTTATAAAGGGATGTTCATGTCTATTGCTTCTGTCCAGTGGCTTTAAGAGCAAGGAGTTCCTCCAGTCTGGTCTGCATTTTTGGCATTTCTTGCAGCTGATGCTCAATCTAAAACGATAATAATGAGATATTTTATAGTGAAACCAGTTGTGCTAATGATACTTACGGCATTCTTTTCCTCTTGCAAAGCTAATCTCTTCTCAGCGTCTAGCTTAGTGAAGACATATCCTCCTTGTCCGTCATACTGGAGGATGTAGTTATGGTATTGCCAAAGTGAGGGACGATGGGAGACGGTCAAAAGCGAAATGCCAAGTTCTGAAGTATTCAATGGTTAAAATGGGGTATTTTACAGCGTTCGACTAGTATACACTTACTGGTTGCATGAGTGTACATGATCTTTTCAATGTCCATGCTGACAGCGCTTGTACCTAAACAGACGTATTGTAAATATTTGATACTTTCAAAATGCAAATAGCATATACTTCACTCACATTCATCGAGAATAGCATATCTAGGAGAATGGTAGAAAAGTCTTGCCATAGCAATCTTGAGTGAAATAGAGGGTTAGTGAGATGCTGCTAATACTGAATACATCTTACGCATTTACTCACTCTTTGCTTGTCACCGCCAGAGAGTGCAAGAGTCCATTCTTTCTCTTGATCCCAGCCGCCTTCGCGCTCGACAATGCCTTTAATTTGAACAACATCAAGGATCTCCAATAAATCATCATCAGTCACACCGCCTAAATAATTGAAAACATGATTAGTGATTATTCCAAGCTGTCTGTATACCAGTTTGCATGCTTACGTTTGTGCATATCTTCGATGGTATCAGGGTAAAGAATTCTAATGAACGAAGAAGAGTATTCAGTAAACAGGTTGTTACGCAGAAGGAGCCACATTGAGTAATGAAAATGCTTACTGGTCACGAAGAGTGCCGAGAGATAAGTAAGGACGCTGAGGGATGTAGAAAATGTCCTTATGATTTGGTCTATACAAAGTGCCACCTGATGAACAACATCAATATTAGCATACGAAAATCAATGAAACACAAGTATATATTGAACCACAGCTTACCATAAACTGGCCAGAGTCCTCCAAGAATACGGAAGAGCGAAGACTTGCCACATCCGTTAGGGCCAACAATAAGCAAGTGCATCTGTTCAGATCATGATCAGTGAGCAAAATAATTCACTCTGTTAATCGAAGCTCGGTGACCACTTACTCCAGGCTTGACATGGAAAGTCAGCTTCTCCACAAGTACATCACCGTTAGGACTAACAATGGGGACTTCGTTGAATTCAATGTTTTCACTTTCTATGATTCTACCTCGCCCTGCAAGGACTTTTGCGTGCTCATCAGTGGACGCGGATGAAACAAGGCGCTTATCGTATTGTCCTTTCTTCACATCCTCAAATACGTCAAGAAGTTGAGTGACCTAATTAAAAAAAAGTTAATCCAATATGATTCACAGCGTAAATGGGCATATTTGTCAATATTAACATTGCTATGTGAGTACATACTCTAGACGTATAACCAGCAAGTTCATTGATTTCCTTGTATGAGTACATGATGCGACCGAAGGCGTCGGAAGAGCTCATAAGCAAGCGTCGGTTGGTGACGAACCCTGGTGGCAGACATTCAATTAAGATCCAATCGTAAATACTATTCCACACATTCATTGGGACATTTACCTTCAGTACGACTTCCCAAATCACCCATCTTTCCTCCTAGAGCGGCCTCTGGGATTTCAAAGAAAACAGGAACAGAGCACAGAACCAAACCGCAAGCACCCCAGAAATACTTGATAATAAAGTCTTCCAACATTCCATGAGGCACTCTCATGCGGAATATACGATTGACGTGTCTGATAAGACCAAAGTAGTTTCGATCCAAAATAGTTTTCTCAATTTGGTGGCCTCTAAACAAGGCAATTTCTTCTGCGTTTTCAATCAAGCGTGAATGTGTGAAGCGGAATTCGCCTTCAAGTCGTTGTTCTTCCGCTACCATCTTTCCGAACGGCGGAGTCAACTTTCGAAGGGCAAGTGATGAGATTTGTACCATAAAACTAGCAGCAAATACACCTTCGAAGCCGACGTTTCTTGTAAGCTGCCAGTTATAGATAAATACATCGAGAATGGGTTTGGCGAGGTTGGAGTAGAGACTGGATAGAGATGTACAGAACTTCATGACATCAATGGTGATGAGCTGATCTGCATTTTTAATTCGATCATCTAGATTTCCAACTGCATAAAAGGTCATATCCGTGAGATATTGATCATGGATGAAGTTGGTCAATCGGGTTCTGAATTGGATGGCAAGCTTGCTTTGCATATAGGTAAGCTGAAGGAACGAAATATAGCACTGTTTTAGATCATCATGGCTTGAATTGGTCTTTGAGATAAACGCTTACCATGCTATTGGTATATGTTGCTGGTAGTGCAACAGCCATCCACCAAATGATACCGACAATGAAGTCTCTAGCCTTGCCGCGGACCTAAATAGCAATGTTAGGTGCTTATACCTAGGTGACAAAATGTCAGACTTCAAAGACACTAACCAAAGCGCTGACAATTCTACCATCCAAGGCAGCGATGTAAACCGATAGGATGGTTCTGAAAACTAAATACATGTGTCAATATCAAAGATGTCATGGTCATGACTAAATACAGAAAGCGGCGTTTTACCTAGAAAACCTGAATGCACGACCAAGAGCCATAGCTCTTTGGAACGAATTCCAGGTATGACAATCTTCAATAACCTTGTCAATCGTTGGAAAAACACGGCATCGACCTGTGCAAATAAATGAAGAAGTTTGGTGAGTTTCGCGACAAAACAACGATGCCTTCACACCGATGCGGACTTTGTACTGACCTCGACTTTATCTTTCAGCTTGGGATCCTTTGATGCTGGTCTGGCACGTTTTGCTTTTTTAATAGTATTACGAATTTGATTAAAAGTTGAAGCGAGAAGGGCGGCTATGACGATACGCTTAATAGTTGTCCTGTTTTTTGAGTATCGAACAATAAGTTCGTCCAGGATCAGCTTGGCCTGAGCAGATGCCGAGGTGCCTGGACCACCTGGCATGGCCAACTTCGAAAATATATTGGGCATGCGGTAAAAGAGATGGCAATCAAAAGGAATGGCTAGCACCTAAAGCAACAAAAGTATCAAAGTGAAGCAGCTTTGATGGCACTGTAATGCCAACGTGACTTTGAAATGCATGTGATTATTTTTGACATGTGAAATGTGTGCAACAAATCGGAGCCCAGCGATACGAGTAAAGAAGTAGTTGATTTGTTAAATAACAGCAGAAGAAGACGCATTCAATATAAAAGCCACTGAATCTAGTCATTTTACTGCTACGGAAATGTAGCATAGGCAGCTTTTGTAGTAGAGATCACACAAAATGCAATCTTTTTTATTTTGCATAACCAACAGTTCAGCAAGTCTGGAAAATGTAATTTGAAATGAAAGACGACAACAATATTCAAAGCTATACGATAATCATTAATATCGAATTTTCTCAGAGGCTGCTCTGCAGTTTCAATTAATGGCTAGGAAATTGAGGTCTTTGGATGCTTCTGCATCACACTGCAGCTATTTTTCAATATCCATTAATCATTTTATTGGAATTAGTTTCGAAAAAAAAAGGAGGAGAATGTTCTTTTGCAAAGACTGATATCCAGCAGTCGTCTCAATGCAAACTCTAGGAAATAAGCTCAAGTTTTGCTACTGTTTCTTCAAGCTATTATTACCGTGCAAAAGGTTGTGTCAGTAAAACGCAAGTGTCACCGCCCCAAATTCCCGCCAAACAACTACTTGCCTGTTCTTTGAGCTGCTCTTTATACCGCATCTCCATGAAAGATATATCAGGGAGATCTTGATCTATATCCTTCAAGCATTCCTTTACAGAATTGAGTATTTTGAAGTACATTGCCTCAGTACCATACTGGGATCTTTGTGTGGATGAACCAAGTGCTGCACAAGCATGTATGCGAACTTTGAAGTTTTTGCATTGTCGTAGCGATTTCAGTAAGGCTTCATAGAACGGTACCGTCCACCGATTGGAACCGATAGGAAAATTAGCATTGCGTAAAATGTTACCAGCTGCATGGCATGCGTTCCATCTAGCCTTGAGCGTTCCGCTTTCAATATTTTTGATCATTGCTCCCATAATGGGCTCTATGCATCGCCTTCCTGGTAAGCTATCCAAATATTTGAGCGGTGCAATCCTTGTCACACTTCCTAATGCCCGGACACCATTTGATTTGAGCTATAGAATAGATTATAAGCTGAGTAGACATTTACAAGACAATATTCTTCCCCCTTAGCTTACTTTATCATTGTCATTTGCGGCACCAGCCGCAGCTGCTGTGACCTTGCACCAAAGTTCCAAAGAAAGAATGTCGTTGATGTCAAAATCAGAATTACTTTGCTGTTCCAGTACTAGGGCATCACAAAGGTTGGCTAGCGTCCAGCTTGCGCGTACTTTAACAAAAAGGCTTTTGTCCTCCATTTGTTCAAGCATAGCAAGAGCAACATCTGATGTAAACATTGGATCCTAATGACATAAGAAAATCTCATGGTCAGATAAGATGTATGTAATGTAATCATTATGAAGGCACTCCTACCTCTCTAAGACTTGGGAAAACAACTAGTACTCCTAAAGCATGACATGCGGCAGCGCGGACGTCAGCATGCTCATCTTCAGCTAGAGGCACTAATAGGCTGATACAAAGACGTTGACGTCGTGGCTATTAATGGCTGGCAGTTAGTAATCCATGCAAAAAACTAGGTGGACAAAGATGTTGTATAAATTACTTACATTCATTGCCTCAAATGTTTCCTGAGATATCACCGACATACAATCGCAAGCCAATGCTCGAACTTGATAGTCACTGTCTTGAGTAGTCTTTTGAATGTACTGTTCTATTACTGTTGTCCACCAATCTAGTGTCGCCTGGTGATCCATTTCCGACGATGGTTTTTCGTTCAAGGCATTCGCATAGCTATCAATAAAGCGAATGGCGCTGCATCGCAATGTTACATCTTCATCATCCAAAATATCAGGGAAGCTGGAAGCTGCAATTTTCCATAAGTGTGGCAGCCAAAGAGGTTGAGTTCGCGTGCACGCTGAAAGAATATTCCAAGATTCGAGAGCAAACATAATAGGTTCTAATGTCTCTGAGCCAGCTTGACTTCGTTGTTTAATTTTATCCTGTATAAACTTGAAAAGGTCGGCATTCAATCCCATTGATTCTAACTGCAAGTGGCCATCGAGTTGATTCGAAGGGTCTGTTAATGTGATAGTTGATCGAATCTCTTCGGCCGCTGACTTGTTATCCAGAAGTGCATACAAAGTAGCTAAAGCGCCTACTGCTATCCGATGATCTATCGAAATTGGTCAGTCTACCGTGGACTCCATCTGCAACAGCCGAGGTTCATACCTGAATGATCTATATACTGGATTAACTTGGTATAAATCTTGGGCACATAACCTTTCGCCAGTCGGTCGTAGGAACTATTTTGAATCAACAGAGTAAAACACTACAGCATAGATTGGTCAGACTAAGTACAAATGGATCCGCACAATATCGATGCACCTTACCTTGAACAGCTGCACTGTGATCGTCGGATTCGTTTCCATTTCAAGAGCACACCGTAGTCCATTATGTAAGTCGCGGGCGATGGTGGCGACCTTTTCTGACAAAGAGGTGAAGGATGTAGACTTCGCATCTCTACAATAGGACGAGTCAATACAGTGAGATACAATGGAAAATATACCTTGTCTGACAAAATATAGTTACCTTGCGACAGCGACGCTTAGATATTGTTTGCTTCCATCCAACATGCCCATAAGCACATTGCTGACAGCCATTCTTACATTTGGGGTGGGGTCAAACAATAGGATCGTAAAAAGCGAATGGGTATGCTCGACATATAAAAGATATGAAGCCAACGACCGATCTAACTGAGTTTCGCTTGTTCCTTTCATTTTGTTGTAATATGCAAATGGATCGAAGTTGTGGGGTATAAAGCTTTCCCAGTAAGGGTAGAACGCTTTTGGTGATGTCTATCGAAATGGTTCAGTATGGTGCCTGTGGGCGATAAGTCACCGTTAAATAAACCTTTACCTTTGCAATAGCCTGAAGACATAGAAGAGCATTAATTCTAATCTTTGCGTTATCTCTATGTCTCCGTGAGCCAGGGTTGATCGCCTCTGAGTCTGATATTTCAGAATCTGAGCTCATGGCACCGTAATCTCTATTGTTTGATAGGTTACTGAGCGGACTGAAGCCAGCCGAAAGTCGCTTGGTTTGCTCTTGTTGCCGCAAATGGGACATTCTCTGCTGATGTGGTAGAAGTTGCATTGAATTAACGGTTGTTAAATAAGCATCCTCTTTAGCGTGTTTGTATGTCGTTGGATTAATGTTGTAAAAGACAAATGTGCGTATAATGTCTACAATATCTACAAGCTTGTTGCTTAAAATGGATTTGTCTTCATAAAGTAGAAGGTGTAATGACCGTAAAGTACTGCTAGCTACCTGTATACGACAAAAATGAGATGGTTGATGAAATCAACAAAAAAAAATAATCGCTACATACCCTTCTGAGAGCTTGATCATTAAAGTCCAAAGATCTGGCGACAATCATCGTTGTGCCTTGTGAAGTGTGTTCGACCGTGCTGATGTTGGACATGATAACCTCAAAAATAGCCGAGTAATAGTTTTGCAATTTTGTACCTGCATTGCAACAGATGTTTCCAAGACAATTAATAGCCATTCGACGAACTTCTAATGGTCTCGTCGATTTGTCCGCGACTTGAATCAAAAGCGGAACCAATTCTTCAAAATTCTGTTGGACGTGTTAAATCACAAAGTAGTGCAGGTAAGATTATTCGGAAATCGCATGACTGACCTTGGAATTATTATGTATATTATCGTACAGGATGATACTGAGAGCTCGCAAAATATCTACTTTAGTCTCTGCGTCCGTTGACGCATTGAAGTTTTCCAGAAGAAACGTGACAACGGAAATGTACGCTGATTGCTTTAAAGATGAAGGTTTCGCCTATTCATCGTTCCCAACAATAAATTATTAAACTCAATGAACATATGCCGCTTTACTGACAATGAGGTGCCTACCTGCTTCGAAAACACTTTACAAATCAGCTCGCAAAAGTCTTTAAAGCATGCCTCCTGGCAACTTAAGGATTTACTTCCCGATACTATGGCGTCGATAAATTTCTGAAAGAGAGTTAGTGAGTCAATACTATAAACCGTTGTGTAGTATGCCTTCACTTCAATGTACATACCTGATCCGTAACATTCTTGGTTGGAAACTCTATCGTTAGCAATGACTGTAGTACCGACTCGGTTGTGGGGGAGCTCAAAGGTTTGGCAGTAGGAATGGCCGACTGTCGTAGCTTATCCAGCTGTCTGACCAGGTTTGCTAGATCGTGCCTCGAATTGCTCTCCTCGTGATCCGCTTTCGACATGAATGCAGAGCTTGTACTGGTCGGCAAATGTTGCTGAGGCTAGGGTTATCAAAATGTGCTTCCGGGCTCTGTGTGTTCGTATTGGAGCAGTCACGCCTGACAGTTTGATCTGATTATTGCTGACCTGAATTCATATGAAAAGGCCATTCCTTCACACGTACGTTAATTCAGACCGCACTTGTGAATATTCATTCCTTTCTGCCTCAGCATAAAACCACACATTTACTCCTTTGACATATAATATCGAATAGACAACATGCTGAGTCGAGCTTTTAGACATTCAGCACTTGCTGCATCCCTCAGCAAAACCATACCCGGTGTATCTACCACTGCTGCTCTACCTCACTTAAAGCATGGCATATTATTCAACCGGGCCAAAGCAAACTCATGCAACATCCTCAGGACCTTCTCTTCCAGCAAGTTATTCAACGTTCAGCAACACTTCAATGTCCGGGCAAACCCTGTCGATGGTAACCAAGTACAGGTGCAATGGGATGCCAATACTGAAAGCCTGTTTCAACATGTTTGGTTAAGAGATCACTGTAGATGCCCTAGCTGCTATCATCCGCAAACCAGACAACGCCTTGTCGACACCTTTGCCATTCCGGTAGATATAAAGCCGCGTTCGGTGCAAGCAAACGAAGGCGGTCTCACCGTCGTTTGGGATAATGATGAACACAAGAGCGTGTACGAATGGGCATGGCTCAAAAACCATTCTTATAATCCGCCTCTCAAGGGAAAGGTAGAATTGCATTCACCGAAACCTGTGCTTTGGGATGCCAGTATAGCCAATGCCCCACCTGTTGTCCAGTATGAAGAAGTCATGACCACAAAAGCAGGACTTGCAAAATGGTTAGACAATATCGAGGTCTACGGTTTCTCTTTCGTTGATGGTGTGCCGGTCTCTCTGGAAGCTACGGAAAAACTAGCTCGTCACATTTGTTTTATTCGCGAATCGCATTACTCTCCTGGTCTCTGGGATTTCACCTCCGACCTTGCTCACGCCGACACTGCTTACACTGATCTGGCGTTGAAAGCTCACACCGACACAACGTACTTTTCGGACCCGGTTGGTCTGCAAATGTTTCACAAGCTAGAATTTGATGGAACCGGTGGCGAGTCTCTATTTGTGGATGGCTTCAAAGTTGCTCAAAGTCTCAAGGAACAGCACCCAAAGGCATACGACACCTTGTCAACCCTCAAGATTCCAACACACTCGGCCGGAGACGAAAAAGTCATGATTGTCCCAACGCCTCGGGAACAGTCGATTCTGAACCATCTTTCTGACGGAACGCTATACCAAATTAGATACAACAACGATGATCGTTCGACCTTGAGTAATTTGACTGCCAGTCAGGTTGACGAATTTTATGACGCGTTGCGAAAATGGAATGATGAACTTACTAGCGACCGCAACCAGTATTGGGAAAGCCTAGAGCCTGGAAGGGTGGTTGTTTTTGACAATTGGAGAGTATTGCATGGCCGAGCAAGCTTCACTGGCCATCGTAGACTCTGCGGTGCATATCTGAATCGCGATGATTTTAAGAGCAGGGTGCGATCAATCAAATACAGCCCCGAGGAGAAATCGACACTACTGTAATTTAGACGGATGTATCTCTGCTATATACTCCTTACCGCTGTACTAAATGCTAATGAACCGCTTACAGTGCCAAATGAACTTCATGATATACAAAATTGTGCCATTTGTGAAATTACTTTTTTTTAATATAAACATGCCCAAAAACATTATGGACTTCCCGCCGTTTCTTGTTTGACTAAAGCTGGTATTGCCGTAGTTGCGTCGAGTCCCGTCATTATCATGTTGCTTTCCCTCGCATGATCTATCGCATTTGAACTGTCGATCCTGTTCCTTTGATCATGAGCATAGTCCTTTGCGGAATTCACTACTCGGGTAAACCCATCCATTGCTCCGGCTTCTCTATCTTGTCGAATATTATCAAAAGGGACAACGCCATTGGCTGCTGCGACGGCATGATCCGCATCAACATCCGCTATACTACTGAGAGAGTCTCCAAGTTTAAGGAACACTTCACTTCCGCTCTTGACGACAATAGGTGGGTTAGAATATTTTCGGCGGAAGTGGTCCAAGTCGTCGAGGAAGATGTCAGATCCTCCAGTCGTAATAACCACAATATCGGATGCTTCCGTGAGCGATGGTAGTATATCGCGAATAACTTGTGTATAACATAATGATAAAGCAGCTCCACACGCCGTTTCCACCAAAGTCTTGTGATCGTCTTTGATAATAGGTGAGTAAAGTTGAAGCCAAAGCATGCTGTGTAGTTAACAATAGATTCCTTACCTGCAAAATTTCGCACAGCATCGGCCGCCATGGCATCGCTAACGGCAAACGGTACCACGGGATGATCTAAGCTGAGTTCCAAGGATTTGGCGCTGACCGTTCGAACATTTAAGCTCTTTGCGATGGTTTTTGATTTTGGGAGAGTTACCAATTTTCCAGCCACTACTGCAGCTTGAAAAGAATTGCTTCCATGCGTTTCAACTGCTATAACAGGTACTTGTTTCCATCCGACTTGTTCGAGTCCCATTATAATGCCGTTTAGCAGACCACCTCCTCCAACTGGACATATTATGGCAGCTGGTGGCTCGTGCCTTAATTGTACTTCTAGTTCTTTTATAATTGTTGCATTACCCTCCCATATACATGGATTATCTGAAGATGGTATATAGATGCTGTTATGAAAATGTGAGATCGATCGTTAATGACTGTTCAATACTTTGAGCACTCCAGTTGCTGATCTTACCCGTTGCGCATTTTCGATAGCAGTGCTCGTGCGTGTGCTTCTGATTCTTCAAAATCCTACAATTATTTCATCAATTTTATGCCATTTCGATTATTGAACATCATGGTCGCATTATCTCACCTCTCCTAACATAATAAGGTTGGCACCTTCCAACTTTATCATATCGAATATTTTCTGGTTGACAATTTTAGGAAGAACAATAGTTGCTTCAACATTAAGTTGCCTTGCTGCGTATGCTACGGCTAAGCAAGTGTTGATGCCTGCTGCTGTAACAAAATGAATGGACGGTCCTCGCAATTCCACCGCTTTGATACACATATGACCGACTCCTCTGTTGTTCAAAGAATGGTTAGTTTTTGAATAGAAAAAGACAGAATCCATTTCAGCAATAGTCTTACCTTATTTTAAACGATCCGGAAGGCTGCATGTTCTCCATTTTTAACCATGTGTTGCTGTTGTTACTTTGATCAGTTTTGATCCACAAGTTGCAGCAGATCGAGTGAATCAGTTTAAAGTCTTACCACCGTAGCTTCATGCTTAGGTTTGGAGAGTGAAGTAATGCAGTCTTGACATGCAGCACGTCATTGTCAGGCAGTGGTTGAGAGCCGTCCTGCGATGCCAACATTGGAATATTGAAAGGTTGTAAAGAAACGTCTCCTTTCAACGCGACGCACGCGTTTAGCAACAAAAAACTGTCACACGTGATAAACCACCGACAACGCGACGCGTTGAAAATTGGATTCCCCTGCGTCTTTTTTTTTTTGTAAGGGCGCAAAGCACACCGATATTAGCTTGTGCACATAATGTCAGAATTCGACATCAAGTCAATATTAAATGAAGTCGGATGCAGCATTCCCGAGGATCCGAATCAACCGGTGACTCTGAGTAAGTGCATGTAGGCGATTACCCTGGTGTGAATAACACTGTTCACTTACACCGCTCTTACAGCCACCGAGCCGGCGGTCTTTCGTAGGTCGCTGTCAAGAAGATTAGATTCTGAATCAAGATATAGCTCAGACGACATATTTGAGGCCCTGCAGTCATGTTTTGAAGAAGAGAGTGCTCTGAGACAAAGTTTGATGCCTATAGTAGTTGAGCAATCCACCACGCTGTCTCGGTAGTGTATCCAAAACTGATTGACCTGTGCATCATATCTGTTAAACTTACAGCGCATTACTTCCTGATAGAAATACATCCGAAAGTTTGATTCGAAATCTACTATCTATCGACCAAATACAATCAAAGCTCATAACCTACCTTCTTGAGCGGCTTCCAGAATTTTATGATGAGTTGGAAGAGAAGTAAGCTCATTCGGCGACCATTGTACGTTGACCTATACTGTTATTAATGCGAAATACCCAGTTCTACCAGCACTTCGACTGTTCGTATGATTTTGCACCAGTTGCGATGGTTGGAGTACATCGTAGAGGCTGGAGATCTGACAGACAAGCTGGTCGAGGTATGTTACCTAGCACTATGGGGCGCAGTTATGTCAATGATCTAACACTTGCAACAAGGTCATGCAAGTCACGCCGCAGGCAATTCAGCACGAAATGATATCGGCTTTGCCAGATATTGTGAACGATTCAGAACATAAGGTAAGCAAAATCTCTATAACCCTTGACAACAGAATTGGGATTAAAACTCTAGTGAACAGGGCATGGTAGCCAGTTTGACGACCATGATGCAAAACAATCAAGAGCTGGTTGCGCCTATACTTGATGCACTTTCAAACTTCAATCTGCTCAACGATGATTTGGTAATTATTACTTTTCATAATCAACGTTGTAAGTGAGAAAGACGTCCGTATCTAATAATTGACTACAGGACGATATTCGAGATACCATGCTTAATCAGCTAGATACTGCAAATATGAGTGATCTACCCATGATTATGCGGTTCTTACTACAGACTGCTACTGCAGAGAAAATAGAAGAGATTATTCTGAAAATTCGACAAAAGCTCGATTTTAAAGCGTTGGCCAAGGTACAAGCCGTAGAAAAGAACACTGTTAGCTTTCGGCCAGCCAATGCGCCAGTGGATAAAGGGGTAGTCCCGGAAGCTTTGGTGCTTGGTAAGAATCTCCTGCATAATGGATAACCTGGGGATGCATAACTAACCTTGCTCGAACTAGAATCAATCAAACTCGGTTTACAATTTCACAAATTCATATCTGACGCATGGATTAAGGTTATCAACGATAAAGAATCAACTGTAAGTCTATAGACCATTGCAATAGGCGTCCTTGCCGCATCTAAGCTCTTTTCTCTTCTTCTATAACAGAACGGCTACAAGGTCATCGACGTGCTGATTTTGTTTACCATGTACTCCATGCCACCGACCAAGAAGAAGGTTGAACAAATTGTTAAAAAGAAAATTATTTCCAAAGTGTTGAGTGTAAACTTGATCAAAGAGACTATTTTGCACCATGCAGAAGGCATTACTAGGTAGGCAACAATACTGAATGCATTCGTTTTGATGGCCATGGAAATTTAAAAAATCACATCAGTCTCTGGATGCCCATATTGTCGCTAGCGGAAGCTCTACTTCGCACCAATTCAAACCAACCACTCATCACTAAGGCATCATCCGCCATCTACAAGGATGCCTTCAAGATGTGTAGCACTTACTATCGTCAGGTAAGATGTTGTTTGTATCAAATGTTGACTAGTTACGAGTTAAATGCTAACGTTGAAACAGGAAATCATTGGCATTATAGTCACCCATATTGGAAGCGGAACAATATCCTTTTTGCGCATATTTTTCATTCAAAATATTTTGCTATGTCTACTTTTTACCGCAGACGTAATCTTGACCTGTGCCTTTCTTGTGTTCACTTTTCAGAAATCGATGCTGGTTTGAAGACGCTTTTGGATCTTGTCAATGACGATCCTGAGACTATTTCACCTTTCGTTGCATTCATCAAAGGCGTTCTAGACTACCTGGATAAGCTTGAGATGGATCAAATTGGCATCCTATTCGACATTTTTAGTCGCTTGGCTCTTGAGGTGCGCGAGGTCTCCTATTCAGCAGCAACATTTTCAGTTTACCTCTCTTTTACTAACATATGCATTCAGCCTCATGGTAGAGCTTCCGATGATCGAAATCTTTTGCATCTCATGAACGATATGCAAATCATTATTCGAAAGCAGCTGTCTAACCCACAAGAAAAGTACAAGAAGATCGGAATCATTGGAGCACTGTCTGTCGTCAAAGCATTGGGTTCGGCTAGCTATTCTAGAGAAGTTGCAGCTGGAAGTGCTTCAGGTAAGAAAAACGCTAGTAAACAATCGCTATAGTGGTTGACTCGTTCAGATTGACTCATCTCTCTTTCACCGCTAGCTGAAGTCAGTTCCTCGCAAGCATTAAGACATCCAACCTTACAGCAAGCAAAAACCATGCTGGAGACAGTCTTCAGATCATGCTCTAACTATTCGGTAAGACCTGGAAACTGAAGTGCCCAGATTCAACCCAGAGAACTGACAAAATCAAAATTAGGCTTGTCTCGCTTTGGCATACGACGAACTAGCATACTTTATATCGCAGAAACTGCTTGACCACAGTCTGGAACTATGGCTTCAGGAGACTATCAGCACGGCAGTTCCCGATACCTATTTTTTCGATAGCGACGAACTGCAAACTTACATTGAGAGCCGCGAAGAAAATTTGCCGTTAAAGCCAGAATCATGGTTCAATCTTGATGGAGAGGTTAGTATTCATCTTATAACAATTGTATAATATGTGACAAATATTAACTCGGTATCAGGATTCTCAAATCACTGTAAAACTTTTTCGCTTAGTCGATTCGCCTGACGAGTCGACTGACAGGCAGCATAAAAAATACCAATACCCGGCCGCTGCACTGTGTCCCATCTTCAACTTATTGCAGGCTTGTGAAAAAGTCGTGAATGACGGATGTCTAGATGCGATTGATGCACTGCTTGGCTGTGGTATGTTACTTTTCGATGCAGAGCAGGTACGTATGGTAATTCGAATTACAATGGTATATGATGCGAAATTCAAACAATCATCTGCATAGTCCGTAGAAAGAATGGATGTGAAATCTCGGGAATGTGCTTGTAACACACTGTTCTACGCCATCAACTGGTATGTTATACTGCTCTGATAGTCTTTGACGCATCTAAGCTGACGATAGGATTCCTTCGATAGGTTGCGTGAAATTATAAATGCGTTTTGCAATTCTGAGGATGAGTCAACCGTTCAAAAACTCGTGACACGTCTAAACAATATTGTTGAACTGGAGAAGATGCTGATGCGGATGATTGCCTGTACACCTTCTTTCAGCCCCCAGGGATACACTTTGAAAGCTGGGATGGATGATGCATCTCCCAAGGATAGCAATGCCAAGAAGGGCTTAACCGTAAGATACTCGATGCATTGTAGATGGAGTAATTTGGAGTTTTGTGTTGCTCATATCTAGTTGAACAGATTGGCTCGCAAGCAAACAGAAAGATTGGCGCCACAGGAAGCGACGACTCAGAAGCTGAATCTGTGATTTCAACATCTCGATCGACGAAAAAGCCTTCAAGAGCTAGTGCCATGATTGACGATATCAGCAGCTTACATCCGCTCATGAGAGAGTTAAAGGTAGAACGAAGGTATACTGAGCGATCAGGAAAGAACGTATGAAAATGGCTAACACATTGACTGCTCAGATCGACACCCTGCGTATTTTGAATACCGGAAGCCACGAACTCCTGCGCTTTCCTCTGAAGGTAGGTATCTATCACGCTGTCATCTATCTATTTTGCAGTTCATTCATCCTTTGACATTTAGCTCTCCGGATTCAACTACCTGGTGACGGATCTTCAAGCAAAGTTGAAGAAAACGTTATCACCACCTACGCTCAATCCATTTTTCGCCAAAAAGAAGAAAGACTTGGCCTCACTTTATATTCAGCTCAACATCAGTTACTTGCAGCGTATGTCTCCCAAAGATGTAGTGGAACAGGTAAGTTTTTGTTATGATGATCACCAAGTCGATTGCACCTATCTGATGTCTCTGTAGACTCTGCCGCACTTGCCGACCTTGTTGGATAGGTGGGAATCCATTTCTTTTAATAGAGATGAGGTATGCATTTTTGTCTTTTACGAGAAGATATTTTTTTTAATCATCGTTAAATTCTGACCTTTACGTTTTGCAGGATGAAAATACTGTAGGTGCCTTTTCTCATGATTTTTGATGTTGTTTGATACTGATCCTTTTATGTCACTTAGACTGAGGTGGAAGCTCAGCATTCCATCAGCTTGATATTAGATGTGGTGTATCAACTTATCACTTGGCCCGAATTGCAGGATGCTACAAATGAAAACATCAAAAGGGTATGTATAAATACAGCTTGAAGGTGGTTGGCCATTATTTACTCATACGTATTATCTCCTAGTCATTGTTATGCGTGCTGGCAATACGCTCGGACAAGTCCATCAATAGACTTCACGATTTGCAGCGCTTAACACGGTGTGCATTCAACTACCTATCCAAATTTACATCTACCTTAAAGAAAGGTGAAGCTACGGTACAATTACACAAGGCATTGGCAGCGGTGGTTAGTTTTGTGCCTGACAGCACACTCACTGCCCAAGTTCAGAAGAGCGCTGATAACATACTTAGGAAGGAGTGGAGTGACGCCAAAGACATGAAGGTGAGGCTCCCAAACTTGATTAAACCATTTCTTGTTTCGTCATATCCCCTAACTCGCTGCTTAGAAACATATTGTTTACCTTGTGGAGCAAGAAATTCAAACTTCCGACGCACCACTAGACATCATCCATGGCTATCTTTCAAAGACATTGCCTGGGTTTGACAATGGTGATACAGATGAACTGGAATCACATCCCCTTTTAACGAAAGATACTCTACATCTTTACTATCAGGTATGAAGAATCTGAGAATACAAACGTTGTGAATGAATGGCATGTACTCAAACTCGTACATAGGCACTGGCCGGTGAAGTTGTCAGTGCGCAAAGCAACTTCAAGGAAAACCAGGAAACCGATGATATTGCTATCCTAGAGCTTTCACGTATTATCGCTTGTTTCGAGCTGATGACAGCCTACATCAAGGCAAAGGATGATCGGGCTCTTCTGAGTGTGATATTGAAGTCGGGTCGATTGTTTATTGAACAAATGACCAAGCGAACCATATCATATTTAAGTTCTCATTTCAAAACGCATCGAGATGCTGTCATCAATATGCTGAAACAATTTCAAAATGGAACGAGAACTCTGCAAGTAAGTGATTGATCTACTAAGCCATAATAGAAAGGCACGTTTCCATTGACTCCGTATGCTTTCATAGATTATTTGCTCGCACGTCAAAATCATTCAAGACATACAGCTATCCTCCCACGTTCCATCTCTCAAAAAGGCTTTGGAAATCGTCATCTATCAAGCGAAAGCTCTCTTGACCGATAACAATGCGCCAGCTAATGCATTCTTCTTAGGTATGCAACGTAGTTTTCAGCTGCATCCACAAATGATTACACTTCTAATTTGCTATTCTTGTAGGCGCATTAAAGCACAGAGATATAACGGGTGCAGAGGTTTCGTCGCAGGTACTTTAAGTCAGGTTGCAGATCGTGAACAAGGCTAAGTGGGTCCATCTTTAACAATTTTACAAATAGATACCGGTTGATTCAAGCGATGAGAGCGAGGATGAGCAACAACTCGCAAGCGACGATAACGAAGAAATTGGCCCAGAACCAGCTCTAGAGCAAGCTAGAAAGGTGGTACGAAAGCCTCAGGCCAAACGAGTACGGCCGGTCATTTCCACTGTATCGGTGATTCGGTCCAGTAGCCGAGTGCCAACAAGTGATGACGAGTCGGACGAAGAAATGAATACCGGCACACGTAATGATGGACGGCAAGCCTCTGAAAATATCCCCCCTGTGCCAGTTGATACATCGCCGCAATTATCACCCGTATCGGAGACAACGACTAGCACCACTTTGATTGCAAGGGAAGGGTCAGAAAATCAGCAAGACCCACCACGAAAGAAACGGAAACTAGGAACAGGGCTTTCTAGACGTACGAGCCACCCTCCCCTACATCATACCAATTTGTAGATATCTGCGATAAGCCATGCATCACTGTTTATTGCCAATGCTTAAGACATAAAAATCACGCCATGAATGAAGTACTGAAACTTGGAAGTTTTTTATATGTTGGATTACTTTCTAAAAAAACAATTATAAACTAATATACCCTTAATGGCATGGAAGGGATGAGCTATTTTATTGGTACGGCTAGACCAAACTAAAGTATCTTATATGCAAAATGAGGTGTGGTGGTGGTTGAGAGGGTATAAGGCAGATTATTCACAGGTACAGAGTCGCTCTGATCGTTGTACGTCGAGGCTCTTGCATTTCCTTGATCGAAAGTTGCTGTTGAAGATTGTCTTGCAAATACTGTATATAGCAAACAGAATCAAAAACATTCGGAGTAATGACCTAAAGAAAAAATTTTGCAAGTTAGAAATAGGTTTCGTTTGGGAAGTGGGAGCAACTAAAAAAACGTTCACATACCAGAAGTCAAAGCCTTTAGAAGCGTACATCATAGAGCTTGAAGCAGTATCATGAGGCACAGAGGACATGTTATGTGCGGGTTGGAGATAATTTGAGTTTGAGAAGAAGGTCATGCCGAGGAATAGAACCATGAATGTTTGGCTAGATGACGAAGAGGAGGAAGTAGAAGATGTTCTAGACTTGACCACGGGTTCGGTGAGTTGACCACGTCGAATCATTTTGGACTTGCGTCGCGCTTCTCGTTTTTCTCTTTGTTTTCGTTCATGAGCCATTTGTCGGTCATAAGCCATACGTTCTTGTTCGTAGGCTTCGAATTGTTGCTTTTGCATGCGGTAGTAGGAGACGACTTCTCCTCCACGAGGAAGCTGCAAAATTAAGTTTTGAAGAGCTTTGTTTTCACTCTCGCTTTGTTCGATGGTAGCCTTAAGATGAACAATATATTCAGTTGCCTTGCGAAGAATGGTGGCCTTATTCAGCTTGGTGGCAACAGGAACACCATCGATCAATTCTTCTTCTTGCTCATTGCCTTGGTCAACGGTGGATTGGGCATCATCGATAGTATTATCTTTGACTTTGGCGAATTTCAGAGCTGGAACGGCATTCTTCAAATCGCTCAAGCAGTCGTTGATATTATTGCGGTAACGTCTTTCGATGGCATTGTGAGCTATTCTGTTGATTTTGTCGGTAGATCCAAATTCTTTATCATCATCATCATCTTCTTCTTGTCTTTCGCGTAACGAAGGTCTTGGCTGAAAGCAAGCCAATGCGTCTTGTACCAACATTGAATAAGAAACTTCATTGGGTGGAGTTATCGGGTTGGGTGGAGTCATTGGGTTGCTGTGACAGCCATTGTTAGGAAGAGCCCCAATCAGGCCACTGACAGGGCTGGAAGGGATGGTGATAGATGGTGCAACGTTGTAAGGGTTCGCTGATTGAAATTCACTGTTTTCTAAATCGCTTCTAGGTCGCTTTCGTGTATATGTGTTCATAGGCATATCCATGTTACTGGTTGCTGCCATATCTTCTACTTTTACATGGTTCATATCGGAAATGTTGCGATACTGAGCTTCCAGCACGTTAATTCCTTCTTCGGTGGGTACTGAATACGAACTATCGGATGAACTGCTTCTGATATGAAAGTTATCGTCGCCAGAAAGGCTATCAGGAGAAAGGTAGCCTTGTGTCGGCTGGTCAAACAGCTCCCAATTAAATTGATTTTGATTTGTGGAGTCTTTTGGCCAACCATACGATGCACCAGGCTGCGGTGACTGCTGGCGGCTTGGAGCAAATTGCATACTGGAGGGAAAGGAAAGGCGAGGAAGTTGTTGAGAATGTGAGAGAAAGTTAAAAGCAGGGTCCGAAGCTGAGCTGGTTATCATATATTTATATGTGATGAGACCAAGAACCCTCTCAGGAAGCTTCCACGCTCGCTCAGGTAAAATTGAACATCACGCCATAAATTTTTGTTCTGTGCCCGAAATGGGCTGCTTGAATCAGACCACTTTTTCTTTGTGACCGCTTACGATGGGCCAGGTTTCAACCAACCAGAGGAAAATTTTACTGCAAACGGATAAAAATCTCAGAGAAGTGTTTCCAAAGAGCGCCTGGAAGGTACATTAAATGGCGCTATGAGAACTCTCATTAACATCAATATCCGTTTAATCATCATAACAAGCCAATATCTGCGTGAGATATTTTCACATCCTACTTGGCAGCTCCTGACTCCGTGTATTTCACCATCGCAACTTCTTTGAGCTTGCTTATCGCCTGAATCAGGGTCTAGATAAACTAAGGTCTTACTGATGGTTTCTTGTAGGGATCATTAGGATCACTTTAATCGTTTGGTTTTTTTTTTTTTTAATGTTCTTAGATCAATTCCACTTAAGGTTATTAAGCTAAGGACAGCCATCACATTAAGTACAAAGCTTCTAGAACAGCCGTGTCACTGCTAGTCACCAAGAGGTGCTGACTGTGTGCCCCGCCATATCTGGGGGAAACCACAGTAGTTTGGGTGCTTGGAGATGGTAAATTTTTTAACTAGGCAGTTTTGTTTAGCCAGTACGGGGAAAAAATGTCACGCCTCTAGCCAGACACCTCCTCAGGAAACTTCAGTCTCAGCTTCTCACGACATGGCGTCTCAAATGCATGCAGAGGAATCTCATGGAGACTCCAAGCTTGATGAAGCCAAGAAGGATTTGGTAACTGCTCTATACTGATAAAAGTTAAAATACATGAAAAAATAACCGATTTGCTACTGCTTAGCACCCACTTGACACTTCACGATCTTCCGCCGTGGATATCCCGAATACCCGATCTAGAAGGAAGTCCATCCTAGTTTCGTCGCCGAGAGAAAATAAGCATACGCGACGAAAGTCTGTTCAGATATCTCTGTCCCCTATTGATTGTCCATCTATACAATCCAAAAGTTGGCAACCTGCCGACACACAGCTGGCTGATGCACCTAACAGACGGAGGCGTGATTCCCGTTCCCGCTCAAAGTCCGTCAATCAAGTTCAGTCCAATACCCTGCATTTCCCGGATCAGCGGTCTCAGTCCTTTCTCACTGTCAATCTGGATGCTGATAAATCAAGAAGACGCAGACGCAGTCGAAGTGGGAGTAAGAGCTTCCACATGGAAGATCAGGAAGAGGAATCACCCGCGCTAAACTCGCTCCAAGAGATGATTTCAAGCTTAAAGCAAATACCACCATCGAAAGGAGGTTTGGACCACCATATTCAATCATCTCCTCATTCAAACACATCTCAAACACCACTGGATTTTCTCCGAGTTGCAGATCTCGACCATGGTGATAATATCATCTCCAGGCACGTGTCCCAGTCGCCCACATCACACGAGCCCATCTTTCCAAACTCAAAAAGTTGGAATTCAGTAGATGAGGACTATCGACACGGAAGCTTGATGGGCACATCGCAAGGCTCTAATCATTATTTTCCACAACGTATGAATTCTTATGGATCTCATGGTCGGAAATGGAGTTACTCGTCCTATTCATCAAGGTACAGCCTAACTTCTCCACACGTTTTTTATACTTCAATTTTTTTTATTTTATATGCATATCAATTGCCTGTTTAACACTATGTTTATTTTCTTTTGCATCAGTGTATCGCGAGAAACTCCAAATGGTAAGCTGAATTTTTGGTGCTACTTGAAAGTAATGTTGTGTCTCCATTGATTGTGTACCTTGCAAGTAGAAAGACATAGAACCCGCTCTGTAACCTCCATACAATCAAATGATACCAACGACCCGTCTAAGAGGAGAGCCATTTTCCAACCTCACCTACCACACGATGAAGTATTACGCCAATTGCATGACCGACAATTGTTTCGTGGTATATTATTTGTGGATGAAAGAGACTGCTCTGATTCGTATGTCATTTGTGAGGAATTGGATGCCCACATTTATATATACGGCTCCAGAAATCGTAATCGTGCTTTGCATGGCGATGTTGTTGCCGTACGCCTAGTAGATGTTGATCTAACCTTGTCTGAAAAGCACTTTAAGAATTCGAGAGAAGATAGAAGCCGCTTTCATCGAAAGTCATCCACATCTGGATTATCATGGACCGAAATCAAAGAAGATAACTTTGAAAATAGCGCAGGAAAGCCGCCGCCGAAATATAGTGGCATTGTGGTGGCTATTCTGGAAAGGGTTAACAATGCGTCGCTGGCAGGGTAAAAAAAAAAAATGGCATGATTTTCATTTATCCGCGAGTGTCTAACATGAGATTTTTTATTTTTTCTTAAATCAGAACATTAGTACGACAACGCCCGACAGCCATCAAGGAATCCATAGATAGTACACCATCCGACTCGTACCTGCAGTCTGAAAATAAAGAAAGCTCAGCTGTCGTTTGGTTGAAACCACGAGACAAGAAACTGCCACTTGTTGCCATCCCCATCGACCAAGCGCCTGAAGGATTTTTGCAGTACCATGAGGAATATCAAAAGCGGTTATTTGTCGTGAGTGCGGAAAATTACCATTAGTCATCTGTCCAACAACAAATCTAAACTGACCTGGGATTACACCGGCAGGCAACCTTTCGTAGATGGCCGACAACGTCTTTGCATCCTTTTGGTACCTTGGACAGAGAGATAGGGCTAATTGGCGAACTTACTTCAGAGGAAAAGGCTATCCTCGCTGACAATCATGTCATTAGTGAAGGTTTTTCAGAGCAATGCCTCAAGACCTTACCTGCCATCCCCTGGCCTATACCACCCGCCGAGACTAAGGTCCGCCGCGATGTCAATGGCCCTGAAACCCGTGTATTTACCTTGAACCGCGACTTTAAGCATGGTAAATGCGCCCTCTACTAAGTGACAATGGATGATTCAAAATGTTCTAATATCAATTTGCAAATAGCTGTCATGGATGTAGCGGTATCCGTCACGAGAATTAGCAAAGATATCTTCGAAATTGGAGTACACGCTGCTGACGTTAGCTATTTCGTCAGACCCAAGACAGCGGTTGACAAAGAAGCTCGAGACAGGGGATTGCTGGTACGACTAGTCGACAAGACAATTTCGATGCTTCCTGAAACTCTGCACAAGAACCTCTGTAGCTTTAGAGCTGGTCGAAAGAGGTTTGTACACTTTCTTTGTCTGGCGCGTATATGGACGTGAATGCTTAACTTCCTATGCATGTGCAAAGATTGGGGTTTTCAGTGATTTGGACAATGAATTCTGATGGACACATACATGAAACATGGTTTGGAAAAACTGTGCTCAAGTAAGTATAAGGTTTATTATAGGTTCTTAGAACTTGCCCTAAATGAAAATTGTTTAGATCATGCGCCCAGTTTAGTTTTGCTCAAGTTCAGTCCGTCATCCAAGGAAGCACCTTATCTGAGTCTATCAAGCTACATGACTGTACTGCGAGTGGTATGGAAGAAGCACTACGTTCGATGTCTTCACTTGCCATTTCATTGCGACAACGACGATTGGGCCTGAATAAATCAGCTACCGGTCAAAAGACAAGGCTGACTTTCGAACTCAATGCAAATGGATTCCCGGAGGCGCTCTCTACTACCAGCCATTGTGAAGCACAGGACGCATTACAAGAACTCTGCATCATGGCTAATGTGAGTGTTGCTCAAAAGATCACGAAACATTTCCCGGAGCATGCTTTGCTCAGAAGACAAGACCCTATCATAGATACATTATTGGTAAGACTGAATTCATTTATCGTACGATTTTTTTTTAGTGTGCATATGGGAACTGATCGACCTGCTTATGTTAGAAATCGTTTGCGCCTGATGAACCCAATTTAGATATGCATTCCTTCAGCAAGGATGCATTTGAAGCTGCTTTGCTTGGTATTCATGACGTAGAAGAGCTAGGACTACTTCGATTTTTGGCGGCTAAATCAGCTCGCCCAGCGTTGTATTTTGGAGCCGGTACAACCGACATTAACAAATATTTTCATCATGGACACGGCGTTTCACTCTACACCCATTTTACTTCACCTGTTTGTAGGTACGCCGCCATTGTAGTACATCGGCAGCTGGAAGCAGCTTTGAAGCAAGGTACGCTCCTTAACAGTGTATTGTCGTTCATCCGAAATTGAGTTATCGTTTACTAAAAACTTTTTTACCGCTTTTATATACAGAGAGGGAGTGGCATAGTGATAAGGAGGAGGATGAGAAAATTATAATGCATTGTAATGTTAGGGAAAATGCTTCACGCAATGCTGCAGAGCAAAGTTCGCATCTATACTTATGCTCATACCTCAACCGACAAAACTTAATTGCCTCCCACCTTCATCAAACCGCTACGGTGTTCTGTGTCCAAGAAGATAGCATCGACGTCTACATCCATGCATATGATCTTCGACAGCGCATCTTCCTTGATGACATTTATGCAGAGCATACCTACGACCCCACTACAGGCACTATCACTCTAACATGGTCGATGGAGGACCATCGGTTCGGCGCTGGTGATGACGAGCTGGTTCTCGAAGATGTTGAAGCTGACCTACCCAAAAGTCATTTGCACTCATCAACAGAAAATACACACGATGTCATAGTAGCTTTGGATAATGTACCGTTACATAATGGAGTTAGCGATGAGTCTAACACAAGTCAAACACATGTACAAACAATCTCTCGCCTTGCGGATATCGAAGTGTCCATGTCAGTTGACATGAATGTATCACCACCTGTCATTGTCGTCGATGTGGTGAATTCTTTTTTTAAGCAAGTTTAAAAATGTCGTTTATGTAGCAATATTTACAAAATAAACAAAGAAATGCAATTGTGGTATGGGTTCCTAAGAAGGACGCTAACGTCTATTGATGGAGAGCTAACTCATCTGTCGTGAGTGGCACAACACTTCGATCATACTTTAGGTAGTATTGACTTTGGATATGCCCAGCAATGTCCTGAATGTCCGTTATATCGGCTTCAAATAGCTCCCACCATTGCGCTCCAGGTTGGGTAGGAAGTTTAATTTGAAGTTCCCTGCAGGCTAACCAAATAGATGCGCATGCTATAGTAGGGGGATGGTATGCAACATAGATGACGGTTCGCAAACTAAACTTGAAACGTTAGCATCACATTACTGGACATAATGGTACCAGGAAAAGAACACATACCCGTCATTCAAATATCCCCATGCCTTATTGGGGACGTCGGGATGATCCTCTAGGCCCAAAATTCGCAGATAGTTGACCATCAAACCGTATGGCAGTTGGACACTAACATCAAATGCCAAATGCTTGAGAATCTGCATCTCGGCCACCACCAAGTCGTTCTTCAGATCATAGGATTGTTGCGAAAATCCATCCAACGGCACCATCTCCCGTCGCCGAGCTCTTTGAATTAGATAATGGTAGACCAAAGTAAGACTTGATATTCTGACAAGTGATTCTTCCGTCTTCGATGCAAGAAATAATGCCGCCATGCCTATTTCCTGTTGCAGTGTAAGCATCAGCTGTATAGATACACCAGATCACATCACGCGTATTCATTTGCGTACCTGGATGCCAAAATTTTTAAGGCTAGCGACTCGAAAAAATCGTTGGAATAGTACCTGCGCCGTAGACGTGACTACCTGTCGCCTATTGTTCAGAATGCTTTAGTGGGGAGGGGTGGCATATGGATCGAAGGTTGAATTTGAGCCTTACAGTTTCAAAGCAATCCCGGCGCTTTGTATTAATTCGCAGCCAAAGCTGAGTAGGATTTGCTCTTTTTCTTTTTTGATGCCATCTCGTTGTGATGGTGACTGCTCTAACTGTTCATTGGTGGCCAGGGCATTTAGTAATGCCAATGCTGTCATGCTGTTGATAGGATATTTGCGTTTCAAGTGACCTCGCAGAGAAACTCAAACAAACCGGAGGAGTCGACACGTGACTGCGTAAATTCTGTCTGCCATAAATGGCTTTAAAAAGAAAAAAGGAAAACCCTGCTGTCTAGATATTCCTCTAAAATTCTGCCCAATGTCAAAACGAGATTCCACGTCAAAGCAGACGACTTCGTCTAGTCAAAGCGAACCAATACCAGTCTATAACACCTCCGAAGATAAGCAAAGTATTATATCCCCACTACCTTGTATTGCCTTCTGTGCAACAATCGGTTTGCTAACTCAAGTTATGTCCACCTGATATCAATAGGTAGAACACCGTCTATCGCTAGTGTAAACGAAATCGTTCCACCTTCTTTCGCAGAATCAGAATTTCAAACTATTCAGCGACGGCAAGTGAAGCGCCTTGGATCCAATCTCTTAAAATGGTCTGAAACACCTTCTAGATACCCGACTTTGAGCAATGAATGGGAGTTTGCAGGGTAAGTGCAAGATAACGCACAAGTAACTTGATACATTATTAGAGCAGTGATTTGAACTTTGTAATTTTTATAATAGATGGGGTAGTACTTACTATATGGAACTAGAGCAGAGCGACATCAATGTACAACGTGAAGATAAAAAATTGATTGGTCAATGGCGAGCGACCTCCATCTCAGGCAATGACTTGATCGCTTCTGTACTATACTCGTTAGGACCGTGTATGGTCCAAGCGGGACAATTCTCTGTCATCTCCATGGCGCTGGTGGCGCTTTTAATGTATCCAGCCAAGAACATCATGACAGAGGTGTGCACTGCACTTCCACTTAATGGAGGTATGTTCAATCGGTTGGGCATTGAAATCCTAATATAATGTAATGCGCATAATCTGATCTTTTTGGTTGCATAGGAATTTACAGCGCAATGCTTAACTCCAGCTCAAAATGGCTTGCTGGTGTTGTGGCCTCTATTCTGATCTTAGACTATCTGGCTACCTGTGTAGTGTCAGCCGCATCGGCGGCCGCCTACTTAGCGGCGGAAGTAGCTCTTCCCGACAAGCTACCTGCTTTTGCCCTTGCTATCATTATTATGGTTGCATTCGCACTTATTGCCTTCCTTGGAATTAGAGAATCATCTACTGTGGCTCTGATTATCTTCTTATTCCACTTAATAACAATGCTGACGGTCCTTATCGCGTCCTTCATCCATTGGGGCCAGGTTGGAAATGCAACACTTATCGCGAATTGGAACTATCCATACCCAGAAAATTCATCGGCTGTGAAGATGATATTCAATGGATTTTGTGTTGGTCTGCTTGGCGTTACAGGTTACGAGGTAGGGTTGCTACATGCAAAATTTACATTGAGATTGTTATTCATATGTGCTGATATCCAAACATGACCATTCCTAGACGGCAGGCAACTTCATTGAGGAACTTCAACCGAGCGACTTTCCAAAAGTTATGCGAAACATGTTTGGCTTTTTGACTCTTTTGAATTCTCCAATCACCCTAGTGGCTACCGCCCTTGTACCCATTGAAGAATTGAGGAATAATTCTGCTATTGCTGTTTCGATACTTGGCCAATACGCTGTTGGTGGTCACCGTTGGTTGCGCATATGGATCATGGTCGACGCCATCATTGTCCTCTGTGCAGGTGTCTTAACTGGTCTGATTGCAGCAACTGGGTTAATGGAACGAATGGCAAGGTAAGTGCATCCACATATAAAAAGTAACTGTAAGAGATCTCGATACTAATTAGATCTGCAGCGATCGAATTATTCCGAGCTTTTTCCTTATCCACAACAAATTTACCGGCTCAGCTCAATATATCATTCTTGTATTTCTTATACTAAGCGTCACCTTGTATTCCATTGTTCGAGGCGACACTACATCACTATCTGGAGTATTCGCTGTGGCCTTCTTGGCTGTTCTTCTGATGTTTACAATCGTCAACGTCCTGATGAAATATAAGCGTAATCGCTTACCACGCCATACTTCTGTTAACCTGCTTACCACGGTCACTGTGGGCGGTTTCGTAGTAGCTGGTTTGGTAGGCAATATTGTTATCGATCCAAGCATCATTGAGTACTTTATCATCTACTTTGGAGTTGTCCTTCTCGTGATGTAAGTTCACATGGCCGCTTACTTGATTCTCTTTCCACCAAATTTAACTTACATTTCATCTCAACAGACTTACAATGATAAATCGTGTTTGGCTTTACAAAACCTTCTACTGGCTTGCGGATCAACTTCCTTTACTTCATCGATTCAACCGGTTATCCGAAGTATGCCAGAAGTCGATCTTGCAGGGTATCAAGAAGTTCAAAAAGCAGCCTGTGGTGTTCTTTGCAAAAACGGATGAGCCTCATATTCTAAACAAGGCTATCATGTACTGTCAAAACAACGAGCCAACAGGGAACATCAAGATCGTTCACCTGTATAAATCTTTGGAAGAGATACCCAAACACTTTGAAGCCAACCATTCCATCCTCGATGAAATATACCCCAAAATTCAAATTGATCTGGTAAGCTGCATTGACGTTGAACTGAAGTGTACTCTCCAATGTAAATATTAACCGCGCTGGCATAGCTATTCATTCAAGGAACGTTTAACCCTAGTACGGTTGATGCTATCTCGCGTCAGCTGGAAATACCCACTTCTCTCATGTTTATTACATGTCCTGGAAAGAACTTCCGATACTCCATTGCGGAATTTAACGGCATGCGTATTGTCATGTTATAAATACCGTAGCTTTGTAAATTTTATTGCACGTTTACAAAGCAGTGTACATTTTTATTGGCTATCTATAGTATAGATGTTTAATCAGGCATACCCATCTTGTTTCATAACAGTTTTACAAGCTAGCATAATTTTTTGTTGCTTGCAAAAAAAGACAAATTTAGTTGATCTTCAAGAGCTCAACTTCAAAGACGAGGGTAGCATTGGGAGGGATAAGACCGGGGAAACCTCCGGGTCCGTCTGATTCACGCATTTGATATGTCAGTATGGATGGAAAAAGATCATAGCCTTATCTAACACGTCCATTCATGCATGAAAACTTACAAGCATAGTCACCGGTGGCGGTGATCTTGGCAACTTCACCAAGAGAGATCTTGGGAACACCTATGGGTAAGTAGAAAAATGAGCACTTACACCTTGTGATGATGCCCAAGTTCACAAACGATACTTTACCTTCATCCCAACCTCTGATAACTTGGCCAACACCAATAGTGCACTGGAAAGGCTCGGGACGGTCGCGGGAGGAATCAAACTTGGTACCGTCCAAAAGAGTACCAACGTAGTGGATAGTGACGCGGTCTCCCTTCTTGGGGTAGTTAACACCATCGCCAGCCTTGATTGTCTCTACAGTAACACCCATGTTGTATTTGAATATGAAGAAATATGAACCAAACCCAACGGCACTTCGCGATAATTCAAGTTGTTTGTATGTGACTGCGAAATGACATGGTAGCTTTTTTCTTTTGAAGGACCGATCGGCAGGCGTGGCGAGCGTGGCCAGGACTCCAAGACTGCAATGACGCAAATATTCCGCCCCAACTATGCAAGAAATGTTCTAATTGATTGGCGCTGCTTGTTTCTTCTTCATATAACAAAAAATAATCACTATGACCAAGATCAATGTATTCACGGATAACTCAACTGATTCCAAGAGAATAGCTCCTCTGTTGGAAGAAGGCATCCAGGCGGTTGGAGGACACACTGTTCAAGTCAAAGATATTGCTCATCAACCACAAACTGCGGCTGCTACAGATTTTAGCGAGTCTCATGCAAAGAATCTGGATATCGACCTTCTTCTCGCAGATGCCTTTCTCTTTTCAACCACGTAAGTAAATGTGTTCTGTGACTACCCTGTGTGCGAGGTGGTACTAACTGGTTACGGTGATTGTTGCAGTGGCGCCCTGTCAGTCTTTGAAAAGCATTTTTTTTCGAACGACCCCAATGATGAAAAGCCGTTAGAAGGCAAGCTGCTCGGCGTGGTATTGTCAGATAAAACAACCTTCGATCAAGGCATATCACATCCCTTGGATAACAAGCTGTTGGACAGACTTACCGCCCATGGTCTTCAATACGCTCCAATCAAAGTCAATGGTCACTCCGATGAAGACCTCAAGCACGCTGGAAAACTGTTTGGCGAGGCTGCCCGTGAGCTAAAAGGATAAAGTGTTCTTATGTTCTGTCTGCATTTCAAGTGAACCCCAGGGAGGAAGTCTTTGCATAATTTGGTGTTTTCTACAGATCAGCACTGAAAGGTATCACAGATTTGAATGAGGGAGGAGAGTTTTTTTTTTCTTTTGATTACTATCTTCCTGAATTAGCAGAAAAAAAAATATAAAACATAAACCAAGCAATTACAATCAAATGCTCAAAGATCTATCTCCATAATATACTCCATGTCAGTTTCCTTGAACTCCAATTCTTCGAATAGCTTGATGGCTTTGGATGCGGCAGGTTCATATGGTAACATGAACTTGGTAATATGATGATTCTTTGAAAAGTGAGCGAAGATGGCTCTCAAATCATTGGAAGTGGTATCTTTCGTGAAGGCACATGCATGCACTACTAGGGTCTCTCTTGGTTCGTCAACGAAGACCACAACGGCAGTTGAAAGTTGGCCGTCTTCCGTCTCGTACCTCACTGTCTGTGCATTGTCCTTGATGCTGACGACGCACCATTCTCTCGTCCACATGTATTCGAGTTCGTAGTGTAGCCATGGGAGATGAATGTCAACACCGCTGGTCGCCCGTATAGATCCAAGACTCTGCTGAGGTGGATCCATCTCGCCATGAAACATAAGCTTGTGCACACTGGTGATAACCTTGAAGCCCAAGTTCTGGTACAAGCGCTTTGCAACCGGGTTATCTCCCAAAACGTCTAGAAGCACCTTCTTGATCCGACCGCTTTCCTTCAGCACTCGCAGGTACTCCTTCATCAATACCTTTCCCGCGCCTTTGCCACGAAAATTAGGTACAATGGCAACTCCTGAAACCCATGCTCGCGTTCCTCGTACACTTGTTCGTGAGAATCCGACAAATTGTCCTTCATTCGTATGCATGTAAACGCTCAGGCCATGTACAATGTGCTGCGGCACAAGAAACGATTCAAACATTTCTGGGGTAAACGTCATGTCCTTTAGATATCCAACAAAGGCCACGTTGTTATATTCCACTAGCTGTCGAAGGGAGTAATCGAGACCATTGGAGAATTTGAATCCGTGGGCCATGGTTAGAAAGGGGAACAAGCTCCGGTGGCAAATGGAAAATTGCAATGCCGTTGCTGCGGGAAGGTAAAAGCTGGGTTATTACGAAAACTCCCTTTAATTCGCAATGAAAAATAAAGAAATGGTAATTTGCACCATGCTTCTTGCAAAGAACCAACTTGTGTACTTAACAAATGCGCGCGACGTTGCAACTGCGAGCTTTAATTGACTCAATATGCTGGCGAAACTTCATCCAAAGGCCATGTCGCTTGTAGACACCAGAGCCAATCGAAACCAATTGTTACTTTCAATCAAGCAAGCGCATTCTCTCTCCAGATGATTTGCCACCATCCTTCAACCAAGATTTTATCGACCAAACTTAAAAGTGTCTGTTTCCTCTGCACACTTACAACATGGTTTGCAAGAGACAATGCCCAATCCAGCAGAGATAATAACTTTACTGCGTCAATTGTTAGCAAAAACAATGAATGACATTGACACAAATATTATTCCAGATATAAAAAAAGACTATTGGCAACTATTAGTTGGAAGCTACATCATTGGTTCTCGAGTTTAGATTTTGGCGATTCAGCAGCATTGGATCGTTCGGCAAGCTGTTGTTGAAGCTGTTGAGCAAATTTCTGTTGCTCTGCCGAAGTCTGACCTCCTTGTTGTTGATGGTGATGATGGGCCGATGCTGCGGCGGCTACCACGGCGGCTGTCAAAGCGTGTCCTGCATTCGCCATTTGGCTTAGTCCCAATTTAGCATTTAATTCTTCTACCTCCTTCATCAACCGATAACTGTCCGATCCTTGCATTGATCCCATTGCCAGCTTGGCGTTGATCTCGTCCAGCTCTTTCCGTAAATTGTCATTCTCCTCCTCGAGTTGGTGCACTCGTTCCTCCATGCTTTGTATAGAAGCTTTCTTCTTTTTGCGGCATTCCTTGGCCGCCACCCTATTCCGATACAGTCGTCGCTGCCGTCGTTCGTCATTCGTGAGATTACGTGTACTAGATGTTCGCTTGTCTCCTCCATCTACGTCCCCTGTCCCATCTGCGCGAAGATTTCCAGAAAGGTGCGGTGGGCCAGGTAATGAGGTGATGACACTGCCGCCTTGCAAAGATTGTAGCAAACTAGACGTTAGTCCAGGAACAGCTATTGGTGATACCATGGCTTGTGCTAAAGAAGACGCTGTCAGATGAGCTAAATCCTGTCCGCTGGCTTGTGCATATGTCTGTAATAATTGTTGTTGTTGCTCAGCTGTGAGCATCGGCAACTGGTTACTGAGACTAGAAACGTCGTCGTCCTCGTCCTCGTCATCATCGTCGTCCTGCTGTTGGTTGTGATCTTGCCCGCTGCTATCATCGTCCAACCCATCTTCGTCCTTATCTGTTAACGCCATGTCTTTGCCGTCCTTGCCATCGGATACCGAGGTTCGTCTTGCTTTAGCTGAGGTAGCGTCTAATTCGTCCACGGCAGGTCTCTTCAAGCTTGAATCATTATTGTCATTCATGTTTTCCACACCATTGTTCAAAGTAGTGTAATCGTGATCTTCCCCTGGCATATCCGTTTTCTTGCTGTTAGATAGAGGTGACTTATGAGTTGCTTTGCGCGTAGCTAGATGTAATGCGGGAAAAATGGGAAAATGCCACCAATTGCGAGCACAGTTGGTAAGAAATGTGGAAGCACGTGACCGATGCGAAACGGCGGTAAGCTGTGAGCTTTTAGTAATAGGGACAGCCTGTTAGTAAGCATCCAAAGCATCCACACCAGCTCCCAGGTACTGAAATGGTGTATACAACCTCGATATTATAGACCTGATGAAGCTGAATCGATACCATTTTTTTTCATCGGTATGCAACAATACTTGTAGCTAGGGGATTGTCTTACGGCATTAACATATGTGCCAAGAACCGATATCTAAAATGCACACTCTTCTTATCTATTCGTCATAAGGCTTTTCTAGTAGTACTTTATCCATTGATTTAGATTTCTGCCTATACTGGCCTCAGTATACAGCCTTTGAAGCATAAGTGAAGACTGGCTGGCTGTTCGCAACCGCCTGGTGGGAGATAAGAAAAATTTACCAGCATAAGCTTAACGGCCGGCTGGACAGGTTGCGCTGCTCTGCTCCAGAGTACATGCGAGGCACTATCCTGGCTAATCATTTCAATGGAATTTAGGTCTATATTTGAACAGATTTATTTACTATTGGTAACAGTGCAACTGAATTATCATTTGTCGCTTAGGTGGATGGTGGCTCTTGACCTGCAGAGCTCACGTCTGGCGTGTGTGTTCTATGGGGGTCACCTGATGTAATGGGGCTGCTGGTACCCCTTACATTAGCATTGTGTAGTGGAGGACTGTTGGGTGGGAAACGGGGTTCTTCAACAGTGGATGCCATTGAATGCGTGTTAGGGATGGCAGGTAAAGGACTGCTGGCATAGTTACGTTGCTGTTCGGCCATTTGTTGAGGCATTTCGTCGTAAGTGTGAGGGGCTTGGCCATAGTCTTCGGCAGCGATGGATTGCTGGTACTCAGCGCTGGCGGGGTAAACATATTGCTCGGTTGCAGGATCATAGTAAGGCTGGTATTCTTGTCCATATTGCTGATATGGGTCAGAATTATATTGGTAATATCCTTGTCCTGAAGGATACTGTGGTTGTTGTTGATAGTATTGGTTATTGCCATAACCGTGATTGTACATGTTGTGGCCTCCAACGGCAGCGGCCGAGTACAAGGCTTGCTGATGTTGCTCGGGGCTACCAACCACGGTTGGCTCCGGTGACTGGCTGCTTGATGACCCCCATGCAGCTTGGGTTGCGGCTATGCTTCCTACAGCTGGTACCATTCTTGGCGAAGGCTGTTGGTACATTCCGGCAGCAATAGAAGCAGGCGATCGCATGTAGCTATTTCGGTTATATTCATTGTCGCCGCCCGTCCACTGTTGCGACTTTCTCCCTCGCATAGCAGCATCGCTACTGGCTAAATAATCGCTAAAAGTTCGATCTGCATTATCTTCGTCTCGCTTGCTGCGACGTCTTCGATAGAAAAGAATTCCTGCACCAAGGATAACGGCAGCACCGCCAACGGCGCCGACAATGGGACCTATAAGGTTGGTATGACTTCCATTTGATGAGGATGAAGCTACCGCGGTAGGGGTGACGCTTGCCAGTGCACTAGTGGTTGTTAAAAGCATAACGCTTGTAGATGGTACGATGCTGGAGCTTGTGGTGATTGGAAGAGAGCTGGTGGTCACAGGTACGCTTGAAGTGACAATTTTACTGACAGAGGATGACACCAGCACCACCGAACTGGAAGAAACTTTGGAAGTGGTCACTGGTGCTGCCGTGGTGGTTGTGGGAGAAGGCGAAGGAGTACTAGTAGCGGGGGCTTTTGTTGTAGTTGTAGTCGTTTCTGCTGCCTTTGTGGTGGTTGTTTTGGTCGCAGCAGTGGCAGCGGCATTTTCTGTAGAACTCACTGCCCTGGCATGGATACCGCCATTTGGATCGTTGACACTCATGGTAAATAGAATACGTCGGCTATTGCGTTTTTACCTGATGCAAACAGAGAGAGAGAAAAAAAAAGGTGTGATCTTTTATGTGTTCCACGGTAGTAGTACAATCGCCCCTTGAAATACATGGTCGTGCCAACTATAACTGCGACTGCCCAAATTTGACTGCATATCGTACGAATTGATTGTGAGCGCTTCGTTGACTAATTGTACATCATCATAACAGCCATGCAATGTTATGGGGATGTTCTGCAAAGCAGTGTCAATAAAAAAGTTTCTGGCGATCTCGGAGTCTGCGTAACCGACAGTTATCGGGCATGCAATAAACATTGCTAAAAAGACGTTGCTCAACGTGGTTTGAGAAACAATGTGTTCTCTCGATCGTCTGGGTGGGATACGACTATGGGAACATAGTGTGCCCATGATATGCGCGAATATCAGACCATGTTACATTGTTATGACAATACATAAACAAAATATGCTGGGTAAGGGGTTGATGGTTAGCAATTGCTCACTATTGAGCCGTTTTCTATGCCTTGCTTGCGGACGAAATTAGCGATTGGGTGGCGTCAGGCACCTTGCACAACGCCAGGTAATCCAAAATAACTGAAAGGTAGCAGACTGAAATGGGAACTCCACGGATCTCGTAAGACATTGCGATACGCGTTTGGACCAGCTTGCGACCTTTTTATTTCGCTCAAATTGTGAAAGTTTTATAATTCAATGACCGTCGTTTTTTAAAGTTTTTATCACCATGCCAACCAGGTAACTAGCGATCGAGGTATTTCCCAGGCATTTTTTTCTGAGGGAGGAATTTTTGACAAAATCGAGCATAATCGAATGATAAGAAAGCATGGATTTGAAAATATGTCATATATGGTTACAAGGATACTTTGACAGCCATGCTTCCATGCTGGGTACTCAGGCATGGTTTTCGTGGAAATGGGTTGGACCACGTGACCATATCCGTTTCCCAGTGTTATAGAGCAATTTGGTGGCCAATTCGAAGAAAAATCAGATCCAGAATTCCACATGCCCAAGTACTATTGTGGTAAGCTGGAATTCGTCACTGCTATATGATCCAAACCTCTTTTACTAATTGTTATGAACCGCCACTGCAGAGTACTGTGATATTTTCCTCACACACGACAGTTGTAAGTTCGGAATGGATAGTTTCGCTTTTTTTTTTTTTTTAACACAATTGATTGGATGTATTAACGTAAATCTACCAGCATCTGTTCGGAAAGCACACAATGCAGGAAAAGCACACGTTGCCAATGTTCGAAACTACTATGCTGGTATGATCTCAGAGCGATAGAGGATACCAACACGTAAACATAGAGATCTAACGAGCTGCCCATTAAACAGAATTAGGTCAGGATAAGGCACAGTCTATCATTGACGAAATCACAAAGGCTTATGAAGGCGCTGGAGGACCTGGTGGTAGGTGTGCTGTTGATGGTTATTGTTGAACTCAATCTGGGATACTCACTGGTTTTAGGTATACCGGCTCAATATGCTGGCTATCCCCCACCTCCAATGTTTGGTGGACCAGGTAAGCAAAAAATTGAGAATAAGCCAGCCAGTTGCCTTTCACTCTATTAAACTTGCAATTCTATTCAAAGGCGGTCCTCCCCCTCCAGGGTTCCGACCACCTATGGGCCCGCCGCCAGGAATGCGCGGTCCACCACCACAAGGATTCCCCGGTGGCCCTCCACCTGGCGTCTCACCAAATGGACCTCCTCCAATGGGTAAGTTTGCAAAGGCCGAAGGCTTACACTATATTGTATGATTACATTGCTCAACGGTTTCCATTGTATAGGTCATGGCCCCTATGGTCAGCGACCTCCCCCTCCTCAATTCTATGGTGGCCCAGGCGGACCTCCTCCACCAAATGGATATGGACCTCCGCCCGGTGGTCAAGACATGCGAGGACCACGACCAGTCGATGGTCCTTGATTTACCTATTCAATTGTAGATACGCGACGGAATAAACCATAAAAATGCCTTCTTCCTTCTTTTTTTTTTTTTTTTACAGAGATGCATCGACAAATCCATCATTTTTACTGTTGTTCAGATGTTATTCAGAATAATACAATCATTTGAAAGGGATACAAATGTTGGGGAGTGTGTGCGGGGGGTAACGCTGTCCGCTTGACGGGACAAAGTATGAAAAGAGGTCACAGCATTAGAAGATAGCATGAGGGAAAATAGAAAAAGGGTTAAAGTAGAGTACTGTTAAAGAAGTGTCTGATAGCAATCAAAAGGAATTAATGATAAAGAAGAACAGCAGAAGCTTTGTTTGTTCTATTCTTGTCCGAATCCCATTGTTTCTTCAACAGCAAGAGTGAGTTTAGCAACGAGGGCTTCATAGGACTTATATGGTGGCATATCAATGCGATTGAAACAGGTATGTGCTTTAGGAAGTTGAGTCACTTCTCCAGCCTTTTCTATAGTGAAACGACGAGGCCCATCACTACCCTGGAGATCCTTGAATCCATTGACTGGGATACGCGATGTGCCAGTTGTAAATTGCAAAAGACGAGACTTCTTTTCTCCATCCCAAGACCTTACGCACTAATGTAATAATTGAAGCATCAGATACGGCTTTCCGGTAGTTCATCAAAGTAACAACAAAATCATTCTCTTACCTTCCAGAACCACTGCACGACTTCGTCGTTTTCAGTGTATCCGCGATAGTCTGTGTGTTTCTTCCAATCGTCCACATCAATCTCAGCAATACCGCCCATGAGCAACTCCAGTTCTCTTTCGTCGAAAACATTGATAAGGTCTTGGGGAATAAGTTGATTGAATCCCTCCTTGAATGCCTTGAATTGCTCCTCCACTCTCTTGGAGATACGCCATTCTGTGATGAGACTAAACCACCGCAAGGTTAATTATCAGAAATGATGAAGAATACACAAAAAAATCCTCTATAGAGTGATACTCACTTTACGTATTCCTTCTTGTTTTCCTCTGTAACGTCGATGTTTTGGCCGTTTGGTATCAAGTCCACGGTCACAACTTCGCCAAATCGATCGTCATCAGTAGAGAAAGTGAGGTCGAGAACATCGGTGATGTCGTTCTCACTGGTAAATAGATTGAAATTAGAACCGGCACTGCTAAAGCATTCATAGGGCTAGACTAAAAATAGAATTAAATTTTGCCAAGGCAAACTTACAGCATCCACATTAAACTTCGATGGAAATCCGCATCAACACTCTCCATATCAGCAACGGCAACCTTCTTTCCAATCATCATCTTGTAGAAAGAGACAATGAAGAAAGCATCCAAGAAGCGGCGATGGAAAATGGCCAATCCAACCACGCGACCGATGAATCGGAAGTAGTTCAAATGCTCAGGATTGATACCAGAGTGGGGATTGATTTGCAATGTATAATTGTCGTGAGCTGAGTACTCAAATAGACTGTGATGGAAGTGTGGGTAAGCAAGTATGCCAAGGCAAATAATGAGTATGAAACATTACTTACCAGTAGAATGGATTGAACATTTCATGAGATAACAAGAAGAAGAATTCTCTACAATGGGGCATTAGCAGGTGTTACGAGCTGGTGACGCTCCATTGCAATTTCACAAAAGCATACCTTGACAAACCACCGTAATCCAAACCATCTTCTCCATCAAACTTAATCATAAGACGTTTCTTCAAATCAGCCGGAGCTTGACGCATAACTTCAGCGTAAGCATCTTCGAAAATACGATCTCGTCTAACTTTGATGTGACATTGTCCAGGAACGGGTCGAAGTGCAGGCTGTGATCTGAAATAAATCAATTTACGACGGAAATCTCGCTTGTATTGTGGTACATTTTGATCGAGACTGCTAGGAAGACGTGGATCTAAAGTAAAATAAAACAAGCCCATTGTTAGTTTTGACGTGACCATAGTTTGTCACATATTTGCTAAAGTTTGGCATACCATCCCAAGTGGTCGTTTTCGTGTTATGATCTACAAAGTACACTCTTGCAGTGCTAGTAAGTCTCATTTCCCAACCAGAAGGCAATGGGCCAAGTTGCGAGACAGGTTGAACTTGGACTTGATTGCTTTGGCCAGGACCAAGAGTTCTGATATATTGCTGTCGGCGTGGATCAACCCAGGTAGTTGTGCGTGTGGTGTGATCAACAAAGTAGGGTCTGCCTTCAGCAGTAGTTCTCATTTCTAATGTAAAAGTCGTTAGCATTGGTATCATAAGACGCAGCCATATACTTTTTTCAAAAACTGACCCCATCCGGATGGCAGCGGTCCATTTCCAGCTGTGGTTGCGTTGTTGTTTAATGGCAAGATACCATTAGCAGCAGGACCATTGCCTTGCGGCGCTTGGGGCGTGCTAACCGCTGGAGCTGCTGGAGGGGATTCTAATGAAGTAGAACTAGCATTGGCGCTTGGGCGATCTTCAGGAAGCATACGTGCATTGTGACGCTGTCTTTCCATTTCTGTTTGAACTTGTTGCTCTTGCGTTCTCTGTGACTGACTTGTTCCAACTCTGAAGGAAGCAAGAAGACGACGAATTTATAAGAAACATCGTCGTGGTAATAAAGAAGCAGAAACCATGAAGGTAATTTAAATATCACATACTCTGGGCGATTCCATGTCGTGGTTCGTGTGTTGTGGTCCACATAGTATGGCCGACCCAAATGATCAGTTCGACGTTCCCATCTAAGGAAAAAAAAAATATGTAAGAATAAAAATTGATAATATGATGAGCATATTTTAGCAGCCATTTTTACATACCCTGGAGGAAGATCCGTCTGAGCACTATGAGAGGTAGAAGAAGCAGATGGTTGTCCAGCTGGAACTTGGTTGGCAAGAGAGGTAGTCAAGGGGAGTGAGGATGGCGGAGCGGATGAAGACTGAACACTATTGCGCTGTTGTGGTGGGGCGAGTGAGGTGCTGGAGGCATTCATGGAGGCACGATTAGAAGCATTGGGTGCTAAAGTATTCGTTCCATTGCGTATAGGTGCATTGACATTAGTAGAAAGATTAAATATCAATTTTCCGCTGATGACATCGTTGCTATTGGATTTCTTCAAGTCCAGTGTCAGCATTTCTTTGTTAGGAAAGCCAGTATTGCGTTAGTAGGATTGCATAATTTTTAAAAATAAAAGTAACAAACATCATGTGTAGACTGAATCCATTACATACCGTCTCCACCAATGCTAACATCAAATACATTGCCGACTTGAACGTTAACAACGCCAAGAAAGCCTTGGCCTTGTCCCTTCTTTTTGAATTTTTTCTGATCAAATACTTGAACTGCAATGACACTTTGGTTTTTGACTTGGCTGTAGATTGATATTACATGAGTTTGCCGTCAGCCAACTACGGCACCAACCATATATAATTTGCTTACACATCAAAGCTTTCGTTCCAATATGGGTTCAATGTCTTTTTTATGACTGTAGTTGTGTGCGTTTGCTCGCCATCGACTGTCACCACGGCTATGGTAACAATAGAAAAAATGGTTTAGTTAAAAAGTTGCTAATGCTGTAGAAATCATGAGGCATCTTCACTTACCAAATGGGTCTGGGAGCTTGAATAGATCTTTCTTGTACAGACCATCAGCCGCGATGACAGTCAGACGTACCTGGCGCGTTTCTGCTGGCATTGTTGTCCTACTGGAGATGTATCCGGTGACTTTTTGAGGATTCTAGTAAGGGAATCGAGGCAAACTTGATGCCAATGTCTCAATCCTGAGCCTCAATTTGCGCCCGGTTGTAAGTGCTGCCTCGAGGCGGAGAAAATTCGCCTGCGATGTCGCCTCGCCTGTTTGTCAGCAGTCACACTATGACCTGTGGCAGTGTCAACCAATCATAATACAGGTAGGGTTTGTTGCAGTGTGGTCTCAGGCAAGCTCAATCCTATTCTGTTTTTCCGGGAAGTCTTACAAACGAACATTATTTTAAATAGCCAAAGTTACTTGACTGACTGAGATTGGAGCGTGCTTGTGCGCGATATGCCGATGCCGGAGTCTGTACAGTGTCTCCCGGGTTGCCAATATCAACACGGCATAGTGACGTTTCTTTAGTACTTTTGGATGTGTTAACTTTCCAGTCTCAAAAGTCGATTTGACCTTATCACTCATTGAGGACTTTTAAGATGTAATAAAAGCATTATATCCTCAAACATGAAACTGAGAATATGAGCCTTTTCATAGCTTGGCCAACAAACAATCCGCATCCTTATCAATAATTACCGAACTTAAGTAATATTAGTAATTGCTAAGCGTAAGTATATCAGCAATTGCTGATTGTATGTACGTTGCTGTGAATATGGTATAACGGTAGCAATGGAAGGGTGTAAAGTATGTCACAACTTGCATGATAGCCCGATCGCTCGGAAATGGAAAATTATCTACTTGCATTGTTGTTGTGATTGTAAACAACTTTCAAGACAACTAACGGATAAAGAATGAAGGAAGTAGGTGTAGTTGTAACGACTGTTCTATCGTCGTAAAGACAATTGAAGTCAGCACGGTATGGAATCTGACCTGCAGTACTGACTGAAAAAAAATTGCCAGTCACAAACAACATTTTCGTATGGATGGCCGCTAACGAACTTGCTTCGTAACGCACGTCTCCCTACCAACATCATGTCAGAACCAGAGAATGCAGCTGCTCTTCCTCAACTAAATGACGATCCCGTTGTTCAAGAAAGGGCTTCTGATGCAGTCCAAGGTGATCAGAACGAAGAGGAGGTTGACAAGGTAATACTCACAAATCTCAGATCTGAATCGAGAATCGTTAATGTCAGCGGATCGACTGATTTTTTTTTTTTCCGCTGTGTGCGTTTGCCTACAATAGGAATTAGAAGCCATGAAGGCTCGAGTCAAAGAAATGGAAGAGGAAGCCTCGAAATTACGCGACATGCAAGCAGAGGTGGAGAAGACAATGAACGGCCCAGAAGAAGGTTGGCTATAGCAACAGTTTTTGGCTGGTGGAACGTCTTGATCACTATACTAATTGATGCTATTTATGACAACAGATAAGGAGGCTGTAGACAGTAGATCTGTTTACGTCGGAAACGTAAGTTATTGCGTACTTGTGCTAATCACAATAGCTTCAAACTAATCCGCAGTCCCTCATGCGTGTTTAGGTTGATTACGGCACTGCTCCCGAAGAACTTCAAGCACACTTTCAATCCTGTGGAACGATTAATCGAGTCACTATCATTTGCGATAAGTTCACCGGTCATCCTAAGGGGTATGTTTGAAAAAACTGCTGAAGATTTAATCCCTCACAAAATCGATGTTAATATAAATTTACATTCTTAGCTTTGCATATGTCGAGTTTGCTGAACCAGAACATGTCAACGCTGCTACGACATTGAATGAATCTCTTTTCCGAGGTCGCTTGCTCAAGGTGACGCCTAAGCGTACCAATATTCCTGGATTTTCTCAACGAGGTCGTGGGCGTGGTCGCGGAGGTTTTCGCGGCGGTCCGTACGGACATAATGCCGGCTTTGGATATCGTGGTCGTGGTCGTGGCCGTGGTAGAGGAGGTTATTACTCACCATATTAGAGTGGCAAGATCTTCCATGTACACGACAAGGGATATCAGTAATTGGATGTATGTACATATCGACAGTCGAACTGTGTTTATGGGAGCTGTAGGAGCTTCTGTTTCTGACTTTTTCCCAGCTCTTCAGGCATTGCTTCCATTTTTTCATTATTCTCAGCTCTCCCCCTCTTTTTTTCCTCTTCTTTTGCTTCATTCTTTCCTTTTTCCTCTCTCACCTTTTGAACTTGGTGAAGGCCATATACAACATTTATGGCTGATGATTTCGCCAGACCTTGTTGCCTATCCATTTTCCATAAAATTGTCTAATGCATAGATATATGATGATACTCTAAACACAATATCTGAACGTTTTTAAAAATAGTGTAGTTGTGTTAACGTTGGGTCAAAGGGAAGAGACACGATGATCCCCTTAGCCTTGAAACGGATGCTGCCGAGGCTCGCGTGCAATTTTTGCGATATCTAGCCGAGATTACAAATCAAAAGTATTTGACGTACGCTTATACAGTAACTTCATAAATACCGGTTTGTTTCTTCGTACCAGTACAGTGCCAATATGCAACGTCGGTACATTCCCTGACACCAAAAAGTGAAGTCACGTGCAATATTTCAAATGGCTATCGCTCCACCAAATTTTTCCTAGGAACTGCGCTACCAGTACAGATCGCTAGCTTTCCTACCTCACCATGTCAGAACGTAAGGTCCTGAACAAGTACTTCCCACCGAACTTCGATCCTTCACAGATCCCAAGGCAGTAAGTATATGAAGCTTTGAAGAAGTTGAACTTAACCATACTGTAGAATCTAACCCTGAAACAACCTTTTTAGAAAAAAGCCAAAAGATCTACAACACAAAGTTCGTCTTATGGCACCATTTTCCATGAGATGCAACACTTGTGGTGAATATATTTACAAAGGAAAAAAGTTCAACGCTCGAAAAGAAACGGTAGAAGGAGAATCGTACTTGAACATTAAGATTTTCCGATTCTACATTCGATGCACTCGATGCTCCGCCGAAATCACCTTCAAGACCGATCCCCAAAACACAGATTACGTAGCTGAAAATGGTGTCAGTCGTAACTTTGAACCATGGAGAGACGAAGGAGCGGAAAGTGAAGAGCTAAGAAAACAACAAGAAGAAGAGGAGGAATACGACCCTATGAAGGCACTGGAAAATCGAACACTCGACTCCAAACGGGAGATGGATATTCTTGACGCCTTGGACGAAATACGAACGCGGAATGCGAGATCTGAGCGAGTGGATGTGGACGATGTTTTAGGAAAATTGTCTACGGAAGATCAAGGCGTTGTCCAGCAAGCTTTGAACGATGATGATTTGGAGGATGAACGACTGGCTGCTAGTATTTTCACATCCGCGAGCGGACAAAAAGTACGAAAACTGCATGATGGCGACCTACAACCAGACGCTGTGACATTATTGGCCGATTCAGAACTAGCGAAAAACATGCCATCCTTCAAGACGCCTTTGGTTGCTAAGAAGCGAAAGGCTGAAGATACTAACTCTCTAGGTATCACTGTTAAAAAGAAGACAGTCAACAAAGACCCTGTCGTAGTCGACATCAAGAGTGAACGAACCTTATTAAAAGCCTATGAGGAGATCAGTGCAATGTGCGATTCTATCTCGTTATCGGAATTAGTCAGCGATACAGCCAAACAACTTTATAAACGAGTCGAAGACGAAAAACTATTGAGGGGTAAAGCAAGCGACGCCATCATCGCTGCTTGCATTTTCATTGCTTGTCGACAGGAAAAAGTGGATCGTACGTTCCGTGATATTTGCGCATTGACGGAAGTGCCCAAGACGCAGATTGCAGTGTGTTTCAAGATTTTGCAAAACAAATTACAAACCGATACAGCCACTATGAACAGTGAAGATATGATGACTCGATTCGTCACACCCAAGTCCACTGGCGACAAGCAGTCAAAATCTACAACAATTTCAAATGTAGCGAATGGTAAAGCGCCTGCGAACGGTCTTAGTATGCTGGCCAACTACAGTGACAGCGAAAGTGATTCGGACTAGTAGCGATGGGATAAGGCAGGAAAGGATTCACGGTATTGCTGACCCCAGACCAAGCTGAGGTTGGAAAGACTGTCAAAGTTGTATATTTTGCACCTCATTTTTCAAAGTAAGGAGCCATCCAGTGTGTAATATTGTAATTGAAAAATAAAAAATGGCAATAGAAGTGCGTACTGCATTGTTCACGACGAGAAGTATCGGTTAGCATACAGAAAAGACAGGAGGATATGGTGGTCAGAACCAGATAAATGAATGGGCCCTTGATAAAATAACCAGATTTTGCAAGTTTGCATTTTAAGCTTCGTTTTGTCATGCCATGCCATAACTTATTAGTTGGTTGAGTTTGAAGACCTTAGCGAACCTTATGCGTCATTATGCGGTCAATGCCATGATAACGAAGAAACAATATTTATACCAAGAAATAGAGCTATTTCTCTTCCTATCAACTTTTCAAAAATGGATTTTCAAAAAGGAGCACCAAACGATTACCACCTTCCGCCTTTTGATACAAAAGAAGGCCAACCCAGCGAAAGCCTGACTGAACAGCAGCAGAACCTTGCTTCACATGGCCAAGCCAATACTGTTGTAAACCAGCCAACCAATGTTGCAGCAGAAGAAACTGATGCTTCCACTAAAACTCCTCAAAGCAAACTGAAAAACGTCGATGAAGATCTCGGTTCAACTGAACAGGTTGTGGACGGATACATGGATAAGAAAATGGGAGGCGCCAACTTTTAAAAGGGACAAAGGTGTCTATCATTTGTAGATAACTAAAGGTCTATATGTGAATCTCTTACAGCGAGTCATTTCTATAATCTATATAGAGTGATCTAAATAAAACAATCTATACTACCGCTTTCCATATACCTTTTCGCAGCGTTCGATGAAAGCAGACATCATCATGGTTGACACCTTGTCGAAAAAGACACTTGACGCATGCGCATGGAGTGGGGAGGCGAACTCAAATGCAATACTGAAATCAACCCAGCATGACGGATGATGTGATGCTGATACATTATCGATGCCTGGCCGGTTCAAATTAGGCGTAAAGCGCCAAGTAGTTACGAGTTCCTTAAACATGGTGGCATCGGCCGATTCCGCCTTATAGCAAATTCTTATGTCAGTGATTGATTTCTCTTGTATTCCGAGTACCCATATAGCCATATCTTACCTTGACCAGAGTCGGTTTGTCGCAAGTGACTTTGGACATGTACTTTTCGTTGAACAGGTTAAAGCCAACACCTAGCTCGGCCTCCATAACGACCCGGCTGGGAGCCACGGGAGACGGTGCAGCTTTGGTGGAAAAGACTTTGGAATGAGAACAAAAAGGTATAAAATGGTGGTAATCGGTAACATTGGAAACAACGTCGTAAACTTGTGCTTGAGAATAGCTGCAAACGAGAAAAAAAGGTTCTGGCCGGTCAGTAGCTGCGCTCATTCGCTTCGAAAACTTGCCATGGTGGGACGTACTTTAGAAGCTTGCGTTCGCTATAAACCTTTCTGGAATCAAAGATATCTGGTATGACCTTTGGAAGACTGAAGAATGTTCGATACTGAAATATGGAAGGTAGACATCGCCTACTTTCACGAAATGCCTGCATGTGGACCTACAAATTATATGGTGGCTCTCAGTACCAACAAAAAAAAATAGCCAGGCACAGCAACGATGGCCCGGAGTTTCAATCTCGACAAATTCACCAACCATTGGGAAATCGCTTTTTATTTCATAGATGATGTAGCCAAAGGTAGTTTTATTATACATACATCATATCGTGTGAGTGAGGTAACTGAGGCTTCTGTCCTTAGGCAATGATCTCCGCTGATTTCCCAATGTGCGGGGAGAAGAGGCGTTTGGAATTGCCAGTCGTACAGCAGTATCGTGTGCAAAACATTGAATACGCACCAGTACATTGATTGGATAATGCGAACGAAGCTACCATCTTTGCACATGAATCTTTTAAACCACTTTGTCTTATTGGATCTCAGCAAACTGTCCATTGCCATTCACCAGTTGTGTCGGTCGTTGTGCTTTGATAACAACAAGGAATCACATACTACTTATGCAAGCATCCTATTACTTCGATCAATCCGCATAGCTGAAAAGCTTTTTGTCGTAATAAGCTGCTGCCGTGGAAGGAATATAACTATTTAACTTCCAGACGTATTCACATGAAAGCCACGTGAAACGACGACAGCCGAATTCGGGGATTGTGTGTTACTGTTTCCGCCAGGCTTTAAAAGCAAAGGGGCCACTGAGCTGAATACTCGTACGCACTCTAGCTCCAAAATGACCATCATCGAATCAAACAATCGTCACGCTGAAACCACCCGCAAGGCTCTAGCTTACCTCAAGGAGCTTACTGGCTCACTTGACGGCTGGGACTTTTCGTCCGAGTCCAACGGTGTCAAGCTTTACAGCAAGACCGTTGACGGTCAAACACTCCCTATCGTCCGTGGTGATACTATTCTCCCTGGAAAGGAATACACTCTGGCCCAGGTAGCTGCCGTTGCCACCTCACCTGGAAGTCGTAAAGTTTGTAAGTAGTCATGACATCGAGTTGATACCCAAAGCTATTTGTTCACCGGTGTTAACGAGCGGTTTCCTTGGTCGCACAGGGGATGAGAAGTTCGATGTCGCCGAAGTTAAGGAGACCTTCAATTTCCGCGAGACCCTTTTCTGGAGCAGACTCAAGACTCCATGGCCCATGAGGTAATGCATTGAAGTAGTACGTGATGCTACAGAGTCGTGTTGAACTAACCCGGTTTAAACGCGCGTCTTTTTTTTTTTTTACTTTAGCCCAAGAGACATCGCTGGTACTGCTATCCGTGATATTGGTGACGATGCCGTCTATGTCTCTATGACCTCGGTGGAGGATGCTGATATCCCTGAAGTTTACGGCAATGTTCGTGCTACTCTTTACGTTTCTGGATGGAAGGCCGTTCCTGTCGAGGAAGGTATCGCTGTTACCTACGTTACACAAATCGACATTGCTGGTTCTATTCCTAGCTCTTTCCTTGCTAGCATTCAGCAACAGATTCCTTTGTGCGCTGGAAAGGTCATTGATTATATCCAGACTCATGGCTACCCTCCATACATCACCGAAGCTAGCGCCGTTACCGGAAACGAGCACTTTACGCACGCTGAGAAGGAGTATACTCTTGAGATCGAAGGTGGAGAAGCTGGTTCCGTTGTTAAGATTGACATCAGCAGCAAGCTTTACCCTGCCGGTGTCAATGTCAACATCCAAGGCTCTGGTTCTCACAAGCTTGAGGATGGTGTAAATGGAAACAAGGTTCTTGTCATTGAGAACATTGACGGTTCTGCCACCGTTACTATCACCAGTGCTTAAACAGCATCGCTTGTATATACGACTATGAGCAAATGACCCTTCTATTCCCTCAAAATTTATAACCTTAGCCTATGACATAACTGTATGATAGAACATATCCATCTTGGCCCTATGTGTATTCTTTCCCTTTGAAGGCGTAAGTTATACAATTTAATAAAATGGGAGTGCTCTGTAATTCACGAAAGTACTAGCGAGATTTGTTATACTGATGACTTGACGTTAATAATCACCATCAAGTTATGCTCTATATCTGATTTGGATGTATATCACTTTGTTGAGTTGGTATTTCGCGTTTCAAGACTTTCAATTGAGAGCGTATTGAGTAAGCTAGAAAAACAAAGAGTCTTTATACGTTGCTACAGTTGAGCCATGAAAACAAAGCACATATGAAGGTGAGAATGAATGCCATGGTGACATCGATGTAATAAGTAAGACATAGCGAGATCTTAGATTTACCCCAAAACCATCCCCTTGAAGTTTCTGCTTGCCATGGCATTCGTTAAGGTTGTGAGAAAACAAGACATCGTATACCATGCTTTCATCGGTGCTATCAGAACGACGCCTTTCACCTTTTAACATCATCACCTCAAGCTGCGTTTCAAAACGGGGTTAATTGAATAACAGATGTTGCAAACGCCCTCTCACAACCGATAAATAAAAATAAAAACACAGGTTAGAAACACTGCAAATAAAAATGAGCTGTATAAATACGCTGACATGTAAACCCCAAGTGTACATTTAATTGCGTCGTCCGTGTGACTGAATTGACTTGGCAGTGCGTCGCAGTTTACCTGGGTTCACAATTCACATACCGTCATGGTCTGGGCTGATCGGAAGAGGTCTGTGTGTTGCGTTCACAAGGACTGCCGCACACAAAAGAACTTTATGGAAGCCAGGTTCACTGACTTCATAAAAAATCCCTTCACCTATTGCACTGAATGATCTCTACGCTACGACGTTCATCGAAACTCAAAAAGAAGAGTAACTTGTATTTTTGACATAGCACTCTCAATGAAATGACAAACTATCTGTTAGGTTTTTTGATTCCTTAATTTCCCAGATGCTGGGTTGTTGCTCTCATCGACTCAGTAGTGTGTCATACCGTAAAATTGCAGGATTTTATTAGTCACCACTTCCTCTTAACAGATAGATGGCTAGCAATTAGTTACATTGTTTTTTTACTTTTTACAATTCCAGAATAGTTTACCAAGCTATTGGAAAAGCGTCCTGGAACCTATTTTGATGGCGTAGTTTGCACCTTGCGTCAGAGTGTTCCTTATTAGCCCTATGACGCTTTAAATTAACTTGCTTTTCGTGCTTTACTTTCTACTGTGGGTTTCTACAAGTAGTAAGGAAACTACTCCATCATTTCACCTATCTACATTCTCGCATCTGTGAAGTAAAAAGGCTAATAAACTTTAAAATACCAGCTAGATATTCTATAGCCTTCTCGTCGCAACTTATGGAACGAAGTGGTGATGACAAAAATTTTGTGGACATCGTCAAATTCGCCAAATCAATACGTCATTTCCATTTTTGGAAATTGACTATGAAATAATATACAATTGTTTAAGTCTTTAAGATCCCCTTTACCTTTGTCTACTTCCAACACTTTTCACTTTCTTAATACTTTTGGATAATGTTGGATCAGATAAAGAACCTTATTAAGCATGGAAAGAACACCGTTGGTGCTGCCAGTGCTCAAGGACAAGACGAAAGCGTCAGTTCCGACAAGTTTGGAAAGCAAAGAGAAGCAGATGCCAGTTTGCTAAAGCATCCAGATCAGCAGCACATGGATGATGCAGCGCAGAATCTTTCAGACACTGTGCCGAAGAATCAGCACATGACAAACCAAGAAAAAGCAGCTAGAATCGTTGAAGAAGAAAATCTTTCAAAGAATACCATGCCTGTTTATCGTGGATTAGAACGATTTCAACTCTTGGAAAAGATGGGCGAGTAAGTACAGAAAACGAGGCTTGGCTGAGCGCGATAAGAGAATTGTAATGGCTCTAACACCTCAAACTTTAGTGGTGCCTTTTCCAATGTTTATAGGGCCTACGACACTGTTACTGAAGAACAAGTAGCCGTCAAGGTCGTTCGTAAATTTGAATTAGATCAGTCAGAGGTAAATGCCTTTCAACCTTGCCATTTTTTTATTATTATTTGACAACTATATATACTAACAAATCTCATCCACCACTTGTAAAATCATTAGGTTAATAGAGCTCATCTACACCCTGCACTAAAGAAGAAAACTAAAGCTACCGAGGTATGGAATATTTACTTCTTCCTACTCAAAATTTTGGTGATCGATGACGGCTAACAACATCATTTCATTTATCAATTTGTAATCCGACGTTTGGTCAACATTTAGCAGAGAGCAAATATTCTCAAAGAAATTCAAATCATGAGAAGCGTAAAGCATCAAAATGTCGTACAACTCATTTCCTTCTCAGAATCCGACGAATACTATTTCCTCGTCTTGGAATTGTGCAATGGTGGAGAACTTTTCCATCGCATCGTACGCATGACCTACTTCAGTGAAGACCTTAGTCGGCACGTCATCAAACAGGTTGCTGAAGCCATTCGACACATGCATGAGGACTGCGGTGTCGTTCATAGGTAATTCATGACCCAATGATCCAAATAACCTATTAAAAAAGTCCTCGCGATCACTAACCACAAGTTTCTCTTCTTTAATCAGAGATATCAAACCAGAAAATATTTTATTCGATAGCATCCCAATTATTCCTAGCAAAAATCAACCTCAAAGACATCCCGATGATGAACCGAAAGAAGACGAAGGCGAATTTCGTCCTGATGTCGGCGGCGGCGGCATTGGCCTTGTCAAGATTGCCGACTTCGGCCTTTCTAAGATCATCTGGGATCAATCAACAATGACACCTTGCGGCACAGTTGGCTATACGGCACCAGAAATTGTTAGAGATCAGCGCTATTCAAAATCAGTTGATATGTGGGCCTTGGGATGTGTTCTGTACACGATCCTCTGTGGCTTTCCTCCTTTCTATGACGAGAGCATTCAATTACTCACAGAAAAGGTTGCCCGCGGTTATTATACATTCCTTAGTCCTTGGTGGGATCCTATATCGGCATCTGCTAAAGACCTCATCAGTCATTTGCTTTGTGTCGACCCCAACAAGCGTTATACCATTGACGAATTCCTTAACCATCCTTGGGTTAAGAACGAGCCATTCCATCCTCTACCCAAGCAACCAAACAATGTCCAAGGAGCAACTCCTCTGCAAGCTCAAGCCCAACAACAACATCAGCAACAGCAATATCAACAACCAGCACATAATCAGCAATTCGATTCTTTCGATTCCGATTACTCTGACCATCATGACATAAGAACAGGAACACCTATGAACATCGATACACCTAACGATATTCCTGGAGTCTCCGATGGCAATAAGCGAGCTGATGTGTTCTCTCCCGGCGTGGGAGCAATGAAGGAATTGTTTGACGTTACTTACGCTGTCCAGCGCATGGATGCCGAAAAGCAAAGACGCAAAGTCCAAGGCCAGCGTCATGTACCAGTTCTCACAGCGGATGATCTTGAAGACATGTATGTTGAATCTTCATCCGATGAGACAGAAAGTGACCAAAGTACAGAAGATGCTCAGTATTCAATGGCCAACTTGAGACACGAATTGGATAAAACGATTGCACCCAATGTTGATCAAAACAATCTACTTCAAGTCAGCCAAAGGAACAAGATTGCTGCCGAAATGGCCAAAAGGAAAGCCGGTGTCACAGCTGGCGGTATTGTCATAAACAAGTACCCATACCAAAATCAAGCGCAAAACCAACCACAACATCGAACCAAGCGCGCTCCTTTTGAACTCAACATGGCCAAAGCTACTTTACTGAGCAAACGCAAACATCCCGTTGACTATACCAAGGGAGGTCAGGAACAGCCATTGGGACAACGAAATTTCTAATCAAATTATTACCTGGACAACTGAAATGGTGTATTGTATGCCAATCTATGGGCAACAACATTGATTTCAACAAAAAAAAACACTACACTTGATTGTTGTTTATTGTTTTCCTGTTGTATTTATGGTCACTTGTTCTTCCTATTCATCTTCGCCTTTTAGTTTATATTTCATGTTTCCCTTTTGATTTTCAGCGTACAATTTTTCGATACCATCACATACTGTTTCGTATTTATGTATACATTTGTACTTTTTTTGTTTCAACTCTTGCCGACCTTTCTTACTTTGTATTATTCCCGCACTTCACCTGCTCATCCCTTCACCATCATTTCTCCTCTCGAAATTTTTGTTTAGCCTGCCTTCTCACATCGCATGTAGACGCTACTAAGGATTTATAAATGTCGACAATGAACGCAACATAGCATCAATCCCCCACACACATCGTACAGTACAAGATAACCTGATGATTTACAACACAGTCGTCAAGGACACTAAAATAAAAAAATAAAAATGATAAATGCGCGTCTGACTCGTAATTAATGCGTAAATGACCTGCCCTGATCTGATCTCAATTATATGTCTATTTTATTTTATTTTTACATTGGAACAATGGTAACAGTGTCATTTTCAGTGTGGACTGAATGCACCTGACATACAAGATCCGCCCATAGTAGAGCCTGATACGTGAAAACACTAGGGTCGAAGATGGCAGGGTACGAAGGCATTAGCGTTTGCTGTATAATACTAGTATGTATGTTAAGTATGTATTCATCTTGTTGATCGTCTTCAGCTCTGCGAATAGTGTTGGTTACATTTTTAGTTGGTGTTTAGGGATTGATTTATGCACCAATACACTTACATCTCCGAGGGGATTTGGTTCAAAAATCTTCTCCATTTGCTTTGCGCCTTGGACCGTTCGCGGATCAGCACAAGCATCATATAAATACCTTCAAAATCCGGAGCCTCTTCATCTGATGGGTCTATTGATTCGCGTGGGTATCCTTCCTGCAAGGCAGTGGCGAAATCTTCGTCCAACCGGAAAGCCTCTTCCACGGTCAATAAAACATTGTTCTCGAGCTTTTCCGCGGTCTCTACTTGATCCTTATAGCTTTTGGAAAGTATTTCGCTATCGTCTGGGTTGAGGATACCTAAGAATGGCCAGATTTTGGCAATTTGACCTCGTCTAAAGTTTGACTGCATGCGTACCATCAGCTGCTTTTGGGTGTGTGCTACGGATGCTTTGGCTGCAGTTGTGACTCTCACTTGACCTGCGCAATGACAAGAAAATTAGCAGACATATCAAATTTTGTATTGCACAGTCGCCCTTTACCTGCTCTATATTCTAAAGCATCCTGCTGCCAAGGTTGGGGTTCCGGTAGATTGGGTTCAGTTCCAAGCAAACTCTGCATTTTGTAATTCAGTAGCGTAGCCAAGGTATTGAGCATAGCGAATTCGTTTCGATAACCAACAAAATCCAAAAGCTCTCGTCGATCGGCGGACATGTAGTTCTCTGTTTCAGTACTGTTCATGACAAGTACCCGAAATACAGCCAAAAGATCTTCCGGGATGTTGTCCTTTGTGACGAAATAAACAAGCTCTCTGTCTTTGTCGGTCTGAGATAATAAATTACAGTCCTGGAGAATTTGCTGTTTGATATCCGCATCAGGGTCTTGACTAAAGTTGGGTTTCAGCACCACATAGTCATATGGATTATCTTTAATACAGAAACCATATCCTAGGAGGACTAAAAGGATGAAGCGTTGTCAAAATCGGGCACAGTGTGGTCACAGGTACGCACAAACAAAAAGATAAACAAAATTGATAACTCACGCTCTTCATTAGATTTAGGTCCATATGTGGTGAACAATTGATTTCCGGACTTTAGTGGCTCTCGGGTGATAAGATCGAGTGCACCGGACTCTGGTGTGCCTTTGCCACTCCAAGTGACCTTGACATTAGGATCATGATTAAACGAATCAGCTAGTGGAACCATCATCTCTCCTTCAGCCTTGCCATCAATTAATCTATACGGAAATGCTCGGGACGATATAGCCGTGTATCCCCACAAACAAACCTCCCTACAGTAGTATAAGATGAGTTGACGTGACCCGAGGGGAAATTAAGCGGAGGCAGGGTTGGTGAGCAAATATAAACATGGCTTACCAAGTAAACCCTTTCCTCTCTGGCTCTGGCAGGATTTCAACAATCTTTTCGTATTCGGAATACAAGAAATTTCGTCGACTAATGGTTCCAAGCTGAAGATTGGTTCCTTGCAAGATCTGGAGATCTTGCTCGTCAAACATCATGGAAGTCATAATACGATTAGGAATAGCAGATAGATATGGCATCCAAAACGATTCTGCACCCTTTTGCCATTCGTTTGACAAAAACAAGCTCATAACTGCCCTAGACGACAGGCCGTTCAGTTGCGGATACCGCTGGCGGACAAGAGGCTCCGTAATCATAAGCTTAAATGGTATAGTAGCGTAGGTCTGATCGTTTTCAAAGTCCTTGGTCAATATCACACCATTCATACCGCTCTTGTCTACAGTGTCAAGAGGTCGAAAATGTTATAAAACGAGTGAGTTGGTGCGTGCATTCAGTTCAATACGCGATTACTGCAATGCTGCTACATACCGGCACCAAACGATAGTCCTTCCAAAATGGCACCGTTTTCTTTCAGCCATGCGAGAAATTCATTCAAATGTTGCTGCGTTACGTCACGATTGGCTATTGGTAGCTGTGGATCTGCCATAGACATGAGCGATTGCGATTGGTTTCGAGTTGAGTGTAATGCTAGACGACGAAACGATCTTTTTGATCACCGCTGGCTGTCAAAATGTTTTGTAAGAGCCCACAGGCTTGATAGAACATGGAACCCATTGAAGACAGTATAGACTCTCAGATATGAGCTTAGCTAGCATGCGCCCATATGAAATTGTTGGTTATTACAAAGTAGTGTATAACACAATGTTATATCATACGAAGTCTCTTCTTCAGCTCCATTTGATCCTCGTCTTTGAGACACAAGGACGATCAAAACTACAAGACGTAGTTTAGCAATACATTTCAAAAATTCGATACTTCGACTAGTTTCTTCTATCAGCATAGACTTTTGTTCGCATGATTATTAGTTGCGTACTGAAGTATTTGAGACTGGCTCGTCGTTTGACCTAATGGGTGGATTCCGTCGTCGCTACAGGACTTTTCTTGGAAGATCACAGTCACATTTTTTTGGTTGAGATTTTTTTTTTCTGGCTATTAACATTTGTGATTCATTGATCAGTACAAAGTCATGAGACAGCTCAAGCATCACGAAAAGAAGTTGTTGAAGAAGGTCGACTTCTTGCAATGGAAGAAAGATGACGACGTAAGAGAGATCAAGATCATTCGACGTTATCACCTTCAAAAACGAGAAGATTATCACAAGTACGTTACCGTTTGATAATTCAACATGTCGCCATCCCATATAGAGCAAAATACTTTGCAATCATACTGTTCTGTTAAGAAAAAGAAATGCTCAAACTAATAACTCTACTGTTTTCCTCTAGGTATAACAAGTTGGCAGGTAACATCAAACAACTCGCCAATCGGATATCGCTGCTCGACCCACGAGACCCATTTCGAGCACATAAAGAAAAGGCACTGTTAGACAAATTGTATTCCATGGCCATTATCACTTCCACAGCCAAGTTCTCGGACTGCAACAAAGTCACTGTATCAGCTTTTTGTAGACGAAGGCTTCCTATCGTCATGTGCCGACTGAAAATGTCAGAAACTGTCAAGGAGGCGGTCACTTTTGTGGAACAGGGGCATGTTCGTGTCGGTCCCGAGACGATCACAGACCCTGCATTTCTCGTTACAAGAAATCTGGAAGATTTTGTGACATGGGTCGATACCTCCAAGATCAAGAGAAAGATCCTCAAGTACAACGACAAGGTAAGAATATGGAACTGGGCGAAAAGGTGGGAATGGACTCATACTAAATACGGTTGCGAATCTAGTTGGACGATTTCGACTTGTTGTAAAAAAAAATTGTTTGGCGAGGATACATTGTTTAACATGGTCGGCTGCGCCAAGCTACTTATTGTCAGTCTTCCCTTCTCTCCCATTTTGCTGTCATCGTTGTAATATACTCGTCTTTTATCGGACTTTTTATGGAGCCATCAACATCCACTACACCCTGCATCTCGAAATCATACTGCTTTTTGTATGAATAAAGTTAACCCATTTCACCAAACCCCCTCTCTTTCGCTCTGATCCCCCAACGTGTTCCACTAAAATATACAGAATGTCGCAGACGGGCTATGCACCAGTGACGACACACCCAGGGTTAGGGTTATGCCTCGTGACACATAGAAATATCGCTGACCCAAATGGTCTTTTCGTTTTTTGCCCTTCATTTTTCAATCCATCTTCGTAAAAGTCTTGGTACGCTTCATATACTTTACGAAAACGCAAAAGAATCGTCATATATTCCATCGTCTAATCTCAATTGTTCAGAATCAGCGTCACTCCGTTCTATCTATCACCTTTTCAACTCCTTCCGTCTATCTTTCCGCCAGGTACGGCACTTTATGCCTATCCAAACCTCTTGCCAACCCTCCCTATCATGATAAGATGACTAACGAAACCCCTTTTTTCTTTCATATACATACTACTACTTATTGACCAACCGTTCTTCTCTACGTTTTTGAACTGGATCGCCACTGTTTTCATGTAACGCACGACCTTTTCGACTGTTTCTTTTTTTTTCAACCTCCGTTTTATTGACTGTATCCAACAGCCTTTTCTAACTACACCGAAACCTGAAGTTGACAGCACTATTATGTAAGTACAAGTGGTTTTAATTGGGGAAAATGGAGAGAAGAAGACTATGAAGAAAATCATGATGAAAGCAGCCTGCGGCAGTGATCAGGAGGTGACCAAGGGGGCGGCTGGACAAGCACACTTTCGAGCTTTGACATGTCAGCACAGCAGCAGTGGTATCAGCCAAGAATGTTATAAAATAGCGGCCTCTGCGTTTTTGAAGTTTTTCCACTTCTACTTCTCTGCATTTTATTTCCAAAACCCGCTTTGTCCACCTTAATTTAAAACCATCTGACCTGAGCTTCTTTTTGTCAGATCTCCCCTATTTTAAACAAACGCAGTCCATTACCAACCACAGAAAAATGACAGGCCGCACGAGGCCAAACCGCAGCCGATCACTACAACCAGTTGAAAGACAGCTGAGTTCTATAAGCAATACAACCACAGACGAATACGACCTACTAGCCGACGATGGTCTCCAAGACGCTTTATTACCGTCTCGACATTCTACATTGGACGACAGTGACGAGTCATCGGTGGCATCAGATACCGATACACATGACCCCTCACTGGAACTGTCAGACAACCCTGACGTTGACCCTGACGCACTTTTGCAACTTATGAGCGATCAGGGCACGCCGACACTCCACGCTATCGGAACGCATTTCCCTATGTTAGATGACGAAAGTGAAAGCGAAGCATCTGACAGCAGTAGCTTACTACTACCTGATTCAGTGACCTTGACCAGCACCTCCAAAGCCACATCACTTTCTCCCGCCCCTACCATTATTCGAGTCCTTTACATGGGCAGCGCCAGTGAAAATGACAAATCCAATATATTGAGAAAGCTCTCAGAAGGCCTAGCGGAAATTTTTTTACAACGCCCACCAGACGCAAAGTATGACCTAAAGACGCAAGACGATGTGTCCGCCACTGATCAACGAGTCTTTTCTGGCTCGACTCTTCATACTGATCCCAGTCTCTTCAAAGAAAGAAAACACAATGTCCTGCCATTATCCACCACCGCACGTTTTGCCGCTGACGATGATAACGACTCAGTAGATGAGCCTATCGAAACCTACGAAGATAATGGACTGGCTATCATTGAAGCCGATTTTACCAGGAGTAGCGAGCGAGAATTCAAAAATGCTTCGACAGACACTATCTATGACTATGTGATACAGCACATGGACACCGAACAATTGCATGACTCTACTGAGACATCGTCCCAACGTCGCTCTCATCGTTTCGAAGGCTACATATATCCTGATCCTACCCCGGATGGTGTGGATCTCATTGTATACTTTTACAGTGGCCTTGAAAATGACGAGGAACGTCAAAACGAGATTGAAGATGACATGATTCTCCTTTGGAAACTGCGGCAACTTGGTATCCCTGTGCTTCCCATCTTATCCTCCTTAATAACCACCAAGCGACGAAAACCTGTAGGTGGTGATATTAGCATTCATCGGGATGAACCAAACCACGATACCCCTATTTCTGTTTCATCGGGCTCCACAGGAGGTTCCAGCCGACGACGCACTTCACCTATTCGAACCAATGGTCGACACCATCGATGGCATGATTCTCACCACAGTAATGCAGATTATAATCAAGTGATGATGGAGAATCGAACGTATCTATCCAATATGTTTGCTGAATATCGTATTCAATGCCTTGACGTACTTAATTTGGAAATTGGTCGACCGTCTTTTCATCGACGACAGCGTGGCAGTCCCGATAACACCCATAAAGAAGATTGGGAAACGTCAAGCTTAATGCCTGCCCCTTGGCAGATTCTTACTGTCGAACAATTTGCTTCGGTTGATAAAAAGGCCGTGTACGAAGCTCTGAAGAAATCCAGAGAAATGGCCGTAAAGCGAGAAACGGTGCGTGACATCATACGGGCCAAGCGAAAATCCATGGAAACAACCTCACCTAGTGACAGCAAAGCGAGCCTTCACCTTTCCAGCATGAAGATTAACCTCATCCGTTGGATCATGGGTATCTTTATCCCATTTGTTGTGGTATTTTGTTTGTTTCAAGGTAGTACGACGAGCACGCTCCACCTGTCAAATTCAACTACCACCGTCGGACCCCCCGCTATGGCCAAGCTCCATCCAATGTGGTCAACGCTGGAAGCCAATTCCAAAACCCACCTTTTCGTAGTGGAAGTTTTTGACAAATTCGGCCGCCCATCCTCCTTTGGACCCTCTGGTGTGAAGCTCAAAACCGTAGGCTTAACCCAAGGCCGTCCAGAGCACATATTGGATATGGCGGAGCTAGGTCAAGGTCAATATATGCTAGAAGTTCTTTCGCCATGCTTCCAAGAAGATCCCTCCTCTCCTTTGCAAGTCGAAATAGAGACTGTCCTGGGCATTCCGGTGCAGGACAGCCCTGTCACATTGACGGCCTGTCCCACCAGTACCAATCGTGTGTCGTCGGGACTTAAAAGCCGACCTACACCACCACCACCACGTTCGCCTCCTCAGCCTGCTCCTCCAGTGACTTTACACCGGACTTTGAAGAAGCCTTGGTACACTGGAGATCGATTACTACGTAAAGCCAAGGCCTTTGGTAGAGCCTCGGTAGCGGTCAGAATGATTACACAGGCGTGTGATTTTGTATACTATGTCATTGGCATATTTTGGGATGAAGCTGGTTTTCGAGATCTCCTTCATAGACTGCCTGCAAGTCACACATGATTGGTTGCCCCCAGCCCAGCTCTTTTTTTTTTTTCTCTCTTTTTTTCATACGTGAGAAGATGTACGTGTGTGTATGATAGAACTTTTCCTTTTGCTTCGTTCATTCCTTTTGCTAAACCGGTGTACACTTTTTGCCTTCCTCCAATAAACCCGTTTGTTGACCTCCTCCAGAGAAACCAAAAAATAGAAAAAAAAAAATTTCTGGTGTGGGTGATGTTGACCAAATTGAACAGAAGGCCGTGGCGGAGATAAGATCCCAAAAGAAAGAAGCTAAATCCATTTTGATCAAAGTTTCCCTCTGCGAAGCAAGGTTTTTTTCTTTTTTAAATATCAAGGCTTCCTTTGGGTGAATTTATAAAAGCAAAAGGAAACCCTTTCTTTTCTTTCTCTTTCCCTTCCTGCTCTTCCCATTCATTCTTCAATTCTTTATCCCTTTCCTGTCTCTTCATCGCCTGGCCCATGGATAATCATCGACCATCCCCGTCGCCAGAACAGTTCTCAAATGACGACGCTAGAATCGGCACTCGCAAACGGACTCGAACTACGCTCAATCAGCTACGGGTTTTGGAAGAAACCTTCACGGAGAGACCATCTCCAGATAGTAAGCTTCGAAAACAGTTATCAGACGACCTAGGTATGTCGGAGCGGAGCATCCAGATCTGGTTTCAGAACCGACGCGCCAAGGTGAAACTGCTGAAAAAGAGAGCCAAAATGAAGGAGGAACAACAGGTTTCCGCCAAGAAAGCATCATGTAGTTTGCCACCTTCCAATAAGCGACCGGTGGACAAGCCTATGGCCCAGCCCAACGTACAACCCCCTCGCTCAGTAGCCGCTCGAATGCCTTTCCATCGTGCGTGGAGTTATGATATGGCAAAGGACATGCCGCCACCGGTTGTTTATTCACCAGCTGCACATGCTTTACCTCCGCACTGGAATTATCCCTATTATCCCATGGCACCACCTCCCACTGCACCTCCTCACCACAGTTATCGCCCATACCCAAGGCCATTGTATCAGCAGCCGCCGCAACCTGATCAACAATTGACGGATGGCATGGCTTCGCTGGCTTTTTCGGACATGATGCAAAGTCAACAGCCTTTATATCACCCCCCGCCCACACCCACGTCTTATCTCCTACCCATCTCCAAGCCTAAACAATCGTTTTCTTTACCACCTCAAACCTATCGACATGGTTCGCAATTTTCTTCTTCGCCTACGTCCGATATGACCGATGAGAGTGGTCGACGCTATGGTAAGTGGAAGGGCTCGGCGTGGGCAAAATTTAGAATGGCCATGTTTAAACTTTAAAATTTTCTGCTTAGACCCAGATACGGCCGGCAGCAGTAGCATGGAACCTTCTTCCACCTCTGACTTCACTACCGATGGTTATCTCTTGGCCAATACCATTACGGTTGGATCATGGCATCGTATTTGCTTCAAAAAAGATGACTTACAACTCCAATATAATATGACGGAAAGGCTGTTCTCCTGGCATATTCGGACCGAAGAATACCATTTCAAAATGGATATTTCCTTTGATAGTATTTCCAGTATCGACTATCAGATCTCACAAGTTACCCCCGGTGCAGCTGAAATTGTCATCGATATAACGGATGTGCCTCATTTTTTCATGGATATGGGTCCCGACGGCTGGCTTCGTTGTGGCGATTTCACGGAAAATGCTCAAGCCACCCAACTTAGACAGCATATGTTGACCGGTGAAGCGAGTCAACTTCGTGCTCAGATTTTGCAATTGGCTGCCCTGAACATTGAACTATCCAACAAGATACACATGATTGAAGAGGAAGAGGAAGATGACCAACAGCCCTTTTCTTCTTTGGTCAACTTTGACTGGTCCAACGACGAAGAATCCATCAATAACTTCCATAGGTACTCTAGTATGCCGATTTTGGGTAATCCTGGTGAAGATCTGTCTTGGCCATAAGGTCTTTTTTCTTCTATGTTTTGTTGTTCCCCTCCCCTTTGTGAATTGAATGGAATGACCTACACATCATAGCACAACACATATGCATTCACTCCTTGTACAGCATCCTCCCCCAGGCCAACACACGCACCCCCCCCCCTTTCCACATGTATTCATGATGGGTGTTTGTGCTTATTGTTTGGCATATATATATTTTATGTATACTGAAAGAGTGGTAGTAGGATCGAGCTCATCCGCTGCCTCTTCTCTTTTTATATTTCCCGCTCCTTCGTCCCACTTCCCATCATTTTCTCGTACAAATTCTTTCCTTTCCAATCCTTCTTGTTTTGATTTGATTTGATTTTTTTTTTTCGTTTGTATAACTTGTCAAGGAAGCAGTGTCAGTGCTCAGGCGAAACTTATAGTTTAAATAAACCCTCTCTCATACGATTTCTATCTCAGCCCTCTGTCAACTTGACGGATGGGTACAAACAAGTTAATGGATCATCCAGGTTGGATAGTGTGGGTGCACACATGCCATTTCATTCGATGGCACTTTTATTAATTTGCAACCTTACCAACCTGCCGACTCCAGTTGACCCAGTGTATTCCACACTTCATTTGTCGACAGCGTCTGTAGGAAAAACAACTTTTTTCTTTTTTTCAGTGACCGCAAACCAGCATCCAGTACTCATGAAACGACTATTGATCCACCACCTTGATTGTTTGTTGTTGACCCCCATCACTTCGTTGGCGGAGTGACAGCATGGCTCAAAACACATCAGCTTGGCAGCAAATATAAAAAGTAATTACGCCCTGACCTCCAAAGTCACCCACATTTGGCAGGTTATGGTTCTCGCAATTTTTTCCCAATGACATGCAATTTTCATAATGCCGTGTTTTTCACCACCACATAAAACCATGCCAGATCCTCCCAATTTAATAATATCGTTGCCCAGGCGAACACTCATCATCGCTTATCTAAAAAGTTAATTAAACATTTGTACCTGGCTGGCTGGATGCCTCACTCGTCATTAACCGAATCGAGGTGTGGCTCAGGATAGGGTGCACATTCTATCATCTTCTACAAGCTGTAAATGGTGCCACCATTTCTAGCCCTTGGCATTATTATTTTTTGAGACGGTAGGGCCCAAGCCGGTCAAGTTAGGCAGGGAGCTATGAGTAGCTTTTTCCCCCGTTTTGCATGCCTAGCCAAGCACCACTGTAAAACTGATCTTGCACGGATCGATCATCTGTTCCAGCAAACTCTGTGTCCACTACGTAATAGACTTCTTTGCCGCTCAGACACTTCTCCACTAAAGAACTTGCCCTTTAGATCTGCATTCGGTAACTGGAATGGTTTCATTATGATGTCAGGAGTGATGCAATTTCCTTTTTCGGCAATGGTGTCAGTAGCTTAATGCTCAGACAAAAGAGTATAAATGCTTTCAACGTCTTGAGTTTCTAGGCACCATTATTCACAACACACAACAAATCAAATCAACAATCAAAACATGGGTATCTTTGGAAGAAAAGTTCACAACGAATCTAATGCTGAGGTCCACAAGGATGCTCACAACCACCACGGTCTAAGGTAAGCTGATAGCCTCATCTATCCTCCCATTGTTGATGAGCAGAAAATGAACGCCACATTGGTTTTTTTTTTTCAGAGATGTTGTTGCCGCCGGAGGTGTCGACTACGCTCTTCGCCATCACGAAAAGTCAGAGGATAAGAAGCACCCCGAAAAGACCCACGATCACAAGGCTCGTGATGCTGCTCTTGCTGGTGGTGTTGGTCTTGGACTTCATGAACATGACAAGCACAAGCGTGAAGCCGCTATCAAGGAAGAAGAGGCTCGCCACAGCAGAGCTGCTGCTGCCGCCACTGCACCTGGCCATCACACTCATGCCAATAACGCTGCTGTTCCCGCCACTGCTGCTGCAGGTACTGCTGCCGCTGGTCACGGAGCTTATGGCGCCAACGGTGTCAACGGTGTCAACGGTGCCACTCCCAGCAACTCTCATGCCAGATCACTCAAGACCAAGGGAAAGATGGACTCTTTCTTCGGTGGCATGTTCTGCAGCCACAGCATGAAGATGAGAGGTATCGAGAGACAACAAGCCGCTAACCGAGAATACAAGCAAGTTGCCCATTTGAGAGAAGCTGACCGTCTCCATGCACAAGCTAATGCCCACGCTCGTGCTGCTGGCGTTGCATAAATGTAAAACGAATCCCTATCGTACAAAAAAAACAAACCCCCCCACTACTATTGTATGCAATATGCTTTGTAACATATTATCACACTCAACTCTGTATATGATCTAATTCATCTTTATGTGTAATCAATAAATTCAAAAATATCTAACCCAGGAACCATTGAATTGAATGAGTGTGCATGGCGGCGTTTCAAAATGCGGAGAGCCCCTCATAACCAAGAAAGACGCTGTCCAACATGACGTCGCAAACACTTTTACCTTTACAATCATCATGAGTCTCCAAGTAGGATTTTCGGCTCATTCAAAAGAACTCAAGAACGCATACGAGCAAGTCATTGACAACAACAGTTCCGTCAACTGGCTCATATACACCTATGACAAAGGCACTAATGATCTGAAAGTTCAAGCAACCGGTGAAGATGGCCTCGAAGAACTCAGTGAGGAATTCATCGACGGAAGAATCCAGTATGCACTTGCACGAGTGAAGGACCCTAACACCGAGCTGCCAAAGCTTGTTTTCATTGCTTGGGTAAAATACAAACTACTCCATGCAAACGTGCTGTTCCATTCCTGCTAACCCTTTCGTTGTAGTGTGGTACTGGTGTGCCCGAATCACGCAAAGGTCTTTTCAACTCGCACTTGAACGACGTTTCAAAGTTCTTCAAGTCTTTCCATATTCAAATCAACGCTAGAAATGAAGGCGACGTGGACCCCGAGGCTATCATGAAGCGTGTCTCGGCATCTTCGGGGGCAAACTATAGTTTCCATAAGGAAACCCGACGAGCTGAACCTGCTATTGTTCCTGTGGTAAAAGCCCATGTTGATTGACCAGCTCTTTTGATTTTTTATATGTGTGCTCACCCCTGTTCCATAGAATTCGGTCTACAAGAGAACCGAAATCCCAGACATCGCTACTATGCAACGTCAGACCATGAAGAGCGAACCGGCCCCCGCTCCTGTTGTAAGTCAGCCAATCCTTGGCATGCTCCTTTAATTTTTGCCATATGAACTTATACATTGCTTTTATATGAAGAACTCGGTCCATGAACCTGTTCGCACCAATCCTGGAAAGTTAGCTGATCGATGGGGTAGTTCACAGGAGAGTGATCAAAGCAAGGCTGATCAAGTCCGTGCTGAACGTGAGAGAGCTGAACAAGAGGCGCAGGAACGCGAGCAAGCCATGGCAGCAGAGCGCGAACAGAGAGCCCGTGAAGAGGCTGCGAGACAGGAAGAACGATCCAGAGCTTACCAAGCGCAACAAGACCAAGACTCTCAGAGACAGCAACAACAGCGTGAAGAGGAAGAACGTCGACGACAAGAAGAAGAGCATCAACGCCAGCTGCAACGGGAGGAAGAGGAAGCAGCCCATCAGCAGCAAGCAGAAGAAGATGAACGCCAACGTAGACTGGCTGAAGAGCAAGAAGCAGAAAGAGCTCGCCAGCAGCAGGAAGAGGAAGAGCAACACAGACGTCAACTTGAAGAAGATGAGGCTAGACAACAACAGGTATGGAATGCAGTCACCGTGATATGATAATGAACAGCTCTGTTTGTGTAGATTTCCTCGCTCACTCATTGTATCCTATAGGAGCAAGCTCAGCTTGAAGCCGATCTTGCAGCGGTAAGCTGAAATATGCATGTAACACATTTTTTTTTTTTTGATTTGGTGTACTCACTGTTATTCCCTACAGTCTGCTCAACATGCAGCTGAAACTGCCGGGCACGCTGCTGAGGTAGCTGTTGATCCTCACTCAGCCAACGGAATCTCGGCCGTTGTACTCTTTACTTACGATGCTTCGGAAGAGAACGAAATTAGCATGGTCGAAGGAGAAATTATTCACAATGTAAGCTACTGACTGATAGCTACTACTGGGGTTATAGGGTAGATCGTTTAAACTAATGCTTGGCTGATAGATTGAACAACTGGATGAAGGATGGTGGTCGGGTACAAGTGAAGACGGTAGTCGATCTGGTCTTTTCCCATCCAACTATGTTCAGATTTTGGAAACTCAGGTAGGAAGCGCGAGTGTATGTTAATGAACTTTTTTAAGCATATGAAAACTTATACATTTGTTGACAGCCTGAGCACGAAGCTCCTGCACAAACCACCCATGTTCCCGAACCAGTTGAACCGGAAGCTCCGGCAGAACCAGAGGGTCCTTCGGCCGTTGCGCTTTATGACTACGATGCTGGTGAAGAAAATGAAATCTCCTTTGCAGAAAACCAAGTCATTCGTGATATCCAGTTTGTGTCAGACGATTGGTGGTCAGGTTTAGCGCCTGATGGCTCTGCTGTTGGTCTATTCCCTGGTAAGTGATCCATGTGTGGTAACATGCTCTTGTCCATCCTTTCTAAACCTCTACATCTCTATAGCCAACTATGTTCAACTCCAAGAATAGTTGCTCGACCGCTTGCTGATCAATTTTGCCATATGTTAGATATCAACCCTGTCTCCCTCTTTTTTTTTCCACTTCATTGAATAAAACCCCTTCGGTCCCCCTCTCGATGTGTTGTGTCTTATTATCAGCTGGTACAACTTTGATCGCACCACCTCGCATTTCATACCACCAATGAATACAATTTTCGAAAATGCTTTTTTATTGTATATAGTTCGTTTTGTATGGAATATTGACAAGGCAGCAGCGTTACAAGATGACTACATCTTGGGGCGCGCGTTCTAGTCAATAGCCAGTTTGACAAAAGTCAGATCTTAAGCCTTGGGTTGGACCTTCTTACCATCCTACAAAAATACAATTCAATATCGTTCACCAGCATCTGTTCAAGTATGGGTGTAGTTGCTTACCTTGCTGAATCTGAATCTCGGGGGAGGGGCGCGGTTGCGACGACCGACACGGGAGCGAACACGGACAACCTTGGAGTGGATAGCGCAAGAGACACAGTAGTGAAGCTTGATGTACAACTTGGGGATGGCATAGACTATGATGGAACAAATCAGTCAAAGCGTGGAAGGCTACTGCGCCATTATGAAATCGTACTCACCCTCATAGACGGAGGCATCCTCAAGATCGCGAACAGCAGCAGCTTCGACCATGTTGCGGACGGTGAAGCGCTTAATGGCCTTGTCCTTAGGGACGCAGCGAGCGCAGTTGAGACAGCGAACGGGCTTGACGTGGCCACGGCCGTGCTTGTTACGTCCGTTATTTCTTCTCTTGGTGGTCTGTGGAAAGTGAAAAAAGAAAAACATCTCAGTTAAATTGGTTCAATTCGAGCATTGGACATATAACATTCAAGGTTCTAGGGTCAATCTGAATGTCGCTCATCAGGACGATAATATATGGCTTCTAGTGAGAAGTGTGTTGCTAGTAATCGCATGACGGATGCTGATGGTATTCGTATCTGTGGATGACTACATGGATGGACGGATGGATGGATGGATAGGCTCTGTACACTCATCCATCCATCGCCCCATGGTCCTGAAAGTTGCTAGGACAACGCATCCGTAGTGATCAATCGATGCCGAAGAGGTTTGTCGATGGTAGCTGGCTTTTCATCGTATATCGAACATGTGTAATCTAGCAATGGGACTCTTTAACGTACCATGGCAGAAAAAGGAGGTTACAGTAATTTCAGCTGAGCAGCCATTTACCTCCCTGAGTGGAATTTTGAAGTTGCACGTGATTTGTCCACCCGCCACGTCGGTTGTGGCTGATGCTGGATTGCCCGCACATAGAGAGAAACCCCTCCTTTTTATTTTTCTTAATAAAAAATATATTGCTGCCACCGACAACCTGGCTTTTTTACTTGGTAGGGCAATTTTACCACCAGAGTAGCCATTTTGGAGCTATTCTGTGCCCAAAGTCTACAAAATATTTTTGCAGATTCTCCTCACATGCTTCATCGATCTTTTGCAGATCGCAGTCAGGAACCCGAACGGCATCTCCAACGACCAAGAATGGGAGCTTCGACATCCTATTGCTAAACATTCTGATTAACATGACACATTGCTGTGGCTTTTTTGAGGTTATCTTTTTGTGTAGTGATACCATACCTTTAGCATTCGCCGCTTTGACTTCAAGGTTTGACATTAATTCAGGGCATATCTGACTGACTTGAAATGCGGTGAGCCAAATTGCCTTGATTAGCGGTACCCATCGAGAGGTACAAAATAGTTTAGAAGTGACTTTCTTCGTTGGTTCATCTATGAACTGCAACATTTTTAACAGTAACTGAAGGAATTTATTTATAAAGAAAGACCAGTAAAGGATGATGGAAATTGTCTCAATCAATTTATACATCGTCTGCGAAACACATTTTCGAATTGGTATCCACCACCATGAATCAGTAGCCACAGCGAAACTATATGGGACTAATTCCGTAATTTACGCTGGTAGAGGATGTTGATACGCGAATCTGATATTGATGGATCTTCCATACGAAATCCCTGATTTAAAGTTCTCACATCAAACATTGACAATCTTTAATAAATTTGTGGCGTTTGGGCTTCTATTTATGTTACTAGATCTTTAATGGCAAGTCATTGTTCTCATTCAAAACCAAGTAGCCTACTTATGCTGACATGCGTTCCATTGATAATTGGTGATCCCATACCTACATATTATATTGTATCCGAGTCTCCTTTGGTAGTTATATAACGCCATTTTACAAAAGAGGTGGATGGAAGACAAGTGTCAAATTTCTTCAGAGCCGATTTTCAACTATCAAGGTTTTTTACAGCTACTGTACGCAACAGATGTAGCATCAATCTACACACACTGTTTAGAAAATTGAGGTAATGTCATTGGTTTAATTAAATTATTTGATCAATGAAACATCTGATATTTTTTAAAGATTAGTTGATATATCGTTCGCTACATACAGCAGCGGGTGTTCATCCTTCTGGCACCTACTGCTACTCATGCAGTGACTATGTCCATCGACACTGGCAAACTGACGTAGTCCTCTGCTCAACCGTTCCGAGGGTTTGAAGAAGGTCGTACAGCATAAAACATGAACTCATCATTCATGCCTCCATCACATTATTGGAACAGCGATGTTTGCTATATGTCAGCGAATGGACTGGGGCTTTCTTCGACTACCTCGTACTCTATATTCTTCGAGCAAAGTAGTAAACCAGTTCATTGCTTATGAATTGGCTGGTAGAACAGCAACAGTTGCGGGCCCTCATCTGCTCATATCGTCTGTATTTTGCAAAGAAGAACATTCGCCTATTTCACTTCCCTTTCAAGCCCTCCTTTAAGTGCCAAGCTGTTTTCTTTATTTGGGCTGTATCCATGGCATTGATGCTTTATCCCGAGGATGCTCAACCGGTTATTCGGATCATCCAATGAAAAGTACTCAATTCAGGGCGCCGTTCTATTCTGATGTCTCAAGGCCTATGCTAGACCGCGGCTCTGGAAAACATCCCTCAAACCACCAAAAGTGAAGACCCACACGATGTTATCCGTGGCATAATGCATAATTTGGACTGGTTAGATGAGCAGGTAAATGAATAGTTAGTATTCATATTGCCGAAGTTGTGGATTCGATACAGTATAGATAACCTCGATCTTGCTAGACCAATGATCGATTTGGACAATACTTTGTGGGGAACTCGTCTAGGATGGCCTCCATGTATTCATTTCTTGATATTCTGGTGAATTTATAGGACCTTATGTGCCACTCGCACCTTGATAGGTAAATTTTCTACATGCAGCATTTTCTAGTGAACGTCTTCATTCCAATTAAGCGGAGCATTCAGTGTATCTTATAAACTGATTAATGTTCTATGTTATGCCATCTTCTAGTAAACTTATTCTCACTTTTATTCATGAAGGAACATCTTCTATACCTTACATTAAGCCTCTCATTATCTACTATACGTCAGACAATTACCTGTAACCAGTTTGTATCTGCTTAGTCCGAGGAAGAGTTCAATGTTGACAAATCGATAATATGCCAATCTGTAACTTCTACTTTATTTCAATAAACTTGTCTTGGAAAAGATGCTGGCATTACTATATCCTATTAACGAATTCGCTTATACTAGATAGTATCGCTTCTGCTCTTACACTACCTGGATATTCTTGCTATTGTGGCTCGGACTGACGACACATGTTTTCAAAGCAGTGCTAGCATTAGCAGTGTCTGTTCTGCTGCAGCAAATGAGAACGTACGATGTATGCGCATATAAACCGGATTGGACTTTTGCTACTTGGCATCTATCACTACTACCTTAGTATGAAACATACAGGAAGCCGGCAATTTGGTTTGTCGTGGGCATTTTTGTTTGGGGGATCAAAGTAAAAAGAGGTTCCCCCAGTTATTTCTCGTCTTTCGTCCTGTCTGATAGACTTGTCTTTCCCAGTTGCAGCGGCAATGTTTAGTATGCTAATGAATGTCAGGAGGGAACGTTGTCCGAGACGCTGCCATCAATATCATCGAATCTATAATCTCAATTATAATAAAATAAGTCCAATGTGTTGCATGATAGGATGCCATGTTAAAAATTTATGAAATGCAGATGTCCGCGGAAGAAAATACTATAAGAACCGGGTAAAATCCTTTTTTTTTTTTGCACTTCTTTACCTTTGCAAGCTTTAACAATGAGCCACTCACGTATATCAAAGCGCGCATACGTAGTTGCTTTAAAACGCTATCTAGCCCAAAACCACCGCCGCTACACCACCATCCGGCCTCCACGTCCTCGTCCTCCTTCTCGTCTCCTTCGTTGGCGTCCCAGGTCAATGGCTGTGGACATTCCACCCCTCGATGTCCGCATGGACATCGACCAGCCTCATGAACTAGAGGCGGTGGAATGTCCACCAGCCCCGGGATCCACCAACCAGCCAGAGGCAATGGACATTTGTCCACCCTCCCCACCTCGCCGAAGCCGTTGGGAATGTTCTCCTCGTTCTCTCTCTCCCTCTGCTGTTGCGCGAGGACGTTTGGCTTTGGCTTCGCCTTCTCCGCCTTCTTCGCCTCGACGAAGCCGTTGGGAATGTTCGTCTCCTCGTTCTCCCTCCCCTTCTGCTGTTGCACGAGGACGTTTAGCTTTGGCTTCGCCTTCTCCGCCTTCTCCGCCTCGACGAAGCCGTTGGGAATGTTCGTCTCCTCGTTCACTCACTCCTTCTGCTGTTGTGCGAGGACGTTTGGCGTCGCCTTCTCCTTCTTCTTCTCCCGTTCGCTTGGCCACGCCTTCACCAGTGCGTTCGGCCTCGCCTTCTTCTTTTACTGTTGCGTCTTGCGGTGTGTCTTCTCCCGCTATTTATGTATCCTGCGGTGTGTCTTCTCCCGCTATTTCTGTATCCTGCGGTGTGTCTTCTCCCGCTATTTCTGTACCTTGCGGTGTGTCTTCTCCCGCACTTTCTGTATCCTGCGGTGTGTCTTCTCCCGCCATTTCAGTACCCTACGGTGTGTCTTCTCCCACCATTTCTGTACCCTGCGGTGTGTCTTCTCCCGCCATTTCTGTGCCCTGCGATGAGTCTTTTCCCGCTTCTTCTTCTGCACCTTGTGGTGTGTGGTCGTCTTCCCAAGCCACTTTGGCTGCTGTTCCTTTGCGGCCTTCCTCTTCTCCGGTTTTGTCGGCTGCTGCTTTGCCTTTGGCATCTTTGCCTGCTTCTCGTGAGGCTTCTCCTCCTGCTGCTGGACTTTCTCGCTGGAAGGGTAAGGCAGTCGATCGCGAGACTGCACCTTTTGCAGCTTTGGCGTGCGCTTCTTCCTCTCCTGGCTCTTCGCTGCCAGGAACTCCCGGTTCGTCAGGCAAACTTCCTGAGAGGCCCACTCTCAGGAAGATCGCGATGCCCACTGGTCGCTTTGCCTTTCGTTCGCGGGAGTTCACCTTCTGCCAAGCTTCGTCTTCCACTTCGAGGTTCCGTTCTCCTTCTCCGGCTCCTGCTTCCCGTTCTTGGTGCAGGAGCCGCTCTCCTTCGCCATCGGCGCGCTGTCGTCGAGTTCGTCGCCGGGTGGCGGTGCCAACGCAACCTGCTGGCTCAGAGTTGCAGCCCGCCACCCCCACCATTCCTTCTTCTCGTTCCTCGCTGGATCCTTCCGTTCTTTTGCCTTTGGTGGCTTCTAAAGCCACCACCACCACGATGACTGTATGGCAGCATTGTGGTCCCGCGAGCTCATCGTCGCGGGATAGTACTCCTCCCATGGCATCGCGAGACGGGACCATTTCCCCATTGGAGCTTGAGGCCAACCTCAGCCCAGTAAATGGTCCTGTCTGTGTGCTGGTCGACGACGTTGAAGACGTAAGTAGCCCCTTTATATTATGTAATCAAAGTTCCTAGAAAAAAGAATTTTGTTAACATCGTACTCTATCTTTAGGACGTCGACACACTCCAGCCCTTGGATGATTTCCAAGTGCTGGAGGATGCCAGCTCTCAGCCTGGTTCCCCAAGGGCTGAGAGGGAGGAGCAAAACCTCCGAACGCCGTTTGCCGTCCTTGAGGAGCGCGCTCCCTCGGACGTAAGTACCTACCTTTTATTCATAAGTCCTTTGAAGTTCTAACTGACTATCCTGTTTAACATTTTTAAAATTTGGTAGGGATATTCAAGCGACGATTCGGAGGTTGTTGCCGGTGGGATCTTTGATCCTGCCGGCTAAGCGGGGGCGCTGTAAGTATATAGCAACGTTTTAAACCAAATGTCTATATGATTTAACTCACCATTTTTTATATTCTCTCTGTCATTAGGGTCGCTCCCGCAGAAGCTCTCAGTAGCTTGTTTCTTGTCCCCAACAAGATAGCGTTGTAAAGTAAGTGGAATTCGGCCCGAAAGCAATAACAAATGTCCATCCATTAACCGCTCTCTTGTTTCATATCATAGCAACAAAAAAAAAAAGTAGAAAATTTGAAAAAAGTAAGTATAGATATTTCTATCTCTGTGCATGTGTTTCTTCAATATGGTATTCTATTGCATTAACATACTGACTGACCTTCTTCATCATGTAGAAAAAAAAAAAGTACAAAATCCTATAAAAAAAAAAAGTAAGTCGATATTAGCCTCTATGATAACGTCTTGCATCCCTAATTCAGTGCACTTACTCTAATCAACAATTTTTCAGATTTTAAAAAAAGAGAAAACAAAAAAAAATCCAGTGCCTCTGTTCTCTTCTGTGTTTCTGTTCTCTGGGCTTTCGTTTATGCCCCAAAAAACGCTGTCTTGTTGGGTCCTATCATTGTCCTTCGGGATAAGAGGTATGTACAATTTTACGTCGCAAATGAGAAGTAGTTTTTGCAATATGTATACCCATACTAACCGCTCTGAACTTCGCAGCTCCTCTTCGGCACTTTGCCGACTGTGCTCTTGGGCCAATTTGGCCCGCAGACCTCATGTCATAGGCTGGGTGGGTTGGGACATGAGGTTTCCTCTCCAACAATCTTTGGAGAAAGCCGGCGCCGTTGGAGAAGGGACGGCCCTTGGATGCTGCATACCAGAGTCTGTATGCAGCAAATGAAGGTGGAAGATAGAAATGGTCAGTATTTTATCAGTCACATTTCCCTCCTTTTTGACATCAACCACTAAATAATCAATCTGTTCCCAGGTTGCTTTTTTTTCTTTCTCTTCCTTTGGAAGCATACATCCATTGTATGAGTCTTCAGGTAACATATAATCAAATGCTTGACTGACATTATTTTCTACTACACCTATCTGACCTACCTCTTTAACGTAGTCTTAACCTCACTGAGCCTGACTGCCGTGCCAATTATCGGTTGGCTCTTCAAGCGCATCTTTCAAGCTTGGCAACGTCGATGCATATAATTTTGGCTGTCTTCTTGCACCTTGGTAAGGACTACACTTAAGACATCCATTTAGAAAGAGTAATATACTAACATATTTGTGTCTTTTAGGGAAAGTACAAGAAGCCAGAGCCAAGAAACATCAAATATAAGTAGTGAGTTATAAGCACTACTCTCTTCAAGCTCATCTCTCTAGCCTGGCGCATGAATGCATATAAACTCGGCTGTTCTCTTGTACCTTGGTAAGCCTTATACTTTAGATACCCATTGAGAGAGAAGAATATGCTGACATATAGGTGTCTTCTAAAGGAAATACAAGAAGCAAGGGTCAACAAACATCAAATTCAAGTGGTGCATTATCAACACTACACTGTTTTCTAGCGCATCTTTCAGGCTTGGAACCGTCGATGAATATGAATTTGGCTGCCTTCTTGCACCTTGGTAAGCATTACTCTCGAAAATCACCATTGAGAAATGGAAAGACTCTAACATATTTCTGCCTTCTAAGTGCAAGAAGAAAAAGCCAACAAATATCAGATCCAAGTAGTGTACTATTAGCACTCACTCTTCAAACACATCCTTCAAGCTTGGTAGTGCCGAGGCATATAAACTCGGCTGTCTTCTTGCACCTTGGTAAGTACTATACTCAAGACATTCATTGAGAAAGAGTAATATACTAACATACTGGTGTCTTCTAGGGCAAGCACAAGAAGCAAAAGCCAACAAATATCAAATTCATGTAGTGAATTCTAAGCACTACTCTCTTCAAGCTCAACTTTCAAGCTTGGCGCACCAATGCGTATAAACTCAGCTGCCTTCTTGCACCTTGGTAAGTACTATACTTAAGATAATCATTGAGTGAGGGGAATATACTAACATACTAGTGTCTTTTAGGGCAAGTGCAAGAGCCAAGAGCCCACAAATATAAAATTCAAGTAGTGCACTATTAGTACTACAATCTTCTAACACATCTTTCAAGCTTGGCAAAATTGATGCACATAAACTTGGCTGCCTTCTTGTGCCTTGGTAAGCATTTATTATTATTACAGTGATTCGATAGTGGAAGGTTATAACGTAACCATGCTTTGCAGGGCAAGCGCGTCGAAAAATGTCCAAAACAAGACTTCGCTAAATCTATTAAAGTAATACTACATATAATCCATATCTCCACATCATTGGTTTGCTGTCAAAAGGCCAACTCTAAAACTCAGTTCGCAAATCTGAAGAAACAATTTATGGTCTCTAACTCCAATCTATAAGGATCCAAAAACAAACCGTCAGCGTCAATAGTAAAGACTCTAAGTCTTTACCTCACTTCCAAAAACAAACCTGTACGAGAATGAAAGGTCTCAAGTCTAAAGTAGTCCGGAGAAAACCTAGTGTCACTGAAGAGAACTCCTTCAATCTTTTTTACTTATGTTTCATTCTTTATTCATAATTAAAGCCCTATCTCTTAATTTTCTTCACATCTTGTTGCCGATGAGGATAAATGGAATAAAGAAAAAGATTTTAGAAGACATCAGTATAATAGCAAGCTCGATATCGATGCATCATTTATTGCTTCAGGAAGAAGGTCTTTCTAAGAGTAAGATAGAGATGATGTGAGCATTCATCTTATATGACTAAGTTTGCAGATGCTAAAAACCTTTAAGCTGTGTAAATTAGAGACCACGTATGGTATATCATCCACTCGTTCGCTATGCGTTGATTGTTTTCTGTTAAATAGAAAATTATCTACAATATTAGAGAGTCTAGTGACAACAGAACATGCGTCTTCAGAGGCAGCTTCAGCGTATGATCGAAAGTAGTTTGCAGTTTTCTTGATGTTGTCAATCCCAGCTAGCATCTGTATATGCTATATAAGCTCTAACACTAGCCATTAGAGGCACTGACGCTAATCATTTCTTCAACTCCTGACTTTCGTTACCGTCATTCAGTTGTCCAGATGAGCGAATTTGCTTAAATCCTGCCGTCAACCCTCGAAAACACACTTTTTGGTATCCCGATGGAAAAGTCTAGGGCAACCAATAATCGAAAGGAAGTAGCCGAAACTGAAAGCAGTCGTCATTCCAATGGCAGCGAAAGAATTACCCTTTCATTAGGATGTGTAAGAAAGACTTTTGACATTCATCAAGCGAAAAATTTCTTTTTCATCAACTTTGTTACTTGTTGGAATTTCCATCTTGAAGTGACGCTAGTAAATAGGGGCAATGTAACTTTTTGTTCGATTTCCAGCAGGCTTGCAACGCTCTTTTCGGATATTTGAACGTTTGATTAGCAAAACTCACGATGCTGAAGCCAAGACTTGCTCGATCACTTCGTGAAATATCAGATAGGCAAATTCTTCGAGTGAGCATTTTCGTTGGTTGCAGCAGTTTTTGAAGGAACTGTAAGTAAGAGAGAGTATTAGGTCAGGGCATGTGATAAAAAATTGTATTTTTAGGCTTTGCGCACTACGGAATGAATACTTTTGACAGTCAAATAAAGCTGTGGACGTATAGTATCATTTGCAAAGGCTAAGGTTTTTGAGTGCCTGGTCTTTGGTGAACCAATTGTGGATCTCATAAAGTTTGGAAGGGGGTGAAATTTACACTGGTTATCTTAGGATAGCGTCTTTCAAAGGAACTCATTCTCCATCCGAGAGTGCCTGCGTGAATATCCAGCAGGAATGAGATGGAATGAACTTGAATAGCTTTTGACCAACTTGCCATTAGCAACTGGGCTAAACCGAGTCATCCTTTGTTTGGCTTTAGGTACTCATAACTTGCCGCTCTCGTTGACTTATGTGTTCAATTGGAATTGGGGAAAGAATTACTGTAGTAGCTGACTCTGTTAGGCCATACCGGTGGCGAGGGTATTGGAAAATCGTGATAAGAAACGAAAACCCGCTGAACTCGACCAGTGTTCTACAGAAATCATGTCTACAACCAAGTCATAATTATTATGATATATCCGGATGGAAAATTCATGCCTATATTTTTTCTTCACATAAGCAAAATTTAAGCTATTGTTAACAACTCATTGCTAGTATACACTTTAATAAACGAAGTATACTGGGAAAGAGACGAGATTGAATACTCGACAGAGCAAAATTTACATGATAGAATGTATCAACGATAATTTGATTTATTAGAACGGGCCGTACATATGACAAACTGAACAAAAATCATATTATATTAATTTCTTTTGCTTTTTTCTTTTGCTTTTTCGCTTTGTTCATTGGCAAAAGGTACTCTAGCAGTGCTGATATAAGACCTTTGCCGTACCGCTTACTGTTTGCATCAGGAAAGACCTTGCTACGTCAGCCTTTTTCGGAATTAATTCAATTTCAGCGCTGCAATTTTGCTGACGTCACACTTACCAGCTTGTTAACCATGTTTTTCGAAGCAAGCTTTTTGTGAGCGCGCCCTTGTGTCAATCTTTAAACAGAGCCTGCAAAGGATAAAACGCATTTGATCCGACTGCATCTACAAGTGTTATTACTGCGCCAGTTCGTCAGATCAAACTCCCCACTCTCTTGCTCAAAATGAACTTCCTCAAGTTGACAAGGACCATGGCTCTTGCCCAGCCAAGAAGAATCTCTCCTATGGGTAAGAATCATCTCTTGTCATCAGTGTACTTGTTAATGAAGCTTTATTATCTGTGCATACAGCTGCAACACCTGAACATGCTAGTCCATTACTTCCTTTCCTAAAGCAATAATTCAAGTGTTCCATTCAACAAATACTAACTCCATGGTTTATTGTTTTCAGCTTCCATCGCCTTCAGAAGCGCAATGGTACCACTTGGTATCAAGGCTGCTCGATTCAGCACAACTTCCATCCGCTCACACGCCGCACCAGCTTCAGACAACAACCAGCAAGTTGACTACAGCAAGGGCCCCTCTGCCATTGACAAGGCTTCCCAGTGGCTTTTGCTTACTGAGTTGATGCGTGGTATGTGGATTGTTCTTGAGCAATTCTTCCGTCCACCATACACTATCTATTACCCATACGAGAAGGGTGCTTTGTCCCCTCGTTTCCGTGGAGAGCACGCTCTTCGCCGTTATGCCACTGGTGAAGAACGTTGCATTGCTTGTAAGCTTTGCGAAGCCATTTGCCCTGCTCAAGCCATCACTATCGAAGCTGAGCCTCGTGAAGATGGATCTCGTCGCACCACCCGTTATGATATTGACATGACCAAGTGCATGTAAGTATTTAGCTCGCTGAATGATTATGATGACGCACATATATTATTCGACACAGTGTTGATTGGAACACATTCACTGATGCTTTCACTCTTTTTTTTTTTAGTTACTGCGGTTTCTGCCAGGAAGCTTGCCCAGTTGATGCTATTGTTGAGGGTCCCAACTACGAATTTGTTACTGAGACTCACGAGGAATTGTTGTATAACAAGGAAAAGTTGTTAGCCAACGGTGACAAGTGGGAAGTCGAAATTGCACGGTATGTTTGGATTGGATATATTCACCAAGAAAGCTTTCGATGATATTTACCCTTTCTTTCTTTCTAGAAACTTGCAAGCCGATCACCCTTACCGTTAGCGTAATTGAATTTACTGTATTAGAATTTGAAATAAAAGTAAAAAGCCCAAATGCATCCGTACAAGCCTTAAGAAGCGAAATGTTTTGGGAACGTGATTGGTCAGGCAAACCAGCTCGCCCAGTCAGAGAGCCTCCCCACATTCATTTTTTTTTTTAATTCCTGAAAGTACTTTGCCATTTCAGCATTGCACCTTTAAATCTCTGATAATAGATCTAATGACTACCCCGGAGAACGGAGCTGCTCAAACAGAAGCGTGGTAAGAATCCATCTTACAGCGTTTATTGCCATTAATTCCGTACTAATTTGTATAATGTGTGTAGGACTCTTCAACAACAATGGGACGCTTACTATGCTCAAGACCCAGCTTATGCTGCTTACTATCAGCAGTACGGATACCCATCGTCTGGCGATCAAGCGAGTTACGATGCTTACTATCAGCAATATCCACAAACTGCAGCAGCGACAACTACCGCGTCTGCATCAGCGACTAATGCAACTACTGCCGATCCGTACGCACAATGGTATCAGCAGCAACAGTATGGCTCATATAACTACCAGCAATATCCACAGGGTCATTCACAACCTCAGCAGCAATATTCTCAATATCCTCCCGCTGCTAATAATCAGACAAATGCTAACGCTTCTTATAATCAATATTATTCATCTTCCTCTACACCACAACCGTAAGTCAGATGTCAATGTAATCTTTTGAGATATGATTTCATAACTCACCGGTTTCTACATTTGCTTTCGGTTTTTTGATAGTCCAAACCATACTGCACCACCACAGGCTAGTTCCCATACGGCTGTCAATGATGCATCCATATCGTCAGCACCTTGGCGGCAGAAAGCACAGCAGTATAAAGCTCCAAATGGAACTGGTGAGTGTTCTTGCTTGAAACTTTGTCTATACAACAGTAGACTCATCGTAAATTTTAAGCTGCAGGTGTTACTCCCGCTGCCAAGCCAAAAATGATGCTGATGACCAAGAAATCGGAGCAAGCAAAGCAAGCGGTGAAGCCAGTACCAACTCCAGCACAGCCGCCTACGGCATCAGCAAATGATGCGAACGCATCGTTATCATCTGACAACTGGCCGGAATCATTCAAGTAAATTTCTACATATTAATGTATGGCGTTTGGTAACATATGACTTATCTGGGACTATTATTTTCAATAGGGATTATGTTACAGATGCGTTTGAGTGTTGTCCAAAGGGTAAGGAAGATGCACTACAGACACAACTCACAGAACTCATCAAAGATGCTACGAGACGAGGTACTTTGCACACGGTGGATTGGACTGAAATGGATTTGCCATCGTAAGTGACATCGCTGAACCTGTTATATTTTAAATAGTTTGTGGCACTAAAATTTCACGATGTTGAAATTTTTTTAAATCTACAGCGCTTGTGAATCACGCAAAAAACGAGTGAAACGCTCAGGAGAGAAAGGGTGAGATGCCGTTTTATAGGAAAAGCAAATGCTATTAGCATCACCTAACTTGACCTTATATTTTTGAAACTAGGCACCCAATATCCAATCGTATTAAACACATTGCCTCAGTTTCTTCCAATTTGTCAACACCTTCAGCAGACGAGATGAGGAGAAGAGAAGCACGACTGCAACGGTTTAAAAATACTAACAATGTAAAGCGATCGCCAGCACCAAGTCCTGCAACGCCAGCGACACCGAACCCGGTAAGTGACAATAGCACCATTTTCAATTCTGCTTCGATAGTCTCTGTTGCTGACCATTTCACTTTAGGACGTTATGGATTGGGATGAATATACCATTGTGGGAACTAGTTCTCAGCTTGAAAAACAATATCTTCGATTAACATCGGTATGTTACGAATAGTTGATGTATGGCTTGTTATCGTTATATTTACATTCAGCACTAACGGCATCTCCTATCTCTATATGCAGGCTCCCGATCCAGCCAGTGTAAGACCATTACCAGTACTAAGAAAGACGTTAGAGCTCATAAAACAAAAGTGGGAGAAAGAGCATAACTATACCTATATGTGCGATCAGTTCAAATCGATGCGACAAGACTTGACGGTATGTTGTGCAGCGATGACTGCTTTGTACGTCTTTCATCTAATGTATTTTTGCTGTTCAACAGGTCCAACGAATTCAGAATGATTTCACAGTTCATGTTTACGAAACTCATGCGCGAATTGCTCTGGAAATGGTAAGTCACATGCAGGAGACTGCAAACATTGATGGGATAGGATGTTCAATTGGTAACCACGTTTTTTTTTTTCTTCTTCTTCTTTTTGTGGTGAATAGGGTGACCTTGGTGAGTATAATCAGTGCCAGACGCAACTGAAAGACCTGTATTCCAAAGGAATTGCGGGCGAGACGATGGAGTTTTTGGCCTATCGAATTCTTTATATGCTTCATACGCAAAATCGATCAGGTAAGCGGTTTCATTGCTGAATCTTCTTCCGTGGTCAATTTCCTGCAAATTAACCATCATTCAAAGCTTTAAACGCCATCATGGCTGAGATAAAAGGAACACATGCAAATGATAAAGCGGTTCAACACGCACTACAGGTTCGGTCGTCTCTTGCAACATCAAACTATCATCGTTTTTTTCTACTTTACAAGGAAACTCCCAACATGGGCAATTACTTGATTCATCAATTTATTGAACGGGAACGGATATATGCCTTACGTACCATGTGCAAAGCGTAAGATAATCATTTCTTTCTATGCATGAACGGTCGTTTTAGGGTTGTACTGACATCATTATTTAATTAGTTACCGACCATCGATCGACATTGAATTTATACGTAAAGAGCTTGCATTCGAAACCACTCAAGATTTACACAAGTTTTTGGAGAAATTGAAGATCAGTGGGACATTAGATGACCAAAACCTCGATGCCCGAAATGCCCTACCAGGTTTGAATGATCTTGCCAAACAGTTTGCAAAGGTGGATATCAATCGCTCGGCCACGGTCTAAGCTGATTGTCAGGTTCTATCCGTTTAACTATTTTAATGCAAGGCGGCAGCTTCGCACACTGGCAATCAAAGAGTCTGTCTTTTTTTCTTTCTTGTTTTTTAAAAAATAATAATAGACGTAAATCATATCATAACAGCATCTTCCCTGCGCATTAAAATGAGACGTTCACTAATGGCCATCTGCTATGTTAAAAAATTCCCAAAGAGTTCTCCTTTCCCTGTTTCAATACAGTTTCTAAACCCAATCAATTTTTTGGGAGCCCGCGCGAAACGAAATGGGCCCCCGCAACCGACCATTTTTTTTGAGCCCGAACAAGAAAAAATTAACAATCATCTCTTTCTTGTCTTGTTCCATGACCACGGCCAATCTACCGAGAGAGAAGGCGAAAGCTCCTAAAAGCTTGCAGAGTGCTCGGCGATCAGTGCTCAAGGAGAAAATCTCGACTCCTGTCAGCTTTCCAACCAGACATACACCTAGCATTGCTCCTCCCAAAAAGGTGATCAAGGCTCTCTACGATTACAAGGCTAAAGGTCCCCATGAACTTTCTTTCTCACAGGGCGATTTCTTCCATGTTGTTGGAAAGGAAAACGATCGACAATGGTATGAAGCCTGTAACCCTGCAACCAATTCAAAGGGCCTGGTTCCAGTTAACTTTTTTCAAGTGCTTGAAAAGGCAGAGCGTATCCTGAGTGACAATAACTCCATTCCTACCAATCCACATTCAAAAGACTCTGGATTCGGTGATATTCATGACAGCAGTGAGTAATTGCTTTAATGTATCAGGTTTCCTATTCATGACCCCTTTTTAACCCCATTCCCTTTATCATGCCTAGACCAATCATCAGCTAAACGTATGCAACCACTCTACGGTATCGTTTTATTTGATTTCCAAGCGGAACGAGCAGATGAACTCCAAGCGAAGGCCGGAGAGCCTATCATTGTCATTGCGCAATCCAACCTCGAGTGGTTTGTAGCCAAGCCAATCGGACGCCTGGGTGGACCAGGCTTGATACCAGTTTCTTTTGTGGAGATTCGCGATGCGGTGACTGGCAGGACCATCACCAATGTAGCCGATCTCATGCAAAATCCCTCTACTCCCATTCCAAAAGTTGAAGAATGGAAGAAAATGACTCAGGGGTACGAATCTAGCAGCATCTTACTTGGTTCTATTGAAAAGCAAAAGCAAGTCCCAGACCAACTACAAAGACCTGAGCGACCACCTACTGTAGGTGAAATGCCACCGCTCATGCAAACTTCACAACAATATGGCCGACACCCTGATGACCTTGGCGATGAAGAAGATGTATACGATCATTATCATGGTGAAGACGGCATTTTAGACGCTTATGGCATGCAGCATTTAGCCAGAATATCCGAAGATAGTCTGACTCTACCAAAGTCGCGCTCCAATTCTCCTTTGAATGACCACGATGCTTACACTGACCAATACCGCGATGAATCGTCCCTTGTGACTTCAGCTTCTGTGGATTCTTATATTCTGGAAGGTGACCAATATTGGTTCATTGTTTATGCTGATCTAGCCAATGGTCGACACAGAGTCTTGTATCGTTTGTATGAAGGTAAGTTAGTTTAGGGAAAAACAATGCCCATTGATACTGTACCTCCCTAACACAACCTGGATCTCTCCCCTTTGCTTATACCCTAAAAGATTTCTATGACTTTCAAATCAATATGCTACACCAATTCCCTATTGAAGCTGGAAAGAAGAGTAAGGAGAGAATTCTTCCTTATATGCCAGGTCCATTGGCTGAAGTAGATGAAACGATCACAGGTACGGCACAATCCTTCTGATGGTTGCTGCAATTGAAAAAAAAAAAAAAATCATGGCTTGCTGATCCCAAATATTGCCCCTCCTTCAGCTGAAAGACGTCGTGATTTGGATAAGTATTGTAAGGACCTCCTTGCCTTGCCAAATTATCTTGCTGAAAGCCCCATCGTGCAAGATCAGCTATTTGGCATCAATGACGGTGACATTGAAACCGACTATGACCCGCGTACAGGCAGATCTTCTCGAGATTCTTACTCAGCAGCCATGGATAGTTCGGCTTATCAACACCAGCCATCGCCACCGCTAACCACTAAGGCAGAATCTACAACCCCTTCTGTTGCCCAGCCTGAACCATCGCAATCAGAAGCTTATGAGGATAAATTACCTACACGAAAGCCTTCATCCGCTGGTAAAAAGGTGTCCCCCAACCGTGCACCCCCTGGAGGACAACCCACTCAATCCACTGTCAAAGTTAAAATTATATATCGAGATGATATTATCGCTTTCCGTGTACCAGCCGATTGTCGTTTTGGCCCTCTGAGCGACAAGATTACCGAACGTCTCGGTTTTGAACCTCTTTTGACTTACAAGGACGAATTGTCCGGCGAGAGACTTCCTCTCGAAAACGAAGCGGATATGGATGAAGCATTCCAAGGTGCATTGACGTCTGGCAAACTCACAGTCATTGCATCCTGATACACTCTCTCACAAATTTATATTTTTCCCCCCAATCATTTAATATAATAATCTTTTCACGCATGTCCTTGTACATCAACAACCATGAAATAAATGCATGCGTTCTCCCTTCCAACGTTTTCCAAAAAAAAAGAGATTATTTATATAAAAATACAGTACATTAGAGCCTGTGGGGTATGTATACTATTCTATGGGCAATAAGAAGCTATAGGAATAGATATATTTGAAAAGAAGTCAAGTGAAAGGAATTGTTGTCATAAGAAAAGAAAACAAAATTAGGAGATTTTGCAACCAGCCGGGCCAAAAAAAAAAAAAAAAAAGAGTAGAAGGGAAAAATTGTTACATATTAGAAGCAGCATGAAGACCGGTCTCTTTTACGAACTGTAGTCCTCGTTCGTTGCGTCATTCGTCGAAGACTAGAGTCGCCGAACTGAACACCTGTACCGCTCTTCTCAGGATCAATTTGCCCTATAATGTAGACAGTTAGTGAAAAGAAAGGTACACATTTTCAATCTGCAGCTGATCGAATGTAATTGCGGCCTCCTTTTTCCTCCTAAATTTTTATTTTCTTACCTGTCTCAACCTTTGTCAAAATCGATCGGGCACACTTTAGAAATAAATCTTCTACTCCATCGCCGGTCATTGCACTGGCTTCCATGAACATCAGTTCTACAAAAGAAATTTGGACGAGTCACATTTGAATTAATCTCTCTACTGCATGCACGTGTGCTTTGGTTCCTTTGAAATATGTACTGACCATGCTCTTGTGCAAATCGACTGGCCTCGAGGTAAGACACTTCTCTGTCTTCGGCTCTATCTGTTTTATTCCCCACCAGAAGGACCACTAGCTCTGGACTGGCCAGCGTTCGAACATCAGTAAGCCAAGAAGACAATCCAACAAAGGTATCTCGGCTGTGGGCCAGTTAGTATAAAGACTGGGAGATACCTATACCATCCATGTGTTACAAAGAGACTTACTTGCTTATATCATATACAAGTAAAGCTCCAGCTGCTCCTCTATAGTAACTTCGAGTGACGGACCTGTGGAAATGAATGGAATGAATAAGCGCTTCCGCCTGCCTAATTTACTGCAAAATGTCTTGAACCGGGTTTTTTTTTCCCTACCGAAATCGTTCCTAAGTTCCCGAGCCATATTCATTAGAACACCCATAAAAAAACATTGCATAAAAAGCAAGGCGGATGGCCTTACCTGGCCAGCAGTGTCCCATATTTGCAACTTTATCGATTTGTCGGCAATATGCAAAATCCGGCTGCCAAATTCCACACCAATAGTATTGGTTGAAGCGTCCTTGACTGATAAAAGATGAGGCTGATAGTAAGCTTTCCGTCGAAGCACTACAAAATCAATTTGCATATACACTTGCATTGGTTTTCAAGGAACTGATGTAATAGGCATGACCTGTAAAGACAATGTAGAGTAATTGAGTCGGTGTTTCGCATTAGCCTTGGAGGCGGAACAGTTCCTACTTACTTTCCGGCACCGGATTCGCCAATGATGAGGAATTTCAATAAGAAATCTAGGTTTGAAGATGAGTTTGGTTTCTAAATATGCAGCCAATGCTAGAGAGCTTTCCCTACCATAGGCGTCTGCTGACATGTAGCAGAAGCAAAGCAGAGCAAAGCGGACAACCAAACTCGAAGCGGAGGCGTAGCCAAGTCACAAAAATTTCAGGCTCAACATCCTCCCAACTCAACTGGTCCATCTTGTTTACTTACAGCATCGAATCATGACTGATCATCACGAAGAAGACGAACTCGCACCTACCCAAACTGCAGGCTACAAGGTTGGAGAGAAGAAGAGCCTTCAAGAATACGAGACTTTGGACGCGAACGACGAGTCTCTCAAGAAGTGGAAGGCATCTCTTGGTCTCGGACAGGCTGCTGGTAAGTTACTCACTCCTTTGACCTCCCTACCCCATTTTTTTTACAGTTCACTCTACCTCTGCCTTTCATCAGAGGCATTTATTTATATTATTCTTTGATCTGTTGATGATACGTATTTTTTCTATTGTCCTTGGGCTATTTTCCATCCCATTGACGCGGTTTTTGTTCCTCGCCTTTTTTTCATGGGTGCGGCTGTGGCGATGCCGATTTGAGTTTTTGTTATGTTTACGCTTCATTCGTCTCGATCATGTTCTCTATCGTGTCCATCTTAACTGACCCACGTCTTTGCATTAGCACCCACGGATGATCCTCGCAGAGTGCGTACCACCATGGATGGCATTAACATGCTTAAACACGCCATCCTGCTCCCAAATGCTAATTTTTTGCTTTGTGGTTTATTAGGTTGTAGTTCTCGGTATTGCATTGGAAGTTGCTGGACGTACTGATGTCACTGTTGACTTATCTACACCAAGTAAGTTACTCCCCCAATGACATTTGTCTATGATATCAACTGGCGCGATGGCTCGCATTTACTTGCATCGGAGCTCGTGCTGTATAGCCATATTTGACGATAGTTCAAGTTTCACAAAAGAAATAATAATAAGTTCACTAAAGCTGTCAAAAAAAAATTATAGACGCCCTCGAACAGGCCAGATCCCACCCCTTCACCATCAAAGAAGGTGTTGAATACCGCATGAAGGTCAAGTTCAGGTGAGCTGCGTTTTTTCACGGATGTGACATGTTGTCCAGGACATGTTTATTAACTGCGTTATTTTAGAATTCAACACGATGTTGTTTCTGGTCTCAAGTACCTGCAGGTTGTCAAGAGAAAGGGTCTCCGAGGTTTGTTGTCATCTATATGTCATATCAATTCTTAATGATCTTGATCGTTTTTCCTAACGCCGCACACGTGCTTTAGTGGACAAGACCGAAGAGATGATTGGCAGCTATGGCCCCAATGCTGAACCATACGAAAAGAAATTCCAAACTGAAGAAGCTCCCTCTGGTATGCTTGCTCGTGGTCACTATGAAGCCAAGGTATGTTGTGCTTGTCAGTTCTGTTATTCATCGATCCGCTCAATCTGACTTTGCATCTTCTCATTTTTGCAGAGCAAATTCGTTGACGACGACAACGTTACCCATATGGAGTGGAACTGGTCTTTCGATATTAAGAAGGACTGGTAAATAATACCAAACCTGCAGTACTTATTCAATAAATCTTGTTAAACGCATCTCATCATGACTACGACAGACTTCATTACGAGGAAAACAAGTGTATCGATTTTTGTATTTCAGAGAAATTTACATTATAAAAAAAAGTCTATTTTTTCTTTTTGGTTCCTTGTGGAGTCCAGCAGCTGAGGAGAGCAGATGAGAGCGGGTTTGATGTGGTAATTGGTTGGAAAAAAGAAATAAACAGGGACAATGATTGCATTGGCTCCCTTATTCCAAAACAACAGTGGCACCAAGGGCTTCCAAAGCCTTCTTCAACTTCTCAGCCTCGTCCTTGGGAGCGGAATCCTTGAGGACCTTTGGTACACTCTCAACGAACTTCTTGGCCTATGATACGTAAACAAAAAGTTAAACCAAATGCACATTTTAGGGTATCAAAACAAACCGCATTTGACGATAAAATTACCTCGACCAAGTTCATGCCAGTAAGGTTCTTGACCTCACGAATGACCTTTGCCTTGGCAGCGGGGTCAATCTTTTCGAGCTTAACCTTGAAGTCAGTCTTCTCGGCAGGCTTCTCTTCCTCGACAGCTGCCGCTGCACCACCAGCAGGTGCGGCAGGCATGGCGACGGGCATAGCAATATCTTGAATGTTGAGACGAGTCTGGAAAAATACAACATATCGAGTCATTAAGAGGGAATTGATAAGCGTAATGCTTCGCTTGCTTGCTAGCTTACCTTGAGTTGTGAAACAAGATCAGCAGTCTGCAAAAGGGTCAATTTGGAGATCTCGTCAACAATGGAAGCGATCTTGGGATCGTTGCCACCTGCACCGGGAGCAGGCAAGTTCTCGGTGCTATACAAACGTCTGGCACCAATGGCAGTGGCCTGGATACTGTTTCAAAATAGTCGGCTAAGATATTGGACTCAAAACACAAACACAAGACGGTCGAACAGGACTGCTTACCGTGGCTGGACTGCACGAACGGAACGGCGAGCCAATGAGGATGCAAAAGAGGAGACGGCGCGAGACTGATGTAAGAGCTCAAACGTTAGAAGACGAGTGGAGTCAGTGCATTAAAGGTAGTGAGCGAAACGTTACCATGGCTTATTGAATGAATTGGTTGTTAAATTGGCAACGTCAAAAAACAAAAATTTCTGGACCTGTAAATTTGTTTTTTGACTTTTTTGCCTCCACTCCTTTCTCAATCAATAGCGGCTGAGACAACGTCACACTTTCTTTAAGCGGAGACTTGGAACTTGAGAATGCTCATTCAAATCGGCAACCACTTGAACAATCGAGCCCAGGGCCCATCCGAAACCCTCCTCTAACCGAGTAAGTATTGATCCTCCATGTATCCGGCTGCATCCATCCATCCACCATCGTCTGCATCGATCGATCATAATAGCTAGATGTCGCCAAAAAATGCGGCTTCTGGCTGTTAACATTTTGTACAATCGACGACATTTTGGATGGTATGCAGATGGAATTGTACCCTAGACAAATCATTAACCGATCCAAATTTCTTGATCTGCAGCAGACGTCATGCTTATCTCCAAGGAAAACAGGAAGCTCATTTACGAAGCTCTTTTCAAGGGTAAGCATCTTGCGCGTGTATTTCAGTGGACTGGACAGTCAGGATGCTTGACTACAATAGACGTCCATCTATCCCCGAACTTTACAACAAGAGAACTAGCGACTGTCCACATAGCTGAACTGTTCGACGAGGGACATGAGTCCAATTTCGACATTTTCGTAGGGACTTTCACCCCTGATTTTGCGATATCATAGTCAGTTCCAATCGAATCATACGTTACACCTGGGAGAACCAACCACAGCATGTTCTCAACCATAGCTCAACAAATTCATCATGGTTCCTTACCGCCAAACATGCTACGCCCGCCACTTCATCTTGATCTGTTTACTGACATATGGAATTTTCCTACTATAGACGGTGTCTTGGTCGCCCCCAAGGACTACAACCTCCCCAAGCACGCTGAAATTGATGTCCCTAACCTTCAGGTCGTCAAGGCTATGCAATCCTTGACCTCCCGTGGTTATGTCAAGACTCAGTTCTCTTGGCAATACTACTACTATTCCCTCACCAACGAGGGAATCGACTACCTTCGCGAGTTCCTCCATCTTCCCACCGAGATTGTCCCTGCCACTCTCAAGAAGGCTGCTCGTCCCGCTGCTCCTCGTCGCGCCGGTAAATTGAAAGAAAAATTCATCGTTTTCATAAATGTCCATTGACTGACTTTTTCTCCCATTATAGCTGAAGGCCCCCGTGGTCCCCGTGGTGACCGTGATGACTACCGCCGCAAGGAAGGTGCCTCCGGTGAGTTCAAGCCAGAGTTCCGTGGTGGTCTCGGTAAGTCTTCGTCATTCATACATTTGTCGAACATGACGATCCTGTATCTAACTTATGTCTATTTACAGGCCGCGGTCGTCGTGAGCAGCAATAAGCTGTTGTATACAATGTCATTGCAATATCATATAGTAAGCATGCATAAAATCAAATTAAAAATTCAAAAATTCGTAATCTAGACGTGGTGTTTGTTTGCGAAAAGTCCAGTATAATTAGATAGACAGATCGTTAATGGGTGTCCATTTGTCGAACGAGTTCGATTGTGGGCTAGGTATGCGATGTCGAATGCGATGTTGAGTTGAAAAGCTATGTTGAGTACAGATTCATCCAATATGCCATCTTCTTTTACCTTATATCAATGTCGGATTACAGATTGCACAGCCGACGAATTATAGCTTCCTCCTGACTTTCCACATATATCATGAATAGCAACCATTTATCATACATTTGATGTGATTATAGTCCAAACAATGCTCTGAAGATATTTCGTTTGGCGAATGCCAAATAATTGGACGAAGCTGAGGCTAAAAAATAAATGAGATGAAAAAAATGACAACAAATGATGTTCGTATTCTTTCGTTTGGGCACCCCTCTGGAACTTATGGAAACTAACATGGAGTCGCTGATATTTATATTTGCTGTTTTTTCAAGTGTACAATTGTTTTTGTTAGTCCTAGTTTTCTTTTGGGAGCTATTTCGACGGGTTTTTTTGATGTCAACAATAATGTATGGGGTCAATTATTGTATTCAGAATATTACTGCCATTTCATTTTAGCACTTCCAGAAAGCCATTTGCTACAATTTGTGCAAACATGGTTATATCTGCGCGAGCAGCAGATACGTAATTATATGCTAAGAGGAACATAATCCGTGTTTTTTGGTCCACAACTGCTGTAATGTTATATAATATCCTAATAATTTATTTTATATGCGTACCTTGCGATCACCGAAGTTTGCAAATGCTGTTGAGACAAAAAAGACAAAGAATCCAGCTACCAAAATATGCAAATTTCGAGAAGGTTGGTTTTGTTACTATAGTTAAACGGTACTAGGATGAAATTAATGACGAAGACGGATAGTCCTGGATAATATAATTGACGACACTGGATAAAAGAGTTCAATTCGTAGCGATTATTTTTCTGAAGAGTGACCGTTAGCTGTTCAGGATTACAATTTTAATAAAAATAAAAGTTTGCTTTATTCACACAGTATTCGGTATAGAGTCCAGTTCATTGTGGCAAATTTTATTCACATTGCCAGAGATCCTCCCCCAAAATTGAACGCCGTGCGGGGTCTGAAATCAAGGGGAACAAAATGGATGTGATCCTTACTCACAACTTCCATCATCTTTTTCACCTAGTGGTATGTAGATCCTCAAATCCATGTTACCCTTGCTGCACTATTCGATACGATATGGATGGATGATTCATCTGTATGGATGATGCATTGATGCGACTCACGAAGGATTGATATATGACGTTCGAAACGGTCATCGACAATGCACATTGAAATGAAAATACATTGAGCGAAACGGAAATGTCCATTAACGCCAAACGAATTCAACAAGACTACTCTGCTGTGGCAATATCTCAATTGCTGCGAGAAACATCTGGATTCTTCAAACCTGAAAAAATATGAATTCCTTCGACAATTTCGAAATGTCCAATTTGCCTGCCCTGCTTAATAAGCGAGCGACTGCGGTGCACGAGACTTTGACACTAAAATTTCCCTTAAATATCCTGGAAGGTATTCACATAGCTGACATATCATCCTTTTCTTCTCTACTTTTTAGTTCAAAATGGGTCGCCGTCCAGCAAGATGTTATAGATACTGCAAGAACAAGCCCTACCCCAAGAGCAGATTCTGCCGTGGTGTCCCCGATGCCAAGCTCAGAATCTACGATCTTGGTCGTAAGAAGGCTCCTGTCGATGACTTCCCTCTTTGCATCCATCTCGTCTCCAACGAATATGAACAACTTTCCGCTGAAGCTCTTGAAGCTGGTCGTATCTGCTGTAACAAGTATATGGCCAAGACCAGTGGTAAGGACTCCTTCCACATGCGTATCCGCGTCCATCCTTTCCACGTCACCCGTATCAACAAGATGTTGTCTTGCGCTGGTGCCGATAGGTAAGTCTTACAACTGCCATATAGACTATTGTGCAATGTATATTCGAGCTCACATCCTTTGTGTATAGATTGCAAACCGGTATGCGTGGTGCTTTCGGTAAGCCCAACGGTCTTGTAGCCCGTGTCAACATTGGTCAGATCATCTTCTCCGTTCGCTCCAAGGACAACAACAAGGCTGTTGTCGTTGAGGCTCTCAGACGTTGCAAGTACAAGTTCCCTGGTCAACAGAAGATCATTGTCTCCAAGAACTGGGGTTTCACCAAGTTGACTCGCGAGGAATTCGTCGAGGCTCGTGCCGAAGGCAAGATCAGAAACGATGGTTGCCACGTCAAGTACCTCTCCACCAAGGGTCCCCTTAACACCTACTTCCGCCAGGCCCTCAAGGCTTAAGTAGTTTGTAACCTTAGTTGAGCTCTCATTTACAAAATAAATTGCAATTACATTTCGTTATGATTCCTTGGATTTGTAATCATTGTCTTTTGTTGAAATTTAAATAGTTTCATATTTTGCCTTCTCCAACGCAATAAATATGTCACCATTTGTAAGAAAATCAATTGGTATTGTTTTGAACATCAAGTTATATACGAACTTTCAGACATGATGGTAGATGAACGCCAATGTCATATCTGAAGGATACGATTTTGGATGTATTCATTGAGGCATGGTGTGATGTCCATACAATCTTCGTGCAGTGAACGTGGAAAGCAGTTTTACTATCATCGAATGTTTATGAAACGTTTGGAAACGGCTAGCATGCCGCAGCAAGGTATTCCCTCTCAGTCCTTGTGAGAGGTGGTACTGTGTGCAACTTTCGCATTTGACGCTTGGATCACTTTGTGACTTTGAACATTTTTTTGGGCCAAAATTAAGCGTTGCTGCGGACAATGCTCAAAATCGTCTACCAAATGTCCCAACCATTAAGCGAAGAGGTTCTTCAGAGGATTGCAGAAAACAAAGCAAAAGCATTAGCTAAATTAGCAGCAAAACGAAAACTTGAGCAAACTACGGAAACTTCCGATGCTACCGACTCCAACAAAGCTAGCAATGACGAAGATTCCCGACCTTCCAAGCGTAGAGCTCGTTGGTCGAAGCCAATCTTTGAATACGACCTCAGTCAAATGGTGGATACCAGAGGAGGTTTTCTCGCTGAGGACGATGAAAGCGAAGATGACAAAAAGAAGAAGTTCGATGAGAAAACCCATGTTGTCGAGCTCAACCCTCGTAAGTTACAGTCAGCAAGACTGCGCTTCCGTTAACTCTAGCGGCTAATTTCTCCTGATGACAGCTCGGTCTATCGACCCAAGCCAAAACCCAAAGTGTGTAGAATGCAATTCGCTAGATATCGACCCTCACTTCAATCAAATCTTCAAAATCAATATCTGCGGTGCTTGCAAAGAAAAGTACCCTGACAAGTATAGTCTGATCACAAAAACGGAGGCAAAGGAGGTAATGTCATAATTCAATCCATAGCATTTTTTAATTGGTATCATCCTAACGAATCATTTTCATCTATAGGACTACCTCTTGACTGATCGTATGTGCAATCTTTCATATCTGTCTCCATTCATTGACAGGTGCTGACTATTATCTCTACAGCTGAATTGCGTGACCAGGATTTACTGCCACATTGGTCGAAACCGAATCCTAGAAAATCGACATGGAATAACATGATGCTTTATGTTCGATATATGGTACGATGGTTATTCTTATGCTTATAGTACTGGATTGCGAGTAACCTTGTGACATTTTTCGTGTAGGTTGAAGAGTATGCATTCGAAAAATGGGGTGGGTCAGATGCGTTAGACGCTGAGTACGAGAAAAGAGAGCAGCAGAAAAAGGAAAAGAAGGACAAGCAATTTAAAGAGAAGCTCAAAGGTAACTTGTGATTTTTGTCAATACCCACTCCAACATGTAGCTCATGCTTTTGAGTTCAATGTAGATTTACGAAGGCGAACCATGACCAGTACCTGGGAGAAGCGGAGAGACAAAGCTCACGAGCATGAGTACGGAGACCCAGTTCAGGATCCAGACACTGGAAATTCTATACAAACGTGTCAAATATGTGGTATTGAGGTTGAAACAGAAGTGTTTTAATTATGAAGAAGTAGAAGCGATGAGATGTAGTTGTGTAAATATTGTACAATGGTTGATATCTAGCATATAATAGTAGATTTATGAAATCTCGCCTCCCCATAAAAAGCAGATGTTTATGACACTATCATTTTTCGTCTATAAATCTCCAAAGGAACAATCTGAAGAAAAAAGAGCGAAGGGAGGAATATTCCCTAAGCAAATAAAAAATCAGTGAGAATTTCAAAAAGAAATAAAAAAGGAATGCCTTCTACCAGAATCGAACTAGTGACCTTCTGCTTACTAGGCAGACGCTCTGCCAACTGAGCCAAGAAGGCATTTGTTGCTTTGTGACGATTGGTGTAAGTAAAGAGCCGTCAACTCCAATTCTTATTTTCTTCTATTGCTTTGAGTCGAGTACATTTATCCTCGGCCGTCACGTGCTTCATCCGTGCCTTTCTCTTCAATGGCGTGTATCTGCCGCCTATAAATATCAATTCAGTAACAATAAAGAACAGGATCCAATTCTCTTCCTTTTTCCCCAACCTCATTTAATCCCCAGTGTTGTCCACCACAGTACTATTCCACGCTTTTACCGTTGTAATAGTATCGAACTCTCGTTATAAACGCATCACTTCAGATTAAAGTAGCTTCATTCATTTCACTCACGGGCCACACGTCTCAGCTTTCGGAGTTTGGAATTAATACTCAGTTACAAAAACTAATTTGCAGGGAAAGTTTTAATAGCACATCGAAACCAGTGGTTCCCCGTTTCCTGTAAAGCACTACTACAATGTACCCATAAGCATAAATTGTTATTTAAAAGAAAAATTCGATTTTTTATGTATTTGCATCCTTAGGTGACTTTATGTTACGTTTAAGTGATATATTGAGCTGACACATCCGTCCATGGGCACCAATATTTTGATACCGTCTGCATGGGGAAGGCAATTGATTCCCACTACACCTTCAAATCATTTAGTGGTGTTGATTCCTTGATCTCGACCTCACCTACCCTACTAGCTCTTAGCTGACCTAAGTCGTTAATGGCTACTGCCAAATGAATTTCATCGCTCGTAGCTACTAGGCGCCAGTAGTAGCCATCATGGTCCCTGCTAGATAGGCTGTCCTCCTTACCGTAGTCGACAGTTCTGCCCACTGTGTCTATGATGTGTTCATTGAACAAGCTGTATTTTTTGACTTGGCTCAGCGGTATGGTACAAAGGGCTAACACCAGTGTCACGAGCGTCGCTATCAATAATGCTGTCCCCTCGTAGCCTGACGCATACTCGTAAACCACTTGCCCTCTTTCACAGCCACTTAGCGTGCATCCTGCTCCAAACCATGTCAACAGACTTTCCAGGAATGGTTCATTTACTAAATCATTGTCGAACGGAGTGGTGTATATGCCCAATTGATGCGAGCCTGTATAAGTCACTTTCGCTGGGTTCTGCACAAACAGTTGCTGTAGAAAGAGTACATCACCAGAGTAAGTTGACATGTCCAAATCTGTTAGAGGAGTGAAGCCTTCCTTCGGGTCGAGTATCTGCTTCACTTCGTTGGAGTAATACATGTTATAGGTTATCTGTAACTTCTTGAATTGAATGAAACTCGCGCCAGATACATCGACGATACTAATGGTATACTCTTCGTTTTCTACACGCCAGTCTATACAAAGCTGTTCCAGATAGCTGCCTTCCATGTAAAGATGGCTAGTTTTGTTCAAATAAGCTGAACACCCCCGTATGAATTTTTCGTCCATTGATACCCCGCTGAGTAAACACTGTTCTTTAGTGACGTTGTGGAAGGGTTGACAGACTGAAACTGCGCTTCTCTTATTCACAATGATGAGCGTTGAGTTTGTTGGGTTATGGGCATACAGACCAGAATCTTTTACGCTCATGTAGGGGTAGACTGTATCAGTGCTCTGCCATAGAGACATTGAAGGGCTGGCCCAAACGTAGGGGACGTATTCCCAAAGAGCATCTGAGCCATCTGAGCCGTCGATGAATTGTAATGAAGTCAGCAGTTCCATATTTGCGGAAGGCAAAGTGGCATTTTCATCTGTGAACAAAGTTGAGAACATTGTTGTATTGCCATTTGCAAACTCTGACGATACATTTTCGGATGCGCTATTGAAGTATAGGGATGATGTAGGATCCACTAGATCAGGAATCAACCCTATGGAATTTCTAGCATATGGCGTAGAATTAAAAGCTGAGCTGTCATTTACGAACGGAACTTTGTCGATCCTGACAACTTGATCTAAAAGGGTGCGGTTGTTGTTAGATAGATACTGTGTCAGTGACTGTAAATTAGTACTGTTCTCCGTGAAGCCTCCGGTCCAGCCACTGATATTGTAAAGAGGACTAATGCTGTTCATGGTAACTTCAGTACTGGCAATGAACTGGACAGGTTCCGAAAATTTGAAGTACAACGTCGATATGAAGCGCAAGCTCAAACCCAGTGTTGTTAATGTGATTACAAAAAGTAAATTTTGGTGAACAGGTTCTTTCTTCACCAAGCGTCTGTAAACCAGAGGAATTTGACTTATGAGAGAAGTAGCCCTATCTAACTTTGAGTAGTAAGCCACGTTGAGGTTGTTGATCATAGTTGCATAATAAGTGAGGCAACTGGTAATGATTAAGCTTATGGCCATTGCCATAACGTCGAATAGAAAACTAACTTGAGTAGTTGAAAGATACATGTTGCCAAAAGATTAGCGCCAAATACTGCATGAAAAAATACTTTGTCGTCTTCGCTACGCCTGTTGCAACTATTTAAGTACGTTTGATTTAGTCACCAAGTTTGGAGATTCATCGATGGTGGTACTGTCGATTTCATAGTCCGTACGCTTAGACCATCGCCTAGTGTTGTGCATTGATCGCATCAATGATGGTGAAATATCTTTGTCACAAGCTATGGTATTCTCGTCGTTCTCCCAGTTCTCTTCAACAACTTTGGGAGCCTCCCCATCCTTTGAGCGTCTGTCCTCGACATATATTTCGGCGATTGGACCGAAGAAAAACCACAACAATCCATAAACACTCAGACACCAAAAGGAAAAAGCCCTGCAAGTGACTATGTTCCAAAAGCGGCCCTACGATACCAGGAAGAATCTAAACAAATCTTTAAGCTATTCGTAGCAACCTCAAGCCGAGAAAAGGCACAACTAGTCTCCCGTAGTCAACTTTGACTTGCGGTCATACTAAGCGTCCATGATTGTATTAATTGATAGAAAGGCATTTATAGACCAGCTAAGAAGCGCAATGTAAAAGCAGTGGTATGGCATGTGCTCTAAATGCTAAGCACAAACAACGGAATGTGCCACGACTTTACAGCCATAATTTTTTCATTGCCTCTTATCTTTCGACAACGCAGTCCTGTGATTAGCCAGCCTACAGGCGAACATTTCAACATATTTATATCAAAGCTCATCATAAAACAGAACGCAGATTGGAGACGTATCAAGACGGCACTTTGCGCCTAGACATGGAAATCAAAAGGAAATATCGTTCAAAACAGTAACAGGCTTGAAGCACAAACTGTATACCGACACCATTGCGACTACTGCGTAGTAAAGCTGCTCAGCCTCGATGATGAACATGAATAGCAAATAATTCATCATTGTGATGGATAAAAAGAGGAGAACCTCAAGTTTGTAGTACCTAGTTACCATCAAGGATTCTTAGGCACCAAATATTTGGGAATTTGTATATTCTACCTATCACAAGGTTTAGGCTCTTCCATCACATAATCTGTGTCTATGTGAATTTTGTAAGCACTATGTTTATTTATATTTTATATTTTAGTAACCCAGTATTTTCAAAAAAGTGTAATTTCAAGCTTCTACCGCCATGGCTGTACCAAAACGTAAACATCCTTTGAATAGATGGCACATCGGAATAAACAATCATTCGCTCAAATAAGGCCGATGAGGCTGGTAAATCTAAGATGATTCACACTTCTTCCATAAATGAATGAAATTATTCTCAGAAGGTACTGCTTGCTACAACCGTCAGAAATTCTGAGCTTCCTTTCTAGCTGCAAGAACTGCGGCATTCAATTTATACACAATTTATAAGGCATCTTTTCAGTGAGTCAAAATATCAAGGCTCTAGTTTATTTTTTTTCTTTGCTTGTCAATCTTTCGACTACTATTAGTTGGCGGAATGAGTACGAGGCTGTGGCTATAGGCTCTAGAGTCAAGCTTTTATTCTTCGTAATATTAATGATAAAATTATTTTATCTAATGTCTCCCATATCTCTTTTGCCACGCTAGCGAGTTCGCCTTTGTGGTCCGGGATGGTTGAACGTTCTTAAATAATTTTTTTCGTGATTTTTATTTTTTTCTGTGGGAAGAGGCCACCACATCCTCGTCCTCATTTCACTAAATAACATTATGTACCGACTGTGTTCTATGCTTACACATAAAGGATCTTTTATTTACTACCAAAGATATACGATCTCACATTAGGTACGTATGAATATACTTTCAAGTACGTAGCGCCAGCTAATATAAGGCACCGCATAAAAAATGTCAAAGGCGCGTGAGCAGTGAAAGCAGCTTTGTGAGATTCAACTGTTGCGGCAGCTCCACGAACAATCATTTCTTTTTCATAGTCATCCAACGCTTGCTGCAAGGTCTTTTCACCATTGTGTGCCTGGACCATGTGGGTGCAAAGTTCTCCTGCATCACGCATGGCATGGTTTCCACCTAAATTGTAAGCTATCAGTATATATTCCTTGAACCGCTTCAGTCAAAGGTAGATTCTTTTTTACCTTCTCCGCGAAACATCGACATTGAATGAGCGGCATCGCCAACTAGAGTAACTCTTCCTTGATTATTCCATGGACGAGGTATCTTTTCAGTCACTTGAACCTCATGTATTGGTTGATCATTATTAATATTTTGCACCAGAGATTTAAAAGGCTCGCAGAAAGATGACCCAATTTTCTTGATTAGGGCAACTTTTTCAGCCTGAGATTCCGGCACGCCATGCTCACCGCTTTCATTTAACCACGAAAATGCAAGGAGCATATCGTACTGATCTTTTTCTATGTTACTGTCGTTAAGAGAAAAAAACATTGCGTATGTGCCTTCACATCCTGTTTCAGGCCCAAATGCTATGCCATGAGTACGAGTGATGGCCTGAAACTCTTTGAACTTTTCGCCGTTAACCGAGATGATAGTTCCCATGATGGCGACAGGAAGCGGTGTTGTCTCTAGATCCTGCCCCCGCAGTTTTTTACAAATACGAGACTTCGATCCGTCCGCGCCGACTAAAACGTCGCCTCTGGTCTCCGTTCCGTCGTCAAAACGGACAACAACACCTTCCTCTGTAACCTCATATTCCTTGGCTCGCTTGTTCCAATGGATATCAATGCCTTTGCCGAGGAATTTTCGAAACCTTTGGCGGTTCATACGGTACCCTTTCGGATTGTCTTTGTTTGGTGTGGGGTTAAGGTTTATGAGGACCTTACCAGTTGTGCCGTCGAGCACCGCGAAACCCATATCCGATGGATCTGCTGGATTAACAGTAGCTTCACCGATGTTTTTGAAGAGTTCAGGGTCCATGCAGCGTTTTATATATGGTATAGCCCAGTGAACCGAGAGTGAGTAACCTTGGCCTCTAGCATCTGAAGATTCATCCCGTTCAAAGATCTCGAATGGGATGCCATTTCTTTTCAACCCTTGGGCGAGAACCAGACCAGATAAACCTCCACCGGCGATGAGAACCTTTTGAATAGGCATGTGTGAATAATATAGAAGTATATACAATAGATAAAGTGCCTGTGTTTGTGGGGATCGCTCTGTATTTAAATACCTTGTCAATACCCGTGAGGATAATTTACCTATTCCCGACTACCGGATTTTTGACTCAAAAAAATTCACCTGGCGGGTAACTCGTCATGCATTTCTTGGCGTTTGCTTGGAAAATCCTCGGCGGTTGCAAATTACGCGAAAATGAAGGCTTCAGCAATGCTGTGCGTGTCTTATAGTATCATGATGCTTAAAATTAAGATAGGAGGGGTAAAGACGGATAAACAGATTTCGGACACTTTTAGAGACTTTTTGTTTTCACTGGATCGAACTGGCCGCCCTTGGCAGATCAACAGATGAAAAAACCGTGTATGCAACATGAATAGAAAACAGACAACTATGGGCTTTATTAATCGCTATCACTATATGGTACACGCGTTGTCAAGTGAATAATAAAAAGAATTGTAGAAGCATGAATACAGTCAGGGGGGATCATGATGCCTTTCACTTTTTCAGCTTAGAAACCATGCGGAGCAGAAACATAGCTGCTATCTTTCATTCGTCGCAGAATGGGCCCAATATCCTCCTGCCGGGATGACTAGATTTGTCGTTCAAACTGGAGGTGTTGCCACTGTCTTTTCGTCGCAAAAATATTTGGATGAGAGAGCTCAAGGTTGCTTTACTATTGCCTCACCATAAAGTGGTATTATATTCCCAGAATTCAGTACTGAGTAAACGATTGGCTGGCTTGGCTTCGTAGGTCAAAGTCCTGACTGAGCATGGATTGTGTGTCTTCAGATTTATAGTCATCGTATGTGAAGCCCATACTCTCTTGGCTCATCAAGCTTCCATGTCCACCGTTAGCGTTTTGAGAAGCCATTTCAGCCATCATGCGCAGACGATCACTTTGAGAGAGGGCAAGGCCGATAGAGGACTGACTGCTATACATGTTTTGGCTGCCCATTACGGAGCTCTGTGATTGACTGAGGCTATGATTGGCAAATGCAGAGGAGTCGCCAGCATTGTTATTTCCATTAATGGCATATTGTCGTGCACTTCTACGGTTGGAAACGCTGGTTTGCGATAAATCCTGGGTGAAAGGTCCACTAGCAGCTGGAATCAATGGAATACTGAATTGAGACGATGGCAAGGAACCCATGTCGGATGGAATATAGCCGATCGGGTCATGCGTCTTTAAAAACTCTGAACCATATCCTTTTTGATTTCTGCGATCTGCAACAAGGTATATATTAGAAACTGGACATTCTTACCGAACAATATGCTCACATTTCTCGTTACACTTACTGTCAGCTGCCAAAGGTGGTCTAGCAAAAGCTTCACGCGCGTCAACCTGGTGGGCGAGTCCTTGGCGGAACTTATCATCCTTACGGTATTGCTTGCGGGGGCGGTTGAACTGAATCATGGAGACCTTAAGATTGTTCAAAGCTCCGTCAACCAGGCAGTCTTTTTCCTTGTAATGGACCAAGAGATGATGCCACAATGGGTGCTACACGAATAAAATATTAATAAAATGATCTCTATACCCATTCTTACGAATTATCTGTTACTGTACCTTGCTTAATACTTTAGGATTTCCAAGGATGACCACTCCGTACTTAGCTCTCGTCAAAGCAACGTTCAAACGGCGAGGATCACTCAAGAAACCAATTCCTTGGTGCTCGTTACTACGAACGCAGCTGAGAATAATATAATCCTTTTCACGACCCTGGAAAGCGTCAACACTAGCCACTTCGATTTCATTGTAAAGATCCTTGCGAAGGGAGCCATTGAACTGCATATACTGTACGATATACGAGCGTTGGCCTTCATATGGAGTGACGATACCAATCTGGGATGGCAGGATGCCAGCTTTCATGAACCGAGTAACAATCTTTTCGCAGTTAGAAGCTTCCGTACGGTTGAGGTAGGATGTTCCCGATGTTGAAATTTCCTCATTGCCAAGGTTAGAATAGAAGAACATGGGGCTTTCTGGGACTGGCCAGGGGAAGTCGACGTTCTTACGCAGACGCTCTTGGGTTGTGACACCGTTTTGGAGAGTGCCTTCGTAAAACATGTTGCTAGGGAATTCTGAGAGACAAGGATGCATACGATATTGCACCTGAAGACGGATTGGCCGGATACCCAAGATGACGAGACGTTCGAAGAGTGATTGGCAAAGTCCAGCACGTGCTGCCTTCTTGTTCATGATGACAGGACCCAACTGTTGATGATCACCGACAAGGACCGCTTGTTTGCATCCGAGTACAAATGGAATCATACATTCGGGTTCGGAAGCTTGAGTTGCTTCATCGATTAGGACAGTTCTGAACTTGAGTTTGGCAACGCGTGGATCGCCAGCTCCAACACAAGTACAGCAAATAACATCAGCGTTCTAAAGAGTGAATAAGAGTTGTCAATAAAAAGTTCGGGTCAAATGATTCCAAAAGCAGCCTTCATGAATGCTAGCACCGTACCTGAAGAATCTCGCGCTCGCATGCTCGCTTCAAAGACTTGTATTTTCTTTCATCAGCAGCACTCAATTCACCTTGCTCATGCTTCAGCTGGATGAGTTTTTGCAATTCGACATTGGTATCGTTATTGTGGACTTGATCATGGAGAGTCAAGAATGAAACAGGAGAGTCCAAGGCCTCTCTTGATTTTGCAGTGACACGCACAACCTTGAGTCCACTAAGATGAATCTTCTCGGTAAGTTGATCGACAGCAACGTTAGATGGGGCACAGACCAGTACTTGGCCCGGGTTCATCTTGGCGAGATGATAAACGATGGAAGCAGAGGTAACTGTTTTACCCGTTCCGGGTGGACCTTGAATGAGACTGAGTGGTTTTTGCAATACTGACTTGACAGCATATACTTGGGAATGATTCAGTTCAGGCAGATTTGGAACAGAGAACCTGTTCGATGCGAAAAAAATGATGAATTAGTATGAGTCTAAGAGAGGTGGGCAAAACGCCAAAAGCTTACCGTTTGGGCATCTGGGTTCGCAACACTTGTGGTTCAACGTCGTGTCCGAGTAGTCTGTGATAAATATAACCGCTAACGCTTGTTTCATCAACTGCGAACGTCTTCATTGCCAATTGCATTCGATCGAAACTAGTGGATTTCCAGACAAAGTCGACTGAAAAGTTGTGAGTGCAGTTGATAGGCGCCTTTTCGCCTCTTCTAAGTTCCAGACAAACTTCATCGCTAACGTCTATATAATACAAGTTAAGTTAGAAGAACGGTTCCCTCAGTCATACCAGACTATGCAATATAGACTTACTGTTTGGTATTTTGATGACATGGCCATCGCATTCCCAAGCCTCATGAAGTTCTCCTCTGTATCTCAGTCGAAGTTCATCTCCAACAGCTAATTTGACTTCACCCATCTCCAGTTTTGGGAAGTAGAACCAAGCTATTCTCTTTTGATTCAAGCCGACATCCCAACGTACGACAATGTCATCACAGGTCTATAGGAAAAATAGATGTTTTAGAATTCACACATTACCTTTTTGTTTGCATTAACATGATCTGTATACTTGCCTGTGCCTCCTTGAGTTTTTTATCGTAATCAGCCTCCATCTTGACCAGAGGTCCAAAAATATTTTGGTATTGGTAAGCATCTTCATATCTGCAAAGGTCAAGGATAATATATATTAGAGATAATACCGAATGATAGATGAGGTGCAGCCGATATATACCTTAGTAGAACAGGGTGTGGCTCGTCGTCTACACCAGGCTTTTCCAAGTCTTCCAGCGACGCCTCGGCATTATCCTTCCAAAGCTCTTCCAATTTGTTGATTTGAACCGAAGTGATCTGACGTGCACGCAATTGTTCTTGTTCTGATGGAACCTTTACGAGCCATGTAAGAAAACTTCTATCATCAATCAGAGGCATCCATTGAGAAGTATCCCAGTTCATATCCTTGGACGAGGGTACGGCGGCACATGGTTGTCTACATACAAATCAATTAGTAATTTTCAGTCATACGCAAGATCAGCGAAAATAAAAAGCTCTATAATTACCTGCACAACAAAACTACAACAGTATCGCTCTTGGCAGGAATGAAACCAAGAAGGAATACATTGCGGCAGCCGCAGTTATAGCATTCCAATGCAGTCTCACCAAGTGGCGACTCTGGATGAAGCATAACTTCCTTGTGCTTCGCTTTTACAAGATGGTTGACAATGTGTGAGCCAGAGGTATTTCCACGCGAGTTGCAAAACCACTTGCTACAGGTAATGCACTTGACAACGGAGGAGGCAGAGTGAATACCGCAGTATCTACAAGCGTGCGCTGGCAGGTCCATGTCCAAACCATGACTACCATTGTCACCAAATACATCCAGATCGTCAGTGTCTTCAAATTGGAATTCTGAGGTCTGCTGGTCGTCAAGCTGCGTCAAGGTGGTGGTAGCTTGCGAGTTTAAGGACATCGATGCTAAAGACAATTCTGACTCATGTTCCTGTAGAGTGCTTTTCTGTTGACTAAGGTCATTGTAATCGTACTGAGAGGATTGCGTATCTCCCGAGTACTCTAGAAACGAGAACTCGTCTTGCGTCGCATTACCAAAATGATGATCCATTTTGTGAATGAAAAGGCAAAAAGCTGACAATTAACAAGATTTTGTGTCTGTTATGGCCATGGCAAAGCAAACTTAGTGACTGCTAAACTACCAAACCGCTTTCACCTCTCAATTCCGTCCCGACTTTCAAGAGGCATTTTTGTCGTGCCTGTCAACGTCCTGCAATAGTCAATGTTTACCGCTACGCGTTCGAGGAATCGGACCGTATCGCATGAACAGCAAGAAGAGCTTCCACCTCGCAATCCCTATGATTTTACTTCCATACCCGAGACATCTCGTTTTATTGGGACGCCGTCCAGCGATGTCTTTACAGCTCATGTTGAATGGTCTAAATCTTGCTTTCAATCCGTCGCCGGCTTAGAAAAACTACCAGAACAAGCAAAGAACCTATGCAGTGCGAGCAGTAAGTTTCCTTTCTTCCGCATTTCAAACCACATCTTCACGGCAACTGTATCAGCTAACGATCGTTTAGTTTCGCAAGGTGCTGTTCCAACCGCAAGCTTCGATCCCAAAGCTCAATTGGCGGCAATAGCAGATTCGATGCAAATCATGGTGTGGAAGTTAGGACAGGTAGTGTTTAGATCAATGGTGGTAAGCACTATATGAAATTGACTGACCCATTGCTGTATAGGGAGCTGCTCCTAGCTACCTATACAAGTTTGATCTTCCCTTTCGATGCTCAACCCCACCGCGTATACATCTATTTGCGCTCAAAGGAACATCAAGAATAGAAGGATACTCTTTATTCTCATGTTCAGCCGATGGAAATTTGGCATTGTGGCACTCCTTGTCATATCACCAAGGCGACAGCATTCAGCAACAAGTACCTTTAAAGCTTGGGGAGACAATCACAGCTGTTAGCGATTTTCACGAGGGTCGATTTGTGCTAGGAACATCCACAGGCGAGATTTACATCACCGAAATACAGTACGATGGATCTTTTTCTGTTGCATCTCTCCGAAAACGCAACAGCATGCTACAACGAGTTGGCTCATGGCTGACCGGCGGCAATGCGTTGCCACTTCGTGGCATGTTGGGTGCAGGCAACACACCTCTTATTCGAGGAAGAAATGAAGAAATATTAAAAGTACATATGGATCCACGGCCGAACAGGCTTCATCAGAGGTGAATATTGCATGGCCCTAGAAATCTCTGCCTTCAGCACAATGACGTACTAATGTCGATTCTCTATTTTTCAGTGAGGCTATTGTGTTATCGGGTCAATCCGTTCTTAGATGCCAAATCGAATCGTCAAATCGAAGCAAGGTTGGTAAAATTGCGGTTCAATACGGTACTCAATGGCATGTTGCTGATTGTTTGTAACAGATCGTGAACAGCATACAGATTTACGATAAAATCTTGGAGCAACTCAAATTGAAAATTGGTGTAAATATCAATGAGTTTGGAATGCTAGATTTTGCAATTGAAAGGTAAGTGATTGAGGCTGATTCGGATCTCAAAAGTATAGTCAGACATGGCTGATAGGTCGTGATTTTTCAGATCCGGGAAGTTGGTTATATTGGTAGCCTTTAAAGAGAAGAATGTACACGGTTATGCACTTGTTATTACTTCCAATGTTACAAATGACAGTGAAGCGGATGGTGACATATTGATGGACGATCCATTCGGTGGCCCACGAATAGAGGATATTGTGAAATTGGAATATACCGATGTACGTATACATACAATATTTGGGCCCTTAATTTGGTTCAATAACCAATGTTTTGTTCCTTCAGGATGGACTTGAAAACCCACGACCATCTCTATTACTGCCGAATGGGGGACCAATCGCTATTGTGCATGTGGGAAGTTCCATCATCTATAGACATATGTACGCTAGTCTGGTAGCGGAAGAGCGAATTGGATTGAAAAACCCCAATGACAATGTTCTCTTGCTCTGGAGAAATGCCAAGGAAAATGCGTGGAGTAGAGATGATGAACCTACAGCTCGTGTTCAACTACTTACCTCCCAAGCTGGGCTGTTGGAGTTAACTGTAGATATCAACAATTTAAGCGAACTTCTTACTCCGGAAAGGTATTTGTCTGTTAGAACTACTGTGTGCCATAGCTTTTTGCTCATTTTTTTTTTTATATCCAGTCCCAACGCAGAGTCGGACAGCTATAATGTAAGTGCTTCACTTGCGGCGCCTTTATCTTCGTAGGACAACTTGTAACAATTTCATCTTGTGTAGGCTTTAATGAAAGTCTTGACCAAATCACATTTAGAGCAAGTGGTCTTTTACGAATCCAAGCCTAATGTAAGTTCAATTACCATGATATAAAGTTTGTGTATATTCAGAAAGATCTCATTAAAATGTCTAATATCAATCATCATGCTTAACAGAACCCTTTGACATTTCCGCTGCAAACAACTTCCATTGCCTATGGAACGATTCTTGCTCAATCCGCTGTTGAATTGAGTAAAGAAATAGTGTCGGGAGGTAATGTGTGACTGTGGTGATACATTTGGGGAAAAATGCACTCAAGACGTTAACTTTTGATGTATCTGCAGAGTCTACCTACTTAGTACCAAGGCTTGATCTCCAAGAGCATCTGCTGACGCGAGTTTCGGCGTTGAAGTCGTTACTTGAATGCATTTATAGAAATGGGTTGACCTCACAAGTATGCTTTAAATTTCATTGTTTTCATGTCGATGAGCGGGTATTAACTCTTATGGATTATAGGCAGGTGTAAATATACCACCCACGCTATGCACCAATTATGAGACCATGAAAGCTGCATCTGCACTTTGGTCTTTGATTACCAACTATCCGTAAGTTAGAGTCATGCAAAAGAGCTTGCTTACCATTTTAACTAATCGTATTTTATCAAAGTGACAATGCCGAAGTTGCTTTTAAGGTTGCGTCTGCTGCAATTCCCGCACAGCGCAATTTGGAAACCGGGGCTAGTGACGAGGCAAAATTACGAACCTATCTTAAAACCAAAGCAAATACCATCCCTCAGCTAATCGTTCATATTGGAAACATGGTATCTGCTACAACTCATCCTCTAGCAACGGACATTGGAAGAGTCGCGCTACAACAAGCATCTAATTCAATAGTATTGGTAAGGCTCATTTTGACATCACATCAACATTGTACATTATATCGTTGCCGGACTGACAATGGTGCTCAACTTTATATGTTTTAGACGGTTCTAAAGACGGTTCACGAAGCACGATTAGAACTGGAAAATATGTACCTTGGAGAAGATTTGGCAAGGACTGAATTATGGACATGTAAGGAGTAATGTTTTCACTGCTGTGAAGCTCTATTAAAGCTAATGTGGTATATCGTTTCTTCAGCCAATGCTGACATAGTTCATGCACTCAAGTCTATCTTTTTTGCCTCAATACCTCTAATTCAACCGGCTTCGAAAACTACAAGCAACGCAATGGAGTACGAAGAAGAACGGCAGCTTAGCCCGCAAAGACAACTCTCTTCCATCCTTAGCAAACAGGCAATTGAACTCGCTGACCTTTTGTTGAGAGCAACACAGCGACAGCACAATGCCAGACAAAGGTAATGATGAAAAAGAAACTTGTTCTTCCCACTGCTCGAATATGTTACTAAGCAGAATGTGCCTAATAGACATGAGCGAAAGGTTAGAAAAGACAGAGATGCATCCGTTCTGAAAGAATTACAGTCTTCTGTTATCGCCGCTTTGAATCAGATTGGCCAGCCGGAAATTGCCATACAATTTGCAGAGGAATATCTAGTTTTTGACAAGCTCATCCAGGTTTTGAACCCTACAGAGAGTGGAAGCGCCCAATCACAAGCTGACTATTTTTCTGAGAAATATGGCGATAGCTTTGTCAGACTACTCTTTGACTGGTTTATCACATCAGGTATATTGTTTGTGCCCAGGCATGGGGTACTGTTTTGTTGGGGGCAATTACTGATAACCTATCAATAGGACACGAAGCCGAGCTACTGCAACTTAGTGATCAATACAACGATCAGCTCAGCAAATACCTTGAAGAGACGCATCATCTGAAACTAGCATGGTTGCATGATGTTCGGTTAAAAAAATATGATAAGGCGTTTCAAACTTTAGAGCGGATAGCTGAGAATGAGCCGGTTCTTACTAAGAAGAAGGTAACTGCTAAACCGATTGCTAATTCAAAGCTTATCCAACCTATTTTCTAATCTATGGTCACCAATAGAATCTGCTCAGCACTGCTAAGCTGGTATTTATGGCGAACTCTGAGCAGGTGACTCCAAGCAGTCTTGAAGTCTACAGTAAGCTGTTTAGACGGGTTTTGATCCAGTTTGAGTTCACTGCATTCTAAACTCCGACATTGACTGTGTTATAGAAGCAGGACCTGTTCAAAATATCGACCGAGCACTCAAAATCATTAGTGTCCAGGAAGAACTGTTGCAGGAATTCAACGGTCTAATGGAAGGGCAAAGTCACAATTCAAGTCAAGAAAAGGCATCCGCTATCACAGATATCCTCTGTACCAAATTAACTGATAATGAATGGACGAACCTCAAGATGGTAGAGTGTTTATGTTTGGCATGGTGTATGATTTTATTATACATTGTTGGCTGATACCAGAACTGACTTTTAATAGATTTTTAAGTACTTGACGGGATTGATTTTGGACGGAAAGATGCTTACTGAGGAAGGGCTGGTAGACATACTGACTCTAAGAGATAATCGACCATCGCAAAGCCATAATTATGTGACAGCGCTGAAGTTGTACTCCAATGCCAAGGTGAGAGATGATGACGATGTAGCTACGATATGTACGGAGTTACTGAATAATTTTAGCAGTCTGTACTACCAGCTGAGAGAAGTTTGGCCATGCTGAATACTATTTGGAGACGAATCTACACGAACGACAGGTAAAATCGCCCACGGTTTCTTCAACTTCTGTTTACTTCCATGGTTTAACTTTTTTCACTTTTTAGATGGGATGATATTAATGCCTACCGTCAAACGTGCACGGATAAACAACTCGCCGTTCAATTGAGACAAACTACGGCATTTCGAGTATTCAATCGGTGCCGGGATCAGAGTAAGTCATATGACAGCAACAATGCAGCATAGCATTACTAGTTTTGTTTACTGAAATGGCCACCACTTTGTCCAGATATCCAAGATGTATTGCGGCCAAGGCAAATCCAACTTGGACCAGTTAAATGGGATATCAAGATTCGATTCCCTTCCATCATTACAGCTTCTAACATTGAAAACGTAGCGGGAGACTTACGAAGTGAACAGTTTGAGCTCGCGGTGTTCATAGAGAAATGTCGACTGGAAGACTTCGTCACTGAAATTTTGTTACAAGTCAAGTGATCTACTATTAAAAGTCCGATTACATCATGTGACAGCTCGTCTTTTTTCGATTTCTTCTTTTTTTACCGTGTGGGCAGAGAAAAGTGCTGTGTGTGTGTTATCAAACTAGTAGTTTCCCGCCTGGCTTGGTTCATTACCCACCTGCTGCTTCTCCTCAGCATTCGTCTTTCAGATTCATCTCGTACGAAACAAAATGGACTATGACTTTCAGAATCAGTCCTTCCGACAGACGCAGAGCGCAGGAAGCAGTCCTATAGTCTCGTCTACAGCTCAACGAACTCAGGACTCAATGTACATAGATCTCTCAGATTCATCTTCAGCAGACCCGTTTTTATTCTCGCAAGAGCACCGATATCCTGTCCCACAACCTCAACCCGTATCAGAATCCCCTCACTCTGAGAAAAGACGACGAATACTAACCACTGATAATTTGCACCGGCACCAACAACCTGTACAAACCTATGTCGCCCATGAACAGTTTTGGCCGCAGTTACCAATGTCTTCAGGAACACCTGTTCAGAAAGATGAGACGCCAAATCAACTGAACACTACGCCGTCTTTTGAACACCTCTCCATTCATTCTCCTCATAATGCGACTAATCTAGTGCGATCGTTATCATCTAGCGGTGTACCTTTTCGAAATCCCTATACACCACTACCGACGGATAGAAATGTAGCTGTGTCTCCTATGGATTATAGCAGATTGATGTTGGCACGACAGCAGCATCAAGCCGTATACAACCAAATCAATCGTCAAGGTCCAGTCGCCATGCTGAGTTCACCAGCAGCCATACCAACCGTGGTGACGACCACATCTTCTTCACACACTAGTACAGACGACGACGATGTGATTCTGGATGAAGAAATGACCAATAAGAACATTTGTCTAGGCATGGTCAAAACCGATATTGTTGCTATCAAATCTATTGAACTTGTCAAAGATGAAGGTTACGAAGCTATTCAAGTTTTGAATGAAGGTCGACGCGATAGAACTGGAAACTACTCCTTTGTGGTATCGTCAAGATCTCCTCCCAAAAAGTTCTTTGGATGGCTTCCCTTTGAAGATACCAAATTTCTTGGCCCTATGGCCGATGCTGGCATGATATGGTGGGATGCAGTAATTCCTCGAAACAAATCAAATCAACATCGCACACCAGTGTATATCATTCTGTACTGTCAACCAGCCAATGTCAAGCTCATTAGTGCCAACCTCTATCAACAAAACGTCTACTTAGAAGAACCTCCTTTTTTTAATCCTTCCACTCGATACAATAACCCCAACCCCGTGCCGACCAATACATCCAGCAGTCGCTCCAAATATTCTTACGGTGCTAGTGCTTACGATTCTGCTAATCATGGCGCGGTCGATCAAACAAAACAAGATATATCAGAGCTTTTGGATAGTATTCCAAGTTCCTTCGGTCGCAAACGAGCTGTTTCTCAGTTATCTCAATCATATAGAGACGATAATGGCACCATTACCATTTTAGAGGATAATGAGATGCCAGATGTTGGAGATATTGAAGATGATGATGAAGAGCTAGATGACAGTAAACGACACATCGAAGGATTGAAGATTGCATTGATGAAGCATCAAGTTCACGGAGTTAACTGGATGATTGATCGTGAAGCCAACAAGAGCAGTAACGGTGGAATTCTGGCTGATGTATGTAAACATTATTTGAAGTGTGCTATCGTATTGTCTTGCTGTTGACTAATTCTCATTTTCATTCTTTCTTTAATTTCTTCACTGTGCAGGATGTATGTATACATTACTACTGTTGCTTGACTAATCTGAAACCTGTTCTTACCTTTCTTATCGTATTTTACAGATGGGCTTAGGAAAAACCATTCAAACCATTGGATTAATTCTTTCGACTATGAATGCTGATAATCAACAGGATACTGCGCAATGTGTACCTCAAGAGCAAGGCTCAGTACGAACAAACGACACAGCTCCCAAAAAATTGACTTTGATCGTCACACCACTTGCGCTTATCCAGCAATGGGCATCCGAGATCCAATCCAAGACAGAAGATGGTAAACTAAGGGTTTTGATCCACCACGGTCAATCCAGAACGAAAGGTAAATTCAATAAACTAAGTTCACGGTTCAAAGATAGCATGTCATACTAATTCACTATCATAACCTGTGCAGACCCAAAGCATTTTTTGCAATATGATATTGTCATCACTACTTACCAGGTGGTAGCGTCTGATTTTCCGGCCATTGAGAAAGGACGAAAGAAAAAATCCGCAGCTATTGACACGGACAACGATACGCAGTCGGAACCTAGTTTTCAGAATACGAAGAAACGGCGGAATGACTTGGACGATTTCGATGACGACCCAACGAGTGCGGTGTCCTCACCAGGACAAAGCGCATTCGAAGCAAGCATTCTTCCCGTTGAGTATGATTCAGGCTTACAAAGTACCAGCGGATATGGGCCGCTTTTTCAAACAAAGTGGTATAGAGTTGTATTAGGTATGTATGACATGTATAAACATCATTTATAACAAAAAGAATATTCCCCCTTACCCTCTTTTCTATCCAAGACGAAGCACAGCAAATCAAAAACAGAAACACCCGTTCATCCTTATCATGTACCAGCCTTGTAGCATCCAAACGATGGTGTTTGACGGGAACACCACTTCAGAACAATGTCGAAGAACTCTACAGCTTGCTACGATTTTTACAAATACAACCCTTAGCTAATTATTCTAATTTTAAAAAGACGATATCGGCGCAAATTCAAGCGGGACACAGCAAGACTGCCATGGCAAGGTTAAAAGCTGTACTGATGGCTATCATGCTACGTCGTACGAAGAGTGTTTTGAAGGAAGAGCAGATGAATTCGAAAGAAGAGGCCACTCCATCTGCGAATCCATCTCGAGCAACCACTCCTGGAGCTACAGGTTCCGAAGCGATGTCTCCAGCTGCTTCTGTGGAATCCGGTCAGTCAAATGGCAAAGATTCTGACGGTCCTCTGTCGACCAAGCTTACACTCAAACTACCTGATCGAGAAAAGAAGGATGTGTTTTTGGATTTTTCACCAAAGGAACGAGAGCTATACGAGATGCTGACCCTGAAAACCAAATCCACTGTGGAAAAGATTTTCAAGTCTGGCAAAGACGAGAAAAATTATCTAAACATGCTATGTATGCTGTTGAGGTTGCGACAAGGTAAGCTTATGCGGCACCTATTGAAAAGATGGCCAAGCTGAACCACAGAGTCTGAGACTAAATTGTTGCACCTACTTTACAGCCTGTAATCACCCACAGCTAGTCCTCAAGTCTATGGGAGCTGATGCTGATGCGTTAGAACTGGAAACAACCAGCTTAAAGTCTATCAACAATAGTCGTCGAGAAGCGAAGGAAGCAGGAGAAGCGTTGGCGAAACGAGCTTTGATGGCTAAAATGGCTGTCGATCTTGGTTGGGGTGGAGTTGCAGAACCAGGCATGTCTGTCTTTGACAAGAATCTACCAGGCAAGCGATTTTGTGAGCTATGCAGTCGAACGCTATTCAATTCCAACTCGGATGCGACGTCGCCTTTCTGTTGGGAGTGCGCTGAACAAGTTACGAAGGCTGCTATCCCACCACCTGTATCGGAAGATCCACCGGAAATCGGCAAAGACGTGTCGCAACGCTTTGTTACCAGTGCCAAAATCACCAAATTGATGGAAATCTTGGATGAGACCAGAATCACAGCGCCAACGGAAAAAACCATCATTTTCTCACAGTTCACTGCCATGTTGGATCTTATCGAGGAACCGTTGAAGAAATGTGGATTCAAGTACTGCCGATACGATGGCTCAATGCCTAATCCGCTGCGAGAGAAGAGTCTTAAAGCTTTAAAGCATGATCCAGAGACGACAGTTATGCTCATATCGCTCAAATGTGGATCACTAGGGTAAGTGCATACAGACTATTTTTGAGAGAGAAACCTTTCCTTGTCTAATGTTACTTTTTTTTTCTTATTATGAAAGATTAAATCTTACTGCCGCTAACAGAGTTATTTTGACCGACGTGTGGTGGAACCCGGCGCTGGAAGGTAATGCACACCGCACACTTGACTATCACCTTTTACTTTTGTTAACTCTATTCTATCTCACAGAACAAGCTATCGATCGAGTTCATCGTATAGGGCAAACCTCTCCCGTGCACGTGGTTCGTCTACTTGTGAATCATACCATAGAACAGAAGGTGGTTGCACTTCAGCAGAAAAAAGCTCGCATCATCCATGGAGCACTTGGTGATGGAGCGATACAAAGTACCAAACTCACAACCCAAGAAATTCGGAAACTTTTCGATTTGTAAACATTTGGTGTTGAACGGTCTACTATTTTATGTAATTACTTGTTTAATTTTCTTCAAAATACCATCTATCTTTAATACCTTTCTGTACATCACAAAACGAATTCCGTCTTATATCACCATGTTGGGTAAGGGGTAACTCGGCATTTATTTCCACAAGTTAAATCAGCTGGGCCGTAAGGGTTATATACAACAAAGAAGAGGGTATAGTTTGGAAGGGAAAGCTTTCTACGGCGTGTAAAAGAAAAAAATAATAATTAATCGCCATGCTTCAATACTCGTACGAATTCTCGATAATTGAAGTTGCCATAGTCATCTACTGGACATCCCTTAAACATGACATCAACCTCTTCATCGGTGAATCGATCTCCCATGGTGGTCATGCATTCCCTCAAGTCGTCAGCGTTGATGTAGCCCTTGCCATCGTCGTCAAAGGCAGCGAACGCCTGCAAAATTTCAGGCTCAGGGTCTGTGCCTGAAAGTTTTTCTGCCATCAGCGTTAGGAAAATGGTAAAGTTGATGGACGAAGTCGAGTCTCCCAGCATATTCTGTATCATTCCAGGTGTTGGTTGCAAACCTGGCATCCGCAAAAAAGTTCCGATTAGATCAGGCTGGCTGGGGCCATAAAGTCCACGGTACGGTACTTACCCAGAATTTGCACATAAGCCTCCTCTAAATCCTCTGCACACACATAGCCGTCATGATCGGTATCTATCATGCTGAAAGCCTCTCTGAACTCAATGATTTGCTGAGGTGTGAACATGGCGAACACGTTTGAGTTTTGGCGAGGAGTTCTTCTCTTTGATTTTTTACCAACCTTCAAGAGACGAAACGATTAGATGTAAGTTCACATGGAATAGGGGCACATGAGGTATCCACTCTACCGGAGCCATCGTTATTGAAAGTCTTGACGAAAAGAAGAGAAGAGTAAAAAGATAAATAGTTTCCGACTGGAGAATGCCCAGTTGTAAGAAAACTCCAATTGCCTTTTTGGTGCCTTGGATATCAACAACCGTCCTGTCACGTGGATACTGCAATAATACAGTGTTGTGAGCGTACGGCAACAGAGGAGACATTCCGTAGTGCGATAGAAAACAAAAACCAGCGGTACATCATCCAAAAGATGATTTATGTTATCAAGTATTGATATGAGCACTCGAGCTGTGAAGAAATCTATCTACTTAGCCTATAAAGCACAGATGAATAGGTGATATCCCAGACTGACAAGACAGAACAACATTATGGGACATCCTTTTGACAAGTCGGAAACAATGAAATCGGCCGTTCGACGCGACACACGTTGCAACATTTTAGCGTTATTAAGTATCCTTTCACGTCAAATACTAGTCATCATACAATACCAGCTGGCTTCAAAGCAACTTACACATACTGTGGATATTAGATAAAAAGTGGATGGTTGTCGAAGATGCAAGCAGTGTAGAAAGTGATTTATGTCCCAGTGTCTGCACTGGAGTCAAGCTGAGGATTCAATACTTAAAGTCAACATGATGGAGAGGACGGGCAATTGATTATTGTAGCCAATCAAATTTGCGGATTGCTCCCAGCCTCAGGACTTTTGGCATTAAGTTGGGCGAAAATTTTTCTCTTTCCTTGCCACTTGTCAAACATGTCTTCCATCACCATCGATTCCCCCATCGCTCTTCAGATCCTGAACGGTTTCTTCGAGAACAACGAGTTCGTTAAGGGGTAACTTTGATCTTTTCCTTTTTTTCCATCTTCAGTGTTGTGGAATTCACGTTAACCGATGTTTTACCTTAGTGCTGCTGCCTCTGACGCTGACGCTGCTGTCGCCAAGGCCCTTGGTGCGGCTCCCGCTGGTGAATTCGCCCACGTTGCCAAGTGGTACGCCTCCGTCAACAAGTAAGTGTATGCTCTGGTTGGTTTTGACGCGTATCAGGATGGAATACTAAACATTGGTTGGTTTACAGGGATGCTGCTCCTGCTGCTGCCGCTGAGGAAGAGGATGAAGATATCGATCTTTTCGGTTCTGATGACGAAGAGGTCGATGAGGCCGCCGAGAAGCTCAAGGCTCAACGTCTTGCTGAGTACGCCGCCAAGAAGGCCAACAAGCCCAAGACCATCGCTAAGACCACCGTCACTCTCGATGTCAAGCCCTGGGATGACGAGACCAACATGGAGGAGTTGACCGCTGCTGTCAAGGCCATTACCATGGACGGTTTGGTTTGGGGTGGTTCCCAACTTGTTGCTATCGGTTACGGTATCAAGAAGCTCCAGATCAACTGTGTTGTTGAAGATGACAAGGTGGGTTTCTTATTCCTATGCTTTCATCCAATGTAGCGTTGATGGCTGACAGTTGATATGTTTTTTTTTTTTTTTTTTTTTTTTATATTGTGCATTGCAGTCCTTACAGACACACCTGATGAGCCATGACCAAGCGTCTTTCCTAGCCAGTAGTTACCAATATTTTTTTAGGTTTTGCTTGATGATCTTTCCGACAAGATCTGTGAACTCGAGGACCATGTCCAATCTGTCGATGTCGCTGCTATGCAAAAGATCTAGAGGCTGTACTGCGGCTACTTTGTATAATTAAAAACTAAAAATAAAAAGAAAAAGCAGTTGACTTTTTGCTATTCCTTGAAACTGACGTTCGCGTTCGGTGGTGTCACATCTGTAATCTATTCTGATCAGGTACAATACTCGTCATATTCATGGAACATGCATTGTGTTCTTGCGTATTTCATTATACATGATGATCCCTGGTTGGAATCAGAACGCTGAACGAACGTAAAAAGTCAGATCATGATCTATAGCTGCATTGAGCAATATCCAACCTACATCATATCACAGGGATCTTCCCTAGCGATTCTCCTTAACTTCGACATGGATGGTGCACGCATGCTTAGAACCTATGACATTTAGCTATCCAAGTAGTACTGGTAATTGACGAGCGCATTTACAAATGACCATTTTTCTCTTCCGCCAAAATTAAACTGACCGCGGTTGGATATGTCTGTGCAGACAATTAAACAATTCAGATTTCATGGTCTACAAGTAATTCATATGTCTGTCCAAAAAAATATTGAACTTGGGAAAAACAGTACCATCAGCCTTTTACAAGTGTACAGAATTCATTCAATGTTTGAATTTATAAAATCCATTCATCATCCTCACGAACGATGGGTGCCTAATAACACCTTTTTTCTATAATCGAATCACATTGATTTTTTTTAATATTATGTTGGCTCGAAGATTGTAGTGCATTATCGTCAAGTCATGTTATTATGAGACAAGGTAAAGGGAGCAATTTGTTCACAAGCAGCAAGTTCGGCTGAACGAGATGACGTATTTTTATCGGAAGGATCATTTCACGGACAAGAAGACATGACATCGTTAGAGAAGTATCGTTGCGTCTCGAGTCATTTCTCCCAGATGATTGAGAAACTACCAGTGCGTTGGATATTCAAAACGACTACAGAGGTCCTCTGATTATCCCAAGAAGTTGTGGAATGATGGGCTCATCCTACGAATAAGGACTTCTGCAGGTATTACGAAATTCAATGCGCTGGTTGTATGCCGGGTAATATGGGATGTGAAAAATCATACCCTGATGACTAGGTCCCTTCTTTACCATCACTGCATTATAGTGCATTTTGCCATACATGCCGCTAAAATTTTCGTGTCCTAAGATAGATCCATTTCGCTGCCGGAGGACAACCGATTCTGTAAAGGTATATAAGGGACAAAGATGTGGGTTGGAAAAAAGATATTTACCAATCAGCAAAAACCAATATGCAACGCTTCCCAATCTTCCTCTTCTTGACTCTCCTCGTCCTAGTCTTCGCTGTCAGCGCAAGAAGCCGCGATGATGATGATGATGACGATGAAGACAACTACTATCCCAGCGCCCCCTATGGTGGTTACGGTCCCAATGGACAAGGAGGTAAGAAGTGTGAAAGAAGAGCATCTCATAACATTACAGAATATTCAGCCCAATTTTTTTCCTTGTTGTCATTACAGGCTGGGTTGACGAGTACGGCCATTGGCACTCTGGCGCTAGTACTCAAACCATTGTCAAAGGCGCTCTAGCTGTCCCTGCAGCCATTGCGATCGGATTCATGGCACTTTAAAGATCTTCATCAGAGAACAGTTGGTTGAATTTCTATTATTTAGTATAGCCTTATTTCAATATTTATTATTCACTGTATGAAGAATGAAGATTGACACCATTGTCCTTAATGAAATCTGTCAATTTTGTGAGACGTGACCGCTTTTTATGATTGCCACTTTTTTGGATGGAGAGGGAAACCGGGCCTATTTATTGCCGTGGTGGAGATCGTGCCTTTGACACAGTCTATAGCTTTGCTTCCATGCCAATGTGAAAGAAGCCACATTCTCATATGAGAATACATGTTTCTCGCAGATGTTCATTTGTATATTTTATCTCTACAGTCGTTATCAAATGATAACGATCGCCTGACTTTAGCGCCAAAATGGGGGAGGAAGTTTAAAAAAAATTGTTAAAACCACGATTTTGACTTGCGGTCGGCCCTATTCAAGGTTCTTCCTCATCCTCAACCATGACCGTCCCAGAACCCACCAACGGTACAGTTTTCTTTCTATATTCGAGAAATAGTCTTGTTGGAGTTGCCTGAAAGTGACGTCCAAGATTCCCCGTTGTCAACCTCAATCAACTCATACTTCTACCATTCTCTGTCCTGTGTGTCATATAGATTGCCCGCATGTCGTCGGCCATCGAGGATTCTCAGCCAAATACCCAGAAAACACCATGCTGTCGTTCGACGAAGCTGTCAAGGCTGGGGCCAATGGCATTGAGTCCGGTTAGTTAGGGTTCGTCATTTTCAACGTTGGGGGAAACCACAGTATTGACTTCTTACTCTGGTGTTTAGATATTCACATGACAAAGGATGGCGAGATGGTCATGCTTCATGACCCTAGACTTGACCGCACAACCGATGGAACTGGCGTTATTAAGGAGCAAAATTGGTACGGTTACATGGAGAATTTGCGTACCAAGAAGGAGCCACATTGCGCTATTCCTCGTATGAGCGATGTCCTGTCATACCTCAAGCAAAAAGAAAATGTAGAGAATGGCCTCTATCTCGTTCTTGATATCAAGGTAAAGTAGCGAATAATGAGTTTAGTCATATCGCAGAATGTCGGGCTTACGTATTGCCAGAATGATAACTCGCCTAGTGTTTTGGAGGAGTTGCACAAGCTAATCCTGGCGCACGAGCCACACGATTTTTCCAAGCAAATCGTAATTGGTATTTGGCATCCACGTTTCATTCCATTGGCCCAGAAATTGTTTCCAGATTATAGTCTTTGCTTCATTGGCGTATCTGTACCCGCTGCTCGTAAACACTTCTTCGAGCATGTCGATGTTATCAGTTTACATTTCGCCGCACTTTCCGGCATTGATGGCCAAAAGCTCATCCGAGACGCCCACGAAGCAAACAAGAAGGTCTACGTATGGACTGTTAATACCCCTGCTATGATTCAAGAGACTGTCCGATGGAATGTCGACGGTGTTCTCGGAGACGATGTTAATGTGCTTTTGCACAACGTTCATGCTATTGCTTCTGACGAAAAGGCCTTGATTATACCTGCTGCCTCTTACATGACCTTCAGTCGTAGATGGTACTACTACTTCATAAGGAACATCATGGTATTCGCTTCATGGAAGTTCCTTGGCATATAATCAATGCATAGATTATGTACCTATTATACACACCTCATTATATGCATCTTACTATATGTTATGCTTTGTACAATTCTATCTTACTATGTTGTCTCATGAATAGATGATTTGACTTTTCCTGATTGAGCGAAATTCAGACAAAGGAGCTTTTACCAAATGTGCAGTTTTTAGAGGATCAGTCAGTGGGATGAGAATGTGGTTTTATGTCTGAGGCAGCAACTATTTACAGCAGAGAATGAAAGATGTGATCAATGTAAAGAAAAGGCTAGGTAATATATTGGCGTCTATGGGAAGCCGTCAATGACATGAACGCCGTATTGCTCCAGTATAGATTTCACTTGTCGTCGTAGTTCCTGGCCAGATGAAGCAGGCACAGTGAGATGACAGCGACAAATGTTCGTATGGTCAATATGATGAGCTGAAGGGTCAAAGAGAGTCGTGTCTGACCCTGACAGTGGTGATTTCGGAGGTGAAAGTCGTTGCGGCATGGGAAGCCATAAAGGACAGGCACCGGAAGCAGCACCGATATTAATATCATCGTATTCGTCGCCACGTAATCGGAAATGTTGAAATGGAGGGCCATAAGTACGTAGATAAAACTCCAGGATATTCAAGTCGCCTTCTTTCAGGACTTGCAGAAAGATAGTATGGTATGTTTTGCGGGTATGAATATTAGAAAATGCTGTATTTAAGGCTTCCGATGTCATGAGATGCTTTTGATCATCCACTTGGAGCATATAGTGAACATAGCGTTCTATGAAAGCCAAATTCTGAATTCGTATATCCATACATTGGTGTAATGGACATAAAGTATTGCGTTCCTGTGAATCTACCACCACTCGTTTTTGTTTCTCCTTATCCAATCCGTGGCCAAAGTCTGAGCTATCATCCGACAGTAGGGGCTCATAGCATACTCGCGTAGCACGATGAAGAGCATAAAGAACCGCCCATGCTCGAACCGTTTGGTCCCGAACTGCGGTGGTAGATTTCACCTTGTCAAAAGTGCATGAGAAAAATTCTTGGAATATGGCCTCGCACACCTTGGGCGCTTTGATGATGAGCCCTGTGTGATAGGCAAATACTATCATGTTACCACTTTGAGGATTCAGGTCAAATCTCGCTCTTAGGTACAGGATAATTTCTCGGCTCATAAGCCTGGAGAACAGGACGCTGCTGGTCATGGCTAAAGCAATGTAAGTGGGTAGGGATAGCCTACTGGTGATTTGGACCAGTATCTCCGTAGGTAAGGTATAGAAAGAATGGCGAACATTATGTGCAATGGCTATACGTTGATGGTCCTCTGAATCTGAGGAAGTCATTACAAATTGGAATGAAGGCTCTTACTTAATTTTTTCTTTTTTTGAGCCTTTTAAATTTCAGCCCTTCGCTAACACTCAATTGAAATAATAATTTTTTCTTTTTATTTGATTTGACGACTGATTCCCTTCAATCCATTTAAGCGCTGCTGGACTTTTGCATAGAAGAAGTACGGCGTCTCTTGATCTCATGCTTACGCTCCTTGGATTCCTTAACGCGCTTGGCGAGAAGTTCCTTGTAGGTAGCTTCGGCTTCCTTGGAGGCTTCAGCGCGTCTACGCTTGAGAGCCTGTTGTCTTCTCTTGCGTTGAAGAGTGACGGGGGTGACAAGACGTTGGATCTTGGGGGCCTTGGTGTAGGGCTTCTTCTCGGGGTTCTTGGGTTGAACTTCACGACGAATGACGAACTTGCGAACATCATCAGTCTTTTCCAAGTTGAAGAACTTGCGGATGTTGTTAGCACGCTTAGGTCCGAGACGCTTGGGGACAGCAGTATCGGTCAATCCGGGGATGTCTTGTTCACCCTGCTTGACAACGACAAGGGAGATGACGGACAAGTCAGAAGAGACAATGCATCCACGGACGGACTTTCTCTTGCGCTCACCAGTGCGGCGGGCACGGTAGGTGGAGTGACCCTTGCTCAAGAGAAGACGGACACGGTGGGGAAGAAGGACACCCTGCTTCATGGGGAAACCTTGCTTGTCGTTACCGCCAGAGATGCGGAAAACGTAACCCTTGAACTCATCACCGATGGAATCACCGGGAACTTCAGCGGACATACGCTTGTCCATGAAGACACGGCTAGCAAAAGGGGGTGGGGTGGATGTTTAGAGAAGTGTAACAATGGACTACAAAGATCAGTTAGGCAACTTACACACGACGTTCGTCTTCGATTTCGATAAGCTTTTGACAGCCTGTCGCGGGATTGGCGATGTTAAGCTAATGGTGAGAAAAGAAAAATGTCAGTGGTAAGATTCCAATGAAAAACTCAGGGAATGGGATCAAAGTGTGGCTGGAGTGATGCATGATATAAGTGCTGAAAGGAAGTGGTCTGATACGCTGTTCGTTGGAATAGTGATATTGACAGGTTGATTGTAGCCGTATAGTCAAAATGAAGCATTTTACATCGTTCATGGAGACCAATGTTGCAAAATTCCACATGTCGAAGTGGAAAAACATATAAATCGAAATAGCTTGGCGGTTTGCATCCATCCATCCATTGATGAATGCATCCATGGATGGTCTACAGGTACTGATATCTTTAACAGATGAATGAAATACTTGCCTTCATCTGTCAAGGTAAAAAAGAGGAGGCTCTAGTGGTTAGCAATTCAAGCATCGTTTTGAGTCCAACAATCCCGTATGAATTTTACAACTCCGCCAGACAAAATTGATTGGCCGGGTATTTCTCAGAAAGATATGTTTTTATTACAACGAGCCTATTTACGATTACATTCAATTATTTTAAACCTTGCGTTTCTTCTCGCCAACATTCGGCGTTGAGCCTCCCTCTCTCTTACGCTTAATTCCCCAAGCCTGAAACATCTCGTTTAGCGGAACCGTTCACTCTACTCGTTGTTGCATCATACTAACATAACTTACCGCATCTTTGCCCACAAGACTGTGGAAATATTTTTGAAGCTTCTTGCCTTGGTTGTGACCCCACACGCCAGGCGCGTTATATGTGAAACAGTTGGTGAATATCTGCTCAATATCCAAAGTCAATTCCTCCAAGTTTCTGTACTTGGGAAATGTCAGCTTCTCGGATATGGTGCGGAAATCCATGGGGTGCTTGATAACAGTATAGTAGTTGGGTAAAATATTAGGATCCACAGGTTCCAAGAAGATGGTGGCAGCTTCATGTGTCATCAATTTGAACAAGACACCACGAGCACTCTTATGTTCTGCTGCGGTTAATGTTCCAGGTCGGGCATAGTCCACTGCAAACAGGTCATTAAACACTCCTTCCAATTCTCGTCCTTGCTGTTCGACCCATGATCCAGCCATATTGAATCGGAAGCAGTTCCAAAATATTTGTCGCACGTCTTGTGCAAATTGGTTCACAGTTTGGTATTTTTGATCCGACAACTTGTTCCGTATCGTTCCTAAATCCATTGGCACCTAAAAATTACGAAGCTTAATATATGCGCGGCTATGCCAACCATATCCGTTGTTATCTTACCTTGATGATATCGAAATACATGGGGATGCCTAATGCAACAGGATCAACCTGTCATGGGTAACATACAAGAGTCAGTCTTAGCATTCCTACACCCGCGCATATATATAGAATGAAGTCTTACCGGTTGCAAAAATGGAAGAGCAGCCGGACTGTCAGTCAGCTTTTGTAAAATACGCTCACACTTGCTATAATTGAGTGGATTCATGGTCATATCCAAAGGAGCGGTAGAATGGCTCGTCACCGAGACGGATGCGTTTGCAGGACCGACTGAGGCTGGTCGCGGTTGCTGTTTGATGACAGGGGATGGAGCTGCAGCAGCCTTGGGTGGGACAGATGCTGCATGAGGACGCGCCGCCGGTACTGGAATACTGGCTTTGGGAACAGGCGACACACTTGCTTCAACGGGTGATGCTGACGCTTCGGGGACAGTCTTGTTTCCAAAATGGAGCTGCCATAGCTTATTGTAGTCCTTTTCAAGTAATTTACATTGCTGAAACACCGGGTTATCAGGCGGATTGAACGTATAGCAGTTCCTAAACACTAGGCGCATATCGTTGTCGAATTCCCTTGGGTTGGCATACTTGCCCTTCTTCAGCTTCGTTTTCACTGTGCCAAAATCCATTGGGTTAGTAATGATCTGTCGGTAATGAGGAATGCCTTGTAATTCTGGGTCAACCGGTTGACGAAACTCTGCCGACAACTTATTTTGCAAAACTTTTTGAAGAACACTTTGGCACAGTTCCATAGGCGTTTTGTCAGTCTTTACCGCTGCTCCATTGGTCATCTTGGGCGTGGGTGGTTTCGTTTTGATGACAGGTGGGGTAGATGGAGTGGTAGCAGTGGGTGCAGAAGTAGTGTGCGTTGTTTCTGAGACTGTGGGTGGAGGTTTGCTAACAGGAGCTGGCTTGTTAACCACCACAGGTTTGGTAGCCACTGCAGGCTTGCTAACGACAGCTGGTTTGTTAATCGCAACGGGCTTGTTAACCACAACAGGCTTGGGAGCGGGAGCAGGTTTTGTAGGTGGAGGAGGGAGTGCAACTTCCGTTGGAGTTTGTACAGGCGACTCAACAATAGTCATGTTGAAATCTTCACCATCGCCCTGTCCATTGATCCTGGCCCATTCCTTTTCATATAAAGCCTCCAGTGCTTGCCCCTCATTGTACACCTCAGTACCTCTTGGGTTGAACACATAGCAGTTGCTGAACACCAATCGAATGTCGTTTTCAAACTCTTTGATAGTCCGATACCGAGAGTTGTCTAGTTTTGTTTGTACAGTGCCGAGATCCATGGGGATCTTGACATATTTAAAGTAATCGAGAGCTCCATCTCGTATAGGGTCAACAGGCTGACGGAACCAGAACGATGCCTTGTGCTTGAACAATTTTTTCAATATACGTTTGGCTTTCCTGAGATCGTCGAACTGCATACCATCCGTCTGCGCAGATACTGGCTTTGGAGGCTTGGGAGCTTTAGGTTCCTTAGGTTCCCTATGTTCTTTGATTTCCTTTGTTTTACTTGGCTTGCTAATGGTAGGTGTTGTCGGCGTACCACTAACAGGCGGTGTAGATGCCGGAACCGGTATACTGATTCTAGGAGATTCACTGACTGGACTGGCAGTGGCACGCGACGATGGAGTGTTTTCAGCTTCCTCTGCAACGTGGACAGGGGGGAGTGTTGGAACCCGAATAGTGACCTTCAATCCAACATCTACAGGCTTGTATGCGTATTCGCAAAATTGCAACAAGTACTTGAGAACACGGTGATCCAAGCGAGTGGCTGCTTTGTTATTCAAGGTATCCCAAAGGTAATGCTGAAGTTCATAATTTGTCGAAAAGGTGGCTCGAATATCATTGATGGCCTTATGAAATTCAAGTAGGCCATTGGGTCTCTTTCTCCAAGCGTCTTCAACGATAACTCTGCCTTCTTCTTCTGCAAACTCTTCTACAGCAGAATTGTCGCGATTATTTCCTCGAATCATCAAACCAAGCGCTACCAAGAGGGCTTTTGCAACATAATGGCGAATGGTGGAGGATGGATCATACTGAGCAATATCCAGCATGTATTTCAGAATAGTGTTGTCCGAAAGGCCGCAAAGTAGAAGTATACTGTCGAAAGCCACGGTTCTAATACCATCGAAATTGCCATATCTACAATTCCCAGGTTGTTTAGATTTAGTTATATCGCTTCAGAACAATATTTTCTTTGGGTCAAGCAAACATACCTAGAGTAATTCATGAAAAGCATCAAATCTGTCTTCATAAGGCCGCTGAGCATGAGACCAGTATAAACTTGTAAGCAGTTGACAGTGACAATATTTCGATAGGATGGAATGACAATGTCACGAGTTCGGTATCGCTCGATTTCAGCAATAGCCGTGTCGACAAACATTTTGCGTTTAGGATCAATGAGATCTGGGTCGACACTGGAGATCGGCATGAGAGCATCCGCTAACGCATTTATCATGGCGCAGACATAATAGCTGTCTTCCATCTAGAGAAAGAAAAATTCATAAGCATGATTGGTATTAAAGAAAGCGCAGCCAGGCCAAGACATTTACCTCGTTACCAGTATTATCATTGTATTTTAGTAAGTCTAATAGCAGTTTGCATACCGGAAGCGGACATAATCCATTTTCATCTCGTATCAAGGCGAATGCAGCTACCACAGCCTTTTGAAGAAAGTAGTCGACCAGATTGGTAAAGTTGTTAGGTCGAGGAATGCATTGCACCATAGGCAATGCAGCATCAATAAATGCGTCTTCGTTAGGGGGTGTAAAGCAGTACTTTTTTTGAAAGATTTTCGTCAGCTGCAAGAGTCCAACCCAGCCAACGTCTGGACGTGCACACTAAGAGGATAGTCCAGTCAGATAGGGAACAGCTATTATGCGTTTCAATCTAAGAAAAATCTACCAACCCTTGCTAAAGCAGTTGCAGCCTGCATACGAATTCGATAGAAACATCTTTGGTCCATAATGGCACGCAACAAACTGGTTGATGTCATCGGTGATGGCATAGTCTTCAAAGCTTCCAGGGCCTGTACAAAGAGATGTAAGTAACAGCCCATTTTTCTTCTTCTTACCAATCAAGCAGTTTGCTTACCTCATACTGTGCAACAACATCCCAATCTTTGGTCAATTGTGCAGCCCACATATAATCAGGTTGTTCAAATTTGATGGTACAGATCCACTCGAACTCGGCATCTAGTCGAATCCAATCAAATGTTGCGCTGGCTGCACCACTGGTGTCATCTTCCTCTTGACCCCATTCAACCAGTCTCCACTCTTGTCGATATTGATCTTCCTCAAACAATGGCATACCTAAGCCAAGAGAGGGGACAATACTGGAGACTTGTTCGCCTTCCTCGCCTTCCAGTTGTTCTTCCTCAGCAGCAGCAGCAGCGGCAGCAGCTTGCTTAGCTTGAAAACGCTTGGTGTTACGACGAATACGCTTGTACTTTGTATTGAACTGGACTTCAAACCGTTTTGCTGACGTCTGAATGTCAAGGATATGTTCGTAAGGAGTTCCATCAGCTTCATGAATACGAGCAATGAAGTTTCCAGTGAATATGGTAGTGACCGTATCTTGGAACGCCAGAGTGTTGTTGACATCGGTAATGGCGTCTGCAGGTGGGGCAGAGGTTGCGCTGGAATTCTCTTGAGTCATATCGATTTCAACCACCATCTTCTTGCGATTGAAGTGATATTTAAAGGTAAATTTGGGGCATCCGCTGCCATAAATCCATTGCTCAGCAAAAGTTTTGGTGTCGTAGCCACTAACTTTGCGACATTGTCGTAAAAACCAATGGGTGCTCAGAGCGTTCAACGTCAATTCACCACTCATGGCTTCGACTAGTATTTTTGGTATGACTCGGGATAAACCACGCGTGCTTCCAGCTTTGGTCATGCGTCTATCGAGGATATATAGAACAAGTGGTCCTTTCAATGTTATGAAGTCAAGGTCGTCTTGGTCAAGTGGTGCTGGTAACATTGAGTTGAAAATAGGTGGTCTGTTGACGTCCATGGACACGCATCGTAGCATGTCTTTTTTGAGCCGCAGCCGATATTCGTTATTTCCCAGATGTTTTCGCAAGAAAATAGAAGCCATATGGTGGGCAAGACTGGCAATCAACCATATATCCGACCAAACCTTTTGAACAATATGTACACCGAACCATTGGGCCGCAAGGGCAATACTGAGCTCACGTCGAGTGTCGTATGTTTGGTCGATAACTTCTGGTGGGTGCAGTAATGATACACTAAAATAATAAAAAAATATTAGTTGTTTATGAGCCATCAGACTAATTCCAACCAATCTAAAAAAAAAGAAACACCGTAAAACTCACCTGCAAATCGACATGGAAGCACACGACATGACAGGATCCCAAGCTTCTTCAACGACCACCAACTTATAATTTACAAAGGGATATGTTCCGTACTCTTGAGAATAGAAATGCATGGCCTAGATAATGCAGTATGTGACTTAAGTAACATTACTATATTCAGGGCGAGAAGAAACAGCGACACTTACATGAGCCAAGAACGAGGTCGAATGCGTCAATTCATCCACAAGACCAGGCAAACAGAAGGCATATATATCTGGCATCATGTTAATACCGGTCATGGCGCTTTGTTTTTGGTAAAGGCCCAATTCGCCATCAGCAACGATTTCAAGTTGTAAATCTTCAGTCGATAGCTTGATCATTTCAAAGGGTCCAATAGCGAAACCAATGAATGGAGCAGCAGTTGGAACGGTAAGTGAATAATGAACGATCTTCTTGGATGGGTCGGTGGGATGGGTCGTCTGAATAGAAGAACGTTAATTACACTAATACCAAATGGCTGGCATGATCACCTTTAGTGAAAGATTCATACCTGCTCCATTATTTCACCACTGCACACCACTGTATTCTCGCCTTCTTGGAACACGTCGTTCGTGGATTCATCATAGACATCATCCTCGCTAAACGTCATCTTCTGCGGTACAATGAAAATCATATCCCACATGCATCGTTCTGATATTTTGTCAACGCAAGGGACCCACATCCTGGTACCCCCTGACATTGGTTGATTGGTCGTATATACATGTCGGTCACGCTTTTAACATTGAAATTGATGAGATATTAAGTCTGGTAAGAAAACGCGCTCTAGGGTACTCACGTAAGGGGCAACATCAGCGTCTGGTTCAACAAAAATGACGCCTGCTGAGGGTGATTCTACAAAATAATCAATTCGTATGGTGATAGGCGCATAGTTGGTCATGGCTGAGGGACCGCCAGGAGTTTGTGGTGTAGACGGTTCGGCGCGCGTTATAGCTGTAGGTAGAATGGCTGCGAGTACGAGTAAAATTAAACACTTGACAGCAGGATGCGGTTATCAATCATGATACACAACATACCAGCTGTTTCCAAATACGCGTCGTCTCCCTTCGCCTACAATTTGAGTAGATGAGTATGATATGCAAGAAAAATGAGCCTTCGATGAGTTACAAACAAACCTGGACCACTGCATCACTGGGTATCGTAACTTTGAGCTCTCCTTCATCTGCGTCCTTTAAAGCCGTCAAATATTTTCCCTTGTAACTTTGATGATTGGCAATGGTTGTATTCGGGCCCATTGTAACGTCGGTCAGGGGATCTTTATAAACATACTGTGCCGGATCACCATTGACGGACACATGCGTAATGCCTGAAAAGCAATAGAGTTCAGAGTGGGTCAAATTGTCCTGAAGAGATCGTGACCAATACGTACTGCCTTGCTTAAAATTGATCAGAACATGGTCAAGGTTGGGTTGCAATGGGAGAATTGACAGTTCCGCATAGCCCTGGTGTACGAATAAAAAATCGCGTCAGCTGGATGGAATGAGAGTTTTGATATAATAGGCTATGATCTTTATACCTGTAACAAGCGCTTGCTTGGATCCACCTCAATCACGAACCGTTCGTGACTAGTGAAAGATCGAAAGAAATGTCAGCGATCAAGATAATGAGAGTACAAACATTGACCGGAAATACTTATAGAGTAAAGGCCTTTCTCAGTATATCTCGCTGCATCAAATCGAGCTGTTCGAGCGATCGACAAACAGGCCGATTGACGCAAAGTTGGGAGTGGATGGAGTCTGCAAATTCGGGAACAATACCCAGTTGGTATCCGGTGCGTCAATTCGTGGCACGTGACCTTGGGGATTTGCTGGAGCAAGGACCGACCTCATTTTTATACTTTTTTCAACAGGCTTGTAAATTTTCATACAGAAAAGGTTGAAGATGTTCATGATAAGATGGTTTGGCTTTATTATTTTACATGAAATATTTTGCTACTAAAAGAAAAGATAAAAAAGAAAGACAGAAGGAGGACCTCTTTGATGAACCAATGGTGCACGTACTTATGAAGAATGAAAGACAGAAAAAAAGCTATGTCCATGTTTTGTGTCAGTACGATACAATCATATAACGTTCATGAAATTGTCAATATGGAGATATTAATAATGCCTGATTAGCATGCATAGCTAATGAAGAGAAGAGGTCAGTCATTTCATCCAAAGTTATCTGCAAGTGCTGCTGTCAACAGTTACGTACCGCTTAGTCCATTCCTTTGCCGTTCTATCATGCTCTTCTCGGTCATTAAGGTACTGTTGTGCAATACTTCCGACAAGTGGGTCATCTATAGTAAAGGATGTTAGCAATTGTAGGATGATGAAGTGGAATATAAAGTGCTTTTGCTTTCACTTACGTGGATTAGCGTCAGTAAGAAGCGAGCAAATGGAGAGCAACACCTTTGATATGGTGAGTGCAGGAGACCAGTTATCCTTCAAAATGTCCAAGCAGATAGCACCTTGACTGTTGATATTGCAGTGATAAATACGAGTTCGGAACACAACCTACAGTGGAGTTAGATGGAAGTTTTCCGAGGTCAGGTGAACACATTTGATTGGCACATACCTTGGGAGGCTTGAACGGGTATTCTTGAGGAAAGTGAACGTCCAAAAAGAAGATACCGCCTGCATATGGAGACCCAGCAGGACCAGCAATGGTGGATACCCAATCGTAAAGGTTATCTCCCTTTGGACCAGCACTGGAAAGAAGGTGGCGATTAGTCAAAGTTAGGCGGTCGGCATTTTGAAGATGGTTCACATGCATGCAAAAAAGTGCCATACCTGCAGTTTGACGGCGGATCTAGAGAGATTTCTGCAAGTTCCTTTTGTATACTGTGAATTAAACAAGATAACTTATTAGTTCAAGGCACATGACCGGTGAGAAAGAAGAACGCGTCAAAAAAAGAAGAAATGCATTGGCCGGTGATTTAAAGTTGGAAGATGATCGCAAACAGTCATTCATGTCATCAACACTAGAATAGCTTGTCGATACGATGTGGATTTGACTGGAGCTGCCGCAGTAAACACCGATTGACGGGGGTTTGCGGTTGAATAACCTGTTTATGTTTGAAAAAAAGGTCCATGACTCACCGTTTAGCACTGCTGCTGAGCGATTTGGAGGAATCCTTTTTCTTTGTGGCAGTTTTGGAGGAAGGTGGTGCGTTTTCAGTTGTAGAATTTGATAGTGATTCAGTGGTATTTGAACGAGAAGAGCCGCGAGTAGTTGATGAGCTCATGTTTACTGTGAGTTCAAGAGGAAAAAGACGCGAAAGCCAAGGGCGCACACTCAAATTTCTCAAAACTCTTTCACTGGAACTGAATTTCGTGACTTTGATCTTTGCCAGCTCCCAAAAAAAAAAAAAAAAAGGCAAACAGAGACAATGAAGCATAATGCTGTGTGTTTAATCTATATTGACCACATCGCTCACAATGTAATGTTCAACGCATTTATTTACGGTATTCATGATGAGAGAAACCGAGAATGATAAAAAGGATATCTCCTGTACACAGGGACAGCTTTACTGCTGTGAGCAGATAGTGATTGACCGTCCAGATTTAGGTTAGAGGAGAAACAAAAGGAGCGCTCTGAATTTTATTAATGCTGCAAATCTATTGTTGACATGAACAAGGGGAATAGACAGATCGTCAAGTGGTTTGGATCTACTCTACACAGATGATATGAAAGGGATGCAATTGCAATTTAGCACCACGAAGCTTTGAGCAAAATTAGAAAGATTAGAGGAAAAAAAAATAGTCTATCTTAGCGACGTGAAGTATTTCCTGGCGGCGTTGTTAAGCGTCTGGTCAATTCATAGTCAATTTATAAAGTATTTCACCGCAGATGGGGGTAAAGAAGAAGCCAGTCACCTCCAGTCAATGTCCGCCGCAACGAAAGAGGGCCCAGGGGGTCGACGCGTCAGGGAACTCGGGGTCTCATCTGGTAATGAATTGAACTGCACCTGTCAAGCTTACATCGGTTGCATAAAAAAGAAATGGGAACCGTAGCGTATGAAGAGACACCTGTGATAACATCGAGTTGCGATCTTTGATCCAGCGACCACAAAACAAGTACATCATGGGTATAGTTCGAATGCCATTTTGTACTGCCTCCAGCTATAAGAAAATCGTTTCTTTTAACCTGCACTGGTCTGACATATAATAAAAACATCACACATTACGGCGGCTATTTTTTCCTTTGTAATAAATATGACCAACTGTGCGGGACACAGCATTACAGTGATAACCAGTCAAGGATGCTTAAAATTTTCCATATTGGCCGATAGAACCCACATTTCAGGGACATGAAAATTTGCCCGCCCTCAGGTACGGATCATTGCCAAAGAAGGAGCATGTGCCAGAATAGCTTTCTCGCTATGGCCGATGCACCATTATCTCTCTATTTGGCCTTTGACCGACAATGCCAGTACATGCAGACAGTTTAACAGACCGAGAAAATCATGATCCGCAAGGTCACAGACGTAAGCGTTAGTACCAGGGGTTTTCTAAGCTGACAAGGTGCGGCTGCCAAAAATTGGTATGAACGGAAAGCACGGGTATAAACGGATGGCATGAAGCTGAAGAAGAGCGAAGCCGTGGGAACTTCGGTCAGTGTTCATGGTTGGGCTATTGTTCATGTGATGATGACATTGTTCGCAAAGGTCCAGCTATCATGCAAATGTGACGCTATTACATTCATTACCAGCTTCTCTAGTTTCAGTGTAAAAATGGGACTATTTTTCATTTCACGTCGCTTGTAAAGACAAGCTAGTTCATTATGACTTCAGCGTTAAAGCGCTATAGTGAGATCGGAGCTGGATTATAGGTAACCGGGGGCGCCATGGAATAGCTCGGAAAACGTGATGATGCAACGAAATTTTTGGGGGCCAATTTAATGTCCACGTTGCTGCCCAACACTTGTCTGCTATCTCTTCTTTCTACTAATAACAAGAACATAAACATGGGTCTTCTCGATATCGTTCCCGCTGGAGTTGTCACTGGTGACAACCTTCGCAAGCTTTTCGCCTATGGTATGTTATGCTCTGATGTTTTTGATCATCATAATGATCTTCACCTAACTGACGATTTATGTCTCGGATAGCTAAGGCCAACAAGTTCGCCATTCCCGCTATCAACTGTACTTCCACCAGGTAAGTTTTTATTGAGTTTGCTCGGGGGATTCATCGAGGAACTACTGTTTTCTCGAGAAGACTTGCGCGTTAGATGCGTTTGGGCGAGCTGTGACGCTTTCACTGATCAGCATTGATTGTTATGAGCGTGGTTCTAACGAGATTTTTTTTTTTCTCGCGTGTGCTTTAAACTTCAGCACCGTCAATGCTGCTCTCGAAGCTGCTCGTGATATTGGTTCTCCCATCATCATCCAATTCTCCAACGGTGGTGCTGCCTACTTTGCTGGTAAGGGTTTGAGCAACGAAGGTCAAAAGGCCTCTATCCTCGGTGCAGTCGCTGGTGCTCATGTAAGATCATAATCGCCTTGATAACGATATCTTGATAACATAGTGTAGCTGAGACTCAATTTTTTTTTTCTTTGCGTTGCTTTGGATTTTTTTATTTTACAGTACGTTCGCTCTGTCGCCGCCGCCTATGGCATTCCCGTCATCACTCACTCTGACCACTGCGCCAAGAAGCTCCTTCCCTGGTTCGATGGTATGGTTGAGGCTGATGAGGCTTACTTCAAGGCTCACGGTGAACCCCTCTTCTCTTCCCACATGTTGGATCTCTCTGAGGACCCCAAGGAGGAGAACATTGAGATCTGTCTCCAATACTTGAAGCGTCTTGCACCCATCGGCTGTCTTCTCGAGATGGAGATCGGTATCACTGGTGGAGAGGAGGATGGTGTTAACAACGAGAACGTTGACAATGCTTCCTTGTATACCCAGCCTGAGGATATCTGGGATATCTACAAGGCTTTCTCTGAGATCACTGATCTTTTCTCCATTGCTGCTGCTTTCGGTAACGTTCACGGTGTCTATGCTCCTGGTAACGTCCGCTTGCACCCTGAGCTTCTCGGCAAGCACCAAGCTTATGTCAAGGAGCAACTCAAGTCTGAAGATGACAAGCCCGTCTTCTTCGTCTTCCACGGTGGTTCCGGCTCCACTCAGCAAGATATCAACACTGCTGTCTCCCACGGTGTTGTTAAGATGAACGTTGACACTGACACCCAATGGGCCTACCTTTGCGGTTTCAGAGATTACTTCAACGCCAAGAAGGAGTACCTCGCCACTCAGGTCGGTAACCCCGAAGGTGCCAGCAAGCCCAACAAGAAGTACTACGATCCCCGTGTCTTCGTCCGTGAGGGTGAGAAGACCATGATCAAGCGTATCCAAGAAGCTTGCGAGCATCTCGGTAACGTCAAGCGTAACTAGATTCTTATAAGTGTGTGTGCGTGATGCTGCTTTACGGCATGTATGATCGCAGTCCATTATTGTAAAAAGAAAAATTATATTGTGTCTCTCCTCCCCCCATCCATCTCAAAAGTGTAGCAATAACGAACGTATGATGCACTCATCAAACATAATGGAATAAATTACAAAAACCATACTTCCTTCTTGCTGCTTCTTCGCTTTTCCTTGGCATCTTCTACCTTCTATCATTGAAGCATGACTGGTGATCATATTTCATACAAAATAAGCCTGAACAAAGGATGATATGAGGTCATCTTCCTCAGAGAAAGAAGCGTAGTTGGCCTGTGTGCGTGCGGAGTTTGGAATGTTAATGATCATGGGGACGGGGTTCTCTAACTTGGGAGGACCATCTTTTTTTTTCTTCTCTTTTCCTTCGACGGTTTTTCAATCATTATTTCCTGACATCGACATTGAGCAAGATGAATAGCTTGGAGAGCAATGATTATGACATTGCTGCTGCAACCGCTAAAGATGGTAAGCATTTCCAAAGTGCTTTGCCACGGATCTCCATCTCGTTCCTGAGACCCTCTGTCTGTTGGTTTCTAATCATTTATTTTTGTGTTATGTAGCTCGAGCACGTCGAGTAGAATCCTCGAGACTTCGTATTCTGCTGTTCAAGGGCCTGCAGTCAGATGATCCAGACGACCGAGCCATCGCTCTTGAACGAATCGTTGATGTAACAAAATCGTATATTCACGCCGCATACCCACCCAACTCACCTTCCAAAGCATCGGCCGCTTCCACTGATACATCTGCTCCAAATACGCCCAACCCTGGACAAACGCACTTTGACGGCTACTTGTACGAGCAAGAAAAGACATACCCGCAGCACCCTTCGGTGGAAAGTTTACGAGAACTCTCAGACAATGACGCTGAGTTACCTTCTGATCCCGAGACCGAAGAAGCTGCTGAAAAACTTCACAACTACTTGTTGACCATCGTACGCTTGTCCATTACCTGTCCATTTCGGGATGTTCGCAAGACGTTCAAAGACTTTTTGAGGAAGCTAAAGGTTTGTGGCAACATCCCGTTTGTCCGCTTTAACTTTCCATAGAATACCGCTCACACGCTCCGAACTTTCTCGCTCATCCTATTTCTGTTCTCTAACCCAAATATCCTTTATATAGGAAAGCGCAATCACCATTCCAGAACCAGTCAACGTATCACCTTCGTTCTTTGTGCATCCAGAAGACGTCTTTTCACTCGAATCCTCGTCATCCGCCCATGTGTTTTACCCTCGACCTGCCAATATCTCTATTTCGCCCTGGTCAGACGGCGCAAGCTCCACCTTCAGCAATGATCACAACGATACCATCATCAACGGCGGTCCTCTCGTAGAAGCTGACGATGAAAATTGTCACTCTGATGATGATGAAGAAGCGCCTATGGGACAACCTTCAGATCAATACATTAGAGATTTGATGGTTAAAAATTACTTAGACAGTGGAAGACTCTCCAACACTTTTCGACTCTTGGCGTTCTTTCCCACCTTTTTTGAAAAGTTCGATCTTGCCTACCATCAGATTATGCGATCTTCAGTCGGCCCCTTGGAGCGAACCTGGAGAAGCTATCTTGGCCTTCTGGTAAGAAAAAACCGCCACTTTGTCACTTTTTGTATATGCATAAAATTTAACCCACCCACATCAAAATAGGCTGCTGCAGAACACAAGTGCCAATACTTGGTGTCGCTTCAAAAGCTTTATTTCCTCCAATATGGAGGCGATCCATCCTGGCTTAAGGGCATTGACTATGTTCCACTTAAACTTCGCAACATTTCTACTCTCTTGGTCCTTCTGGCAAGGCAACCATGGGCTCTGACGGAAAATCACATTCACGATCTCTTGCACTGTAGAAATGGCGGTAATCCTGTTACTGATTCTTGGACCAAAGGCGAATTAATCCAGGCCATCGTTGTCATTGCTACATTCCATAGCTTGAGCAGCTTTGTCCTTGGCTGTGGCATTGTGCCTGAAATCGATACCCGAGGTGGCTATTTTATAGCTGGGGCTCCCCAAAACCATCAAAGTGCTGGCATCGAGCATGAACTGGATGAACATATCGTTGTACGACACCCTTTGCCCAATGAACACGACGCCTTCAAAGCTGCAGCCTCCGCCACCGGCTGGAACGATGATTTGGATGAGAATCAGCCTGTCGCGAAGCAACCCGAGGCGTTCTCATCTGATATGGGACTCGGCCTTGGCGTACGTTTATTGGAGGGTGATGAAAATTGGGAAAAGCAGCAATTTGGTGAAGCAGGCGAAGAAGAGGCCACGGATGAAGATGACCTGTCTAATCCCATCAGCTTGAGACGTACGAGCGTACTCATTTCAATCCTAAAGAAGAAGAAGGATTCTGGTCTGAAAGATTTTGTCACCGAAAGCCTTGCTGTTGCGGATGAACGTCCCGAGACTGTACCAGAGGAAACAGTGGATGACGAAGGTAAGCCCACTTGCCTAACCCTTTTTTATATATATACGTATAAAAACCTTGACTGGCATGGTACTAACGGTTCCTATAGAAGATGATCATCATGTTTCGTTTGCAGAATCGCCTTCTCGAGCTTCCCGCATCAGTGCCTTGAGCATTCATACCAATGCATCCTCTGATATCTCTTCCTCAACGACTCATTGTAGCAAGTTGTCATCTAGAGCTAACATCGTCCTTGAGGACCTTGATCGTTTTATTGATCCATCTGCCAACGCTAAAATTCAGCGTACCAAGTTCAGCCAAAGCGACGATAACAATGAGTTCATGCTAAGCGAATACTGCTGGGAAGACGAAGGCTGTGATATCATCAACCAGTTCCTTCCTGGTATTGGTGACTGTCTTGATGCCGAGTTCGATGAAGTCGTCAACATTAGCGATTGGAGGTAAGAGCATCGACTTTTTAACTTACTTTACCATACAAGCAGCTTCTAACTGTCATCATCAAAAAAAGCATTTTCCACCAGACCGAAAGCTCAGTCGATACTGGACCACTGCGTAACGCCATGTGGTATTATGCTCTCAAATTATTTGGAGTCACCAAGGAAGATTATGATTATTCGGATATCTCCACATACCTTACCAATCAAAACAAAGCTTACATCCAGAAGGTGTGCTATTCACCTCAAGAAATTCGCTATCACGATTGGAAGAATTTTGGCTTAAGCCTAAGAGACGAAGAAAAATGCCATGTCAATCTATTGACCGTCCAAGCCAAAAAGCAGGCCATTCTCATCTATGGCCTTTCTACCATTTCTCAAATCTAAAAAGTACTCCACCAACCTTCCAACCAAAAAACGAAATATAGCTGAGCAGATCCCGTCCACCAACAAGCATCACACCAAGCACATACAATACACTCTGTGCTGAGGAACCACCCTGCCTCAGCACATATCATTGCACATTCAACCTCTTTTTTTTTTTATACATACATAACAAATTTACTTCTTCCCCCCATATACTCTCCACCCATCCCACCTCACTTCTGTTCTTTCATATCCTTTGGAAATAAAAAATTGGCAGTCACGAAAAAAGAGTTTTTTTAAAATTTATAGAAACTTTTTTTTTTTTTTTTTTCTGCGATTCAAAAAGCTTTGCCAACATGGACTCATTTCGCCACAGGTCAGGCGGCTTGAAACAGAGCAATAAGCCGTTCAAGTCAAAGCATGCTTCCAAGAATTCATTGAAAGAAAAATCAAAGGGTATGTGTCCTCAGAAGCCCTCAATGGACGCTTTTGTCCTCGAGATCTAACCCTTGAATTATAGGTAAAATCAACCGATCCTCCATTAAGCAACGAGGTCAGGGACCGAGCAACAAGGCCGACCGTCGCCATGCAGCTAGAGTAGCGCAACAAAAGAAACGTAGCGAAGTTTACGAGACCACTCGAGTGTTTGAAGGCAAAGACGGAGCTCCAAAGATTGTGGTAGGTACATCCTGTCGATGATCGGTTCAATCACCCTATACAAAACCTGACTTCTTGTTCCACAGGCTGTATTGCCCCTCTGCCCAGACATCGATATGGATTTGGCTATTCAGAATTTGTACAAGGCTGTGGATCAACCTGTGCCTCAAACTCCCGGACCGCTCAACATGCAATCTGAGCGATTCAAGCACAAATTCCAATTTGTGCCTTTGCAGCGCAATTTTATCGACGTGATGGATGCCATGAAGGTCGCTGATTTCACCATCATGCTTATGTCCGCCGAGGTTGAAGTCGATAAGTTTGGCATCACCTGTTTGTTGGGTGTTTTGAACCAAGGTCTCGTGTCTCCCATTCCTGTTGTTCAGCATCTCGAACGCACCTCACCCAAACTTCGCGCCAACATCAAAAAGTCTCTCGTCGCTTTCGTGCAACAGTTCTACCCCGAGGAAGCAAGAGTGCACACCCTTGATACCGAGGCCGAAGCCATGACCGTTTTGCGTATGCTTGCCACTCAAAGACCTCGATCCATCAAGTGGCGCGAACAACATCCCTACTTGTTGGCTGAAAACGTTGAGTTTGAGGAGCAGGAAGGCGAACTTGGTACTCTCAAAGTGACTGGTGTTGCTAGAGGATGTCCCTTTAATGCCAACCGTCTTGTTCATTTGCAAAACTATGGCGATTTCCAAATTGAGAAGGTAAGCACACAGAGGATGACTGTAATGGCTATTGTCATGGACTCGCACTTAACTCCCTCATCAGATCATGTCGGCCCCAGTTTCATCTGCTCAAGTATCCGATATGCAGGAGGACTCTGCTGTGCTTGATATCCCTAATCCAGACGAGCAGGATGATTTGGTCTCTGAGAACGAGCCTGATTTCATGGAAAATGAACAAACATGGCCAACCGAAGAAGAATTGGCCGAGGCAGATGGTAAGGACATTTACAAATGTGTCGTACGTATCTATGAGAGCATCATAGAAACTAACCTTGCCTTGCCATTCACAGAGAGAGTACGACAAATGAATGGTGGTCAGCCTATGGATTCCGAAGGAAAGGTGACAAAACTTGTGCCAAAGGGAACGTCGGCCTACCAAGCTGCGTGGATCGTTGACGAAGAGGACGAGTACAGTGACGTTGATGAAGATGAAGAAGGACAAGATATGATGGAGGATGACGATGAGAATGTTGAACCTGCTGGTGCCGATTCAGAATTCCCCTCATTTGATGATGATGATGAAGAATACGAACTCATAGACATGAACGGCAAGGAGAAGACTGACGAAGACGATGAGTTTGATGCCGAAGAAGAAGATAGACAGTAAGTTTGGCATTTTTTTTTTTTTACCCTGCTAACCCGCTGTACTAATTTGTACACTACCCTAGGCTCCAAGAATACCTCGCTCGCCAAAAAGAGCTCAAGTCACATACCGATTTCCCAGACGAAGTCGATACGCCATTGGATACACCTGCCCGAGTTCGATTTGCGCGGTATCGTGGCTTGCAATCTTTCAGAACTAGCCCTTGGGATCCATACGAAAACCTCCCAATAGACTACTCCCGTATTTTCCAATACGAAAATTATAATAGAACCAAGAACAGAATCTTGACACAAAATCTTGTCGGCAAGTTCAGAGCGCGAACAAGAATCACCTTGTATATAAAAGACGTTCCCAAAGAAGCTTATGGTAAGCCTTTTCGTATGTGTTTACAGCTCAGCCAGTAGAGACACTAACCCCTTTGCCTCTATAGAATCATATAGTCCATCACGGCCGTTCGTCGTCTTTGGTCTTTTGCAATACGAACACAAGATGACAGTTCTTAACTTCCAGATCTCTCGTGACAACGCTTACGAAGAGCCTGTAAAGTCCAAGGTATATATATCTATGTATATTTTTTCATTGCCTGGGTGTCCCTTCTTGACTAAACCTTATTTCACACATAGGATGCCATGATATTACATATGGGCTTTAGACGAATGGAAGTTCGACCCATTTATTCACAGAGAGGTAATGGAAAGGGTCACAATAATGTTCACAAGTATGAGCGGTTCTTGCAAATGGGCAAACCATCGGTTGCCACCATCTATGCTCCTACGGTATTCGGTAAAGTGCCGTGCTTGCTCTATAAGGAAACCGACGATGTCAACGATCCTATCTTAGTGTCGGTTGGTTCATTCATGGACACTGACACCAGGCGAATCGTAGCCAAGCGTATTATTCTTTCTGGTCATCCATACAAGATTCATAAGCGCTCTGCTGTCATTCGATTCATGTTTTTCAATTCCGGTAAGTAAAAGGTTGGGTTAATGCCCAAATATTGACTCGTCCATTGCTCACACCTTTTTTTTTCCCAGAGGATGTCCATTGGTTCAAGCCTGTGCAATTGACTACCAAGTATGGCCGCACTGGTCACATCAAAGAATCTCTCGGTACCCACGGTTATGTAAAGTGCATGTTTGACGGTCCCATTACTCAGCAAGATACCGTCATGATGTATTTATACAAACGAGTCTTCCCCAAGTGGAATACCAAGCTTTGGAAAGGCGGATTGAATCACGCTATTTCAGCAGGCGGTGAAAGTAAAGCCATGGAGATAGATGCCATGGAAGAATAAGTTCTACAATAAAATGACGTTCTTGTGACTGTTAAAACAGATTGGCCCCCGCGAGGCTCTTTAAGCATGTATTTCGCATGGTTTTCTATCCCGCTTCATCTTTCTACCTTCTTCTTTTCAACCATGCCACCCAAAAGAAAGGCCGCATCAGCTGCTTCTGAAGCGATTAGCACTATCCAAGCCCCCACTACTCGATTAACTCGCTCCCGAAGTGATGCATCCGCTAAAAAACCAAAGTTGGAGTCAACAATCACACTACTGAAAGAGGGTGACGAACTTCCTGAGGATTTGAGTCCAGTCACTACGAATACCGGCGAAGAAGTACGTGTGCAGGATCTTGCTAAAGAATCTGGGTTGCTCATCTTCTTTTACCCTCGCGCCAATACACCTGGATGCACTACGCAAGCATGCGGTTTCCGTGATAGGTATGAGGAGGTGGTGGCCGATGGCTGGAAAGTCTATGGTATGAGCTATGGTAAGTCATAATGGTATTGGATATGCCGTGGGACGCTGGTTGAGTGGAAAATTTGGCGATGGGTTCGGTCCATCGGTTAATTTATTTATTTCATGGCTTTGTAACAAAAAAAAAAAATATTAACCGCGCACCACCCCACAGACTCTCCCAAGGCTCAAACTACATGGAAAACAAAGTATTCGCTACCATATGAACTCTTGTGTGACCCCAAGGGGGATGTGCTTAAGCGCTTAGGAGTGACCAAAAATCAGTCTGGCAATGGTGGAGGTGTCAAGCGTTCTCATGTAGTCATCGAAAAAGGCGGGCGTATCAAGAGTTTGAAAATCGGTGTGTCGCCTGCTCAAAGTATTGCACAAGGTATTGAGTCCATGACTGGAAAGTCCGTTTCCGTCACTCAAAAAAATGAACCGTCTATGAATGGTGGTGGCCAAGTTTCGGAGCCCACGAACACTGTACCAGCAACGGATTCCGTTCCAGCTGTGGTTGACACCACCCCGATCACAACCATCCAAGCAGAAGTTACCGATACTCCTATCGACCCTGCTCCAGCGGTTCTTGACAGTACCCCGATTCAAGCAGAGGTCGCTGCTGAAACACTCGCCGATGTTGCTGTTGACACGACTCCATCGAACACCGCTCTTGAAGACACCACCGAGCCCATTGTACCAGCTATAGCCAACCCGCTTTCAACCCTTCCAACAGAGCCTACTGCTGCATCTTTGACCGCTGTGACGGGAGATATCACCGAGTTACCGGCTGCGGAGTCAGAACTTCCTCCAGTTGAACCCATTATCCCTGGCTTTCTGCAGGATCAAATCGCACAGTTACCTGTTGCCTCAATGGTTGACCCTGTTACCTCTGCCGTTGACAGTACCTCGTTCACTAGCAATCCCTTAGATTCAGCCGTTGACAGTACTTCGTTCACTAGCATTCCCTTAGAGTCAGCGGAAAAACCCTCCATATCCACTGATACAGCGGAGTCAGCTAATCATAACCATGAAGAAAAACCATCCTTTGGAGCCTATACTTCAGGTTTGCAACAGCAACTATGAACAAAAATGATGCACATTCGTTTTCTCCTCATGTAAAAGCCAAACCGAAAAATGGGATGTAAAAATAAAATTTTTTTCTCACTGTAAACCTTTTGGGCGTTCCTCCTATGAGACCAACCATAAAGCCTTTCTTTAACGCTGGTAAAATCTTTATCCCTTTTTCTCTTGCTTCTTTTTCCAGGCATGAGCTTGTTGTCGCCACCAGCTTCGAGACAACCGCCCATCCAACCTATTTACGACTCAACGGGCTCAACCTCCACTTTGCTGGGGTACTCATCTACAGACCGTAGCTGGAACTTTCCCGATACCAAGTCTGTATCGTCTTCGTCTCCGACCACTACTTCACCGCCAGCTCAGCGACTTTTGTCATTGGATGCTTTGCGTGGAGTGGCAGTGCTATTTATGATCATCGTCAACTACCAAGGTTATAATCCGTATCCTGCTCTTCAGCACGTAGACTGGTTTGGATTCCATTTAATCGCCGATCAAGTGTTTCCTTTGTTTTTATTCGTAGCCGGTGTAGCCATTGCCTTTGCCTACAAAAATGTTCGTCGCAAACCTAAATACCCAACTATGTTCAAAATCGCCAGAAGATTTGTGCTGCTGTTCGCCATCGGCTTGCTTCTCAATGCCTTCCCTTTTACCGACTCTGACCTTCTGCAGACCTGGAGAATCATGGGCGTCCTTCAACGAGCCGCAATCTGCTATGTCGTTACCACTGCGCTCTATATAACATGTGGAACCAAAGCCGATGCTGTTTGGCCCCGTCGATACCTCTACTTCATTTACCCGGCTACCATTTTTATCCTGTGGATGAGCTTGACCTTTGCCGTGTATAACCCGGCATGCCAGACGCGTGGTGACTTGTCTGAAACATGCTGTACGGAAACCATGTTTGATTCTGCCTTATTTGGCTCTCATTCGTTGGGTATCTTTGATCCAGAAGGAACCATCTCTACCCTGCCTTCCCTCCTTACGTCCTGGTCCGGTCTCCTGATCGGCATGCACCTGAACCGCCGTAAACCTGAGCTTCATCGTCCACTGGTTCAGTACAAGCTCATTGCGCATTGGCAGTTACTGGCTGCAGGTCTAGCTAGCATTGCCGGCATGTTCAACTCCTTCATACCCATTGGCAAGCCATTGTGGACCCCTACCTTCACTCTGCTGACTTCTTCTGTATCCATCGTCCTATTTGCCATCGGCTTTTATCTCTACGACATAAAGCGTCTGGCTGACCACACTCACCCCAACGTTGCTTATCGCGCATTATCCTACCTTCTCTATGTTTTCTTGGCCTGTGGTCGCAATAGTACGGTCATTTATATTTTGTCGGAATTGGTGCTCAACTTATTTTGGGCCGTCAACGTACCGTCTGGTATCCCGCTTTACCAAGCCATGCAAACTATCATGTTTTCATCATGGCTACCACAAGGCCTTGACAGTCTTGTGCTGAGTCTTTTTTGGGTGGTGCTTATGATATTGCCCGTGGCCACATTGATGGATTATAGACGCATATATATCAAACTTTGATTTAAACCTTTTTGATTTATTAGGAATAGTAGACGACATGACATGGTGTTCGTGGTCACTGTTTCAACGCTTTTGTATATAACGACGGTTTACCTGTTTGAACGACACACATTTCATTTTTGAAACGTAGTGGCTGGCTGGCGGCTAAAAATTGCTTGCTTAGAAAATTTGCTTCCCCCTTTTTTGATGCCCTGACCTGTTTATAATTTGTCTGCACATCACTGACTGTCATTACCAGTGCTTTTCCATCTCTTTATTGCATCCTCACCACTTGATAGAGTAGAGTGACCTTACCTTGTTTTTATGCCTAAATAAAATCACACAAGTCGTCAGCTGCTGCGTCCATATACGGTAAACTACCTCAGATGTCCGTACAAATTCACGGGATGCGTGAAGTATTCAAATTAAACAAGGCGGTACCGGCGCCGTACCTTTCTTTTGTCTTAGCGTCATCGACTTCATTCCGTGCTGCCTACTTTCACGCTGGACTGGTCGAGAAAGACTGTATAAACTGCTCGATTATACCATATTACATCCCCTTCCAACCGTGGGATAATCGATTCGATCGTCACTGCCCTGCATAAAGCCCGCGCCACCCAATACATAACGAAGATGCGAACACTAGCTACGCTGTATGTCACCGTCTTAAGCCTGTCACTCATCGGTGCATCGCCTTTGGTCATCACTAGCACTTCCGATGCCTCCATTTTTTCACCTATAGCCCTGGTTGACAGTTTCAATAACCGTGGAATTGGCAACACTGGGTCTCCGGCAAATCTGGATGGTCTAGGGGGTGCATTTCCCGAGCAAGAAGTTCGAAACGCAGGGTTGGTTAGAGTCGGTAGTCTGGCGTATCAGCTGAGAATGGGTGGGAATGACAACGTTGCAGCGTTTGGTCAAGATATACCGATGACGCCGCGACGCTATGGTGCTTTGTATCTGCTTGTGACGGCAAGTCATGGCCCATCGGTAGGGAACCTTACAGCTGTATACAGTGATGGAACAAGCGATACCACAAAGTTCGTCGTTTCCGACTGGCAAACTGGAGGTGCCTACAGTGCCTTTTCCACTTCCACCATTGTCCAAGGCAGCTCCACCGTCCCATCTCATGGCCACATGTACTCTCTTCCTGTATATGTCAACCCAGCCAAAACCCTTGTCAAACTCTCGCTACCAGCGGGAGATCCAGTGGCTTCTTTTCACCCTCTTCTTCATATATTCGCTGCAGCAGGTAAAATGGCCAGCTCTGCTACAGATTTGGCCATCACCCATGCCGTCGCTACTGCGAACAAAATACCCGACGAATCCGGTCGACTCTGGCAAATGGTCGAGGTTGACATCCACAACTCGGGGACCAGAAGGTTATATGGGTCCAATGTTAAAGTGTCTGTACTGGGTCATGGAGTAGTCACCACTGTTCCTGGTGTTTTGGATGTCTTGGAAGGAGGAGAGAAGCGAACAGTCTATGTTGGCGTTCAAACTTCGTTTTTCGGTAAAAGGAACCTGGCTACAGCGTTGAGCATCAAAGGAAGCAACGTAGCGATCATCACCATGAATATTCCTCTCCAGCTTGGAATAAATGCTTGGGAACCTAACGAGGAATCTTTATCGCAGCACAAAGCGCCGCGCTGGTTTGATCAAGACAAGTTTGGAATCTTCATTCATTGGGGGTTGTATTCTGTCCCTGCGTGGGGCCCACCAGGTGGCATGTACAGCGAATGGTACTGGAGTAATTACAACCACCCGCAGGATGAAACGTACGAATACCACGCCAAAACGTGGGGCAAGCACTTTGAATACGATGACTTCATACCGTTGTTCCAGCCGCAGCTTTTCAACCCTAGAGAATGGCTGGATCTGATCACTGCGAGTGGCGCCAATTACTTTGTGCTGACCTCTAAGCATCATGAGGGGATAGCCTTGTGGGATACCAAGGTCAGCAATAGATCTTTTGTGGCATTGGGACCCAAACGCAACTTTGTCAATGAGGTACTGGAGGTTGCAGAGAAAGAGTATGGTCATCTCAAGGCCGGCTTGTACTGTAAGTGATGTTGTCCAAACTCGTGCTTGCAGCCGAACAGAGGATATCATATTGATTATTGACATAAATGCATAGTCTCTATGCCGGAATGGTATAATTCTGCCTACCCCACTACAGGCGCATTTGGCCACACTCCCCGAAATCCTTATACAGGCGCATCGGTGCCTTACACTGGCAGTCCAGACTTCAAAGACTATGTCAATGAGCTGCAGCTTCCACAGTTGCTCGAATTGGTGGATCTGAAATATGACCTCAAAATTATCTGGTGAGTGTATGACCATATCAATTTGGTCCAATGTTTTATATGAGACTGATATTTTGCCCTAGGTGTGACATCGGTGGAGTCAACAATTCCACGTTTTTTGCGGCCAAGTTTTTCAATAATGCCGAGGCCAGGAACCAAGAAGTGACCATCAATGATCGTTGTGGTATGAGAGCAAACGATTTTTCTACACCTGAGTATTCAACGCTGGCTGTCACATCTCGCGAGTAAGTACCCCAACGGTACCGCTTTTTATGTATTTTAACATGATGAATGTCTAACGGTTTATCTAACGTTGTAGCAAATGGGAAACCACTCGAGGTATTGATCCTCATTCATTTGGATACAATCAAGGAACTAGTCCAGACCAGTATGCAAATGCGAGCTCCATGGTCCAACTACTAGTCGATTCAGTCAGTAAGGGTGGCAATTTGCTTCTGGATGTCGGCCCAGATGCTCAGGGCCGCATATCTGAGCCTCAACAAGCAAGTCTTAGGGGAATTGGCGCATGGCTTGCCGTCAACGGTAAGGCGATTTACAATACCACATACTGGTGGGTGACGAGCGACGAGGGCGACCTACGTTTTACCTCTGCTGCCGATGCCTTCTACATCACAACGCTCAAACGACCCAACAATACCCTGCGAATCAAGTCTCCTATCCCTATTTCCCAAGGCGATATCATCGAGCATATTGGATCTCCATGTGCAGGACTTGCGTGGTCTCGAGGTGCAGATAACACTATTTCCATTTCTGTGCCCAACCAGTGCATTCATACCGTTGCGGATGTAGAGGCCTGGGTGTTCAAAGTGGTCTGGATGCAAAATTATACTCCCATAGGACCTGTGGTGGCCCAAGTCGTAGCGCAGGCCAAGTTGGAGTCATATCAGTCACCGACTTGAAATAGATCGTTCTTTTTGCATGCATGAGAAAGTAGCCATCTAGAGTGTCGCTAACAAACTGTTCAAAGGCTCACATGTGGAAAAATAACTTGCACACTTGTATATATAAAAAACAACTGTATTCTCTATTGTCTTGGTATAACAACATACGATCAAACAAAAAATAAAAGGCGGAAGGCTCTAGCAAGAGTCGAAAAATGCAATAGAAGAGGTGATTGAAATGGAATCTATAGATACATGATGAGAGCAAATGCAAAAGTAGAGAGAGAGATTAAAAGAAGGGGAAACAAGAGAGGTTAAAGAGACAGGGATTTTTCAAGAGAGTCTAAAGCGCCGCCTGTAGCGCCGATTCTAGTCTAAATTATCTACCACCGTAACCACCTTTGTAGCCACCGCGGCTACCGCCAGAGTAACCACCTCGGCCACCACCACCACCGCCGCCTCCAGAACGACGAGCACCATAGCCACCACCACCGCCGCCGCCGTAGCCATTACCGCCACGGTTGCCACCGCCGTAACCACCACGACCACCACCGCGACCGCCTCCAGGACCATCGCGACGATCACGTTCAGCAAGTTCAGGAAGAACCTCTGGAGCAGTCATGGTGATGTTGTGCTTATCGAACCACTTGCGGCCAGCGAGGAGGATGACTTGAGCACCATCTTCTTCTCTGATTTCAGCCTTGCTGGACAAGACATCGAAGACCACACCGGTCATATCCTTGGTCATGCGCATACCACGAACATCTTCGTAAGCCAAGTTGGGGAATTCACGGGAGATGATGTTGCGAACATAGCCAGGGTGTTGAATGGCATTTGACAAGGTGAACATAAGTGTAACGAAACCTTCTTGGGAGGTAAGGAGTGAGCGGCTGGCAATGCCTTCATGGTAACCAGAAATATAAGCCAATGCAGCGGAAAGAGCCTTCTCAGCACCGTGTTCTTCAATCAGCTGTTGAGCGGATGCAGTGAAATGGGGCAAGACATCGGGGTTGACCTTGTTGATGGACTCAATGGCTCCTTCAGTGGTAGCCTTGATGATGTCTTCAGGACGAGGAGCAGACATGGTTTCGAACTTGACACCAGTGCGCTTGGAAATATATTGGATAAGACCTTCTTCGTTGGGCTTGTAGAAAGTGACGCAAACACCGGAACGACCAGCACGACCAGTTCTACCAGATCGATGGACATAACTTTCGGGATCTTTAGGAGGTTGGCAATTGATAACCAAATCGACTTGAGGAATATCCAATCCACGAGCAAGGACATCGGTACAAATAATGCACTTGAACTTGCCCTCACGGAAAGACTTCATGGTGGATTCACGGCTAGATTGAGCAATGTCACCGTGAAGGACAGCAGCATCCTGCTTAAGCTTCTCATGGGTACCAAGTTCGTTGGCATCAGCCTTGGTTGCACAGAAGATAAAGGTCAAACCAGTTCCACCATAGACATTGACGACATCGCCAATAATATCGGATCGTGATTGATAAGAAGAGGGAATGGCAATGTGGCGAATGTTCTGGTTGGTACGGTTCTTGGAGTTACCGATGAGATCGACACGAGTATAGTCAGGTCTCAAGAAGCGTTGAATAGTCTCCAAAACAGATTCGGGTACAGTGGCAGAGAACAACAAGGTTTGGTAATCTCTGGCGTTCTGCTTTTGGTCCTTGACAACTTGAAGAACTTTGAACATATCATCTTGGAAACCACGAACATCCAACATCTCATCAGCTTCGTCCAAGGTGATGAACTTGAGGTTATGGAGCTTGAGGTTACCAAAGTTGATGTGATCCTGGATACGACCAGGGGTACCGACAATGATATCGACACCTTCACGCAAAGCTTGGGTTTGCTCAGGGTAAGGAGTACCACCATAGACAGCGAGGGTCTTCAAGTTAGATAGGGTTTCAAAGTCACCGCACACTTGCTTGGCAAGATCGCGAGTAGGGCAGAGAACCATGACACGGGGAGCGCGGCCACGACCAGTGTTGGCACGGTCGTCTTCAGAATTGAGACGCTCAATCATGGGAAGAGCGAAGGCAAGAGTCTTACCAGTACCAGTACGGGCACGGGCAAGCATATCGTTACCGTCGTAGATGTGATCAAAGGTGGCAGCTTGAATGTCGAAAAGGGACTTGATGCCACGGGCTTCCAGTTTCTTGATAGTCTGTGGTGAAAGTCTGAAGCTGGTCAAACGCAAATTTTCGGGGATTTCATCTTCAGAGCTGGCAGGAGTGGTTTCCTCGACCGTCTGGGCGACTTTATCGACAACAACAGTGGTTACTTCTTCTTCTTCGGTTGTCTTCACCTTCTTGCTGCTGCTCTTTTCGCTGCTGCTATCATCAGAATGCTTTCTCTTTTCTGACTTCTCCTTCTTCTCTTTCTTTTCCTTCTTTTCCTTCTTCTCTTTCTTCTCCTTCTTTTCCTTCTTATCCTTCTTGTCGACTACAACGTTGCTCATGGTCGAATCGACAGACACTAGATAAGGAGGACACCGGGTTAGACATAGTGTGAGGACAAGCAGATCAGTACGGGCGAATAATTACCTTCGTCGTCAGATTTTCTTTTCAAAGTAGCTGGCATGATTCAAGTACGAAGTATAAGAAAAGAAAAAGGGACGAGAAATGGGCAAGCCTTTATTAGGCTCAGGCTAATTTTTTTTTTTTTTTGTCTCAAAGTGAATGCCCACCAATGAATATGAAAACCAGTCACTGCCGCGCGGAGTTCCATTCTCCACTCTGCCTGATCGATAGCCCTCACACCCTAGGCTCGTTCATTCACAGTGATGGACCTTGCAAGCTATTCACTGAAGATGTAGTGGAAATAATGAGGATACCAATATGCTGTCACCATTGTTGATGTAACCCTTAGTATGTTTTAGGCACGAGCGATTGATAATGTCGATCCGTTTCAGGCTGTGAGACATATTTAGCGTTTACACCAATTACTATGAGCCATAGCTGCAAAAGCCAGAAGAAGACAGATTCATTTATGCATCCTAAACACCAAAGTGCTTGAGATCTCAATCAAAGAATGTTCAGCTATCCTTTATACGACAGCCACTCCTTCAATACATGATGAAAAAAATAAAATGAAATGAGTTAAATAGAATGAAATGAAGCTGCAGGAGAGGAAGAAGAGTACAAATAGCCTCCCCCATATACAGATCGCCGGTGATCAACTTGATCCTATTCAATGTCGTCAGATTGAACTAGTTAGTAAGGATAGTGGTTTCTTATGTCGAAGTACTTGGAAAAAAGGAGAAATGGCGACTGTAAAAAATTCATAGGCGGACTTCCGGCGGGCGAGCAGGCAGCCTGGTATAAAGTGTCACTCAGGGCGAATTGGCATACATACGTGAGAAAGTAAATCGGTGTGACCCTTTTAAACCTCAATACTATGACCGAAATCATACAAGATTTGGCCGCAAGCCTGAACATGGACATGGACTCCCTGGCATTCTCCAAGACCATGGACGAAAGGGACTCTCTGCGTCGATTCAGAGACGAATTCTCTATTCCATTGAAGAAAGATGTCGCTGGTACTAATCTGCAAGGTAATCTATTACTACAACATGTGCACCACACCCTGACACACATACTCATATACCTCTAGGTGATGGAGAGGAGTCGTCCATATATATGTGCGGCAATTCCTTGGGACTCATGCCCTTGCGCACTCGCAACCTAGTGATGCAAGAGTTTGACGTTTGGGGTAAAAAGCAAGTACAAACGCTGGTACCTTCATAGGCTATTCTAGGTGTACTAACTTTAATTTCTCAAGGGGTGTGGAGGCACATTGGGATCACCCTTACAACCGACCATGGGCCACTGTTGATGAAGTTGTTAAAGGGATGATGGCTGATCTAGTTGGTATGTACACCTTTGCATAGATTTCTGCAAAGCATTTCTGATGATCCTATAACTGCTTTCCGATAGGTGCGTTGCCAATTGAGGTTACTACCATGAACACCCTCACTGGAAATATTCATGCATTACTTTCTGCTTTCTATCGTCCAACTGTCGAGAGAACCAAGATTATCATTGAAAAGAAAGCTTTTCCTTCTGATCATGTAAGTGATAGATCGATGTGCAAATCATCTAGCTCCAAACGTGAAGCTGAAAGTTTTTGTGGCGGGTTTTCCCACGTAGTATGCTGTTGCGGCGCAGATCAAATTGCATGACCTCGACCCAGAAAGCTGTCTTATCACCATTGCTCCCCGTGAAGGCGAAGATACGCTTAGAACTGAAGACATTCTAAACACTATTTCAATGCACGGTTCAACCACGGCCGTTATCATGCTGAGTGGTGTACAATACTACACTGGACAGTATTTCGAGATTGAAAAGATCACTGCTTATGGCCATGAACAGGTACGAACTCGTTTTTAAAAAACCATGCCGTTTTGCCACTCGTCACTCATCTTTTCAATGTTCGGGTAGGGATGCGTTGTTGGATGGGATTTGGCTCATGCTGCTGGAAACGTGCCACTTAAGCTTCACGATTGGAATGTGGACTTTGCCGCCTGGTGCTCGTACAAGTACCTCAATTCAAGCCCAGGTGGTATTGCAGGTCTTTTTGTGCATGAAAAACACGCAAATGATCAACGACCAAGGTAACTTTGAATGCTTCCATGATGTATGTGTGTTCTCTATTCTGTTGTCTGACCACTGGTTTCTTAGACTACAAGGTTGGTGGGGTAATAAGAAGGAAGATCGATTTGAAATGAAAGAAGGTGAGGATAACTTGCTTGTAGATGATAATCTGTTCAGAGCTCGTTCCCTAAATTCTATTATTCACCCCCAACAGAGTTCAACCCAACGCCAGGAGCGTCCGGATATCAATTGTCCAACCCTAGTGTGATCACTACCATCTGTCTGCTTGGATCGCTCCAAGTGTTCCATGAAGCAGGATTTGCCAATCTTCGCGAGAAGTCTGTCCACCTGACAGCCTACCTTGAAGCGCTCGCCACTCGGGTTCTCGCCCCACACGCTGCAAACTACAGCATTATCACCCCCAAGAACCCTGACCACCGTGGTTGCCAAATTTCATTCACCTTTGGACACGGAAAGATGATGGACGTGTTTGACGGTTTACAATCTCATGGCGTCATTTGCGATGAACGCAAGCCCACTTGCATTCGGATCGCTCCTACACCCTTGTACAATACCTACAGCGACGTGTACAATGCTGTACATATCTTGAAGAAGGTCATGGACCAAGTGTACGGTGCCCAATAGAAGAATAAATGCAGTAGACAAACAAGCTAGGGCGGGTGATTGACTTTTTATGTGCTTATGGGGGGTTGTTTTCATAGCGGCAAGCGATGCCAAAGGTGTTGGTGTATTTTCTGGGTTGTTTTTGGCATATCATTTTTAGTACGTGACTGGGGAAGTAATGGAAAAGCAAATTTGCAACAAAAGTAAAAGAAAGAAGGAAAAATAGTAGAGTAGGAAAAAAAAAAAAAAGCTAAAAAGAACTGAACATACATTTAGATGTACCAAAGTAGAGTGTGAAGAAAGTGGCAGATTATGAATGAATGAGGACAGCCGTGTGTCCTGGAGGAGTAGGTCAACTCTCATGATTCGTTTGATCCTTCTCGGTCAGCGGCGGCAGCAGCAGCAGCAGCAGCTAGGTGATATAATGACATGGGTTGATCTAAGTTGGCATCGGTGGAACGACTTGCTTCTGAGCCAGACGGTGACGTTGGATGAGCACTGCTGCGAGTGTCTGAATAATGATCTGGTGAACCACGTTCGCTGTACTGTGGTCGTGGATGCAGTAAGTCGGTGACATGCGATGATGGACTAGAGTCAAAAGGGTAATGAACAGAAGTAGTGGGAGTAGAATACGAAGGGGTCATGATGGATGCGGCGGATGGATGATTGGAAGGAGATGGTGTTCGATCAGACGATAAAATCATTTGAAATAAGCTCCTTGGTTGCTGATGGGAGGGCTGTTGATTCGCTGAAGAGGAGGAATTAGAAGGCGACAATAGACCAGGTTGTGGAGACATGCGTCCATTGGCAGAATGTTGATGAAATCCACTGTCTTCTAAACCAGTAGGAGAAACGTCAACCCAATGTATATTCTGTGCCACTTTCTCATTGTCCCACTTACCACTAGCAGCATTGAAAACAGCCGGAACAAATTCGAACGATTTGCCATCATCCGATCCGAAGGCCCGTCCACCATTGACCAGCGACATCAATGAAGGTCCTGTTGATTGACGCTGTTGTTGCTTCTGCTGTTGGATTTGTGCCAACTTCATTCGCGGAGAACGGGGAGTTAACATCGGCCGTTCCATTTTGTGTTCCGGAGTTTGTGCCGGGGAGCTGCTCTCCGATACCGATTCCATGAAATCATGATCCCGCTTGTGTTCTGGACTCATGGGAACACCAACCCGCTCGTCGTCAGGTCTGTATTTCTTGATTAGTGCATACAGGTCGTTTTCAAGTGTCACCACCGCCGAGTATAGAATGTTGATGTCGTCTCTGGATTTGGCAGCTTCGGACGACGATGCTGTGGAGGATGCAAGCACCATAGCCTTGAGCTGACTCACACTCTTCACAGCCAAATTCTCCACTTCCGAAGTAGACGATGACGGAGTGACACTAGACTGTCGTACAATGCTACCTAAAAGATCCAACTGTGCTCTCGTAGCACAAACGAGGGCTTGCTGAAAAATGATATCCTTATAACAAACGTTGGCATCATTTGTGCTGAGTGCATCACCATGAAGAATAATCGACTTGGAGCTTTCGAAATAATGCTGGTATGAGACTTCTTGGCGGGACCGCCCAATGGCATGTGGTCGATGAAGTATGAGCATGGTCATATGAAATAGGAAATGGAGTAACTGCACATGAACCGGTGCACGGGATTCCGTGCTATAGGTTTCCGTAAGTGACCATTGATATTTTCGGGGAAGCCCGGTCATCCAATTGGTGAGAGCTCGATGCAACGTATTGACGGGCCAAAAATCGCCTCTGGAGCCTTGGGCATTGTTATGCTTGACCACCCGACCCATCAACTTGACCAATTTGATATAGGTCAAAAAGAAATCCACTGTGCCTACTTCGGTTTCCATGTCCTCGTATATTTTTTCTATGGTGGTTTTCAGCATGTCGTCTAGGTAGGGTTGGTTCATGTAGGGAAGAACTCGCTTGCTTTCACGCTTCTTCGTCTCTTCTTTTTCTAAATAGTACGCGACCGGTGCTTCGCTGTTACGGTCAGGCATATCCACATAAATTTCATCTTCTTCGATTTCAAAGGGACGTGCATGTAAGCCACCCAAGAGGCGTTCATGACAGAAGATGGACCAAAACAGTTTTTTCCGCAACAAGGTTTCTCTTGGGTCTTCCCAGTTTTGGTCCACCATTTCTCCCATGTGAAGACCAAAGGAGATGGCAGCTCGATTAGCTCGTGACAGTAGAGACATGGTTAAATCCACTTGCTTTTGGTCATTTTTGCCAATGTAACGCGAGAGAATACACAAAGCTGAGATGGTCGATAGCTGATTGGTAGGAAGGGTATCGGCAAGAGCCATGGCACGGTCGAAAAAATGTTTGCTGCACACTTCTGCACTGTGACGAACGTACTCATTATGAGAAAATAGTGGAAGAGTGATGTGAGAGGGAATGATCTCAGAAGCAACGGCCATCATGGAGTACGCCAACAATAACACCGACGACGCCGCGGAGGAAGACAATGTTGAAGGCGGCTGAGAATTGTCGGCACTGCTTTGCTGTCGTATGACTTTCAATTTCATTTCCAAGTCCCGTCGGTCAACGACGGGACTGAACATATAAACGTGATCAAAATAAATACCAAATAGATATTCCTGGACGCTGAGAGGAGGAAGCTGTTGTGATGAAAGAGCTTCTTCGGCAGCAGATGATGATAACGAAAACGATTGTTGGCCAGCTAGATCCGCAATGGAGGGGAGCCGAACTTCGCGTTTACGAGGTTGAACGGATTCTAAACCTTCCATGATATCTTCGGTCGCGGTGGCCGCAGTAGGCATGGGTGGTGATCGAGCTGGCGGATGATCCATGGTAGGCTTATAATCCACTGAGGCGCGTCGCATGGCAGCAGAGGCAGAGGCAAACGTTTGATATGACGATGAGGAATAATAATCTCGCGCTGACGTACTAGATGACATGCTGGCCGCCAAGGGAGGCGGAGCGTAATTAGATGAGGCAGACATAGCGGTGGTCATAGAATGATGCCTCTGGCGGGGTTCCTGTGTAAAAGCTTTTGTTTCACGTCTTGAAGTGACCGACCATGGGGAGGAAGATGATGAAGAGGACGCCGGACGGTCAACGGGTTTTGAAGTAGAACGGTCTTTGATGAGAAACTGCATCATAGAATCTTTATCTAACGCAGAAGCTGGGTCTGAGCCACTTTCTAGGATGGTACGAAGCATTCCTTCAATTGTTTTGAGTCTATCCTCTATCGCCTCCACTGCTGCCTTGGTAGGGGCATTGCGCCTATCTTCATTATTCAATGTTGGATATTCACACCTAACGCCGGATTTTGCACAGTTTTTACAAGGGATTTCTCCATTGCATTTGGTCTTTTTCCGTCTGCATTCACTACAGGCACTGACGATTTTGGCACGTTTTCGTCGTGTATCACCCGTCTGTGGGTCCAAGGGCTGCTGTTGTTGAGGATCCGTAGGCATCATTAGAGATAAAACTCAATGATGCGCAACCGGGGTGGGATGGTACCGAATTTTATTGAGGGTTTTATGGAAATGTAAAGGCGCCACGAGGAAGGAAAAAAAATAACGAAAGGAAGTAAAAGTGAAAGCGGGCAGGCGGGACTCAACACCCGGCTGACAACAATAACAAAGGTCCGTATGAAGCAAGTCCACAACTGCAAAAAGCTTTATTGTTATGAGAGAGAGCCTGCAACACGCAGAGCGACGCCAGCATGGCAATCCATCTCAGCATTGCATCCCCAAATTCCCCATGCTTAAAAAAATCATAAAAAAAATCATCATAAAATAAATCTTTCGCATCGATCGCCTGTCTGCAACCTAATCTCTCTCTCTTTCTGCCTGCCGCCCATTTTCTTCCCTGCGTCCAATCTAACGTAACGTAACCTCCCCATTTAAGCTACTTGATAATCTTTAGCTCTCCCAACCTACATTTTTGCTCAAGCACTGCACCCATCCTTTTGTCTTACCATCACTCTCCATTAATGGCCTGGTCAAAAGATCCACTGAAAAATCATCACGCCATGTCGGTTAATCAAGCGCTGTTACAAACCCTACCATACTCCATATGGGACTTCTCCTCTCATTCTGCCTCATATCACCCACGCAATATCATGGAAAATAGCCCAATGGACCAGAGTTCAAGGTGGTCTAGTGGCACGAATAATCAGATGCAGTATATCACTCTCAAGCTTGATCGCCCTGCTATTGTCCGTATCCTTTTTTTTTTTTTTGGCTATTGTTGAGCCGCCGTGCTACAAATCTTTCAATTCAGATGGCACGTCGTTTATTTCTCCGATAAACCTCTTGACTCGCATTCCTTGATATTGTTCAACGCTGCAGATTCAGTCACTTTTGGAAAATTCCATAAAGGTAAAAAGAAAAGGCTGCATCGAAAAGCCGCCATTACAATCGTGATTTTCTAACTATCGTTATCTCAAAAAGTCCATGTATGTAACTTAAAAGAGTTCAAAGTCTTGGGAGGAGCTACGCCAAATAAGCTGACCGAACTGGTGCACAGCGGTAATGTCATATAGAAAAAAAAATAATGCAGGGAGCGCGCGCTTTTTTTTTTCCCTGTCCCCTTTAATTAATGCCATTTCCTCTCAGGTCTTCGTAACGATAATGAACCAGAGACGTTTGCATTAAAGCACACAGCAAATAATGTGGTAATTACTGATCGTCAGAACGTGGTATACACACCGGCTTCGTACCAATGTAAACCTTTTCTTTCAAACTTCACTAGATATTCCCAATCCAATATATCAAAATTGTGCCACTCATGGCATGGGGAGCGAACTTCAACTTTAGCATATGGTTCATAGAATTAAAAGGTATCATGAACCCTGATATTGTCAATCGCGCTCAGATTGAATATGAGCAGGTACGTCCACCCCCACCTTTTCATCGGATCACTTCCGTCGGTACTGAGCGTTACACAATTTTTTTACTAGTGTCAGGAAATGCAAACCATCCGCTTGTGTCTCAAGCACTTTAGAGAGCGCAATATGACCGAAGTGTTTAATGCGCTGAGTAGACAAACCAATGTCCAACTGGAGGACCCCCTATTAACAGACTTGCATCGAGCGTTAGTGCTTGAAGCCAATTATCCCGAAGCCGAACGCATTATCGCGCAAGCATCGAAGGCTGGCCTTTTTGAATCCTATTTGAAAGAATGTGATTATACCCCTCTATGGCATTGTATCGACACCGGTAAGCCTCGTAACAACACTATGTCTTAATATATGATGTGTTCTGATCTGTCGCGTACGCTAGATCAATCCTCTCCATCTGTTCGAGGTGGCCATCAGATGTGTATAGACGTTGAGGGTGGATTGATTTATCTGCTAGGAGGATGGAATGGGAAAATGGATTTGTCGGACTTTTGGTGTTATAACATACGGCAGAGACAATGGACGATGATCAGCTCCAACACTGCAAAGTGAGTTTGCCTTTTCCGCATGACATTTATTCACCTGAATCATGGCCTTTAAACCATCGTTACTCTCCAGTGAAGGCGGACCTGGACCTAGATCTTGCCACAAAATCTGCTTTGATCCATCGACTCGCTCAATCTTTGTATTAGGACGGTATGTTGAATCACAAGCAAGACTGGAAGCCAACTTAAATCCGGATTTCTATCAATATTTGACGCATATCAACCAGTGGGTCAAGATCAGTGACAATACTTCGGTAAGTGGTTACTGATTGAAACTGAGACCAATACAGTGTAAGGAACTCATGGCTAATTTGATGTTTTAATTTTTTTTAATTTTGGCTTCAAGAATGATGGAGGGCCTGATCTGATTTACGACCATCAAATGTGCATGGATACAGAAAAACAAATGTTGTACGTTTTTGGTGGTAGAACAGTTCATCCTGATACGAATCAGCACAATTACAGTGGGTTATATCGGTATAATGCCAACATGAACTCTTGGAAACTACTGAGGTGAGTCATCATTTTGGTTAGGTAGAAGTTTTCTCTAATTTGGCGAGCAAGGCTAATGTTGCTGTCTTCCCTGCTGCCCCTTTAACTAAGATCGGACGTATCATCGCACTCTCCTCCAACCCCTCCACATGAAAACAACAATGGAACCGAGGCCGCTACCACTTCACCTGGCGCGTCCACTTTATCGCCGGCAGCTTCTTCTCCATCTATACCGTCTCCTCTGCTGACACAACATGGCATGCGGCACGACCAACCAGCTACCCTAAAGTCGAGAGTAGGACATTCCATGCTGTATGACCCTGTATCTCGACTATTGTACATATTTGCTGGGCAACGCCTTAAGGACTATCTCTCGGATTTTTACGCATATTCTCTCGACCGAGATGAGGTGATTGAAATATCTCGGGATTACTCCCGACAGGCTGGACCTGATGCTGGCTTTACTCAGCGGGCAACTATGGATGCAGAAAAGCAGGAAATTTATATTTTGTCTGGTTACATGAAAGTGAAAGGTCATGACACGGTGAAGAATTCGTTCTGGGTGTATGATATTCGCACGAATGTGTGGAAGAAAGTGTACCAGAACGAAGCCATCAATGATGATAATCAACGCATTGTCAATGAAACCGAGCCCTGCCCCAGGTACGCGCATCAGCTTGTATACGACCATATTAACAAAGTGCAATATCTATTTGGCGGAAATCCCGGCGACAAAAAAGACATCACCAAGCGGTTAGATGATTTTTGGGAGCTGCGGTTACACAGGTAAACCACGAAGTCCAGTCTGCATGTGCACATTCGTCAAAATAAGTAACCTCAACCTTTGCGCAGACCCAACTCTCAAGACATCCTAAGAAAATGTTTGTTCCAGATCCGTGCTCAGCATTTCATGGAGTTATGTGAAGCAGATTCAGATGGTGGAAACAGTGGATTGCCTGCCCTTCAATATTTGCAAAACGAATTGTCGCAAGTCGTTGACCATAAGAACCCCAAAGAAAGTACCGAATTCAGGCAATTAAGCACAAACTTGGTCATGGGCATGGCCAATGGAAAGTCCAAGACAGGTCAGAGAATTTGATCTCATGTTTGTTGAACCTGATAGAACCATGTACTGACTTTTTTCCTATGTAAATAGACTTCGCTAATGCTCGCAATCGATTGTATGAGCACCTACTTTCATACTTTCCCAAACACATGAAGCAACCTGATGAATCGCTTATCGATACTATGCGCATCGTTTAGTCCTTTCAACTACTGAATCTACATTATCGTAATTAAGCTGGAATACAGTATATTAATGTGACACGTTTGGGATCCTTGCTACAATAAATTTTTTAAAAAAGTGGATGGCGGCAAAAGTCTAAGCAAGCAAAGCAAAGCAAAGCACCATCACTGCTCCCAAAAGAACCCCTTTTCATAGGAACCCTCTTGCGCTTGGACGACATTAAACAAACAATGTCGTTTGTGAGTGGTGCCACGTCTCAATGTCCAGCCGTCGGTTTCATTGGTTCACCCCCTTTGCCGCCGTCAATTTAATTTTACATGTGAATATCATTTAAAAAAAGACCCTTCTTGGCAGCCAACCCGCCGCCAGCATCTCAGCTTGTCTCCAGTTGTCACCCATGTCGACCCATGTCACCAAGCGATCGAAGCAGGTGCTAGATCCACCACAGTTTCATGTTCGCCCTGGTCCAGCCCCTGATCTGCATCGCTTTGAACGGCAACCACAGCATTGGATGGCCGGTCGTATAGCCTTGACGCTTTTGCACTGGGCATTCGCCTTGTGGACCCTGATAAAAGCATGGTCAAGTCGAAGCTGGATCTTCATCTTGCAACATGTTATATCTCGTGACATTCCAAAAGCCATTGAGACCGACAGGGCCCGCCTCACAAAGATTCCCCATCACCTTGCTGTCATTGTGTCGCAAGAACAAGCTTGGACCAACCGATCACCCGCACAGTGGGATGCCATTATCCATGATATTTGCAATACGTGTGTGTGGTCTTCGGAGCTAGGTATAAAAGAAGTGTCTGTATTTGAACAATCAGGTACGAACCGACGGAAATAGTGAGTTGATAGAATGTAAATTTCAAAGCAGTGAGCTGATCTATTCTCGTTTAGGTTACCTTAAGCGACGAGAGTCTCACATCCAGAAGCAGCGTGCAAAAGCTTTTGAAGAGTACCATATGTGCAGCACTGGATCGAACGGCAGTAGTGTACAATCCACCCCGTCAAAAGGTACGTTCCATTTTGTTACGCTTGACCCTCACCAACACATGTCGTTTAACCGAACGACCCAAAAGGTTTCAAATTGTCAATTTTTGCATTGGAGGATGGAAAAAACTATGTGGCACAAGTCACTAAGCAAATGGCCGTGGCAGTAACGGAAGAAGACCGGTTTACCAGCGACAACATCAATGTCCAACTAGTAGACAAGTGGATGTCAGGTATGAGTTTATCAAGCGTAACATGTTCACAGGTATTGACGATACTGAGCAAATGTGGTTATTTCAGAGAGGATATCCGAGCCGGAAATCGCCATGATTTGCTATGGCACTGCACACAACTACATAGAGCTCAGTGGATTCTTTCCATGGCACATGCGGCTAACGGAGTTCATGTAGGTTATAGACTGGGGTTGTGGATCAGATATACGGAATTCAAACTTACATGCCGTTGCTTTTTGAATGACAGTAATATACCATCCCACAAATCCATATCATATCCACTGTTTATAAGGGCTATGTATAATTATTCCAAAGTAGAGCAGCGGTTTGGACGATGATTTGTCAAATCAATCCATATACACTCCACCATTTGGCATGAGGCCATTAGAGCAAAAAGGCACCAATGTGCTATCATCCCCTCTTTTTTTTCAAACCAATGCTCTCTTGTATCATCATTACATATCGCATACAGTCTAGAATAAAATATATAATACATCATGGTAAGGGAGGGACGTGGAGATTTTCATGTGGAGTAGTGGATAATTAGCTGTCTTTAATGCCATCGTACTGAGGCAAGGGTAAAACACATTTGGGGGCAGATTTTGACAAAACAACGCAAGCATCGTTTTTATTCAGTCGCCGAGAAAAATTCTTATACTCTGGCCGCATCTTCGTCATATGCTTCATCCGCTTCGTCTTCTTCGGCAACTTCTTGTTCTTCTCCTTTGACAAACAGCGGCTCCTCCTGTTCATCCAAGTTTTCGTCGATCCCTTCGGGCGTGGCATTTATTTGCCTCTTGGCGTCTGTTTCTCTTGCAGTTCTGGCCTCATCTTGCTGTAGCTCGCTCGATTTTCCTAGTGTCGTTTGCCCCTGCGATCCAATTTCATCTATTTGTTGCTCAGCATGTTGTTTGGCTTCGTCGGATACCCTAGGATTATTTAGTGTTGCCTAATTCCAAGTCAAGTTAATGCCATGGTCGAAAATGAAAGTGAGTGGCACGACGATATCTATTCTTACTTTGTAGCCGCGGACTACATTTCTTGGGTCTTTGCTTTCGTAGTTGGAATCTCCTGGTGACATAGTGGCTTAATAAGATGAAGTTGGGTGAGATTGGATAACTGAGACTTATATATCTTCTTGATACTGTGCGCCATACTATTTTGTTGGTTAATTGTTATGTAACAATGCCATGACTACATGTTTCACTATGCTTCGTAGTTGCTGATCATATATTACGTATTTATGAGAGATGCCATTCATTTTTGAGTGCTTCCAAGCGTAACTGGTTTGCCTTTTGTCGTGCACTTCATACTTTCGTAATGCGTTCCGTAATGTGTTCAGGGAAAGTGATGACAGATCACAGTCATTCTCGATCGAATGCGCCACAGATTATATCCCAGGCGAAATAAAATAAAGCAGTTCTCTTCATCCTTGTCTATCTGACAATGGCCCTTGAACGAAACTCCCTGCGGCAATTGCCACGTGGAGATTCTTTAAACTTGTAAACTATTCTTCTAATCATACCCCGCAACCATTTACGGGTGGATGATTTGAGAATTCTTTTGAGTCAGCGTATTGTTGATGAGGAAGAGTTATGTAAATATTCTTATAAATGTGTCCTACCAGTTATATACTTAAATAACCAGAGTTAATGGAGGCAATAGTACAGCGACCATCGATCCTAAAATAAATCAAAGTAATAATCGAGAGTTTCAAACTAGTAACAGCCCAAATTCTTCGCATGGCGATGCGTAAAATCGACTGCCTACATAGACCATTTGATCTAGTTCTATCCTAAACGAGTGAACTAATTACGTGAATATCAGAGTTTAACATTTAAAGCGATGTGGACCTTTTATGTTTCCGCATACTGCGAGAATCTCAAAAAACTGGGCGCAATTAACGGGCTAAAACCTGCTGAACGCATTATATGAACATGATCACGTTTTCCTTTTCAAAAACATTTGATACCGGCAGAGAGAGTGCTATAATACCGCACAGGACCTAAAGAAGATGCCAAAAAATGTAGCCCTCTAGTGATGGTTCCTTTGTGCTACTCTTGATTCAATTAAAACTAAAGTCAAAACGTGGATGCTCTCAACTCCTTTGGTATACGTTCCTGATAATGAAAAGTAGCTATAAACTCACCAAAACTATTAAAGTAGCAACAGTCAATCCAGAGATATAGATCCCAGTCAATTCTACTGTTGGGTTGCATGTAGATAGATGATTGAAGGCTTCGATCGCATTAACTCTCATTTTTGTTGTCTCTCCACGCTTTAATTTGTTTTTTTTTTTTCAACAAAACTGTATTGACCATGATTGATGGCATGGGAGTGGACCCATTTACAGGGAGCAAAGCAGGCTGCTATCTCCACCGAACTAAGCTGAGATTTGATAGCCCTGATTCACTGTCCGTACTATTCGTAAACTACAGATAGCGATCATCAGAGAACAGCAGACATTTTATTTTGAAAGGCCGTATCAGGCCGCCTACCGTTGTGTGTTCACAAACGTTGACTCTCCTATCACATCCCCATATCCTGGGAAATTATGAAGCTGTCTGAAAAGTGAAAGATCTACAAAAAATTGACACATTCACGAAACGTTGCTGGCTGAAAAAGTCCAACAAATCGTATCGAAAACCGATCCGCTGGTGACGATACACGCTATCTGATGCAGTCAAGCAAACATTACGGTAAATTTATCGACAACAAGCTTTACTTAATGCAAGGGCAGTACTGCTTGCATCACGTACCTCCCAATCGCGTTGTCACCTCTATTGGCATGAAAAATTCTTGACTCCCTACTGGAATAACAAATGCCTGTCGGGGGATGCGTGATATCTCCGTATGCAAGGTAACAGGGGAGCTCATTCACTGATAAGTTGGATAGCATCCAATATCCGCACTATTTAATAGACTAGTGCAAGTATCATGGTTTCTGACTTCATAGGAAGAGAGATATCCTCCTATTTCGTCATAAAGTCAATTTTTGGCCGCTACATAGCTTCTCGGCACCATGTTTGAGGGTCAGCCAATTAGAAGCAATTAGGTACAACGAGAAGAAAAAAAAATGTCGTCAGACACAACTTTGTCTGAAGGGGCTAAGGGAACTCGTGGCTCTGGTATTTAAGATGACAGAGAAGCGAGCGGCTAGAAATCAGCTCTAGCATTTTATTTTATTTTTTCTTCTAAAAACAACCTATTTTATTACATCCATCATGAAGCTTGCTATCTCTCTGGTCCTTACCGTTTCTTTGTCGTTTGTCCTAGGTTTGGATATATGGGACCAAAATGGTTTCCAAGGACAAAGGACCAACGTGGCAACTGTAAAAAATCGATGTGTACGATTAGATCATCAAGTCAACGGACCCATAGCGTCTGTTAGAGCGGAAACGTGTGACGTCCAGTGCTACGGATTCACCGATGTCTGGTGCGAAGAACAATGGAATCGAATCGATTGCCAAGGATACGCCTATGTGGGATCTGGCACCTTGAAGTCTGTTCGATGCTTATAAAACCCACTTCATACCCGAAAATAATTCCGTTTGCGCGGCGGTGCCTCTCATCAAAGCAAGACGTAGCTCAATGAAGTGATGTTTCATTGGAAGTATATAGTTAGGAATCCTGCTACAGATGGATCTTTTAATAATATCATAATGTAATATTGGTAGTTATTTTATCAAATAAACTATGCCAGAGTATCTCATACGAGGAAAAGAAACGGGAAGGAAGCTTGGATTTTGAAGCATGTCGTGAGTAGGTGCAGACCTATTATTCAAACCCACTCGAGAATAACGAAAGGCAAGGGGGAGCGACATTTACCTATACCGGGAGTGAGCGAGCGATTTCATGATAAACAGTTGCAAAACATAATGCGCCAGCCATACCGGTGTATTTTCATTAAATTTTTATTATTGCAATGACCATCTATGAACATATAATACCATGCTGAATGAATTGAATGTGATATATAAAAAAGAGACAAAGAAGCATAATGTAAAGTACGGAAGAAAATAAGGAACTTGGACTGAAATAGCTCGGTATGGCACATCGGCTACGATAGGAGAGAAAACAAGCAATGATACCCGTAGTACAGGCCATATAAAATGTGAGAGAAAATGATGTTGTCGTGTACCCAGTATAAGACCTTGTTCGAATACATTTTATAGTTGAATGTCTCCAGAAGGACCATTTAAGAAAGTTGAGAGTCAAGGAAGTAAGTGTCTCTTTTGTCGCTACTACCAAAGATTGAGTTTCCAAACAAGCCATTGCATCCAATGGCCGAAAAGCCTGGCAACAGTGCAGTTGGACTGTTGGAGACAGGCTTGGTAAACAGTGGGTTTTTGCTGAACGACAATCGGATGCCTCCTTTCAATGAGTTGCTAAGTATATAACCGTTAAGTTCCGACATCGCCTGGGTTGCTCGGACAACGTCGTCAAACTCAACAAAGCACAGTGGCCCATTGGCCTTGCTTCGAAAGCATAATCGCTTGTATCCCATGCATCTAGAAAAGATTTGACGAAGCTCATCCTCTTTGGTGTTGGGGGGCAAGTTACCAACATAGAGCGTATTACAAGGTGGATTTTGATCGGTCAGATTTCCACTGCTATAACTGCGATATGAAGTCGCAGCCAAACCCGGCGAGGGAAGAGGCGATGCGACGTTGTTCATGCTAAGAAATCGGCTGGATAGCGTCAAATCATCGGAACCAAACAAGGCGTTATTGAATCCTCGTTCATTGTTAGGCTGTAGAGATGTTTTGAGGTTGCTGAGCTGGCGGGCTAACTCATCGTCGGCGTCGGCCATGCTGCGAGAGAGTCGTAGATTTAAACCTTTGGATAGCCGGCTCGACACAAGTCCACCTACATCGTTTCTGGTATCGACTGAACCGCTGCGGTTGGCTATGAAGGAGCTGTTTTCTACTGTAGCCAAGGTGGGAGTTGATGGGCTACTGCTGAATAGGTCATACGAAGCGTCATTGAAATGAATCCCATCGGTCATACTTGGGGAAATGGAATGGAAAGCATCAAATGCGGCTTGAAAGCTTGATTTGCGTGGAATAGCTGGCGGTGGGTTGGAAGTCAAAATAAGGGTGCTTTCACCATTGAAGTTGCGTTTAACTTGTAAGTTTCGCTTTGCCATTTCGACTTTGAGGATACACTTTTGACCCAAGTGATCCCACTGCTTGCCGGAAAGAACCTCTTTGGCTTCCAAGGCATCCAATCTAGTGTAAAGTTTCACGAATCCGATCTGTAGACGATTGAAAAACAGTGGAACGGGTCATTAGTCGACATGGTGACTATAGTATTTACCATGCACAGATTCTTCACAGTTACTAACCTGAGTATTGGATGATTGCTTAGGGGTAGGGATTAAGGTCATCCATGAATCATCTTCCATATCCTTTCCTGAACGAGTCCACAACATGGCAGCTTCATATCCAGGGCAAAAGCAAAAGATGGATTTGAACTCTCTTTCACGCATATCCTCTGGAATGTCAAGGATGCATAGGGTGGAAATTTCTTCGGCTAGTAGATTGCTTGAACTTGAGTTATTGCTACTGAACAAAATGCTTGAATTGGAGCGGCAACTACTGGACATATTCTCCGAGGTCCCGTTTGTACTTCCTGCTATCGCGGAGGTATCATAGGCGCTAGGAGATAGGGGGTGGATAGATGTTTCTTGAACGAAAGGAGTAAAATCAATAGCCATTTATACTGTGGGTGTGGAGTACAAAACGTTGCAATATAGAAAAAAAATTATGCAGATACGAATGGGCGGGAGAGGCACGATGTCAACGGGAATGCTGAAGTACGCACAAAATGGAGGTTTACAATTGAAAGAAAATCAAGTACTGGTTTGAAAGTTACTCACATCTTTTATGGTTGACTTGGCTGGTTGGCATTTCACAAGACTGACTGTCCATAAATATGTATGCGGTCCACGCTTAACATTTGGGCGCGCGCGATCAGGAATGATGCCGTGTCCCAAAATGGGAGGGACATACTTTGTTCTAATGTTTGCCTACCAGCATGCCTCTCTCCTCTGTATATCTAGTCTTTTTGATTTTTATTTTGATAGACTCAAAGCTCTGCTATTTACGTGATAGAAAACACCATGTACTTGGCCGTTTATCGCGCGTGCGTTTTGGTTGGTGATAGTGCGGGATGGGGGAAGGAAAGATTGAAATTTTTCTATTCTTTCAATTTAAGAAAGTGAGCAATGCTGGTGTTCAAAGCATCTAGTTCAGCTTCTAATGCCTTGACCTAAGTTGAGGAATTAAAAATAAAATAAAAATGAATAACTCATATCCAAGTTTGAACCGGACAAATGCAAATGTTTCTACAACATACCTTGGTATCATTGGCTTCCCGAACATCAGCTGGAACTTTGTTCTCATAATCGGAAACGTTCATCTTTTTGATGAGACCTTGCTTGGATTTGTCAACGTTGGCGATCTTCTTTTGAAGCTTTTGAACTTCGGATTCAATATCAACTTGTCCCTTAACCAACAAGTGAACATTGATCTCTTCGGTGATAGTGTACAAAGCACAACCAACGGGCAATTCGTCGCCACTTTGCAAGACCTGAACCTCACTGACACCCTTGGCAAGAGTGGTGATGGATTGGGTTTCGTAACTCAAAATCTTAGCAACGTTGGGGTTGTTGACTTGGACATAAACTACAAAACAATGTTGGGGGTTAGCTGTGATGTCTTGACGCGCATCAACCCTAACGCCGGGCCTGCCTGGCGTTAGTGATCCAAGTTCGACTTACCCTTGGCGTTCTTGGTGATGGTGTATTCAACCATAAGACTTCGAGCAGCCTTAATTATAGAAAAGACCAAATCGAATTCCTTATCAGCTTCGTCATTGTTGTATGAAGGATCCTCAACAGGGAATCTAGCCTTGGTGATGGAAATAGTAGCATCACCTTGACGTCGGTTGAGTCGTTGCCAAAGTTCTTCAGTAACGAAGGGCATGAAAGGATGAAGGAGTCTCAAACCATGGTCCAAGCAGGTGTAAAGAGTATCTTGTGAGCTGCGCTTAGCGAGAGCAGCCTTTTCATCGCCTTCAGTGTTAGCATCGCAGATGGGCTTGATAATTTCCTGCAAATAAACAAAAATGTCAGCTCCACTGATGAACTTAAAACCAGGTCATCAGCAATGAACTTACAATGAAAACATCGCAAAGTTCATAAATCCAAAAGTTGTAAACAATGTTGGTGGCAGCCATGAAGTTGCGATCCTCCAAAGCCTTGTTCGTTTCAATGGCAGCCTTGTTGAGTTTATGCAAAATCCACTTGTCAGCGAGGGACTCGTTACCAGTCAACTTGGTGTCTGGTCTAGGAGTGAAGTTGTCGCCAAGCTTCATCATAGCAAAGCGAGTAGCGTTCCAAAGCTTGTTACAGAACTTGCGGTAACCGTCAACACGAAGGATATCCAAATTGATGTCACGACCACCCGAGGTGTAAGCGCAAAGGGCAAAGCGAAGGGCATCAGTACCGCATTCAGGGATACCGGCAGGATAATCTGCCTTTTGACCAGACATAGCGGTCTTGATCTCACGAGGATCCAAGTTACCTTCGTAAAGCTTATCGTGAAGTCCCTGAAGGGAGATACCTTCAATGACATCGACGGGATCGATAACGTTACCGAGAGACTTTGACATCTTGCGACCGTGAGCATCACGAATCATAGCGTGGCAAAAGATCTCAGCAAAGGGAACCTCTCCAGTCAGCTTGATACCAAGCATGACCATTCTAGCGACCCAGAAGAAGAGAATATCCCAACCAGTTTCAAGCAAGGAGGTAGGGTAGAAGTTCTTCAAGTCTTCAGTGTTATCGGGCCAGCCAAAGATAGAGAATGGCCACAAGCCAGATGAGAACCAAGTATCCAAAACATCAGGATCTTGTTCCAAGGTAAATGACTTGCCAGGGAACTTAGCCTCAGCTTGAGCCTTAGCATCAGCTTCGTTGTGTCCAGAAACCCAAAGATCTCCCTCTTGGATACCGGTGGCATCTTCAAGGCGGATATAGTAGGCAGGGATGCGATGACCCCACCATAATTGACGAGAGATACACCAATCCTGAATGTTACCTAGCCAACGGAACCAATCAGCTTCAGAAGTCTTGGGGAAGATCTTGAGCTTATTGTCGGTGACAGCATTAAGGGCCTCATTGGCCATATCCTTGCAGTCGACCCACCATTGGGGCTTCATGAGAGGTTCGATGATATCACCAGACTTGTTGCAAACGGGGACAACCATTGGGTTTTCCTTGACGCCAACGAAAAGACCCTTCTTCTTGAGTTCCTCAACAATGGCGACTCTGACGTGGAATCTCTTCATACCCTTGAAAGGACCAGCATTCTCGTTGAAGGTACCATCGTCGTTCAAAATGTTGATAAATTCGAGGTTATGGCGCTTGCCAACTTCATAATCGTTGAAATCGTGAGCTGGGGTCATCTTGACGGCACCAGTACCGAAGGACATATCGACAGCAATATCATCTAAGACAATGGGGATACGTCGTCCGTTGAAAGGATGGATAACAAATTTACCATGAAGAGCCTGTCATGATTGAGAAGCATTGAAGGTTAAACAAACTGTGGTATAACAATAGCCTCTACATTGGTTATAGGATGACTGACCTTATAGCGGGCATCTTCAGGGTGGACAGCAATAGCAGTATCACCAAGCATGGTTTCGATACGAGTGGTAGCAACAACAATGCGTTCACCAGTACCTTCGACCTCATAAGCAAACTCGTTCAAGACACCGAATTCAAACTTTTCATCCGCGTCATATCCTGGGACGCTCAACAAAGTACGGCCAGTGAGTTCCTTGTTGTCGACTTCCAAGTTGGACAAGGCAGTGTTTAATTTGACACACCAGTTGATGAGACGGTTGGCACGGTAAATGGTGCCTTCGCGGTGAAGGCGGACGAATGTTTCGATGACAGCCTTGGATAATTTCTAGAATCACAATCATCCTGCATTAATAAACTACACACAAACAGTCAAATCAGCGAAACCATGCTTACAGGATCCATGGTGAAGGCGGCTCTGTCCCAATCATAGGAAGAACCAAGACGGTAGAACTGCTCATAAATGCGGTTGCCGTACTTCTCCTTCCATTCCCAGACCTTTTGAACAAACTCTTCACGTCCAAAATCATGGCGAGTCTTCTTCTCTTCCTTCCACAGCTTCTTTTCAACAACAGCCTGGCATGAAATACCAGCGTGATCAGTACCTGGGTTGAACAAAACGGTCTTGCCCAACATACGGTTCCATCGGATCAAAGCATCTTGAATAGCGACAGTCAAGGCGTGTCCAATGTGAAGAGATCCAGTCACATTGGGGGGAGGGGCGGGGATGACGAAGAGGCCTTCTGGCTTGGGCTTTCCTTCAGCAGTCAATTCAGGCTTGAAGAATTCCTCCTTCAACCACCAATCGTACCAAGCTGACTCGACGATCTTGGGGTTGTAGTTGGCGGCCATTTCCTCAGACATGTCTAGAACGATATGCATGAGTATAGCCGATCAATGCCACGCTAAGCGAATGCTTGACTCACCTTTCTTTTCGCCCTTGGGAGTCTTATTGACATATTCTTCAACAACAGGAGCAGCTTCCTTCTCAGCCTTTGGCTTCTTGGCCTTCTTCTTGTCGGTTGATTCAGTGGCTATAGCGGCGAGCTAAGAATGAAAAGGTGTTAGCGAATCAAGTTTGAAGCGATCCAAGTGTTGTGCCTGGCTGACTATTTTACCTTGGCTTGCTTTGCAGCGAGCTTGGCCAACTTCTCCTTCTTCTTCTCTTCATTCTTAATTTGATTTTTGGTCTTTGGCTGGTCTGCCTGTGGTTCTTGCGCGTTGTCGGCCATGTTGGATGCAAAGCAGGATGAATATTTGACGAGTTGTTTGGTTACAGCAATTTTTAACTACCAGACGGAGTTTTTGTGACTCATTTTTGCTTGTCGCAGGACTGTGTTTCTTTCGATTGACAAGGTCCAAAGAAAAGTTTGAGTCATTGTGAGACACTAGATGAAAGGCATGCTAGTATGGCTCCCAACGAAATTACTCCAGTGCCCAACATAAACACCCAAAAGTCTCCTAATGCCCCCAAGATCCACACAAAATGTAAGTGACCAACGTCGATTCACGGTCAATGACCCTACCATGACCTGCTCACTAAACGTCAACGTAGTTGTGGTAGGAGTATGTGCTTTGGACACCAAAGCGCGATCCAAGCCTATGCGCAATATCTTGAACCGATTGCTCGATCGTGGAGACTTCGAGACGGTTGTATTTGGCGATAATGTTATTTTGAACGAAGGTAGGTTGCTAAATGCAGTGGGCCCAGATGACCGTGCACTGACCATCGGGTGGGGGGTTGAACAAAAACTAAAGTGCCATTAAATATTAACCCACTTCTTTTCTTCCACTGTTAGACGTTGAGGACTGGCCATACTGCGACTTTCTCATATCCTTCTTCTCCAACGGATTTCCTTTGGAAAAGGCCATTGCTTATACTAAACTACACAACCCTTTCCTTATCAATTCTCTGGAAATGCAGATTCTTCTCTGGGACAGACGTCTGGTTCTGTCATTATTGGATGCTGTGGGTGTCCCTACGCCAAAACGTCTGACTGTCAGCCGGGACGGAGGACCCCGCTTACCCGAAGACCTGGCCGCATCCTTGGCAAAATCTTATGGCATGAATGTCAACCAGCCTGTTCCAACGCATGAAGCTAAAATGATCGATAGCGACACCATTGAAGTGGACGGAAAAACCATGAAAAAGCCTTATGTTGAGAAGCCGGTGGACGGAGAAAATCATAATATCAATATATATTATGATAAAGCTCACGGGGGCGGTGGACGCAGGTTGTTCAGGAAGGTAATGCATGCTGGTGATCAATTTTGGGAAGGACACGGGAGCAAAATGGTTTCCGATTTAACCCGTGATGTCCCTAGGTCGGGAACAAGTCTAGCGAATACGACAAGGAACTCTCTCACCCAAGAACCGAAGGATCCTATATTTACGAGCAATTTATGAGCGTCGACAACGCTGAGGATGTCAAAGTGTACACCATTGGTCCAAATTTTGTGCACGCTGAAACGCGAAAGTAAGTTTCACAGCACGCAACCTAATGAGCACATCCCAAATGGAGTATTCACCGTCTTCCCTAAACTAGGTCTCCAGTGGTCGATGGTGTAGTGAGGCGTAATACCGACGGAAAGGAAGTTCGTTATATTACCGAGTTGTCTCCCGACGAGAAAGAAATGGCTCGTAAGATCACCATAGCTTTTGGCCAAACCATCTGTGGTTTCGATTTACTGCGGGTAGGTGGTCGATCCTATGTCATTGATGTCAATGGCTGGTCTTTTGTGAAGGGAAATGATAACTATTACGACAACTGCGCCAAAATTTTGAGCGACATGTAAGTTTTTTTGGCGTTTTATGTTTTTTTATTTGTTTTTATTATAATAGTGTGGGGTCAGTAGGCTACACGTGCTAATGCTTGTTGTAGGTTCCACGAAGTCATTCGCAAGAAATGGAGACTATCGCCCGTCCAGGAATTAAGACCATCTATCGAGACTTCGTTTGAAAATACCTGGAGACTCAAAGGTTTTCTCGTGGTGTTCCGACATGCTGATCGCACCCCAAAGCAGAAAATGAAGTTCACTTTCAAAAGTCAGCCGTTTATGGATTTGCTAGGTGGCAGTACCGAAGAAGTCATTCTTCGCCAAGAGCATCAGTTGAAACTGGTCGCTCAAGCTACAGCTAAAGCCATAGAAATTGGCAGTGAGTCTCGGGAAAATCTACTGCCCTTGAAAGAGATTTTAGACAACAAGAGTAGCCTACCCGGCACAAAAGTCCAGTTGAAGCCGAGCATCAACAAAGAAGACGGAAAGGTTCAAAAGCTACAGTTGATTGTGAAATGGGGTGGCGAATTCACCCACGCCGCTTTACATCAATCTCGAGATTTAGGAGACAATATGCGAAAAGACATCATTGTCATGAATCGGCAGCTGCTGGATAACGTGAAGATCTACACGAGCTCGGAAAGACGTGTTCGAGCCACCGCTGATGTGTTTGCCTCCAGTTTCCTCAACACAGCAGAAATCCCAAAAAATATGGTGGTGACCAGCAAAGCCTTGTTGGACGATAGCAATGCTGCCAAGGAGCCCATGGACAAAGCCAAGGCTGAACTTCGAGAACTTTTGAAAGAGGAAGGCAACCAGGCCAACTGGAGAGATTACATGTGGCCAAAGGACATACCTGAACCAAGAATTGTTGTTGATCGGGTTATAGACATACTCCATAGAATGCGGGACACCATGCATAAGAATTGGACAAAACTGGACGTAGACAACATTCAGGCTCGATGGTGCTGTAATGAGACTGCCAACCTCTATAGAGAACGCTGGGAAAAACTGTTCAAGGAATGTTGTGATGTTGAAAAAGGTCACTGGGACCCATCCAAGGTGTCAGAACTGTATGATTCTTTGAAATACGATGCCCTGCACAACCGAACCTTTCTGGAAACCATCTTCGTTGACCCCAATGCCAAAGCAGGAGAAGCTGGCTCATTGGAAGAACTGAAAGAGCTCTTCAAGATGGCCAGTGCCTTATTCGATCTGATTGCCCCTCAAGAATATGGTGTTACTGCTGAAGAAAAATTAGAAATCGGTCTCCTTACCAGTTTGCCATTGCTCAGGAAGATCCTGAGTGATCTTGAAGATATTAGAACAGCCGAAGGACCACGGACTCGGTTCTATTTCACAAAAGGTGAGTGATAGTGTTTTTCAGTGCTTTGCAGAACTTGCTGGCAAAATTCGATACAGACAGTTTCAACTTATCATTTAAAACCAACAGAATCCCATGTGCATACACTACTCAATGTTGTATTCCAGTCACAACTACCAACCCTGCTTCAGCGAAATGATATTCCTGAGCTTGATTGTAAGTAGATTGCCATGACTATAGATTATCTGCTATGTGAACCAACCCACTTTATGCAATATGACTCACGTTTTTATTCGTTAACAGATCTTACACAAATTACATTTGAACTCTACGAACGAAACATTAATCCTGATCGACGCAGTAGCCATAGTACCAGCCCTGTCGCTGGCAGCCCTCTTACCAGTAGCCCAGCTCGAAGTAGTCCCATCCAGCCTGAAAAAGAGTATTCTCTACGCATTTCTTACTCACCCGGAGCCAACTACCCCAATATTATGGACTTGCAAATGGATGCTAAGCACTGTTTGAATGTCGCTCGACGACGGTAAGTGGTTACCCCGGACTGAGAAAATAAGAGTCTGAGTTTCTAGAACTGACGTGGTTCAATTTCCAGGGTCTTGACCGACTTCCTCCCGTTCACCAAAGCGTTGTCGTCGTACAAACAGCTTTTTGAAGATGATAAAATAGATGAAATTGAACGCGTGATTGAAGAAAAGCGCTACCATTATGCTCAAGAAGATGAACCCGATGAAGTGGCAGAAAAAGTCATCACCAACCTTGGCCAGTTAGCAGCATCCTCCAACCAACATGTACAGTAGCTTTTAGTATTAAAAATGTAGTCTTTTTTATAAAGAAATTTTTTGAGTTTCCGTCACGCTTTCCCCGTTATTTTCCTCTTCTGCTCATCATTGAAGCTTCAACAGCATTCATGTTGCGTACTACTGTAAGCTGACCGTGACCACCGTTTAGAAAACATCTCGAGTCTTGACCGTTTCTCTATCTTGACTCCCCAGTACTCGCCGCTTTCAACAGCATTCCGTGTCGCATTGCAGGGTCGACGATCCTTTTCGCAGGTAACGATCATGTCGAGATTGAAAGTTCAGATGTTTCATCAGCAAAGCTTATGTCGTCCTTTATTTTACAGTCTCACTTTCTCGCTAACAAGCGGTGGTCTGACCTCGTTCATCGCACCAAGGCGGCTTCTCACATCCATGAGATTTCCGCTGCGGAGCTGAACAACCATATTCAAGGCCAGAGTCCTAGTTCGTCTGAAACTGCTCCAGTTATCATTGATGTTCGCGAGGGCAGCGAATTAGAGTTGGGCAAGGTAACAGTAGATGAGAAGGAAGGAATGAAATGTAATCTGTCATTTGAACTGACTAACCTTTCCTCCATAGATTCCACATGCTATTTCCATCCCGCGAGGCGTTCTGGAGTTGAGAATCGAAAAAATCGTCAATATCGACTCCAACAGACCCATTGTCCTTTATTGTGCTGGAGGTTTACGTAGTGTCATGGCAGCTGAAGCATTGCAGCGAATGGGATATGATAATGAGAAAATCAAGAGCCTTAACGGAGGCTTTGAACTCTGGAGAGAAGAAGGCTATGACATTGAGTGCTAGATATTGTACTATTACTGCATCACATCCAAAAATTACAATGAAATAAAAATACCAGTGATTTAATAACAACGGTGGGCTCGATGCGATTTTATTAATTACAAAATGGAGTTCATAGCCGCTTGGCTCGACTCTCTGTCTCGAAAATGATCATACGCCACAGCTTCATGACAAACATACTGGCTTCTTCATCCAATGCCTAGGAGAAATTGGGCATTAGTCACATCACCTCTGTGTTTGTCCATCATCAAACCTAACTTACCATCTCAAGTTCTTTTGCCAATGCATTAGGGGGCTGCCGCTTCTTTAAAAAGTCCAGCACAAACTGGGTCAATTCATCTTCCTGGACACCCAATAGCTCTACGATCTTTTTGGAAATAAATGGTCTCAATTTCTTTTCTAGTGTATCCTGTATCAACAAAGGGTCAGTAAAAATGCTGTAGGTATACACGACGAATAGTATTTTCAAATCTTGCTTGACTTGACTTCCACTTACATTATCCAATTCATCCCATTTGATATGCCAGCTCCAAAGACCTTCTTGTGACGCAGGAATGGAATCAATAAGCTGCTTGACCTTCCTTTTACGCTCCTCAGGGTTGCCTACAGTGTCTGGGTGATCGAGTTCACCATAGTCCAAAGGCACCAAGACGCGTTTCTTTCTCTTGGCAGTCTCATCGTCATCCTCATCATCTTCACCACCAACAAGATTGGCTCGTCGCTTGATAGCTTTGCCAAAGCTGATTTTGGTATGTATCTTGGCTCCCGCTGCAAGCCCTTTACCGCTCTTGATTTCTTCCTCTTCACGCCGTCTCTGTTCTTCAATTTCATCCTGTTCTCGCTTTCGGTCGCGATCGTCTGCCTGTGCTTCGCGATCTCGAACAGGGCCTCTTCGGGAGAGCCATTTGTCACTGGAAGATAAGAAAAGGTTAAGGGTCGTGTCCACATAAAAAAGCGATAGAAACAGAGCCATATGTATTTACCGGTTTCTATAAAAATCTTCAACTTCAGCCTCTCTGTCGTCGTTCCATTCCGCTAACCGAACAGCCATGGTTTCTTTGTCTAGTTTCTCTCGCTCAGCGATTTCCAATTCCTTGTTAGCATCACGTTCGTAATTGCGAGCCATTTTGGCTTCTCGTTGTTCCCATCGTCGTTCACGCTCGCGGAATGCAATATCCATTTCCTGTTCTCTCTTCTCTTGTCGTCTTCTTTCCACTTCATCTTCATCGTCAATGTCCATCATACCGTCATCATGGGCCGCTTCTCGCACAAATGCTTGTCGAGGCATATGGTGGTGGCTGCTTCCGCTATGGTCTCTGGATGGACCTGAAGGAAGGGCAAAAGGTGACTCGCGTTCTCGTCGTTCAGCTTCTAATCTATCCCTTTCACGCTGTCTTTCTTCCTCTTTTCGTCTCTTCTCTTGCTCTCGCTGTGCGGCTCGTTCGCGGAAGTAGGCGATTTCCTTGGATATAACATCTTTCTGTTCGGCCGTTATATCATCGTCCATCTCGTTTGGCTGATCATTAGTATGAGCTTCATCGTTTCCAGCTGGAGCGGCATGCTGCTCAATGTCGGCTGTTCCTGGTTCTGATCGAGTGAGCATGGCTTCGACATGTCGGCGGACTGCTTCCTCTGCCTTGGTATCAAACTCTTGATCTTGCTGTAAAACAAACGCGGCAGGAGGGTAAGTTCAATGTAATATTTTTTCCCAACTTCTTTAATACTTCACTTACAGGGTTGGATCCGCGAGATTGCTGATGTTGGTCAAGGTACCTTCGGACATTGTCATCAGCTTTGACCTGAGATAAAATTTCCCAAAAGATTAGACAAAGCTATGCAAAACGGATAATACTCAAATACTAACAATTAATTTCTTTTTGATGTCGCTTCCGTCAAGTGCCTGAAGCGTGACGCCTGGGGACCCACCTTCGCCACCAAGAACGCGCAGCGCTCGCAACACGCTGTCTGGATCAGCATACTCGGCGAACCCGAATCCTTTTGGCTTCCCGGTTTGGTCTCTCAAGCGCTTCCAATTGACCAATTCACCGCATTCCTATGTAGAGAGTAATTAGTACTGTTGACAAATGGTTTTTTTTTTCTATTCAAATACAAGATATGGTTACTCACCTTCAAAAGAGCTTCAATCCATCCGTCACTGATGCCAGGGGCAATGGCACCGACAAACAAAGTGGTAAGTTTGCTATTGTCTGCTGCAGGAGGACCATGCGATTGTGCATTCGGTGGTCCTGACATAAAAGGGCCACCTGGAGGACGGTATTGTGATCCCATGGGTGGTGGTCCACCGAATGGAGGTCGCATAGGAGGTGGACCGCCGTATCCTGGAGGTGGACCTTGATTCATAGGCGGTGGTCGTCCATATGGATTAGGAGCGTTGGGTGGGGGTTGCTGGTAAGCGTAAGGGTTTGGTCGATATGGATCCATCAGGTTTTGCGGATCTCAGGACGAGCTCAGTCTTTTTGAAATGGAAAAAGCAGCTCAAACAAAAAAATCCAAGCGATCACGTCGTCATGTGACTCGACCTCTCGTTTGCCTAACGCACAAAAAGAAACATATTCTTTCTTAACAACCCTAATACAAATAGACATTAGAACGAGGGACTCAAAAGACATATCAGAAAATTGATAAGGGCCAGTAATTGGAAAAACGGCCAACACAAGCACTGACAAGACGCAATGACTACCAACAATTTTCAATAGTGGAGTGCCACCAACTCAGCAGCCAGCTCAAGTACTTACTACCTCCAATAAAGAAGGTCAGAAAAAACGATTTCCCTTTTATACAAGGATGGTAGACTAATCCGTGAGGTTTTCAATGCGGGTTTTACAAAAAGATAGATTTAAGATACGCTCGAAGCGTGAACATCGTATTTGATCTTCAAAGAAAACACATATCGATGGTCTGCCAGAAGCAACGTTTCCAAGGTAAGATGTCTTCGTCAGTAGCTTTTCATCATCAAATAGAAATTAATCGTACCTTTACTAAGATTCAATGAAGAGAAAAGTATAAAAGAAGTGTCAAAAACGATTCATTATCTTTTTTAAAGACTTCCATAATACCTTCCTTCTTCTCTATTCTCTGTTGCCCTATAATTTGCCAGATTCTACCCACTTTCAGCAATACGTGTCAAAATTTGTGACTAAACCTCACACCTCTCCCCCTTCCCTACGTCCAACATTTATATGCTGATTCAGAAGCATAGCTTCCGGTTTATTAGGAAACAACAGGGTATCATTCTACTCGATCAAAGGTCTAATCAGCCAGCTGTTCTTGTCATGCAGCTATCTTTGAATCGTGGGCACTACTTCGAGGGCCATTTTTGAGAGATTTTGTCCTCTCAACCAGACGCTTTGCCTCCATGGCTTTGTGAATAATGGTACCGCGTACTTTGGATCGTTTGGTGCCAAGATTACTGGTATTAATACTATTTTTTCGTCTTTCTTTTCGTCTTCCTCGGAACATGTCTCGTCTCCTTTCGATATCAGCGTCCGAGATGTCAGTGGGTGAGCCCAGTTTTCTAAAAGTGGTCTAAGAGAGCCGTGAGGTTAGCGTAACCATTCCTTTTTTTTTTGGTTTGGCACTAATCCTATGCTGTAGACTACTTACCTCCATGAGACGATGGCAGTCCAGCATTCTCTTTGGCATATTCTGAAAGGCGGGTGTTATTTTGTGCACGGTAAAACAGAGAGCTACAGTCACCTTGTCTGGGAATACTGACCTGTACAACTTGGAAAACTTCCAACGGATCGTCCACCTCTAAAATCTTTTGCTCGTTCAGCTTGAAAATGGCTAAGGCGACTCTAAACAAGACCTTTTGACCCTCACTATGAAAAATAAGAAAGCCTACAATCAGCACATACATAACGGAAAGGAAACAGTGAAAAGCACTTACTAGAACAAACAATCCCAAACACGTAGTACCGACTGTCAAACAAAAAGCGGGAACGTGTTCAGCCATGATGTGCTACCACAACATGGTCATAAAAAGCCCCACTTACCTCGGTTGGCAGAATGTTGATAAACAGGGTTAGGAACCAATGACTGGTGACAAGCGTAATGGTAGGCATCGTGGCGCCGTCGACATCCTTTTCACATTCCCAAAAGCCCTTGCCACTAGAGATCTTGTTCCAGATATGGGGTAATCGCTCCCATATGAACATCATCAAGACAGTTTGATCAATATTGGCACCTTCCATGGTGATATCGTAAATACCATCAGGAAGAATATCTTGGATGATGGTGACCAATGTCCAGAAGGCACGCTCTTCGTCCATGAAGAGCAATAGCATGCCAGCAATGTAGTTGAGTGACTGGCAATAGCCAATATGCGGACAATAGACAGAAAACGCATACAGCACTCGTCGTAAAGACAGAATGGCTGGAATATCCTCAGTGGACATCGTCACACTGCCATCGGCATTATCGGTGGTGGATTTAAACTTGGCATTTTCTGGAAACGTTCGGTGAAGATCTACAGGGGGCAGGATAAACATATTAAGAGCCACGTTACGCATTTAAATGAAAAAGCATGCTCGGTTGCCATACCTCGTTCGATGATTTCACAAAACTCATTATCGTCTTTTCCTTGTTCAGCCAATTGCACCTGTGTTTGGTACAATCCAGGATTCGCTGTATATTTCGCTTCAGCTCCGCTGTAATGGAACCAAGCATCACCACGAAGATCCGCTGGAATTCCCTTGCGAACGTATCGTTTGACTATGGGAAAGGGGCTTTCTTTGTAAGACATGCTACCATAGCTTCATGAAAGGCTCTTCATCATCATCTTACATTTAGAGCTCGGTTCTGGCCATTTTCCATCATTCTCCGTTAAAATTTGCTGCCACTTCTGAGCACGTCGATCGACAATGGGTTGGTATAATTTGTCGTGTTCATGATGATCTTCGACTGATAGCCATTGGCTTGACATCTTGAATCCATATTGATCTCTGAATGCAAAGACGCTGCGTTAGAGAAAACCTACCCTTGTGCGCCGATAATCTTTCCAATTCTTTCTAAGCAACATTAACATAGCCTTCCCCAAAATGTCCTACCTTTCATCATCGGGGTCTTCTTTCGGAGGTGGAGGAGGATAGGTCGATAGGGAGCCGTCATCGTATAACTCAGTATGCTCTTTATCTTTCGAGTTCCGATCAGCGGCGGTTTGCTTTCTGTGTAGGAAATGCATACTAGAATTCCGTCGTGGTATAGTGGGGGTAGGGGGTAAAAGAGTTGGCTGTGAGGATGTTGAAGGTTTCCGCGGGCTCAACTTTATTCTCAACGAAGTACTAAGAGACTTGGATGGTGTGATAGTGGGTGTAGACGTCGTGGGTATAGGTAACGGTGGTAATGGGGTGTCAGAATGCTGGGAGCTGGCAGAAGATTTCGCCTTCATCAGATTGGTGGAGTGGGATCGTTGTAGAGGGATGGGCATGGTTGGAGTCACTAAGAAGGCAGTATATGCTTTTTAAACGCTATGCGATATATTTAATATAAATTTCGTTTATGCGACTTACGGTATGCTGATTGCGATTGCGTCCGTGTTGCTTTTCTCATGAAAATTCCGTTCATCCCTAGGGAATGACTTGGCGGTTGCGGTTGAAGGGTATCCTGAGTGTGAGTGGTGGAGTAGTCATAATCTTTGGCAATAGGCACAGGTGGTTCATCGTCATCCGAAGCGGATTCATGAGATGAGTTTCCATGGCTATCGCCTAGGTATTGCGGAGACAAGGTAGTGGAGTGGTCGTCTTGATAGCTATACGCCGCCAGTCTTGATTTATGAGAAGGAGCCATGGTCTTTGACTCGTAACTCGGTCTTCGAGCAGTTTCTTGACCTATCCGAGTACCCATATATTGTGTGTGAAAGCTAGAGTCTGATTTCTGGCGGCGAATGACATCAGCTGGCCTGAGAGTAAATGATGATGCTCTCAAGCGGAATCGAGGGTTTGGTTTGGATAGGGGCTCAGGAGCTGTATCCGATGTATTCTTATCGTCCACGGCCACATTTCGAGACATTCTGTATTTTTAGCAAAGGAAGACGGGACGTCCTTCAATTTCGGTCGGGGAGTGTGTTAGGCGAAATTAGCCCGTAAAAGAAGTCCGCTGCATGATGCACCCCACCCCACCTGCGGTTGATCCTTTCTTCAACAAACACGGCCTTGCCCATGGGCTACAACACCTTACTCGCCGTGAAAAAGGGATGGCGTGTACGTGTAGAGTGTGTCTTTATTACGCTTTATGGAGGCTGGGCCCTTCTACTCTACTGGATACAATTCGATACTTTCGCATAGTCCATTTGCCATAGGAACAAAGGATTAAACCAGGGATATAACCTCCGCTGGAGCCAAAGTGGCATGAGAAACAATTCCCAAACTTCTCAAAGTGACACAATCAAAGCTGTGCAATCAGTCGCGTCAGTCCTTGTGGTGCAAAATTTAAAGCGAACAGACATTGCCATTGCCCTAATAGCATGCAAGGGCAAATTAGTATCACCCAACTTCGTCTCCCATTTCTCTTTTTTTTCTGTGCTGTACTCACCTGTAACGATCATGAAATCGTCGCTGACACCAACGGTACAAACAAAGCCATCCACACCAATATTGTCCAATAGCTGTTGCACTCTGCTGTCGTGGGGACAATGTAGTCGCTGAGAGATTGTTCGCTTTGTCTTTCCTATTTTTTCCCATTCTAGCGCTTTGATGGTATGTCCTCGGGTATTGGTGTCGGTGTCTATCACGATGGCTCTACTCTTATTCACAAATTCAAAGGTATCCCATCGGACGTTGTGTCCTGGTAATTCAGTTCGCCATATTCGTACACGAGGCGATAATGTGGGTGCATCCTCGTGCCGCAGAGGCCATGTCATGTGGTATAAATGGTACAACGAATCTCTAAGGAAAGTGATGAATAAGTCAGTACATGGGCATCCCCTCTCTGATCTCTCCTACTTCTCCCCACGCTATGCAAGGGCCTTATTGTGGAGACCCACCCATAGCCAAACTTACTGGTGGAAGTTGAAGATAGTGCCTTGGGGGGTTTCTGATGTGAGTGGTTCTGAGACAGCGGCCATAAGCGTGATAGGACCCATTTCACTCAAAGTAAACTGGGCAAAGTTGACTCGAGCTCTAGGAGGCAAGCGAGGTAAAACATGCGAACGGACATGCTCCAGCTTAGAGGAGCCGGCCTCTTCACTTGTGGTGAATACACGGATCAATCCATTGTCACTAAGGGCGATGATATACGGTTCGTATATATCAACAGCCACGATTTTGCTGGGGTCAGGAGTTGGATCAGCTTCCATGGTGCCAGCGGGATCCCATACCACCAACGCCCCAGAGGAATATCCAGCCACGATGATATCTTGCTCCGCTCGCAAAGTGGTGATGGTGCCATAGTTGTTATCGTTTATATACGTGTCTCGGGTATAGCCTGTTTCTAGATTGTACACTTTGACCACCGATGAGCTGAGTCGCGGAAAAGAAAGCGGTGAGCCCCTAATAGATTTATGCTGAGCGGAGTGCAGCGAATCACTTACTTTTCGACAGCAGCGGCCAACGTATGGTTTTCCACAACCATGTCGATGACGGAGAACCTCAGTCCACGTAGCTTGCAAACCAAGCGTGTTTTACCAGTCTTTAGGTCCCACAGACGAAGACTATCATCGTCTAGAAACGTACAAACCACATAAGGGTACCGAAAAATCATTTTTCCGATATTGTTGCTTGGCAGCCCTGTCAGCCTTTTGAGGGAGCATACTTTCCCTGTTTCCCAATTTTTTTCTCTAGTATACAATAGTACAGCTAAAGGAGCCCAAACAGGAGAGTCCAATGTAGTTGGAAGCTGATCTGGCCAAGAGTACAGTTCATCCAGGGATATATGATGTACATAATTGTAAAATGCCTAAGCGTATGTTCCAGTTTTAATTTAATACTTTGCCTTCCAAGGGACATGATACAATTTGCTGATACTTACTCTACTATTTTTGACGATTTTCCGAAACTGTTGATTCACCTACAGAAATTGCATGCTTAGGGCTACCAGCTCGGTATTTTACCATCCGCTACCCGGTAATAATGCTCACCTGATGGCATGAAAATAGCGAATCGACATCGAGAAGCTCGAATATACCCTGCCACAGCTCATTGGGCACATTCGGTCGAAAGCGGTCATCGTCTCCGAGAAAAGGCGCAAAATCCAAATCAGCAAGCTCGTCGCCGGCTGTATAAGCTTTTCGCAGGCCAAACTGATCATTGGATAGCTTTTTGATTATATTTGGTGACGATTTATGAGTAACAGCTCTATGAACATGGGGAGGTGGACTTCAAGATAGCGTAAGCATATTTAGGACGGGAAGAAAGTGGATGGATATTATTCTGGACCTTGTGGAGGCCGCTCATACCTTGGCGTATCGTCTGCGTCGTCCTTCCGTTGAGCTTTTACTTGCAGCGTTTTCATTCTGCCAATCAGGCGAGAAACGCTTTTCAATTTACCATTGCCATTACTTTGCATGAGGAACTAATCACAAGCGGGCGACAAAGGGGACCGAGCTCCTTATCCCACCCTCTGGTGACTTTTTGAGGGCCGGGCGTGGCGTGTTCACAACTCCGAAAATGCAACAGAATCAAATTAAGATTCGCTGGCCCTTCGACTTCTATGAAGGGAAGTGAATGCTCACTGTTCTACTCCAAATACCATATCACATTCACTAAATGTCATCCAAAGCATCTCTCACGACCTATCATTCCTCACGTACATACTAGTTACTTGTTCTGGTACGCACCACAGCCAAAGCAATTTAGGGGACCCCAGCCCGTGTTGCATGTTTCAATAATCCAACAAATTGTTACGAGTCCAAAATTTAAAATGTTTTATTCGATTTCAAACAAGCTGCGTGTCACAGCTTAATTAACTATAATACATGCCCTTGTGGGTGAGATTGCAAAACGGTATCATAATTTACCACCGTTCTCGCTTGAAGCGCTGGGTGTATTGAGGGTTTTCCTGTGTGTGCCAGAACTTGACTTGATCGCCTTCCTTGACGTCTTTCCAAGGTCGATCGTTTGTCTTGTGATCCCATACGACATCGGGTGCTCGGGCTTGATGTGCACTAACGTAGACGGCACCAGATAAAGCACCAGCAATGATCAAAACGAGAGGAGTCACTTCGGGTCTGAAGTAGTGCTTGAAGAAATGTGAGGACATGTTGGAGAGAGTGTTTGTGTGTGGAAAGACTTGATCGTTATTCACGGGTCTTTATATACATTTCTGGGAAAATTTTCCTTCCCCCTCGTAATAAAAAAAATGATGTGATTTTTGAAAACCATGTTCTATGGAAAAAAAGCGCTCAGAAGTGGAACGATATTTTGTAAGCAGCGGTTTTGATAGAATTTCTTGGGCCGGAACCCGCTGTGACTGGAAAGCCGGTTTCCAAGCAATTTATTGCTCTTGTTTCATTTGACTTCTTTACTGCTTATTGGTGCCATTCCGATTTTTCCACTGGCTCAGACCTTTCCAGTGTTGCAATAAAAAATTTGAGAAACCTAAAATTTTGTACCTGTCTCCCTTGTCGTTGTCTATGTCTCCGGCTAATACCTCATCTCATCTGTACGAAATAGATTCAGGACAGAAGCCAAACAACATGTCGACAGAGATCATCGTAGAGCAATTAAAAGTCTTGGACGTTGGCTCATCTTCATCTCCTACTGCCAAACGACGATCGTTCTCTCATCATAGACGAAAGTCTTCAGCTAGCTCCACTCACTTTGGCCTGTCCTCTTCGCCACACCATTCTTTCATGCCGTCTTCTCGACCAATCGCTCAAGATAATCAATTTTTGTTTCCACCTCCAGGCGGCGTCAACTCAATTGAATGTGAGGCTGAAAATACCGCTCATCCAGCCAAGTCGGTCGCCTCAGCTCGTCACCACAGACACACTTCTATCGATCGTGCTTCCCACATTAAGACCTTGCCAGATTCCAATACCCGTAGCTATACTAACTACTACGATGTCAATCGCAACAAGTATGTACTGGTCACCGGTGGAGCCGGCTACATCGGGTCTCATACTGTCCTGGAGCTGTTGAGCTGCAACTACGAGATCGTCATCATCGACAATTTGTGCAATTCTAATTTAGGTAGGTCCAAATTCAGTTGGCCAACCGCTTAGTATTTTTACTCATGCTTGGCACTGGTATTTATAGAGGCTCTGCGGAGAGTTGAGAAGCTTGCAGGCCGTTCAATCAACTTCCACAAGTGTGATATTACTTCTGAACAAGAGATTGATGCCGTTTTCGAAAAGTATACATTCTGGGCTGTAATCCATTTCGCTGCCTTGAAGGTAAGAAAATGGTCCAATTTCCGCGTGCCGAATATGGAATGGTAGCACACCCGCATTTCCTTACCCACACATCACCTTATTTTTGTCAGGCCGTTGGCGAGTCCACCCGACTACCCATAAAGTACTATCACAATAATTTAACTGGCTCACTCAATTTGTTACGAGTCATGGAAAAGCATGGCGTCAAGAACATGGTCTTCTCCTCGAGTGCCACGGTCTATGGCGAGCCCGAAACCACGCCTGTCAGAGAATCAGCTCGTCTAGGTCCTGTCACCAACCCATACGGCAAAACAAAACTTTTCATAGAAGAGGTATTGCGAGATCAGTGTGAAGCGGATTCAGATTGGAACGTTTGTTTATTGAGGTATGTAGGGCCATGCTTTGGCTAGCATCAAGCGTTGTTTGGAACCAACTTCAATCAAGCTAATAGGCAAATTTAATTAGATACTTCAATCCTGTCGGCGCCCATATATCTGGATTGATTGGAGAGCATCCACAAGGAGTACCGAATAATCTATTGCCGTATGTTAATAAGGTTATTCAGGGTCATTTACCATACCTTCAAGTCTTTGGAAGTGACTACGATACCATAGATGGTACAGGCGTTCGAGACTATATTCATGTTTGTGATTTGGCTACGGGTCATGTTGCAGCACTCAAGAAGCTCGAAAAGAAACCAAGATGCGTTGCATATAATCTTGGTACAGGCGTAGGCTATTCCGTGTTACAGATCATCAAATCCATGGAACGAGTTACCGGAGCACACATTCCTTACAAGATCGCAGACAGACGACCTGGTGACGTTGCCACCTGCACCGCCGACGCTACGCTTGCCAATAGAGAGCTGGAATGGTACCCCACCAGGACCATGGACGATATGTGCGAAGATATGTGGCGATGGACACGAAGAAATCCAAATGGATATGATTCGCCTATGCTTGAGAGTGATGAAGAGTCGGATGAAGCTCAAAAGTGAGCTCTTTGGAACAGGTTTCTTTGTGGATCATTCGGTCCTCCATATACCAGCCATTGCCTTTTTGTTGGACGATAAATTTTGTTGTCTTTTGTTCTATGTTTAATGTATACAGTAGTTTCTTAGTACCTTTAGTTGTGCCTTTAGCTGTTAGTACTTTTCGTCACAACCCGAGTTATTGGCGAGTGTCAGTTTGCCACCCAAAAAAATTAATAATAATGACTTTTTAAAATCCCCCAATTTTTTTCCATATGCCACTTCGATCATAATAGTCATCTCGAGGAATGTGAATGAACGCCCGGCAAGTATAAGGCATACCTCACATCCCATTTCTGGTATGCGATTCAAGCACCTATCTTTGAGAACGTGGCCACTACCGCTGTCTTCTGACACTTGCAGCTGAAATGGGCCAGCTCAGCTCAGCTCAGCTCAGCTCAGCTCAGCCGACTCAAACCAAAAGGTCTCAAACAACCTAGTCTCCACAACCCGACCGTGCACTCATAGTAGAACCCATGCGCGCTATCACACAAAGGACGTTGCTTCAACTTTATTGCTGGGATCATCATGATTTATGGTAAAATAGACAGGGAATGTTTAAATACAAATTAATACCATATGGCTAATTACTGGAGTATGCTTTTTATACAGTGGAGTGTGGAGCACCATGGATTGGCTTCATGACGTGACGCTTGATCATCTTGTAGCCTTCGCCAAATGCAATCCAAAGGAGAATAAATGCAATACACAAGCCCCATTCCCAGCTGATAGCAGCTTGTCTGAAGCCTTGAATATTGACGGTAGGGACGTAAATGAATATCAACAGGCCGATGGTTATAAAGGCACAGGTTCCTACCCAGGTAGTAGTGTGCACGGTCTCTTTAATTCCGCGAAGATTCCATTCTGGGCGTCGGTAACTTCTGCAGTGGATAGCCAAGACCAAGCTGATGTACGAAAAAGTGACAAGCATGGCGCTTCTGGCTCTATAGAAGTCATAGCAGCCGTCTGTGTAGTGGGAGTCACAGCTTGGTGCTTGCACGCCATTACCAGCTCCGAAAAGAACAATGTAAAATACGCCCAACGTGAACACTGCAATACCAATGCCGTATACCAGGGTATCGAGGATGATTTCACGGTTGAACACAGATTCGGTAGGCGGTCTTGGTGGCTCCTGCATGACGGTTGGCGAAGCTTTCTGTACGGACAAGGCAGCAGCCGGTGGTGACAAAATGACATAGATCCAGATCATCTGGATGGTCGATATGGGCGCGACAGGAGTTCCATCTGTGTCTTTCACGAACAAGTTGATCAGGATGATCAGAGCACATCCGGCAAGGCAGATCCAATAGTACAACAAGAACCGTTGCATGTTTTGATAGATTCGTCTACCTTCGGCGATGGCACTAATGATGGTAGCAAAGCTGTGGAATGAAAAGAAAAGTAAGTCCAAATAGCTCAATGAAAATCGTCCATGTAGCAGATGTGATGATCGATTCGTTGAAAGGAACTTACTTGTCGTCAGTCAGAATGATATCGGAGGCCTGTTTAGCAACGTCAGAGCCATTCTTGCCCATGGCAATTCCAATATCAGCGATACGGAGAGAAGGAGAATCGTTAACACCATCACCCGTCATAGCCGCAATGTTTTGTCGACGATGGGAAGCTTGGATCATTTTAACCTTGGTTTCTGGTGAGCATCTAGCGACTACCAAAGGTAAGGCCTCCAGTTTATCGACGTCTTCATCGCTAAGGGCATCGAATTTAGGACCAGTGGTGACTAGGTTTGTGATCTGTTCAGTCGACATTTCGTGGACGTTCAAAATTCTCAGTTCCTTGGCAATGGCAACAGCAGTGGCTTCGTGATCACCAGTAAGCATGTGGACGGAAATGCCTGCTGTGTGGGCTTCTTCGACTGCTTTTCTGCTCTCTTCTCTAGGACTAGAGGTCAAAATCGTTAGCGAAGAATCATTATTAGCCCAATGTTTGTGAATGCGTTACTTACGGGTCGTAAATACCAGTTAAGCCAATGAAAACAAGGTCTTTTTCCATGTCGTCTCGTGAATAAAGATTGATATTATCAATGATATCCTGGTCCATGATAACTTGCTTATAGGCCATGGCCATAACCCGTAAGCCTTTCGTAGCCAAGGCATCAACATGGCTGAGAATTTCGGTTTGCGTAGAGAGATCCAAGTTACATAAGGTGACGATGCGTTCGGCCGCTCCTTTAGTGTATACAATATGCTGCTTGTTGCTAGTATCTTCGTAGAGGATGGACATACGCTTGATGGTGGAGTCAAACTGATACTCGTGAATCAATCTCCATCCCATGCGTTCAAGCTGAGGGCAGCCCATATTGAATTTATGAGCAAATACTTGCAAAGCAACCTCCGTCGGGGCTCCACTAGCCACCCATGAATCCGCACTCTTTTCTTTTTCGGTTTCCTGGTGAATGCTGGACATGTTGCAAAGTGCAGAGCATTTGACAAGTTGTTCCAAGTCAGCAGAGATGTTTGACTTGTCCATTTTTGTAGAATTCGGTGAGCTGGTGGGTTGATCTTCCAAAAAGGTGTTTGTAGCATATACGTCGCCTTCGGGTACTATTCCTTTAGTCGTGACAAAATAATATCCAGTTGAAGGGAGCCAAAATCGTACGACAGCCATTTTAGCTTGTGTGAGCGTTCCAGTCTTGTCCGAGAAGATGTGAGTGATAGAGCCGAGGGTTTCCAAACATTTGAGTTTACGAACAATGGCCCGTTGCTTTGTCATTTCTTGTCCACCGAGCACAAGGGAGATGGTAAGAACGGTCGTTAGACCGGCAGGGAGTACTGAAAGGGCAGCAGTGATAGCATACATGGCCAAATCGTAACTAACCACAAACTTGTTGCTAGCAAGCACAATGATTGCGGCAATAGCAGCAGCTACCAGCAGTACAATGTACATCTTGTTGAGTGTGCGCTGAAGCCGAGTGGTATCTCCGTTTCCAGATGCTTCGATTGTTTTAGCAATTTTGCCAATTTCGGTGTTCATACCGGTCGCCACAACAATGCCTTTCGCTCTTCCTTTTGTGACAATGGTCGAACTGTATCCCATTCCAACACGGTCCCCGAGCGGTTGATCTAAGTCAACATTTAAAACACCATATTTTAACCTCCTGTTCATACTCTGTAGTTCAAGATGACGTTGTGACATACCTTCAGCCTCAGCTGCTTCAATAGTCTTTTTGACCGGCATTGATTCTCCTGTCAACAGAGCTTCGTCCACTTCAAAGTTCGAAACGTAGACCATTCGAATGTCTGCGGCAATAGAGTCGCCTTCCTTCATTGTTAAGATGTCTCCAGGTACCAGATCTCTACTGTCAATGGTTACTTCTCTTCCATCGCGAATAACCATCGCGGTAGGTGAAGAAAGATTTCTCAGTGCAGCGAGCGTTTGTTCGGCAGCATATTCTTGTGAGAATGAAAGATAAAGATTGGCGAAGGAAAGGGTCACCAAAATGGATCCAGTAATGTAGTCGGCTAGCACATAGGACACAGCACCAAGAGCAAGAAAGACCCAATTCATGGCGTCCGCCAATTGACGAACGAGTACCCTGAACCAACCGTTTCCGCCATTTCCGCCAAGGACATTTTTACCGCAATCAATGGCTCGCTTTTCTGCTACACCAGTGCTAAGTCCAGTGGTAGTATTGGTATCCAATGCAGCAAGGACTTGTTGTTCCGGTAGAATATGCCAAGGTCGATTTTGATCGATGGCCTTTGCCATATTCGATTGTTTCATGATAATAAGTAACAAATTTAGGATAAAAGTGTAATTTCCATCAAGAAAAAGTATAGCTCTGCTTTCCATCCTACTTTTATAAAGCAAAATTGGATTATAGTTCACCGGAATTTGAAAAACGTTGACTCAAAAACCTGACACCACTCCGATGTAGCGGGCTCTGCTACCGACAAGCCGAAACTCTGATCACCTCATACAAGCAGTTGTAGCTCATACTGACGACTATACACCACCGTGTTGATCAATTTGCTATTGTGTGTGTCGACTTGGTTAATCAATTATGTTAGTCAGCACTGGCGAATGATATTTGTTACTGGTTGTATTTGCCCGGCCGATACCCAAGAAACTTCTACCAAAGCATCTGCAGTTAAAAAAAAATTGTTTGTTAAATCTTGTTTTTCTTTTTTGGTCGCTCAAGTGCTGTATACCTCTCCATATAACCAACAGCAATTGCATTCAGCCACTATACAGTATATTGGCGATACACCCAGCTGCGACGACTACCTTCACATAATGGAATTTTGGGTATAGCATAGTGATTCCCTTGATCATTCCTTATAATATGGCAAAGAACTGCGGTGCAGATATTCGGGATCTGAGCTATTTCATTGTCTTACATTTCTCACGATGCCATACAAATGTCGTAAAATTCTATCCTCACAAGGATAGAAAATTTCTTATTATACTGTGGCGGATTTGTTGGCCGACCCTTGTGGCCATAGTAAGCGCGGAAATTCAATTTTTTTTGTTAGACGCTGGTTTCCAATGTACGGAAAAGAAAAATTAGATCATGTTATGTTTACTGTATCGTTCTCTCGCTTCAGCACGAAATATTCCATATTGGTGATATGAAAGCTGTACCTTGATATCATTATGTTTCAGTAGAATGATGAGTCAACCATATCAATTTCAGACATGCACGTGAAGAAAATAGACGGTTGTGTTTCAGAAAACTCTTTCCTTAGATTTTGGCACCAAATTTCTCCGTTTATCCATCCACAACCGTGGCCTCTCGCCCAAGAAAAATCTGCCCCTATAGTGAAAACAGGTTGCGTTTTTCTTGATACTTGTACTTTTTATACATGTGACATAAATATTTTTGGCTGTAGATTGGCGTTGAGACGCATTTGTGAGTATCCGCTTCATTTGATAAATTGGTCGATCTCTCTCGGTCAAAGCTTTCATTGTGCAATAATTACCCACATGAAGGCAGGGTGTCTAGACGAATCATTTTAGCTTTTGTAAAGACAGTCAAAGACGAAAATCAAAAGTATCTTAATTAATAATAGAGAAACCAATTACTTGCAGCAAGATATTGCCAACTGCCAATGACGTGCCTCTGCCTTTATTAATGCTAACGGAAGAAGGTATATCCAAATCAAACATTGACAAACTAAAAAGTTTACAGCTGTGTGTATATTTTCAAAAAATGGTTGGCCTACACATTAAAAGAGTTTCCTGTAATAGTAACAATCTATAACATGAATTAACTTGAGAGAAGGTGGATGGATGGATTAGTTATTCTGAATATTGCGAAGGTGTTTAATAATGCAAGTTGTATTTTCAGGTTTGTGACATTCCGATCTGGAATTTTCCGCTAGAAATTTTTTGCAGGTAAAAGGCCTGTAGGATTTGTCAGCCCTGACATTGAAAATACTATAAATGGCCAAACATTTCGTCGCTCTTCTTTCTCACTATCAACCTCACAAAATATGACCATCTCAACTACCACATCCAACTTGTTCCAACCTATCAAGCTTGGAAACATCGTCTTGAAGCACCGTGTCGCCATGGCTCCACTCACCCGCTTCCGTGCTGATGATGCCCATGTCCCTACCGATTTGGCCAAGACATACTATGAACAAAGAGCAAGCGATGGAGGTCTCATTATTACAGAAGGTAATATACTAAAGAACTCTGACCACTTCATTTAAAGTTTTGATCTAACTTTGTACCTTTAGCCACTTTTATCTCTGAGCTTGCAGGACACTATCCCAACGTTCCAGGTATTTACACCGCCGATCAGATCGAGGGATGGAAGAAGATCACCAAGGCTGTTCACGATAAGGGAGGTCATATCTTTATGCAGCTTTGGTTCTTGGGCCGTGCTGATGCCATCCCCAGTGTCTCTGCTTCCGCCATTCCTATCCCAGCTGAGGAAGGAAAAGAACCCAAGGTGCCACGTGCTCTTGAAACCTCTGAATTGCCTGGAATCGTAGATATGTACAGACAGGCTGCCGTCAATGCTGTTGAGGCCGGATTTGATGGTGTTGAAATTCACGGTGCAAACGGATATCTTTTGGATCAATTCTTGCAGAGCAACACCAACCACAGAACTGATGAGTATGGTGGTAGCGCCGAAAACCGATCTCGTCTTGTTCTTGAAGTCATTGATGCTGTTAGCAGCGCCATCGGACAAGAGCGAACTTCCATCCGATTCTCGCCTTATTCCCACTTCCAAGATATGCATGACGCCAATCCTCACGAAACTTGGTCCACCGTCACTCAAGCGATCCAAGACCGATTCCCCAAGCTTGCCTATCTTCACTTTGTTGAGGCTCGTGTCAACGGCAATGTTGACAGAAACGATGTAGCTAACAGTGAGACTTTGGAACCTTTCCACAACATTTGGAAGGGAGTCTTCCTTCGCGCTGGTGGATTTACATTGGAGTCTGCCGTTACCGCTGCTAACCAGCACGAGAACGATGTCCTTGTATTTGGTCGCATGTTTATTTCCAACCCTGATCTTCCTCTTCGCTTGAAGAACGGTTGGGAATTGACGAACTACAACAGAAACACCTTCTACAACAACAAGTCAGCAGATGGCTATATTGATTATCCTTTCTATGAAACCGCAAAGATGTAAATCTGAAGTTTTCTTAGATGCTTAGATACTAGAATCAATTATTTGTATATTAAAATTAGAAGCCATTAGCTGCTCTTGACCTGCTACATTAAATGGAATTTTTCACCATTACCTCCTGTCTAGTCCTAGGCGTAAAAGCTTTGTCTCTTTTGATGTTTATTTATTGCACTATGTACTGTGCTTAATCATTACAACTGCACAGTTAACGGAACTGAAAGAACAACAATGGCTGAAACTGAATCAGGCTGCCCACAGTTAGGCACTGATTTTCACAGCAGGATTCGCAGAAAACATGATCATCAACCTTTAACCTGCACCAAAGTGACCGATGATTTGCCGTGTTGCTGGCATTAAAACATGCGCCAAAGTGGCCGATGGTTAGCCGTCCTGCTAGCTTAAAATTTCAACTGGTTTCAGTCGGTACATTTTATCCCACTTTTCGCTTTTCCTGTAATTTTATCGTCATGTCAGATAGCCAACCATTGGAGACCTCATCTAGAATTTACCAGTATTCTATAATCAGTGCATTTATGGACGGGCAGACTTTGCATGGCATACCACTAAAAGACCTCGGCAAGCATGGTGATTTTGGTCTTGGATCGTTTCAACTTGCAGACGGTGAGATGATTCTCGTAGACGGAACGGCTTATCGTATGAGTTACGATGGCAGCATTACAGTGGCGGAGCCAAGCACCTGTTTGCCGTACGCTATGGTCACATTCTACACACCAACCGTCACAGTCGCTGTAGCTGGCATGCTCAAACCCAACTTCCAGAAGCACATAGAAGATATCACTCCCACCGCAAAAAACTACTTTCTTGCCATTCGCTTCGACGGCGTGTTCAAGAAGATGAGATTTAGAATAGCGAAGGGGCAAGACGTACCTGGTGCAAATGTGATGAAAACCATAACGAAGACTCAAAGGGTCATCGATATGGAAGACGTGGAAGGCACTATGATAGGGTTTAGATCGCCAGGATGCTATCAAGGGATCACGGTTGCTGGATATCATCTACACTTTATTAAAAAGGACCGAACTACCGGCGGTCATTGTCTTGACTTTGAGATACAAAAAGGTATCACGGGAATCTCGATCATCCGACAAATTGATATTGAGCTGCCGGATTCAGACGACTTTTGCGAAGCAGATCTAACCTTGGATAACGAAGGGATTGTGAAGGCAGAATAAATTGGGTCACCTTGGATGGGTGAAAGCTAAAGGCATTATTGGTCGCAGCAGTATAACGATGTCATGGTGATTGCTCTGAGATTCAATAACAGCTAGACCAGTATGTCAACATAATTTTGTTGGTCGAATGGCTGGGCTACTTTCCTTTTGATGAAGACAATCAAAGGTCCAGCCATATTCTTGGCTCAGTATACTTCTGATCAGCCGCCATTCGATACCATCGACCACCTTGCCAAATGGGCTAGTGATTTAGGATACGTTGGAATCCAAGTTCCGGTCGACGATCGCTTAATCGATATTCAAGCAGCGGCCACGAGCAAAGAATACTGCAATGATCTGAAGACGAGACTTGCCAAATACAATGTTGTTATCACTGAGCTTTCAACTCATTTGCAAGGCCAGCTCATTGCTGTTCATCCAGCTTATGACCAACTCTTTGACGGCTTTGCCCCGGAACACGTTAAAGGTGACCCAAAAGCGCGCCAGGCTTGGGCCGAAGGTCAACTTAAACTGGCAGCGGCGGCCTCACATAACTTGGGTTTGACCACTCACGTCACTTTCTCCGGTGCTTTGGCATGGCCGTATGTCTATCCATGGCCACAACGACCGACAAATCTCGTAGAAACAGCATTCGCGGAGTTAGGCAAACGATGGCAACCTATTCTGGACGCTTTCGATACAGTCGGCGTAGATGTCTGTTACGAGCTACATCCTGGAGAAGATCTTCATGATGGTGTCACGTTTGATCGGTTTTTGAAAGAAGTTGATTTTCATCCGCGCGCTAATATCCTTTACGATCCCAGCCATTTTCTACTACAACAGCTGGATTATCTAGCTTTCATCGATATTTATCACAAGAGGATCAAAGCTTTTCATGTGAAGGATGCGGAATTTAGACCTGATGGAAGACAAGGTGTATACGGAGGCTACTCTAATTGGGTAGAGCGGGCTGGTCGGTTTCGATCGCTTGGAGATGGACAGATTGATTTCAAAGGCATTTTCACAAAATTGGCACAGTACGACTATTCTGGATGGGCAGTCTTGGAATCAGAGTGTGCGATCAAGCATCCGGAAGCTTGTGCGGTAGAAGGCGCTACTTTTATCAAGCAGCATATCATCAGGGTGACCGATCATGACTTTGACGACTTTGCACAAAGTTCACTGGATGATGCACAGATGCGACAGCTTTTAGGTTTGTGAAGCGTGTTACCATTACATTTTGTTGGTGATGTTTTTTCATTGTACAATAGATGGTTTCAACGACAATAAAGTAGTTCATAGAAACCAGACATCCAATATACCATGAATACCATTACTATTTTCGGATAATGTTCCCACTGCAGTTTTCAAAGTCAATTGTCCTCACATTAATCCGCTGCCTCCACCGCTGCCGTTCTTCCCGGCTATTCCTTTTCACTTTCAAAGTAGAGTTTATATTAGCCAGCCACCAACTATTTTTCAATATGGCTAGACTTTTCCCGTCCTAACTTTCTTATCACTGTGAGAGTAATGAGTTTTTGATCCATCGAGTAAAGCTGTTACAATGTTACATAGTGTATGTATATGATGAAGTTGATAAGTTGTCCAACAAGTACTATCGTTACTGCACGCATTCTAGCAAAAGCAGTGTTACGCAAAGAGCTGCCAAAATCCGACTTCGCGGACGTTAATGATATCTAATGATGGCACATAAAAAAGGGTTGAAACAATAGAGTTTTATCAGTCCCCGAAAAATTCTTGAGCAGTGACAATTTGATCCGCTCCACCCTTTAAAAGCTAGTGAACCAAAGCTTCGCTCCAGTTTTGCTAAATTACTCTTTTACTGGTTCTCTTTACTATGGATTTAAAAGACACTGGGAACTCGGGAGATCTAGAGTTTGGTGGATATTCAAAAGAGCAGCACATCAGCACTCTCGAGAACGTCGAAATATTCGACAACCAGGATGTCGTTGAAAAGGATCCAAACTCCCTCAATGCAGGACTTCAAAGAGGGTTGAAAGATAGACGTAAGTAATGATTTGCTCAAACTAAAGATTTTCAAGTCATACACCTAACGTTCATACTGCATATCATAGATATGTCCATGATTGCAATCGGTAAGCCATTTTCATCTGGTAGATCATCTTTTACAGCATAAGAGAATCAGTAATCTGACTGAACGCTTCTTCATACTGCATGGATAGGCGGTTCCATTGGCACTGGTCTTTTCTTGTCTTCAGGAGGTATGTGAGAGAGCATTCATGTGATCTTGTTGGTAATTATTTTAGGCTAAGTCTGTAACTACACAGCAACGATTTCACAAGCGGGGCCAGGAGGAGCATTAGTTGCATGGTCGCTTATTGGTCTTCTGGTGTATGCTGTATCTCAAGCCATGGGAGAGATGGCAACCGCAGTGAGTGTCAACCCATCTCATCATTTATTTCCTCATCCCTGGCTCATCCATCACGAATTCGCAGATACCGGTGGCCTCATCTTGGACTGTATTCGCAGGACGTTTTATAGATCCTTCTATTGGTTTTGCTGTTTCTTGGAGTTACTGGTTTAATATTATCACTGGCTTGGCATCTGAACTGATTGCTGCTGCTAATGTTGTAGCGTATTGGAACGATGTGAGTAAAGTCCCATCATGCATTTCCAAAATGTACAGGAAAAATACTAATATGCTACATACAAATTAGAGCATACCAACTTGGGCTATGTCAATCGTCTTTTGGGTGGTTCTACTTCTACTAAACATGCCAGGTATCGCAGTCTATGGCGAAATTGAATACTGGTAGGTGACTGGATAGAGCTTGCTAAAAGGTACATGAATTCGTGCTAACACAGGATTTCAAGGTTTTGCCTTATCAAAGTCATCACCATCATTGTCTTTATCATCATTAGTATTTGTGTCATCAGTGGAGGTATTGGTGGCGTTGTATACGGTGTCAAGTATTTCGGTTCTGATGTTGGCGGCGGCCCATTCAAGGATGGTTTTGTTGGAGTTCTCAATGGTAAGTACCGACTGGTATGATACATCAACGAGGGCAGTGATTGATTTTAATTTTTTTTGTTCTTCAGTGTTGATCAACGCCGTATTTTCGTATGGTGGATTCCAAGTAAGACCCTGTAGCATGACTCCTTATTAAACTTGACCCTGTTACTTACATATCCGCATTCACAGAACATGACTCTTTTGGCTGGTGAAGCCAAGGATCCTCACAAGACAATTCCTAAGGCAGTAAACAAAGGTTGGTTGCGTTTGAAGATGAAACATTTGAACTTCTTCAGTATTAACCTGTTATGATGTAGTTTGGATTCGTATATTGTTGTTCTACATTGTTTCCATTTTCTGCATGTGCTGTCTTGTCAGTCAAACGGACCCACGGTTGCTAAGTCCAGACCACAGTGTTGTAGAGGTATGTATGAAAGGAACGCTTTATGATTGTGTGAAACAGGTACTAACTTGAAAACTAGTCTCCTTTTACTATTGCATTCCAAAAGACCGGTGTGTCTGCAGCAGCTAGTATCCTAAATGCTGTTATTCTGACTAGTATCCTGTCAGCGGGTAACTCAAATATGTATAGTGGATCTCGAATTCTTCTATCACTTGTGCGATCAGATATGGGACCATCTTTTGCCAAAAAATACATAACCCTGGTAAGAGCTATTATGAAACAGGAGTATGAATTCATGACAAAAAAAAGGATTAACCGAATAGTAAAGACAAACAGATGGGGTGTGCCATATGTCGCTGTTTTTCTGACCTCCATCGGATCTTGTGTATGCTTCGTCACTGGAATTGTTGGCAACGGTGTGGTTTTGACATGGCTGATAGCTCTTAGCGGAGTAACAACCATGATTGCCTGGGCTTCTATCACATTTGGAGCATACCGGTTCCGTCGTGCATGGTCTGCACAGGGTCGCTCACAATCTGAACTACTTTATAGAGCACCGGGTATGTTGAAAAACCTAGTGGAACTATATGAATATGAATGAACTCAATACTCATGAATTCACATTCGGTAGGCTACCCATATATGCATATAGCATCTACCGCCCTCAACATTATCATGCTGTTTATTCAAGGCTGGTCTTCCTTCAGTACGTATCGAGCAACATTGAGCAAAGGCTAAAATACCCGTGAAATATTTTAAAACTAACTTTTTTATTTTTCCACCAGGTCCATTTAATGTATCGAGTTTCTTCAGTGCATACGTGTCCGTTCTCTTCTTCGTTATTTTGTTTGCCTACCACAAGATTGCAAATAAGACAAAATGGGTCAAGTTGAGTGAGATGGATCTTGACACAGACTACTTCCACCCACCACCTGATCAAGACGACTTGGATGATACTGAACGGAATAACGTTCCGAAATGGCGTGCATGGATGACAAAAGTATCGGGCTGGATAATGTAGAGCAAAGGTCTTATCGTTACTGATGAATATTTATTTATGGTAAGTCTGGACTAAATAAGCTTCATCCGTATGTGATCTCATGTTGACAATTATCCTCCTCGGAAGCAGGCAAAATGCCCTTGTACCAAATGGTTCCAAATGTGTGCAAACAAAAACCACATGGTCCAAATGTCAGATTTAACACTTTACTTTGAATACTTGATTCTTACAAAACTTGATAGCCTTACTCATATCTAAATGTTAATGTTAATTTTTTCTTTATTTCTCATTGATGATGAAAAAGACTGGTGCCGGTGTTCAAAAAAGTCACGCATTGTACCAAGGTCAGACAATATGAGAAAATGCAAGCCATATAAATTAAGATTATAGTTTGTCGCCAATTGCCCAATCGTTCAACCAACGTTGTGAAATCGTTTCACTGCAAAGATAACATGTTATTTCATGACGATGAAATTTGTAAGGATTCAAGTGATACAAACCTTGCAGGTTGGAAGCGAAGATCAGTTGATAGTCGGATGGTCATGTCTGTATCCTGATTTTGACACGCCGAGTGTATGAGGTACGGCGTGTGTAGGACAACATCTCCTGGTTCGTAATCCGCTACCAACCATCGTCGATCGTACTTTTCTGCAATCGCTGGGGCATCTTTGCCAATGGCACCTCCTTCGCCCATATTGACATTATAGGGGTTGATCTTCTCTTCATGGGGCAAGTCTCGATTGACCTGTTTCCAGTCTTCCTCCATGTCAATGCCAATAGTATGAGAACCCTCTAAATACATCAAAGAACCCATTTCAACCGTAGCTGGTCCAAGCGGTATCCAAGCTGAAACTAAGTTAGGGGAGGCGTCCCTTAGAAACGTGCGGTCAATATGAACGGCAGTTGAATGTTCCTCTCTGGGAAGGTTGTATCGGATAATTTTCCTGGTATACAAAAACGGCTCTTCACCGAAAAACTTGAGCAAAAACTCCCTCAATGCAGATTGTTGGCAAAACTTTAAAAAGTCATCCCTTTTAGCAAAATCATAGACACTGGCAGTAGTTTTGTGATAAAAGTTGATTTGAAGGTCTGAGTGAGCGTCAGGGTCTTCGCCACTAAAAATGCCTTGTTCAGGAGTTGTGCCAGGTTCCAATAACGTGGTACCTTGGTAACTTTCGAAGAAATGGCGGCGTTGTTCCAGCGCAGACTCCGCAGGAATTAATCCTTTAAGAAATAGATACCCTGGAGTTGTTGGATCGGAGCACTGACTATTAGCAACTGAATGTCTTACAGTGCGCACAGCATAGCTTGCTAAACAAGTAATTTACCCTGTTTTCCGAATATCTCACGTAAAGCTTCCGTGGGTAAACGAGGGTCAGTAGGAGTCAGCCAGCCAAGTCGCTTGTCAGACATATCTAGCATGAAACCATTTGACTGCAACTGTGTCGTAATATGGCGATTTTCTTGTGCAGCGGAAGTCTGTAATGTTGATGCTGGTGCCATGTTGAACAGAAAGAGATGTCGTGGGATCTCCATTGATGTCACGCTTATTTTAGCCTGAGATCAGAGTTAACGTTCAACCATATCCCGAGCAGAGATGATTTCAACGCATGAGACATGAATGGCTACTGGAATGTTCCCCTCAACTGCTCTCATTCTACATATGAAAGTCATTTTATTTGAATATCCTATATTATTTTGCACAATGTATATTATGGTGCTCTCTCCCCTGCAGTGTTCACCAAGGCAAAATTAAAGTTGCATGGACGACCTAAGAATAGGCGGGGTCACAACTACTCATCGCTTTAACATAATAAAATCACACAAGCGATTGCCCAAAAAAAAAACTTTATTCTAATACTGCGTGTGATCGGCTACACACTCGTACGATAAATGAAATTAAGCATCCACCTCACTCATGAATGAGGTGACGCATTAGCCAAAAACATTTTTATCAAATGTCATTCACCTATAATGAAGAAAATCATTGCTTGGAACCCATAGAGGAGATCCGAGAAACAGCATGGCGGCTAATAAGAGTTAACATTAGTACTCGATGTAGTGGGTCGGACATACGACTTAAAGGGGGTGAGCGCATGTGGCGAGAGAAGATATGCGGTGTTTGTGGATCTAAGATCTGCACCGGCACAAAAGCTTTGTAATGATTTGTGCCGTACGATCATAAACTGGAATTTAATACCAGATCATAATGCCGATAAAAACTTTAACAGCATACATGCATGTATTCGATCTTCTTCGTGTTCCAACACGGTGGCTGTGCTATACTGTTAGAATCTGATGTGTATACACCGGCCGGGAATTTATTTCAAGGCACCATCATCTCGCTATAATATACACAATTCAGGAGTATAAATATCAGGACTACCGAGCATAGGACACACAGTCAGTATCCAAGTACACAAGTATTCGTCTCCCAATACAATAACTCTTCTCTCAAAATGCGTATCAACTTCAACTTTGCCACCGCCCTCGTCGGTCTCTTGTCCGTTGCCAGCTATGCTTCGGCTGCAAGTACGTATTGTACATTATGGAAGTGTTTAAGAAAGAATGATAATAACCACCTTAAGTAGAAAGCTACAATCGCTTGAACATTTCGGACGCAGCTGTTCTCTTCATCGATCACCAAGTGGGACTTTTCAATCTTGTTCAAGACACTAACCCAGACTCTTTCAAGAACACTATCTTGGCCGTTGGTGACACTGCAAAATACTTTGATTTGAAAGTAGTCTTGACCACATCCCGTGAAGACGGTCCTAATGGTCCTATGATGCCAGAGCTCAAGGCCAAGTTCCCAAATGCACCCTATGTTGCTAGACCAGGCCAGATCAACGCTTGGGATGATCCTGATTTCGTTAAAGCTGTAAAAGCTACCGGAAAGAAACAGCTCATCATCTCAGGTATTGTTACTGATGTATGCGTGACATTCGTTTCTTTGTCTGCCAAGGCTGCTGGCTACGATGTTTTTGTGGTTACCGACGCTTCTGGTACATTTAATGAAGCTATCAGAGATGCTTCATGGTCACGAATGGAAGCTAGCGGAATTCAACTCATGAATTGGTTTGCTGTTGCCTGTGAGCTGGCCCGTGATTGGCGAATGGATCTTGAGGGTCTTGCAAACTTGTTCGGTTCCCACATCCCTACCTATAAAGCACTTATGGACGGATACAACGGAGCCGTTGCTTCAGCTAAGAAATAGAGGTTAACTCAGAATTTTTACACTATTCAATAAAGAGATCAACAATCACTCCATTATTCAAGGGTATTACCATCAGCTCTGGCTTGTGCTGACTTTGGGATGTGAAATATAACGTAGATAACAATGATAAGAGGTGGAAATGGTGGACTGTTGGTTCAAAATTTAGAAGCTGTATCTTTTCGTTGGTGAAAGTCTTACGCATACGGCACAGAAAAATGCGAAGACCTCAGTAAATATCGGAGAAAATCGTAGCAAAAGGTCCAACATGTCATGAAAACTTACTGAAATCCAATACTCATCGAAAGTGAATGCGTTCATCCTAAACGATAAAAAGCACGGCCACAAAGATGATTACTACTTTGAGGCGACAAATACGTATTTGTATATTGATGTATAAGTCGCCATCAGTACTTAATACAGTTTTTCTTAAGCGCAAAAGTGCTCATGCTAATAGCTTACACTATCGACTACAGCCTAGTTTTTACAAGTGCTAAGTGCTTGGTGTTGAGCAGTTCTTATGCTTAATAACAGTGATCGAGGCAACCTGTTTGCAGCCTTACCTTGTTTTCTATAATATATGTTGATCTGCTGTAAGTGTAAAGAAAATTCGTTGTACAAAGTCGATAGTTCATTTACCAATGTTTGCTGACTTGTGGAATTTCAATTTTATGTTTTGTGTTTACATTTTGCATTCTGGACACAATGATCCAACCTTGAAAGTGTTTTCTTCGTTACTGTCTGTAAATTTATATTTCTGAACGATAATTCATCAAAACCATTGATAATATGACGTATGTTTCTCTATTTTGCTAGGCTTTCACACCTCTTCATAGAGGATATGGTTTTAAGGATAGAGCTTTCATTTTTTATTAAAACCGAGCATCTTTAGCCAAAATTTCAGAATTCATTTGTTGAATGCGAGCATAAAGTACAGTATCTCTTTGCCGTCGACATCAAGCAGTTCACTATAGACTAGTTGCCTTTGTAAATTCGCCTTTTATGGATATATACGTATTTATGTCATAAAAACATATGGCATACATCTTCCTGTTCCTTTTACACCAAATGCTCAAATCGGCTATCCATGGCAACGGCAGTATACTCTAGAAAGTGTAGATGTCGCAGGGAAAGTTTGAGTCTATATAACCTAGGCATTCACCCGAGAAAATGAACATTAATGTTCGCCACTAAGGTCGATGTTAACATCCATAAACGAAAGTCAACTTACATGGTCCTGGCGTACAAATGAGCTATCACTGTAAAGGACACATCGATTGGTTGAGTTGATGCCGCATAGAGGTTGTCGAATTTAAATCAGTCATATCTGCGATGACGATGATGAAATATTGGGAGAATATGACATAAGAAAATAAAATGGTGTAGAAATGGACTGAAGTTGGAACTGAACGGGATGGAGTTGGGGAAGGGTGGAATGTAGAACGACATTCATGTCCTTTTCATGAGTTCAAGATTCTGAGAAATATTTAAAAGCCCGCTGTCGTAAGATTTCGCTTGCCACGATAACATTTGAGGAAACTTTTATTGCGTAATGGAACGAGTGTCAGCGAAGCGAGTAAGCCTAGTTGTTCTTGTCGAGTAAAAATATGAACTGAGGAAGAAGAGAAGAAGGAAATGAACGGAGACTGGAGTAGGAGAGAAAAGCTCGTCGTCCAGCTTCTGTGGACGTTTCTCGCCAGACAGTAGTGTGCGCTCGCCCATTGCCTTTTCGTAAACAAAGCGGCCCTCGGTGGCACAAATAACAGCTCCGTTGATCTTGCTAGCGTCGATGGCGGCCTGGAAAGTAGTCTCCATGTGTTCGAGCATGGCAATTGAAAAAGTTCTTAATTGAATAAATTGGGAGAGAAAGAAAAAAGGGTTGCTTTTTATGATTTTCCAGTTTCCACGGCAGTTTATGACACGGTACGGATGGGTTTAGCGAAAGTGATCCGAAAGGTCAGAAAATTGCTGGCTTCGGTTTTACCCCTCGCGTACGATTAGGTATGGGTCATAACTCAGATATGTATTACTACGCCTTTTGTTAACATGGAAGAACATCATACTTCTATCCAAGGATAAATATACAATCTGAGGAAATCTATGCTGACTCCTGTTTTGTTGCCAAAATGTGTTCACCGCCTCCCATCAAACATAATTCTAAAAGCATTTCATCATTTGGAAAAAATCTTTCAACGCCGCAGATACCTCCTTCATGGCTCTGATTGCAAAATTGATCTATTACTTGTATATGTATGCGCATCCTAAATACGCAAGATGTTTTGGCCTTCGTTTGTTTTTCACACATAACCGATCTGATATATGGCTTCATGTCTGATAATGAGAGGTGTCAAATTTATAAATGAGATGATGTTTATTGAGCTACGAAAAATGCAAAAAATGAAGGAAGGTAAATGAGAGCAAGTATGAGGGTATACGCAAATGGTTTTATCCAGCTAATGTAACAAAAGATGAAACACGTTGATGATTGTGTAGGTGAAAATGCAAGCAATGATCTTGGGTACGTAGATCTCAAAGTAACAAGAATTTTTTCAGATCTGGTGTGCTGACACATTGCCGATACGCTGTATCAGCCAATGTCGGAGGGTTCGTCATAAGAACTTGCCGAACTTTTTGACAGCAGTCCAGGCTTGCATCAAAATAAGCGTGCAGTTCTTCATAATCATCTAGAAAAGCAAGCATGCCCCTAATGGTGCTCGGCAACTCGTATGATCCAACTTGAGTGATTATGGTGTAGCCATCCGCCTGGCGTTTTGCAACGAGGAGATCCACATGGTGGTCGACAATTTGATTCAATGTTATAAAGAGGTCTGGATCCACTGATCTCCTGCGCAGAAGATCCAAACTGTCCTTCGCAAATCGACAAAGTCGCATCAAGTCCTTTGCAACATTTGCCTTGGTGGCGTTGTTGAACTTGTTCTCCACATATCCAGCTTCAAGAATGGTGTGCCCATGGACGACTTGTATGATACCATCTGGCTGCCGTGCTTGGTATTTTCCGTTGATGCGAGCTGCCGAAGCGGTGGAAGAACTGTTACCAAAGACAACTGGAAACCTATCTGGATCACCATACATGTTCAACATGAAAGGGTATAGGTGTGCTGCGGTACACTGTGTCTCAGTCTCACTTTTACGACCGACATGCGATACTTCACGAAAAGGGTGTTGACTAATTCTTGTTACAACAAGTGAATGAGAATTTGCGCTTTATTATGTGTAACATGTACGAAAGTGGACTTACATATAGCGTGTCAGTTCTTTCAAGCGACTCAACTCTTTCATTTCAGTCGCATCGATTGCCTTCAAACCTAAAGAACGACTATTTTCCTTAAGGGTCATCTACAAACATGTCAGTTCAAAATCTCTGATGACAGTTTAGCGAAATCCGCCTTTAGATTCACCTTCAAGGTTTTCCGAAGCGATTCCAAATCAGATTTTTTATCTTTATTCATTTCCGATTGCAATGCGCTCAATTGTTCAGATTTGATAGCTTCTCTCAGCTTCGATTGATCTGAGCTGCCATCAAATATCGTGCTTTGATGTCTGAGTAAAATGATGGAAGACAATGACAGTATCCTTTCGATATTCTCGTTGATAGCAGTCTTCTGGCGTAAATGTCTGAGACTCGTATTTTGGTAATTGTAGATAGTCTCCAAGACGTCATCACCATACAAAAGCCATTCTTCTTCACTTTCACGCTTAAATTCGAAGCCGATTTCCGTAGGAACAGAGATAAGCGGGTCGTCATCATCATCAAAAGGATTTTCCTCCAGACTGGTCGTAAACTCCTCAAGCAAGTTTCGATGCCGCTGAATCGGTTGAACTGCTGTTGGCGTCTCATAGCCTTTTCTTTTTTTTACGCTCACATCTATCGAGATAACTCAATCATCAGTATACATGTCCAAATTAAACATAATCACATGTTCCATCAAAGTCTTGCCTGACGCTTGACTCAATCCATCTGATATTGGAGGAGATTGTAAAGTCTCATTGTTTCGCTTGGAAGACTGTTTTACTTGCGCACGTTCTACCACAATTCCATCAGTAAAGATATCGGCAATGTCAACTATCAGCGCAGCGTCTTCCTTACCATCAGAAGAGCTTCCAGCATTTTCTTCTACTTGCAGCACTAGAAGTACGAGTGTTACTACCCATTTTCATTTGCTTAAAACAACTCCAAATATCATACAGTACCCGTATGACTTTCAATAATATGTATTCTCAAATCCAATATATCAGCGCAATGATGCTCGCAAGCAATGCATTCTTGGTGCTTCATGGCAGTTACATCGTTTGCGGATGCATATATATACCTACAATCATCAGAAATTGAGAAACGTTTAACTCATCAATGCATAGAGCTCCTTACTGGTCATTATCGATTCTTCTAAATCCGTTTCCTCGTCTTTCCTTAATCTCGATGCCTATGCGCAATTCTTCAGTCTCAAGAAGTCCATTTACATTACAGTATGTCTTTTATACCGTGACTTCTTAGGTGTCTCCTGAAATTATCAGTACGATATCCACCCTTTTCGCAAACATGACAAGTTAGCTGTAAGGTGACAGTTTGAGGCTTTTTGCTGGACATGTCGATAGAGAGAGGTTGGAAATGAACCGCTAATACCCAAAACAGAGTTCACTCATAAACGCGCGTCACAAATGAGAGTTCACTCATAAACACGCGTCACAAATGAGAGTTCACTCATAAAAGCGCCCCAAACGAGAGTTCACTCATAAACGCAAGTCACAAGTGGGAGTTCACTCATAATTTTTATGAGTTCCGCAAATTATTTGGTATTTGGTTGGTATTGGGGTTTGGTTTTGGTTTAACCAAACCAAATAATTCCCCCCAAAACCAAATAATTTACCAAATACTCTGACGTCGTATCACCGTTTATTATAAGTCTTGTCCGTAGGACTTAAACAACCTCCAGGTATGACTGCTGCTACAGCGTACGCCAAGTCATTTAAGTTGGACTGTTACGCAGTACGACTGCAGACATGTTGGTTTTCTGAAGGCGCGAGCGCCGCTAATGAAATTCGAAAACGGAGTCCGAGGACCAGTTTCCGAGTGTGACGACATCGTCCTTGGGGACACCTCTCGACAGAGCAAGGTCTGAGGCTAAGGAGCGAATGCTAGGCACTGGGACCAAGTCAGTGGACATCTTGGTCAGGACACGAAGCCAAGAGGATTTTGTCGCGACCGAAATAGGTTTGGCAGGGTGGAGGCTGTTAACGAAGAGATTATCCGGCGGTCGTTGGGCCGCGCCTGGATGATTTTTCAGAGCCAGAAATGCAGCGACCGGGCAGAGGGGGATCTTCCTTAGAATTAGTATACGTAGGACTATGTGGGGATTTTTAAGGTTCTCTGCCAAAAAATAAAATCGTCACCCATAAATGGAAGGAGTTAGCTGAAAAAACCCACATAATCCCCCACATAATCCCCCACATAATCCTTTTTCTTCTAGAGCCTGAACCACTACACTTTTTTGCATTCTGTTTGTAGCATCAGATTTGTTGGTCATTTCATTATGTTGGAGTGCAGTAACAGTACCACAGCATTCATGGTAGACGCAGAATATGATGCGTTTCCAAGGTACCTCCGAAGCATGCCAGCGGAGCTCTCCTTTATAATCCATTTTTTTCTATCACCTGTACTACAAAGACGTTAGATGACTCCGACTCATTGCAAGATCGGA